ATGTTACATCTGTGTTCTACTGCTATGGAAAAATGGAATAAATGGATTGAGATTTAAATCTGTCACTGAATTTTCTAATTGTTGTTAATCATTATCTCAGTAGGAATAAAGTGAAAAACAGACTATTTTCCCCATTTTGAGATCATTTTATCTTGAAAATTATTGTGATAACATTTGGCATTCTTGTGCCCAATCATTGACTGTCATTATTCAATGACAGCATCCTTGACAGAAGCAGCTCACCTTAACCCCCCCCCCCCCCCCATCAGGCTAAGGTGACTGGACTTACTACCCGTTGCATTCATTCGACTTTCCTTCTCAAAAGAGAGCTTCGTCTTCACTCTATCAGTTTTCAATGAATCTCTGAACCCACTGCGCTAATCAGAGTTTGTTGTTGAAATAAGGACGACTTTCCATATGGTCATTTTCTCTGACGAAATCGCATCATTAATGTGCACGCATTTACCACTTGTTCCTTCAAGCTTGCTGATTGGTTGAGAATAGGTCAGCATGGTTTAAGCTGCCAATGGCATCGGTCATGGGGACAGGGCTGCTAAGCTCACTCCATCCTTTGCTTCTATATTATGGTAATATATGATAAAATCACCCTTGACCTGTCAAAAGCTAAAAATGTCATTTTTTCAAATTTCCATTATTTTTTACATCTCCTAAGGAATAATATGACAAAACAAGAGTATATGACACAATGCTAAGCTCATTTGAGATGCATACGTCTCATAATTAAGAAAAGTTCAAGGTTAAATAAGCCCCCCCCCCCCCGGCCATCATAAGCTAAAATGAAAATTTCAAATTTTAAGAAATGTCCAATCATTTTCTACATCTTATTGGAGGTATTATGATTAAACAGAACTATATGCACCATCTTGAGCTAATTTGGGATACATATATTACAAACCTTGAAAGTTATTAAGGTAAAATATGGTTACCCCTGGCCCTTCAGAAGCGATAATGACATTTTTTTTTTTTGAAAAGTTCCAATCATTTTTCAATCCAATTAGGAATAATATGACAAAACAAGACTCAATGCACCATTTTGAGCTCATATGAGACCCATACATTGCATATCTTAAAAATTATTAAGGTAGAATAAGGTTACCCCTAGGCCGCAAGGGCTTAAAAATTCTAATTTCGATAATTTTTATCTCAAAAAATACAAGAGCTACCCAAGCCATATTCTATATTTGTGATGAACACTTATACCCCTATTAGTATGAATTTTTCCAAGATGATCAGACATCACATTCTTGAAATACAGTACTTGATGTCCCATATTTGACCCTTTAAAAGATTAATTCACGCTAGATAATTGGGTCAAAATGCATTTTCCACACCAAACACCACATCTACAATCGGTTTGTCTCAATTTCAAGGCCCAGAGCAATCACCAAATGAAGTCATTTAAAAAAATTTACTTCACAACCATTTTTATTTATTTTTTATAATGTACCCCCTCCCCGCCTGATAGGGGTTAGGGTCAGAGACTAAAAATTCCATGAAGACCACTCCGGATCACTTGCCCCGAAATCATTTTCCACTCAGATCAAGTGTTTCTACAACTGTGCCAAGTTTGTTGCTTTCCTGAAAAAGTCGAACTATAAAGGGCTCATTTCTGGACATCTGACTGCGCTAATGAAAAAACGAGAATTAGAGAAATTTCAAAGCTATTTAGAAACTCCTCTACTGCAATTATAATCGAGTAAATACTATGAACTATTGAGCCTATTAAATATTTATAGGTTGTTTAATGGGAGGGAATATGAATATGATATTGGCCAAGGAAAATATCGTATTGTCCGAGGGCGATCAAGGAGAAATCCCCGGGAATATTTCTATTACTGGATCTGATAGGCAAAGGCTGATACGGGATCCAATACGGGATCTGATACTGGATTTTGGCCTATACGGGATCTGACACAGGATTTTTGAACATCAATTCTATTCCCCGCGGAAAACATATTATCATGGAATAAATAATAAAACGAAACATCGCAAGTTATTACAGTATTTGATTTGTACTATGAGAACAACTATTAACTCTGATATGTCAAAGGCTTTGTAATATTAATTAATGAAACCTTTCCAGCAGAGACAGGGACGATTTATAAAAACACAACAATGAAGTTATCTGATCTCCAGGGAGACCATGTCAGTAAGCTCACCATGGTCACCTACGTCATTACAAAGCACTTATTATTTCAATGGCAGGTGAAATGGATTCCAATCCCCGTTCTCTCAGAGAAAATATTCTGAATCTTAGGGCACTGGGTTCAGGGGATGAGCAATTTGTTAAATTATGCATTTAATGAACAAGCAGGAGTGTGTCCTAACTTTCAAACCTCAATTAGTCTAAAAATAGTGCTGTAAACACCTTATTGAAATCCTGAATGTTCTAACCCATTAGATTTGCTATCTGGATGGCTTAACCCTCGACCCATATCCTTATACTAAGAACGAGAAAGGTAGATTGGAAAAACATATACAAACAAGGCAATAACATGCAAAATGTCACCACCTGCCATTTGTTACATATCCTAACCGCTGAATGTTTAACACTGACTGCTGAACACCAACTGCCGAATGCCAAACACCAACTGCCGACCCCATTCGCAAAAAGGTTGGAGACAATAACAAATGTGGTGGTGACATAAAAACAGATACGTTTGGAAGTGACTATTTTATGCTATTAGGCTAGGGAGATGAATTAAATGTTAAGCATATTCCACTGATCCATTTTATTGGTCAGATCGATAAATCAACATACAATCAAAATATGATCAATTTAAGTTTGACATAATCCCATCTCAAACCACTAAAATCAAAAATGTGGTTGAAAACAAGTACCCCGGACAGGCACTTGTTAACAAACACTCTGACAATCTTGTAAAGATCCGCATTCATTTAAAAAGTATTTCCAAAGACAGACTTATGGTGCATACTTGCGAAAGTATTTCAAATCTAATTCAAATTCGTCCACAAAAAAGTATACCCAGCTTCAATGCCAGGTTACTAGAATTCTGAACAATTTTTAAAAAACACAAAGGTTTATTACTTTATTAAGGTGGTAAAATCAGCACTGTGCCAAGTTAGCATTCAAGTAGGAATGACACAGTGAATGTTTTTTGTGTTCAAAACATTATTAATGTTCAAATTGATATTTGTCTTATGTTATTCACACTTTTGCATTATTTTTCATAACTTTGAGTTGGTACCTCCCTCTTGAGATATTGGATCCGAAGAGTCTCTTGAACAGCAATGAAACTTCTACTTGTTGATATGCAGATTTGAAGTTAATTGTATCCCCATGTAAAGTCAGTAACCCTTGCTGAAATCCTCATTTTCTCAGGAGAACTCGAGTTTATTGAGTCCAAATAAGTAGATTAATGTGGGACAGTATTGCTAGAAACCATTTCAATAGTAAGAATAGGGGTTCTATAAACAGTACATGGGACTTGCGTTTTAGAACTTTTTGACAGTTACATAATGATCTTGGTACCATTTGATGGAGAATAAATCAGGCTTTTTACTACTACCTTTGTATTTTAAAAAACTGCTTAGGATTCCAGTAATTTGGATTTGAAGTTTGGTATACTTTTTTGTGGATGCCCTGTAGATTGCTTTTGAATAAGATAGCTAGAGATATAACATTTTTCTCAATTGGAAGTCCAGATATCTTAATATAATGAACATTTAAAAGCCTAGAAATACAAGAAAAGCATAACATTACAAAAGAAAATTGGCTTTACTGCACCCCCCCCTCTCCCCTGAGCATACACTTCTCTTGGTGGTAATCAATGTTTTCAAACGATTCAAATAATGATTGTGAATTAGACATAAAAAAGCATCATTTCCCTCTTCCTTCTATAAAAAAAATTGAAGCTTTCAATAACATAAAATTACTCTAGCTTGCCTTATAGAGAGTGGCTTGATCATCATCTCCTTCATTGATATATGATTCCACAATCAAATTGTGGCCATGTGTTATAAGTCATCTGATCAGTTTACGTAAAATGAAACTCTAATTATTGTTTTCTGTAGATTGCTATTTATTAATAATCTGAATGCTATTTACTATGATTCTTACAGTGTCAATTTTGCCAGAAACAAAATTGAAACACAACTGAAAAAGTTTTAACTTCTCCATTTAAAAAAGAAATGATGATCCATTTTAAAGCAATTGCACGTGACTGGGTGCATGTTCAAAAATGTTAATCCATGTAATTACATAAATTATCCATAAACTCAAGCACAAGTATCTCCAATTATTAGATTATAATTAGTCTTGCATCAAGCCTGTGGACTAAAAAAGAGGATCGATGCAAGACTACCCTTATATTTCACTTTAATTGTAAGTACATAAGTGTTACCTTTATACAAATATATGAATAGCTCTCTCATTAGATGCATTTCAGTAGCTCATGTTAAAATCCCCTGTAAATATGATGATCAATTCACTATAAAATGTATACCATATTCACAATATGTTCACACTAAACAGGTTACAATAGTAATGTCAATAAAAGACTGCCTATATGCCCCCAAAACATGGTCACCAATTTCAGTTTTATCTTTAATTCAGATAGAGGATACAAGCAGAATATCTGTATAAAAACATACAGTACAACATGCACTTGGACTAAAACAATATGGGAAGCCTTATCACGCAATTAAGACCTCTTCGGGTCTGTCAATCTAGTTTGACATTTCACACCAATTTCTACCAAAAAGGTTTTGTTTAGACAGGACTAATATACAGTGAAACCTGTTAAGTGGCCCACCTCTGTTAGTGGAACATTTTTCAGAGTCCCAAGGCCAACTGTCATTATCATTGTCAAATAACCCTCTGGAAGGGGAACACCTCAAGAAATGGAACACCTGTTATTTGAACACTTTTTAGAGTCCCAAGAAAAACTGGCATAATGTTAAATAAATCTCTATAAGTGGAACAGAGGTACCAAAGATGTTCCACTTAGACAGGTTTTACTGTAATAGTAAAGGCACTGTGGTTAATTAAAAGTGAATATCACTTTTCCTGTACCCATTTTGAGACAAAAAACGCACTTACAGAAAGTGTGTTTTGTCAATACATAAATGGTAGGTGGGTAGCATTTAACAAGGTGGAGCGAGTAAGTAAAATTCGGTGCCAAACTTTTAAGACAATATCGAATGTTGTACAAATCATATACATGTACATTGAGTACAAGATGTCTAGACAAGAGACATCTATGAACAAGTGAGCTTATATAATTAAATATTATAAATTAACATGTTAATAATATTCATCACAGATCAATTATACTGCTTATTGTGATGAAATATAACGTAAATCGGATTACACCTGACACAATCTAATCCCAATTAATCAAACAGGCAGAAAAGAGGTGGCATCGAATTTGATTTTCATAACCTGTTGGTGCTCAGAATCGATGTCTGAATGATTACAATTGACTGCTGACATGGGTACTTCTTTTTAAAAACATATATTTTTGATACAATGATACACATGAGTTCTATTTCGGTCTAGCTTTCATAGATTGCTGTGCTAGATATGCCTGTTGCAATTCCTTAAGATTAGTCTGAAACATTTCCACTTCACTCATACGCTCAGCATCCAAGGCCTGCTTGATGTACCCCCGAATAATGTTCATTTGCTGAACCATAGGGTCATCGTCAGTCTCGCGAGTCTGAACCTCCATTGGTTTCCAACCCCCTGACCCCTCCCGCTTTGCAGCCCCACCCCCTGAAGGGAGACCACTATCTGCACTCTGGTTTCTAACGTGTCCTTTTTCTCTAACCTTACGTTGTTTTTCCTCTAAACGCTTCTGTTCACGCTCTATCATAATCTGACGCTCCTGCGCGATTCTACGCTCGATTTCAATTTTTCGAGCTTCTTGAAGTTTTTTAAGTTCTTGTTCATTAGGCAAGGGTTGGAGGCCCATCATGTGCTCTTGAAGGTACATGCTGGCGAATGCTCGCACTGTCTTTTGTAATTTCTGCGTCTTAGGTGATGGAAGTTCTTCCTGGTTCATACCAAGACCAGCTATTCGTTTACTGGAATACAAAGCACTTTTTTACTTTTCAGAAGAATTTCTTTCTAAGGAATATTTTAGATCTGAACAACGTGAAACACAAAGACAACTGATGAAACAACTTTAAGATTTCTTTAACCATGAAGTTTGTATACAAACACGTTTGTCATCAAATTAATTTTAATTTACTACACGATCGCTTTTAGATCTGCAGCACAATCCAAGCACTGACAGGTGTTTCTAAATATGGGAATAAAATATTCTAATTATGGGAATAACATTTTCTAAATATGGGAATAACATTTTCTAAATATGGGAATAAAATATTCTAATTATGGGAATAACATTTTCTAAATATGGGAATAACATTTTCTGAATATGGGGATAAAATTTTCTAAATATGGGAATAAAATTTTCTAAATATGGAGTTAACATTTTCTAAATAAGGAATAAAATATTCTAAATATGAGAATAGAATGTACTAAATATAGGTTATACCTGATCACATCAATTGCTTCATACAGTTTCAGAACTTTGGTCCGTAAATCTTGGGCCTCGGGCAAACGGTATGTATTCTCACCAGCACTAAAATACAAAAAATACAAATATTCCAACTTGATTTTTGAATTATTCAATAGACTAGATCTTAGAAGAAATATTCTTAATTTAAATCATTAAATATTCAAAAGGACCAGGTATGGTATTGCAAATGATTTTAGACAGTCAGATCTTTGACAAGTATTTTCTCACCATTAATTCAACATGTCTCATCAAAATAATTGAAGTCCCAAGGATAATAAAAATACTAATTCAACTATCAAAAAAAAATTATGAAAAGTACTGAAATTTAAAATTATACTGACAGACATGAATTAGGTTAATACTGCAATACAAAAAAAAGGATAAAACAAATAAATACCTTAATGACTCTGCCATTTCTAGATATTTTGGCAACATGGATTCTGCTTTATCAACATTCATCCTCAGTTTCTAAATCACAAAAAATATAACACAATTATAAATACTGTATACGAGGCCCGATCAGAAAGTAAGTAACCAACTGCTCTTATTTCTTCATACTTTATTCAATCACATTGAAATTTTCACAGATGATGTAGAAAACATTAACCTATTAAAAAAGACCAAGGACAATGGGTTAGCGTCAATTCCATTGTTTTTGCTGTTGCTATGGAGACAATTGTTTTGGGTAGGCGGGGCACCCTGTTTTAAGTGGCGCTTGAAGCTAATTTGTAGAGTTTTTTCACATGTTGTAATACCCCAAATATATCAAATTCAAATGCAAAGACTACATTTTAACACATAGTCCTTCAAATTAATCGCCACCAAAGTGAATGCAGTTGAGGCAATGTTTCACCCCTTAAAGAAGTGCAACATGCAAACTGCCATTGAAAGCTTTAGTGATGGCCTAATTGCTGTCCAAACGGACTTTCCGTAACAACATATTTGCATTTGGAAAATTATTTAGTCATGTGGGGCCAGGTCTGGGGAATAATGAGCCTGGGGTAGTTGTGTGACCATGGAAAGGCTTAATCTACTGTATCTTCAGTTGTTGGCTCTGTGGAGGTGGACCATTGTCATCATGCAAGTAAAATCCCCCTTCAACAACATTTGACTGGATTGAAACTGAGACTGAATCGTGACCATCATTATGACAGATACACCCTTGATAGCTTTGTGTCGATGACTTATAAATGAGGCAATGGAGCGTAGTTACCATTGTGATTATACATAAAACAAATTATTCAGTCTTGCATAAAAAAAATGTTAGGTTATTTGGAGGAATATGGCATGTAAAAAACTCAACAAACCATCTTCCAAAGCCGCTTACAAAAGGGTGCCCCGCCTACCCAACACAATCATCACCATAGCAACAGCCATAACAACGGCATTGACGCTTACCCATTGTCCTTGGTCTTCTTTAATAGGTTAATATTTTCTGCATCATCTGTGAAAATTTCAATGTGATTGAATGAAGTATGAAAAAATGAGAGCAGTTGGTTACTTACTTTCTGATCAGGCCTCGTACCATGGTAAAATGTGGTAAAATGTCATGAATTTTTTTCCATTCTGGAACTATCTCAGGAGGTTTCAAATTACAATTACAGTTTCAGTTCAGTCAGTCTCTATATACTAGTTGAATACCTTGGTCAAAATATGCCTATTTTCCTTGATTTTATCATTCTGAAGTGGGTGCAAATAGATTCTCAGGTGGGTGCAAGCCTATTATTAAAATCTTAATTGGGTGAAGTGCCTGAACTTGCTTTAATGCTTGGGGATCACTGCAGTTGATCAACGAAGCAGAGGCAGGCAATTTTGATGCTGTCGAGCTACCTCATATGGAATATCATTAGGACATATATAGAATCATATATTTGTCTTTGGATTTCTTTAAATTCCAGTGTTCAAGTATAATAACCTCTAAAAGTGGAAAATATTTGACAGAACCAAGGATATCCACTAACACAGGTTTTACTGTATCATATTCATCATTTCAGTTGATTTTATGGTGTTTGTTGATCATTATACCCACTCAGACGTTGTGTACAAACAATAACTGGAAACACGTTTGTGTCACAATTATAATATCAGTTGAATGATTTATAAGTAACCAGGGATGAAGCCAGTATTTGAAGTGGGTAAACACGGATACAGTTTTTTAAATTCAATGGAAATTAGAAGTATTTTTGTGTAAACGTCTCTAAATGGGATTGGCTCCTGTTTGCCTTGCATAATAATATATCATTTAGAGTTACTGAGCTCTTATGTATGATATATAAGGGTTATGTACTGGGAGGTTTTGGATACAGGGTTTATCCCAAGGGAAATATGTGTATCTCACGAGGGACCGCAGGGACCGAGGGAGATACACATATTCCCCGCGGGATAAACCCTGTATCCAAAACCGACCGTACATAACTGGTGTATCTCATACTTGAGTGGGTTTGGGGTAGATATAACCCTTTCCATCTTTTTCAAATTACAAAATAGGCCTATACTGTAAAAGCTCAAGTTATATTTAACATTTTCATAATATTCCTTCAGTTCAATACAATAGAATTGTAACATTTAAACTTTTTGAAAAATTTTAAACTTCTGAAATTTAAATTTTAAAATTTTTTAAACTTGTTTAAACTTTAAAAAAATTCCCGGGAGCGGGATGGATATATTATATCTGCCCGCATTTGGCCTAGAGCGGGACATATACAATATATCCTGCCCGCTCCTCAGATATGATATATATTCCCGGGTGATATCTACCCCAAACCCACTCAAGTATGAAATACACTGGTGTATATTGCATTGTTTCTATTAATTGTTAATTCTTGTTTTAGAGTGTATTGACATTTCATTGTATATTGAGGAGAGTTTCCTGATCCTTGTTGTATGATTGAAATATTTGATGCTACTGTCATGGCTAACAACTGAATTGTGGAGCATTATCCTTAAAGGCCCCATGTAAAGTTTGAAAAAGTTTGTAAAAGTTAAAGTTTGTAAAGTTTGTTTTTATCATTCATTTACTATTTCTCATGCTATATTGTCAATTTTCTAAAACTGCTTACATAGCCAATCATCCAAGCTACTCAAATATAAGTTGCCATTCTTACAACCTAGGATCACAGGGCTTCAAAATCCAGAATATATTCTTTCTTTTTACTCCCTGCGATAAGCAGTTAGAATTTTCCCGATTAAGAACTCGCAACCTGATTGGATGTTGCAACACAGCGACAGAAGTCATTGTGCATAATAAGATCACGTGATTCAGTTTGATCGGGCGCTTATAAATTGGTTATAGCAGGGGGAAGAAGGAGGTAGGGATACTGGACACCTGCTTAGGAGGATGCCATTCTTAATAATATTGTATGTGTACCCTCTGTAATGAAAAAAGGTGCATTGTGCTTTATCAGTCATATCTTTTTTATTTTTCTGTATTATCATACAAAACCCATGATTCGAAAAACGTTTAGTTGAATTTTGCTAATAAAATCATTCCAAGAGGTTCAAACTGAAACTAATAACACTAAATTCCATGGATAAGTTTACCTCATAAAATTACATTAGTTAACCTCATTAAATTGCATTAAGATAAGTCAAACATACCTCATAAAATTGCACTAAAATAGGTTTAGTTGTCCTCTGCAGTTGTTGTTTGTAGCGTAACTCTAAAAGTTTCCTGCACTCACAACAGGTTCTCATGTGCTGTTCCCCCTCTGGGCTAATCATTGAGTTCAGACTAGTGTTGCTACCGGATCTCTTGAAGCCCATGCCCATCTCATTTTCAGGCACATAGGCTGGATTGGTTAATGTTTCTGAAATACCATTTACAAATTTTGAGAAAAAAGAAGGATGTTCTGTTTTCAGGAAAAGCTTTCAAGATTATTAAGATACAAAATAAATGCATGAAAATATAATATATAAATCCATATGATGTTTTTCATGTGCTGTCTGAATTCAGGATTATTTTGGTCACCCCCATTTTAGATTTATCAAAAAATTTCCATTTTAGAGATATAGAGCTGATTTCTCCTTTCATATTAAAAAAATTTATGATACTTACGTGCGAGTTCGAAAGGTAGAAACTGGGAGCATTTATTGCACATAATTCCACCACAAAGTCTACAATGATGTCTCCGAACCATAAGACCAAATTTCTTTCCACATGTGATACAAAATGCAACATCTTTGTCTGGTGCCCATTGTACGATACTCTTCTCATAGGCTGAAAAGAATGATTGGTACAAAATGCAACATCTTTTCTTTGTCGATGTCAGGTGCCAATTGGACGATACTCTTTTCATAGGCTGAATAGAATGATGTCAAACTGATTTCTGATCTACATGTACAAGACTGTGTTTTTGCTTCAAGACTGTGATCCCCCCCCGCCTATGTACAATGTACTTCAACTACACCACCAGCACAATAGAAGTAGATCACGGGGAGGGATCCAGGATCTTATAAGCAAGACTAACAAGACTGCATCTTGATAGCATCTTGTCTCATATACTGGTAATATCTCTGGAGTATACAAGATATTATTTTTACACAGTGAACACTAATTTTATTGAAAATGTTTGAAAATGATTGATATAAAATGTTGGTAATCTTCTAAGTATTGTAAATTTAACTATCCAATGATAACATGTATTGCGTGTCAGATTAACAACCAATTACTTTTGATATTATAGAGATCCATGTGATATTTTCCAAAAATTGTTCTAATGATATCAACAAAGTACAAAGCACACAATACAACAAAGCATCTCAGTTGCATAAATTAAATTAAATTTGAAACCTTTTCTTTTCCCTGCATCTTGGGGACAATCTGGGCCTATAAGTTTATCCAATCGTATGAGGAGTTTGTTTGTTTCTACTACAAATCGGTCAATTCTGGCATCCCGGATTCTCTTCATGTAATCTGTGTGAGACCTAGTGATACCTGGAAAACGTAATTATTTTGTATGTATCAAACAGAGAAACACAATGGATGACACAAAGAATAACAAGGCATTAACATGCAAAATGTCACTACCTGCCATTTGTCACAGACACCAAATACGGCCACACAAAAAATGGAGACCATAACAATAAGTTACAAATTGTAGTTGTGACATAAAAACATACAATAAACTCAAAAATATGATCTACAAATATTCAAGAATTATATAATATTATAACTAAATTCAATTTTGTACCTGTTATGCTACTGATCAACTTACCTAATTCCTGTGGTTCCCACATAGAAGGATCTATTCCAGATATTGCCCCAGTGCCCCCAAGAGTTGTGCTGCTGCCACCAGGTGGCTCTAAGCTGGATGGCCCAGACCCAGTGGGGTCAGCATTGTACAATATTGATTCCTCCGACTCCTGTTTATTCAAGATCTTCTTTTTAGCCTTAGCGAAAAGACCTAAAAACATGTAGAGTATAATTATAATATTTTTGAGGAAAACGTGGTTCAATAAAGTAACATTATGTCTATGTATACAAACATGTGATATTCCATATATATTGCCATGTGATATTTGATATATTCCTAACACTTTTTTCTGTTTTGTATTGCATTGTTTTGTATGCAATCAGATGAGGGGATTTTGAGACACCCTGTGAAATTTCCAACTGCTAACTCACCTTTCAGTTGCTCAACAACCTTCTTATCTTCATTGGAATGGGCAACTTCAAAATGATCTTGTAACTGTACAACTGTCCCCAGGTCCTGCATACACATGGGGCATAGAAACCCCTCCCTAACTTCCCCCATAGTGATGGTGGTTCAGACGTCTAGCATAATATATGTGCCTGAAAAGATGAAACACAACACCTACAGTGAAACATGAGTTTGTGGACAGCACAAAATGTCAAACCTAATATGTCTGACATTTTGAACATTCTATTGACCTGAGCACACAACATTTTAAATGTGAACATTTCCCAATGGTCTTGATGTACAAGTAGATAGATATAGATATAAACCTGGTTTAACTGTTAGGGTAAAAAACAAACTGGAATCTGTTTCTGGTTTTTTTGTTAACCAGGTTTTACTGTAACATCTGTAATTATTGCATTAGCTATATTGATCTTCTCATAGAGGTACCATTGAGGTCTTATCTAATTAATTATTGAATCAGCCATAATAGGGATTAGTGATCCCCTGGAACCCCTCATTACATGTAGTAGCACATGCACATATTACAACAGACCAGATGCACATATTCAGACCTTGTATATAACTACATGTACATGTACCTAGGGATGTCACAGTTTCCCGATATTGTCCCATCCCTCGGGACTTTGGTCTTGGGCGGGAGGGGACGGGACAACCCCCTTGTTCCAAAGATTTCGGTGCATGTTCAGGATATACTATTTCTCCTGGTATACGACCCTAAAACTTCCCAAATGCATGATAATGTTGTAAAAATGTTCTTTCATTTTTACAACTTGTCAACTTAAAAAATCCAATGGAGAACACCCCACAGTCTACAGTGGTCAATTTTACACTTTGAAGATTTTAGGCTAGTGTTTAGAATTGATTTAGTTCAGAAATATGTGCATAATAGAGCCATTTTTTCGACTTGAAATCTAGCATAAGTTCTATTGAATGTTCCCAAGACCAGATTGGATTTGGACAAGATAATCGCCAGATTGGAATTGGACAAGATAATCTTCAACCTATCCGCACACCCTCCACTGTGTCATTCGTCTGAAATAAATTCACACCGAATATTATATTCGGTCTGTTGGATACATACATGTACTTCCGCACACCCACCCCCCCCCCACCCACCCAGCAGCACAAGATGACGAACACTTTTACTTTTAGTGTGATAAAAGCAAAAACCTTCTATAAATCACTGTTTGGACTAAGAATTATGTATTGAATTCCTAGAGTCTCTAAGATAGGAAGCGCCTGACTGAGCTGAATTGCAATCAGAATCACTGCTCAGACTGAAAATTTCGGGCACAGCTCCTGCCCCTGTTTTTGGGGAGGGGCAGATCAGATTGATATAGAAGTTAATAAGCCTACTTGTAGAGAAACTGAGCATACCGATTGATGAATTTGCATTTATATCAATGTATGAATACTTACAGCAACGCTCTGTACAGCAACTCTTTATGAAATTATCAGCCAGACATCTCAAAAATATTTGGGAGCCATTTTAGTGGGCTAGAGTCTAATGCGCACAAATACTGAACGAAAAATAAGACGGTCACTAAAATATGATAAGAGTTTGTGTTTAAATATATTCATGTGACAAGTCAAAGTTTATTTATAAGTCTTATTATAAGGTTCCTTTAATATGATTTTTGATGTCAGAATACATCGTAATATCGAATCAATATCCTATACATTGTATGTCTCTTTTGTCACAAACCCGAACACATCTTCCGGTAAACGTTCGTGTTAAAAATGCATTAGAAAAAATTCTGAACTTTTTAGATTTTCGATTGTTTTACCAATTTTAGCATCATATGAACTCATATTAGAACTGAATATGGGTGGAAGTTCAAGCACCACACGTAAGGTCACTGTTGAAGAAAGTGAAGGAAATGGAGTAGTGAAGGTAAATGTTTGAAATTGATAATAATTTTTTTTGATTTTTTCACAAAAATTCTGAGGTGAACTTGGTCATGTAGCCTGATAAATGTAGCGATTTAGTCTAAAATAAAAATGTATACTATTTTGAATGGTATGTATTGATACATCATAATGAAATGATGTCGTGGGGATATTGACACCTGCAATGATATACGTGTACCAGAAAATTATTGTCTACAGTGGGGGGCATAAAGAATTACAAAACCTATGGAAATTACATGTTGTCGCATATGTAATAAATTCTTACCTCAGTGTATTCAGTGCTCTATTTTCTCCGTCATAGTAAGTCCAGATATAGTGGAATTTGTGTCCATAATGACAAATAAGAACTTAAAAATTTGATGTGGAATTCACATGTTAATGCCGACTCTTCAAATGTTGAGGTGATTTTGGAGCCAGATTACGCCGCAATGTGGGTTGGCTCCCAGAATGCAACATGACACGTGTCAGCTTTCAAAATGCCATTCCGCCGTTTTGAAATACGTCACGAATAAATAAGGTTACTTGATGTTGCATTCTGGGAGTCAATCCTCCTTGGATCACAAACATGGCGATTCATGAAAACATTAGTCCGATTTGGTAGGGATTTATCCATCATGAGGCTTTGGATTCATTTATTGTGCTACTTAAAGTGGATGGGAATTATTTTTCTACCACTTGGGAGAGTTTGAGACATGAAACTTAGAATTTAGCTCATTGTGACAACTTTTGAGGGTTGAGATTTATTTTTGTCCCCCACTTTATGTCTACAGTATGTCGATAATCTGCAAAAGGCTAATAAGCCCATATAAAGCAGATATATAATTTAACAGTGATAGAATTTTAATAGAATATAATTTAAAACCTTAACATTTAAAAATAGATCTATGGTTTGCAACTCATTAAAATTAAAAGGAACTTTCCTGGTTGTCCCCTGTACCCCCCCCCCCTCCCCTAGACTATATCCTATTTAGTCTGAATTATATTCAGACTATAACTTATAAGGCACCTATGTTAAAGTTTGGTAATTCCAAATATTTGTTTACACAGGAAGTGCTATTCAAAATGGCCGATTGGGTAAAATTAATTTGCAAATTTTTACTTCAACTAGCTTTATTTCCACTAGACAATATGCTGTGTTACTTTTTATTGCATTTAATTGTACCTTACTATTTAATTGAAATTTTGTAATGTTTATTTTATTGAAAATTTATTTCCTCCAATTGATAATTTTGTGCAAAAAATTTCACTGCAATTTCCACAGGAAAGTAGTACATCATAACAGACTGACTTCTAGTCAGTCTGTTGGATACATACTACCCCCTCCCCCCCCCCCCCCCCCCCCCCCTAGGAAGTCCCTTTATGTTGAAATACCCTGAGGTGACTGTCAGGCTACCGCGTTGACATCACCCCTCTTTACCAGTAGTGCAGGCTTGTTGCTGTGCAATTGGGACCTTTTACATTAAAACATAGATCTATATTAAAAACACACCTATTTAATTGCAGTTATTGACATAGGCATAGTATGGTGATTTAAAACTACTTAGACTGTCACAGTCTAAGATGTCACCAGGTAGAGTGTTCCATTTAGCTATTGTCCTAGGGAAATAGCTAAATTTGTATGCATCCGTTCTAGTTGATGGTTGTATGAACTTAGAAGGATGATACAGCCTAGTGTTGGTATTGATCTGTTGGCGGAAGTATGGAGGCATGTCGATGGCTGCTAGGTTTTGCTTTCCTTTGTAGAAAAGGAAAACTCTAGCAGCCTCTCGACGCTCCTTCAGTGGCTCCCACTGTAGGTCTTGAAGAGCTTTGGTGACGCAGCCTGGTTCCCTTGAATGGCATTTGGTTACAAACCTGGCTGCTCTTCTCTGTACCTGTTCCAACATATCAATATCTTTTTGTCGGTATGGATCCCATGCCGAACTGGCATACTCTAAATTAGGCCAGACAAGTGACTTATACGCCTGAGCCTTCACTTTTTCAGGGCATTGATGGAGGTTGCGCCTGAGAAATCCAAGCACCTTATTGGCTTTGGATACAATAGTTTGAATATGTGTAGTCCAGCGTAAGTTGTTTGTGATGTCAATACCTAGGTATGGGATGTGAGTTACCGACTTAAGGTTTTCCCCTAGCATGGTGTAATTGTGAATGATAGGGGATTTACCTTTGTAAATATTAAGCACATAGCATTTTGATGGATGGAATTTCATTTGCCATGTTGATGCCAAGGAGACCTGAGTTTATCTAGACTCTCCTGTAGAATTCATCAAATTCCTGATAGTAATGTAATGACCTTCGATAGAAAGTCACTACTACAGTCTCGGCTATAGAGGCTAGCCCCTTTGGCCGAATCAGTAGAGTGTCTGCCTCAAGAGCGGAAGGTCCTGGGTTGGATTCCCATACTGGGCATTGATTTTAGCCTTTTCATAATCTAAATTCTCCCATTGCTAGATCTTCCAAGCCAAGAGGAACCAAACCATGGGAAAGTGCTGATGGCTAGAGTAGCATTTGCCCTGATAATTAAGGACTTTGAATTTGTCCTTATTAGTTTTGGCATTTTTTCAATTTAGCCCCTCTTAAACCTCAAATTAAAAAAGTAAAAGGTTTTGGGCCGATATAAAGGTAGCAGCAGTGGTAGAAAATCTATTATAACCTCCCAGCTTGACACAGATTGATTGCCGTGCCTTCTTCATTTAAAAATTGTTTCCATCGCCCCTTTAGCCTAGGCATGTAACATTTCATCATCTAAAATTATTTCATATTGCTTTTAGATATCTGAAGATGTAGTGAGGCGTCTAAAAGGAGAATCTACTGTACCAGGTGTGTAGCAACTTGTAGTATGGAATACTGTATTTAATAATGCTAAGATTTTACTCTGTACATACCTGCTAAATCTCATATTTAAATCTGATTCTGAATTTTCGGCATTTTATATATTTATGTAATATACCGGTACGTATATTGTAACAGACTGTTCAGCAACCTCTTTATTGGTTTCACTTATGAGACTTTTTTACATGTAATATCTGTACCATCAAACTTTGTATTCGCTTCAGTAATTGGTGATAAATCAGAGAGGTTGAGTGGGATAGAGGTTCTCGACAGAAAGAAACATGATAAAGAGATGAAAAACCTTCAGGCATACTATGAGGAAAGGCTTCAATACTTGGAGCAAATGGTGAGAAACGTGCACCAATGGATAACAAACCAAATGTTGCCCATTGTGTTTACATTTTGATGTCTTTTAAAATCCAAGTCTCTGAAATGTTTGAACTAAGCCTGGCTTAAAGCACTGTAGTTTGAATATAATCAATTGAAACAAGTTACAATTTATTTTCTTGAGATTTCCAAAAATTTACCAGAAGAAGTATATTTAAGAAGTTATAAGAAGTAGATTCATAGTTCACATATAAAGCACTGTACACTATTTCCATTTATTTTTTAAAACTTATTGACCAGCTTGGTATACTGATATTAGCTGTGTTTCAATTTCAGAATTCACAGTTATACCAAACCACAACAGATCAGTTTGCCAAAGCAGTGCAGGAGGTGGAACAGAAATTCTTGTAAGTTTATGATATATTTATAAAGGAAACAATAAGACTCATAAAATGTGAATAACCAGGTACCGCGTGGCAGTGATTTGTGATGATCTTTGGCCATGAGTATTTTTTCATGTATACAAGAACTGTGGCTGTATCTATCACATTTGAAATTCTATAAAAATGTCTCAGAAAAATCTGTTGATAGTGTAAATTATGCATCATAATGAATTTAGAAATATCTAGGGCAATAAAGGGTGAAGATCACAGCTATTAGCCCTTTAAATATAGTGAAAAATACTTATAGTGCCACTTTAAAAATTCAGGTCATTATTATTTTTATTTCATGTAATAGGATAGTCTCTAAATAGCAGAAAAATCAATGAAATCTCGTGCTGCCATCTTTTATTCAGCTTTTAACTCGGGCTAGAGCTCCATTCATTTACATGCTAAAATCTTGGAAAAGTGGCTTAATTTCATGATTTATCAAAGTGTGTTTGTTGAATCTGTATAAAACTTGAATGATATACCACATGATGACCCTGTTTATGTACATGATGTGATTAAACTTAAACATGCAAATGTTGATTGACATACAAATAATCCACGGATTTAAAGAATTTTAGCATTGCATCTATGGACATTTGGCCCAAGTTTTTTTTAATTGTTATAGAAAATTATTCAAATTACATAACTGTGTAAATCAAAGCTATTAAAGGAGAAAACATTTCACTGAATTCAAATATGCCATTTAAAAGAAGGTAATGTAAGTCATTAGAGGTTTAATATGCAAGTCTCTTAAAATCTCACGAAAAACGAGATTTAGCGAGATTTCAAAAGCTATATGGAAACTATACTATTGTAGAAAACAGACATCATCTCCGGTGTGCCAGGAGCTGCAGAGTGAAGACATGGATTAGTTGAAATCTCATGCACCTTAACCTCTTGAATCCCATGCTCTAAAATCAGTTTGAAAATTGTTCAAATTGGAGCAATTTTTGTGAAAAATTCAGGTTATTATGTTTGGCAATTTTTTTTTTTCATGTATTGTAGAAAACAGACATCATCTCCAGTGTGCCAGGAACTCCAGAGTGAAGTGGTAGCCTGCTACAATGCCAACCCTAAACAAACCTTGCTATGTTCTGCACAGATCAAGGCTTTCACAGACTGCGTAGACAAATATAGACAGGTTAGAGTGTAATGTTTAGGTTGATCTGTTTAGGTTCTCTTGGTAGTCAAGAGGTTGATGGTTTCAACATTCAGTTCATTGACAGACATCTCATTGTTATCAATAGTGTATCATTTAATTCAACTTGAAGCTTCTATCCAATATCCCAACTGCAATTTCATATATTGTAAAAGGTTCTCTACACAGTAAAGCTATGCTGTTAGCCTGTTATATACTATTGTCCAGTCCACTATATTGATATTATAGGGAGATAAACAACACCTTTCACATTCACATTCTTTTGTTTCAGAATAAATTAACCAGGGGGAATGGAGGTGTATGATAGCAGTTTTATTAGGATTAATTGACAGTCAGGACCATATTCTATATAGCACTAAAGATTTTGAAGGAGTGTTTTACACCTAGCTTATTATATGAACAGTTGAAAATTGTGCCAGTGAACACGATTTATTCAAGTAAATCAGGAATTTAGTATTTGTGGACTTATTAAAGTCATAATGGACTTCTTCGTAAAATGTGATTTTTAGAAGCTAAAGAGGCCATTGGAGCATTTCGTAAAATTAAATCCCATATGCAAGTTACAGTAAAACCTCTACATGTGAATACTTCTGGTAACTGAGTTACTGTGTCATTTATTTTAGACAAGCTTCATGCAATGCGTTGATAAAAACATACATTGAATGCTATTCTTATTTTGTGTGCCACATATAGAGGTTATTTACTTCAAATAACACGAAAATCTAGGGATTTCTAAAAATAGGAAGTGTATTCATAATATTGCATGATATAAAATGCTTAAAACATTTAAATGAATTAGTAATGACTATTGCAATACATACAAGAATTGTCATAAATGCCATAGAAGAGACTAGAGACAGGTGTGACCTGGCTTTGGTTTATAACTATTATTTGTGAAATAAAAGTTTTGAAATTGTAGTTTTATATTCTTGGGTTAAATTAGTGTACTTTGGCTTATATTATAGTCCTTTCCAATGTTATCAAAATCTGTTATGAAACTTTTCAATTTAATTTCAAAAAGTTATTTTCATCCTAGATAGACCTAAGATATTGCTTTATTTTGAAGGTTTAGCATATTTAGAAAATATTTGTAAGGGCAAAAAATTGACATTTTTGTAAAACTATTTAGCTACCTGAGTGACATCACAGCATATCATCGTGACATCACAAATTTTTAAAAATGCTTTAAAAGTTTATATATGCATTAAATCAAAGATTGAATGGTTGAAATAAAATGAATTTTGCCTGATCTATTCAAATGAGTAAAAACATAATTATTTCTGTTTAAAAGTGTTAAATGCTGTATTTGGTGATCTAAAAAATCTAAATGTTTTGTTTGTGAAATCGCGGGAAATTCAAATATTTGAAAATTATTAGATGAACAACTTTTTTTTCAAAGGTCACATTTTCAAAGAAATAATTACTTTCCAGTTTTACTTGAATGGTTAAACTATATTCCAACTTCATACAGGGCCTTTAACAATAGAGGACGTGCTGTATAGATGGGTAAATAGGAAGCATCAGCTGGGTTTGTATACCATTCTTTTATATGGGATAACTAAGAAATCATTTTGTCTTAAAAACATTTCTTGGTGGAATGATAAAACCCACTGCCAAGCAACCAGATGAAATGCTGATTGAGATTAAACCTTACAGTTGTAATCCGTAAGAGTTAAAGGCCTTGTACAAGTTTGGAAACATTTTCACCATTCAAATATTAATTTTCATAAATTGAAAAAGTATTTGAGACATTTTCAAAATAATTTAATTTCCCACGATGTAGAAACAAAAGGTTAGAAGTTTGAATCATCAAATACAACTAACCACTGTAAAACAGATTATTTTATCTACTCTATTGAATATATCAGACAAAAGTTATATTGTTTCAACCATTCAATTGAGCTCCCTTTACCACATGACAGCTGACTAAACTAGCATTTTTGTGAAATAAATTAGATTAACAATGATGCTGATTACAATGACGAATAAAATGTACCATAATCAAATTTATACCTGAATTAGAACAATACATTGAGGAAAATATTTGCCAAAAAAGAAATTTTGTAATGATGAGGCCCAAATGTCATTTTGACTTTTTCTCAAGTTATTATCATATTTTAGGAGAAAATAATCGGGAAGATGCTGCTGATATAAAAATAAGACAAAAAAGAACACATTCATTTACAATTCGTAACCATGATTTATTAATACATGAATACATTTATCTATCAATACACATCCGTTTATTCTTAACACACTCATTACTTATTACACATACTGTACAAAGCAACTAAAATAATATTTGAAATTATAATATAACCGTTCCAGAATATGCAATACAGTATTTAATACTTGTACTCGTAAATATATCAATAGTAACAGAAAAAGCTGTTCTAGTTCTAATTTCTAGTGTACCAAGGGTCTGGTTACATAATATTGGTTCCATTTCACAAAGGAATGCAGCATCATACTAGAATTTATATGAGGCATGAAACCCAAGGTCCTTTGTTCTGTAAAGGCGACTGATACAATACGGATTGATGCATGGAAGCAACACCAGGGATCAAAATCTTCCAGACTACCACAGCATATACATGTGTAGTTGAAATATTGTAAAATAAGAAATTTCTTATAAGACAGTCACATAATGTTGTGAAAATGCATAATACAGGAAAACTCAAATCAGCTGGGTAAATTGTGAAGTGATTGATGGATAAAATAGCCACAAATGTAACTTAAACTATCTAAGACTAAAGTGAATTATACCAAAAAAAACAGTTTCAATTATGTGCTAACTCAGACAATATCACTGATAAGAGTTAATTAATTTAACATTGATGATGTAACAAATTACATTATTGAAGCACGATATGCAATTCACAGTGAGGGGTATCCTAAAGAGGTGAGGTTGAAAACAGATGTACAAAATGAGATCAACTACTTAACCACAACTAAACTCTTCAATAAAGGATAATTCTTTGATCTAGATCATCTAGCCTATACTATTTGAATTGCCTTTATGCCAATGCTATATGTGGTCAGAAATGTACAAATGTATTTAATATGTAAAGTGAAACCTGTGAAGTGGAACACCTCTTGAAGTGGAACACTTTTCAGAGTCCCAAGACCAATTGACTTAATGTAAAATGAACCCCTTCAAGTGGAACACCTCACAAGTGGAACACTTTTTGGGGGTACCAAAGGTGTTCCAATTAGACAGGTTTTACAGTAATTACATTTCATTTTCTGCTTACAAGAAGCTTACATTCATTTCAGTAAAATTGTCAGTTGTTATGTCATAGAGTAGTGTTGATAGCTGATGCATACAAAGGGTAGTTACAATACTAGGTAAATGTAGAGTACGACAATTTTGAATATCTGATAACAAACAAATGTGAATGTTGATGAACAAAAAAATATGAACTACAAAATTCTCAGAGCTAGCTACTTGCAATCTATCTAGATGTATATACTACATCAACTATTCAAACAAATCAGTCATCTCACTGAACAGTATCTAGTATAAGTAATGTATCACTGAGATACACTGAAACCTGCCAAATATGAACACTTAAATGTGATTGTGTACACACTGTACAATAGGAACAATTCAACCTGCTAATCTATGAAAATGAAGTTGTATTCAATAGACAACTCTCTCGAAAATAATGTTCTCACTTCTAGATGGAATTGATCAGAGACTTCCACAGTACAGAAATCTAAGTGTAGAGCTCAGATAAAAATTTGAAAATGTCTGTACCGATAAAATCAGTTTGCAGATTCAAGAATGTGGAATATCATGAAAATTGGATAATTTGACCAGTTTGGGGTATTTCTTAGTCACAATAACATGAGAATTATCTACCATTATAAATATTTTTTGGAAAAAAATTGAGGTGAACATTAATGATATGTGCACACGTCGACAGGTTTAAGTGTACATAAAGTTTAACTGTATTAACTTGAATTCAGTCCTACAATACAATGATTATGATGTTGAAACTATGAGTAACTAACTAACTAACAAACAACTATATACATTTGCTCCATGTATCAGAATATTCATGGCACTTCTGTACAATTTTAAATTTCCTGATAGCCGCAAGATCAGTGAAATGTTTATGAGCCTGGCCATAGGAAAACCGGTCACAAAAATTAAAATTGTGCTACAGAGCCAAAAGTGTGCCCAAGATTAGGAGGAAAATGTGCTCAATTTAAAGCCGACTTTTTGGTCTATATATGCAAGGAAAAATGTTAACACACATGCCATGGCTCATTTGAAACGTCTCTTTGTGCTTTTTAAGAAAACAAAAGATCAGAATATTGAAAAAACTGTGATAAGACCCCTTTTCCTGTGGCCGGGCTCATATTTTGATATCATTATCTATAACATCTATTTAGAGTACATGTAAGTTGCGTTATTTCTTGTCCTAGGCTATATCCTAGTATGAAGTAAGTACAAACTAACTTCTATATTGAGAGAAAATACCCAAAGAATCAGATTATGCACATGCATTTGGACTTTGGAGCACCTCATTTGAAATTCAGGAAAACATCGAGTGGTGCAACTCTTCATTGTTTACTATGCATATGAAGATATGAAAGACCTGTCAAAAGTGAATGCTGTTTATACCATGTTATTAAAGGGTTCACTTTGAAGGTTGTGATAACACGGGATACATGAGTCAATGGAGTTGAGTGTCAACAACATGGAGCTGATAAAGTGTTCCATTTTAACTTAAGGCCTAACGGGATTCTGAGTATAATGCATCTTTAAATTCAAGGCATTTGTGTGACTGCTCTCATGTAAATCTCACTGAAATACAAAAGCTTTCTTGAATTAACTAGAGCATTCTACTAAGAATCTACTTCAAGTACATTTTACAAAACATTTTGCCATAAATACAGACAAAATCTTCATTTTCTATACACATTTCATTGTCAGGCCTCAAATGAAATTCACACGAGATTGACAGGTACAATCATTGGACGTCCATTTCTGTCCTTCACCATTACCATCTGTGGTTGATTGGCACTCTGCTCTTCAACATATTGTACCTGTTGAGGTGCGTTAGCTTGATCATGTTCAATATGTGTCTCTACCTCTTCCTCTTGAGTCTCAACTTGTTCTATATGAGGTTCCTCCACTGTGGCTTCTTGCTGTTCAGAGTCGGCCTGTATGACCCAAATCTGAGTCCCATCATTAGATTCAACAACAACATCCTGTTCCTGTTGCGTCACAAAACATCGGTCTTCTTGTTGTACGTAGCTATGGTCATCCTGCTGAACTTGGACATAGCTCGTCAATAAAGGAGCATTAAGTGGGACTTCTTCCGTTTCAACTACTTCACACACAACATTTTCGTCAAATACAACATTATTTGTGTCCACAATATTATTATCCATTTCACTGTTATTTACTTCATTGTCAGATGTCTCATTATGATCCAAAACATTTGTTACAATTGAATTCTGAGCAAGGCTTTTGATGTAATCGGAACCTTCTCCAAAAGAAATGTCTGAGTTATCTTGATGTTCAAAGCTCTTACGCTGAGCTCTGCGTGATGCCTTCAACATCTGCTTCACTTGGCACTGACGCATATGCTTTGTTAAATGGTACTGCTTCACAAAGCCAGCTTTACAGAACTTACAAATATAGTCTGCATTCTCAACATGAACGTTCATGTGGAAATTTAGCGAACTTCTCGAATAACATACCTCATCACAATGCGAGCAAGGGAAGATTTTGTTTGTATTGTAAGCTGGTTTTTCACTTTCAGCTTTGATGTCCATGTTCATTTTGAATTGTTTAATTTGCTGTTTTTTGATGATGCGTGTTTTCTTGTGCTGTTTTGCATGCTCCTTTAGGGTATGTCTGTCTTCAAAGACTTGTGCACATACAGAGCAGCAGTATGGCTGCTGGAGACCATGTGTATCGGCCAAGTGATTCTGAAAGGACAGTTCATTTCGGAACTTCTGCTGGCATTTCTTACACTTGATGAGTCCATCTGATCTATTCCCTTTTATGTTACAATCCTCTAAAGTAGCAAGTGTTACATTGAAGGCCATTTTAGGCGGAGTAGCTTGGTTCCCATCAGTCATTTGGTCTTCTGTATCATCTAAATCATTTCCTGAAGCAGCAACATCTTCATCAGACACATCAGAATCAGTTTCCAAATCACCATTATCTTTAAGTTTAACCCCTTTCACATAACAGTTTGCTTTTTTGCTAGATTCACGATCCTTAATTAATTCTGACTTCCAATCTTCGATCTTATGATAACGTATCATGTGCCTCTTTAAGTGGGCTTTCCTATTAAAATGCCTGTTGCACAAACCACAGGCATGCTCCTTAATACCTTCATGAACCTCGAGGTGCATTCTTAGGTTGCTTGCTCCAGCAAACTTTTTGGGACAATGAGGGCAGCTATAAGGTTTAACACCTGTGTGTGTTCTCAAGTGACGCTGTAGATTGCATTTGGTACTGAAAGTATGAGCACAGAAAGAGCACACAAATTCCTTATCATGAGTTTTGAAATGAGCTGAGAGGGCAACACTGTTGGAAAACACCTTTTCGCAGTCCTCCTTGGTGCATTTATATTTTGGGTTGACTGCATGTACATTCTTCAAATGCTCCTTCAGAGTTTTCTCTTTGTAGAAAACCTTGTCACATTTCTTACAAGGGTAGAGATCATCATCAATACCATGCGTACATGTTAAATGTTTGTTATAAGCTGACTGCTGGGTAAACTCTTGTTGACAAATTTCGCATACTATAGCATTAGGAACATCCATTCTTGATGTACTGATACGAAGCTGAAAAATAATAAAAACAGGTATTTATGTATTGTCATCATTAATTTGAATAAGAACATAGCAACCCATAAACTTATCTTGTTCCAAGCCCATCCTCTACGTTTCTGGTCTTGAGGGGGATGCATTGAAGCAGATATTACTTTTCAAATGTTGAAATTTAACGGTGCTAGGGACAAATATATTTCTTACCTCAATTGACTCTTAATACCAAAAGAAACGTTATTCCAAAGCAAGAAAAGACGCAGCTGTCTCAAATTGCAGAGATATACACTTCAAAGTTTGGAACGGCAAGTATTTTCAAAATGTCCTCCATAACTTCGGAAATCATTTCCGAGTGTATTACGGAAATTACCGAACTAAGCTGGTTTCTTTGGTACACAATGGCGGCATATCCGGTAAGTTTGATTTTTCAAATTTCGTTGATCTTATCATCAATTACTGTTGATTCCACTCATTCTGGGTCCCAAAATTATCATTAAAAGCAACCAGCAGTTGATTTGAAATTTCAAACTTACAGGAAATGCAGCCATTGTGTACCGGATGTACTTTCACTTTGGTAATGTTCGTAACGCGTTCAGGAATAGTTTCCAATGATGTGGAGGACATTTTGAATTACTGAGTCGATTTAAAATTTGAAGTGCATATTATTGCAATTTGAAGCAGCCGCGTCTTTCATGCCTTTAAAAGAATGTTTCTTGTGGTGTTGAGAATTGATAGAGGTAAGCAATATATGCGTAGATAGAGCCGTTAAATTACTACTTTTGAAAAACAACATGCGCTTCAAAACATCCCCGCAAGACTAGAACGTAGAGATAGTCATGGAACGAGATAACCATAAACCACATACATTCATGATACAAAAGTCAAGGCCTCGCTTGTTAGTCTAACAATCATAGTTCCCGGGGCCTATGCTAACAATTATAGACTAAATGTCTAAGTCTAAACTAGAATACATGTAAGGTTTAGTGATCTCTACATCGTATTCTAATAAATCGAAATAATCTTTTAATAAGAACGAAAAAATATCCCTTCCCGCCAGTAGTATATCCTGCTTTTTGGCACCATTTCAGCATTTGTTTGAATTTTTTGAAAAAAAGTAAAAAATCATAAATTTATTTTGAAAATTTCACGTTTCATAGGAATATTGCATTGTTGAAAACGCATTATTACAATTGAATATATACTAAATAACAATATGTAACGTAAAATAAATAAATTACCTTCGTATTATCGTCAAAATAGTTCAATTTATTAGCAAATTAATTCAAAAAATGAATCCACCATTTTAGGATTTTCCCATATTTCAGGTCACGTGATTTAGTCACGTGTCTACAAGGGAATTCCAAATGAAGATATAATACTCACGAAATATTAGAAATCCTCCAGTAGTCTAGTGATTAAAAAATTAGATTAACAATGTGCCAATAATACATCTCACTCATATTTTTACATTTGCATGTTATGATTTACAACTGACTTGTGTTTTTGTATTTAGTTGCTATTTAGTCAAGTTTTAGTTCAGTTTCAAAGGCAGAATCAGATATAACATAACGTGACATACATGTAATTGCAAGATCTACCAATGTAAGCTTATTCCTTACAAGCTCAAATATAATATCTCCCAAAAAATCCGTGATATGTTATCAATTGGTGAAGTTATCTAAGATTCAAAACTTGCAAAAATGGGGAGAATATTTAAATTCTCCCAAATAATAGGAATGGTAACCAGTACTGTCTATAGACAAATGATTGCATTATTGTAAAATTTAGTTTTCCTCAAATAAACTATATACTTTTTAGAAAATAGACATGACAAGGAACGATATGAGTCCAAAGTATTCTAAATTGAAACAATTTTCGTCAAGATGAAGCTTATTTCAGAAAATAATTAACAAATTCAGTTACATATTTTTGATCGCAAATCTAAAAATGGACGTTTTGGGTTTTCATTTTCTCGCAAATGGACGGGTCTTTTTTGTCAAATTTTGAAACGATGGGACCAAATTCAAGTTTCCAAAGCGAGGCCAAAAAATCACAGAATGGCCACGGGGATGGATTTTGCGAAAACAACAGGGGTAACAGGAATAGTTGCGTAGCTACATGTAGGCCTACGCAAATTACGCACATGCGTAGTCTCGAATTTTTAGAGAAAACTGACGCGTGGTTCAATATTAATCATGATAAGACCATGGGCTTTCAACTAGAGTTGAAAGCCCATGATAAGACCGATAGATGAAAACGATAAAGAAATACCGGTATAATGAATGAAGGTTTTTAATTTTTCATATAAATATGATTTCAAAAATGATACATTGATTTCTGTTTTTAGGGCCCTAATGTAAGAAATCTCCAATAGAATTATTTAGAAATGTAAGAAAACAGTTACATCATGTTAAGACTACAGATGAGATAACTGGGATGTGAACGATGAAATCTGAAGTCCGCACCACGACCATCTGGCACATATTAGAATATTCCTTGAGTAACATATGTCATTCCATGTCTCAAATATGAAGAAATTGATAACTCTTTGAGCGTACTCTAAGTCAATGAAAACATTCACCTCAGACTGGATATGTAAACTCATATATTTCATTTTATTTCGTATTAAAGTGGGGTTCGTCAACTTTCTTAAATTGTACAATAGAACAATCAGAGATAGTGTTAGTAGTGTTTTGTGATTAGATTTTGGACATAACAACCGTCGATTGTGCGACATATGGTCCTCGAAGATACCAAATAATATAAGGATGACCGTTTTCAATTAGTGATAAAGAACATATTATGTAATTATTTATTAATTAATAAACCAGATGCTTGGGTTCTATTGGGTCACACCGAGTTTAAAATTTACTTGTAAATATTTTGGGAATCATAATTAATTCGGATACACACGTAATCGAATGTAAGACGACTCAAAGAGATATGATAATCTAGTTCAGGATTAAAAAGCCAAAGTATCAAACCATGACCAAGACGATGCAATGATAAGGTGAAGAAAAACCACCGACAAAATCACAAGACGATCAAGGGATGTATTTCATTTTGGATTTAACACTAGGATGATCACAAAATATGCCATACTATGTGCGTATGGCCTAAGTATCATCATTCAGTTCGCTGCCTGTGGGTATGTTAGCGGTTATCACGACGGGTATAGGGGGTTCTCCCGTCGACGCAATAATGGCCTACCGGTATGCGGGCTGAGCGACTGCAAATATGGAACGTGGGGAGCTTGGACACCGTGCAGAAATGGCAACGAATATCGCTTCAGAGAAAGCATTTTAAGAAGAAACTGTATTGGGAAGTGCCTTGGAGCTACTATCGCATCCCGAAGTTGCAATGGGGCACAACAAATTCAAGTACCCAGAGTGTCCAAATATTCAGGTTTGTTGTATTTAATTTAAATATATTCCCAGCCTTAGATAATTTCGTTTAAAATGCATGTCATAAGCTTGTTTTATTCATGATTTACATCAGGTTAAAAGGCCCCACATGCAGATTTGGTATTTTTTCCAATAGATTTCGCCATGGGCTTTCAACTAGACGAGAAACGTCATTAAATATTCAAAATTCAGTCAAAGTGATGTCATATTTGAAATCTACAGTACATGTATAAGTACACCTAGAAATATTGTTTATCAACTTTGAAATTATTTTTTTTGAAAATGTGACTTCTAGTTCGGGTTGATTCCCAATAGACCCGATGTTATAAAATCACAAAAAGTGATATATCTTTTCTTGGACAGATAACATTTTCTTTTACTGGGCATATTTTAATTTACATAACTATTAGATACATAAGGGTGATATGAAAATTGAACCATTAAAACAAATTTAAGTTTAAGGGGACCTTCTACTATACACGCCATGCTATATGAACCGAAAAAGCCACCTGGTGGTGAAACTGGTAACTACCTACTCGCATCAGCGTTATTGTCCACATTTAAAATCATTAATCTAAAATTTTCGAGTGCTTGAAAGTTTAACACGATATGACAATATTAAGCTAAAAGAACACTAGGTTCTTATATTGTAATATTACAACTGATAATTGATTGTTTGTTTCCATTGATTGTTTCCACCACATTTCTCTTCATATACATTTTTATAATAGGCTAAAAGGGTGATAGAAATAATTTTTAAATAAGGAGGACAGGCCAATCAATCTATGTGAGGAAGTTCAATAGAATCGAACTCCCGTGCAGTCTATACCAAGACACTGCATAGGAGTTCGCAATAGAATTCTACCGCTGCTGCCATCTTTATATAAGCCCAAAACCTATGATTTTTAACCAGAGTTTTGATGAGCAAGTCCTTATACTATCAACGCAAATATGTAACGCAACGTCAGACGCTCAAACATTTTACCAAATATCAGGGTTACAATGTATATACCAGTACTTTCTGAACTTTATGTACCTATAAAGTACAGGTGAAGATGTTTATAAAGACATGTAGCACAAGTTGAAGTTTGTATATTAATGATGAGGAATGGACTACTAATTAAGGGAGATCTAATTGAAATGTACAACACAACTAGGTGCAATCTTTAAAGTAATTAGGGATACATTGTCACACATGTTCTATTGTACACATACATTCGTTGCCATGCCTTGTGTATTTATACAGATGGTATTAATCTCAAAAATCATTAGTACATCATTTTAATACTTTATAACAGAGATATGTAATTGACTAGATGCGAATAGAAACAATCTTGATTTGCGTCATTAAATATTAAAATCCAGTCAAAGTGATGTCATATTTGAAATCTACATGTAAAACTACGTCTAGAAATATGGTTTCGAAAATTGTTTATTAACTTTGAAAATTTAATTTTTTGGGAAAATGTGACTTCTAGCTCGGGTTGATTCCTCATAGACCCCATGTTACAAAATTACAAAAAGTTAAATATCTTTTCTTGTATTGGACATATAACATTTTCTTTTACTGGACATATTTTAATTTGCATAACTATAAGATACATTAGGGTAATATAAAAATTGAACCACTAAAACAGATGTTATTTAAGTTAAAGGGAACTTTCTACTATACCCGCCATGTTATCTGACCCGAACGAGCCACCTGGTGGCGAAACTGGTAACTACCTACTCGCATCTGCGTTATTCACTAATTCACCTAGTTTTAACATTATAACCCATGGCCCTCTATCATTTAAGCTTAGAAGTTTAGAACGTCCTGTAGAACTATTCTCTTGTATTATTCTATATTTTACTGTCGGCCCATAATTACGAATTCTCTTTTTGAAATATTTTAAATATCTGTCATCTATTTGGATGTTTTTTCTTGGTGTTTGGTGGTGGTTTAAAATATTATATCATTTTATATGTATTTTACCCCCAAAATAAATAAATATTTGTTCTCTTTCAGTGACTGACTTCTGCAAAGGGAAAAATAGTGGTCACTATGCGGATCCCTTGGACTGTGCATACTTTATAACATGTATCTTTAAAAAGAGCGTACGACGGAAATGCGCAACTGGAACTGTGTGGAACCAGAAAATACAGGGGTGTGACTACAAGAGCCAAGTACAATGCAACTTAAAACAGCCAAGTAATGTTAAACCTGGTAAGGAACACCTGTTGTCTTAATTGCATAAAGTCTTCGGGTCTGAAATCAATCTACGATGAGAGCGATTTTCATCCTAGACCCCATCGACTGCCTTTTTATATAGGAGTTTAGTAATGGGGTCGGCACACGTTTAGGTCTTAGAACTTCGAACTATGTACTTGTATATGGAAATCCAAGATGGAGGAACTAACCTGTTTCGAGGCTTTGTTTGATAATGCCGTTCAGCAATTCTAAAGATATTATTAGCGGTTTAGCTGTCAAAGTAATCAAAAGAAAACTATGTTATCGAGCTAGCCGTATGATACTTATCATTTTTAAATTTTACCAACACCATTTTGTATATTTCAGTTTTTATTAAGGTATGAGTACCGTAATCCAACACCAAATTCGAAAATTCATAACAATACTTTGCACATATGGCGTTCGTGACCAACTATAAAACGCTTACCCCCCATAGTGTTATATATCAAAATGTACCTGTTCATATAGGGGTTCGATTGATCTACATCAAATTATAGGGAGTCAGGTTACTTTTTGAGATATCAGCGTCCATTTATTGTGACTCGCGTTTGCTACCACTTCCTCAATTCTGATATGATGGGCAAACGCGTAGTAAGCATGCTCACGTCGGAACTATTTTTGACCTACATCGCTATTTTCGTAATTCAAATGAAAGTTGAACTCCTCCTCTTTATTTTGATACCAAATAGTGGCATACTAGGTACCCTAGAAGCCAACTATGGCGTTATTTAGAACAATACCACGAGTTTTTAAATGGACTATATAGGGGTCATACCTTTTGGCGGATGGATATGGAACCTCATACCTTAATGTGTTATGACATCACACTGATTTTTGTCTCTGCAACTTTTTTTGGCAGAAAATATCATTTCTAGTTCAAAAATGCATAAAAACGTCGGAAATGGCTGAATATGTGAAAAATTTATCCATTTAGGCTAGAAAGGGTTAATTTGCCCTACCCCAAATACGTCTAAATATGCTAGTCTAACTTTGCCACTGTGACGTCACAAATCTAACCTGACTATCTCTGAGTTTATTGAAGAAAATGATACGTCTGACAAACAGCTTTCATTCCCTATATGGCACACCTTCTACTAAGAGTTGCATCATTGACTAAATCTAAGACAAAGGCCCTGTGTCCCGAGGATTTTGACTGAAATTTGGCCATTTTCGCCCAAATCTAACTAAATTGCAGTTTCCCTCACACCTGTATTTTGAAATAAATATTGCTACAATGTAGCAATTTAAAAATCACACATGCTTACTGTTTCTGTCGACCTGACACGTGTATCTAGCCTGTAAAAATGAAAAATCGCTACATTGTAGCAATTTCACTGAGATATGGGCCCTGAAAATCATGTAATTTTAGCAAAAAATGAAGAAATAACCTGCAATTTTGACAGAATTTCAGAGGGCTTTCTTTCATTCCAGACCCTCCACGGGCCTCTTATGACCATTCTTATACTCACAGAATGGTTGAAAGTGATTTCAAATCATTGTTTGCCCTACGCAGAACGAAAAAAATCGTTTCTGTTCTCAAATTCTGCTAGAATATTGGTCTCTGGCCAACTAGCAGACAATTTTAGGCCTCATATTAAGGTATGAGTACCGTAATCCAACACCAAATTCGAAAATTCATAACAATACTTTGCACATATGGCGTTCGTGACCAACTATAAAACGCTTACCCCCCATAGTGTTATATATCAAAATGTACCTGTTCATATAGGGGTTCGATTGATCTACATCAAATTATAGGGAGTCAGGTTACTTTTTGAGATATCAGCGTCCATTTATTGTGACTCGCGTTTGCTACCACTTCCTCAATTCTGATATGATGGGCAAACGCGTAGTAAGCATGCTCACGTCGGAACTATTTTTGACCTACATCGCTATTTTCGTAATTCAAATGAAAGTTGAACTCCTCCTCTTTATTTTGATACCAAATAGTGGCATACTAGGTACCCTAGAAGCCAACTATGGCGTTATTTAGAACAATACCACGAGTTTTTAAATGGACTATATAGGGGTCATACCTTTTGGCGGATGGATATGGAACCTCATACCTTAATGTGTTATGACATCACACTGATTTTTGTCTCTGCAACTTTTTTTGGCAGAAAATATCATTTCTAGTTCAAAAATGCATAAAAACGTCGGAAATGGCTGAATATGTGAAAAATTTATCCATTTAGGCTAGAAAGGGTTAATTTGCCCTACCCCAAATACGTCTAAATATGCTAGTCTAACTTTGCCACTGTGACGTCACAAATCTAACCTGACTATCTCTGAGTTTATTGAAGAAAATGATACGTCTGACAAACAGCTTTCATTCCCTATATGGCACACCTTCTACTAAGAGTTGCATCATTGACTAAATCTAAGACAAAGGCCCTGTGTCCCGAGGATTTTGACTGAAATTTGGCCATTTTCGCCCAAATCTAACTAAATTGCAGTTTCCCTCACACCTGTATTTTGAAATAAATATTGCTACAATGTAGCAATTTAAAAATCACACATGCTTACTGTTTTTGTCGACCTGACACGTGTATCTAGCCTGTAAAAATGAAAAATCGCTACATTGTAGCAATTTCACTGAGATATGGGCCCTGAAAATCATGTAATTTTAGCAAAAAATGAAGAAATAACCTGCAATTTTGACAGAATTTCAGAGGGCTTTCTTTCATTCCAGACCCTCCACGGGCCTCTTATGACCATTCTTATACTCACAGAATGGTTGAAAGTGATTTCAAATCATTGTTTGCCCTACGCAGAACGAAAAAATCGTTTCTGTTCTCAAATTCTGCTAGAATATTGGTCTCTGGCCAACTAGCAGACAATTTTAGGCCTCATATTAAGGTATGAGTACCGTAATCCAACACCAAATTCGAAAATTCATAACAATACTTTGCACATATGGCGTTCGTGACCAACTATAAAACGCTTACCCCCCATAGTGTTATATATCAAAATGTACCTGTTCATATAGGGGTTCGATTGATCTACATCAAATTATAGGGAGTCAGGTTACTTTTTGAGATATCAGCGTCCATTTATTGTGACTCGCGTTTGCTACCACTTCCTCAATTCTGATATGATGGGCAAACGCGTAGTAAGCATGCTCACGTCGGAACTATTTTTGACCTACATCGCTATTTTCGTAATTCAAATGAAAGTTGAACTCCTCCTCTTTATTTTGATACCAAATAGTGGCATACTAGGTACCCTAGAAGCCAACTATGGCGTTATTTAGAACAATACCACGAGTTTTTAAATGGACTATATAGGGGTCATACCTTTTGGCGGATGGATATGGAACCTCATACCTTAAGGTCGTTTGTCTTGTTAATGGATGTGATATTGTTACTAAATTCTTGTTTGCATCTCTGTGTTTTTCAGTTGGTGTTCATCTTGTGAGGACAGTTCAGACAACATTTCGTGACAGACAGCACAAGACGACACTTCCAGTTACTTATAAACCGCATGTGCCAAAGGAGTCTTCAAAGACATGCTTTACAAGTAAGATTTAGCGTATAGATTCTAGATTAAAGTAAGGGTATACCACAAAATACTTTGTAAAGAGAGCTAGCGACTATTTTCTTCACATTCGAACCATATGATTGAGACAACTGAGATGATGGTATGCCCTTTATGCACTTTTACCCCCTCAGATTGAAAGGCTCAGGATATGCATATGATTTTAGCTAATAAATTCAAAAACCTAATGAAATAGCACTGGTGTACTTGTGCTCATTTGCGCGTTTGGCAACCTCAGTTTAAAAACTAAGATATATGCCAACGTTCTGCAAGTCCATATGATCGAGGATGTCAGCCAGTGGTTTCATGTCCTTTAGTAGTTTGAAAGTTTATAATTTAAGTGGGTGTTCGCCCCGGGGCGTTCGCAATCCACAATGAGTCTGAAAATTGTTCATCAGATTTAAGTAACTCTATGAAACAGGACAAATAGTCGAGGGCTTGTGAAACCATACAACTGAAGAATGAAACGATAGTTCAGAACGACAAAAACATTCTTACCTCCGGACCCGAAAATCTGTCCAACGAGACGTTATGCATTGTGAGATACATTTATGTTTATGATCGCGTGTGTTACAAAATCGCGAATTTGACTAATTCCCCGGACTAATCCATGAGAAATGAATGTATATGAATTTGTTTTGCAGAATTCCAACAGATTCCTCAAAACGCTACAGTGAGAGAGGGAGAGACTGTTATGTTGGGGTGTTCCTCTAAGGGTTCCACAATTTCATGGACGAAAAATGGAGGTACCATCCCAAAATCCATCACGATGACCCCTGAAGGTCACCTAAAGCTTTCACAGGTGGAACTATCAGATGCTGGGTCATATACTTGTATCGCAAAGTACGATGGCTGTAGAGCTGAGAGAAGGGTCTGGTTGAGAGTTCGCAAACGCTTTAATAATGATCCACCTAGGAAGGTCTATCATGGATCACTCAAAGAAGGTATGACTTTGGAATTATGTACATGTTGGTAAGGTGGGTGATGAATTAAAACTAAATATTTTCTGTAGTAATTTATGTTCTGGGTACATTATTTAAGATTTATATAATCCTGGGCTTTCACCGTGATATAATTTACATTTCAACTTACATGACAACACTAAGTTGGGACTCAGATAGAGGGAAGAAAAGGGTATGACAATTGTAGTTTCATATATAATTGAACTCTCATACGTTCATTCTATTGTAGTTTGTGGGAGACCAGTTGTTAACACTCCAAGTATGGGTAAACCGGAAGTTAGAAGGGGTCTGATTGTTGGAGGTAATGATGCTGAAAAGGGGTCTTCTCCATGGCAAGTCATGCTTTGGGAGGCAACTGCAGGCCCCTTCTGCGGAGGAGCTTTAGTTTCCAAACAATGGTTAGTTACTGCTGCCCATTGTTTCAGGGAGTTCCCTGAACAGTATAAAAAAGAATTGACAAAGGATAATCTTGTGATAAAGCTGGGTAAATGGGACAGAGAGGATGACGAGGCCTATGAGGTGACACTGACTGCAGAAGAGTTTGTTATACACCCTGATTTTGACCATGATCTCTATGATAATGACATTGCCCTGATCAAACTGTCCCAACCTATAGAGTATTCAAATTACATCCTGCCTATTTGTATATCAGACACTGAGTTTGCGAGTGATAATTTGTTCAAAGCTCAAACATTTGGGACGGTGACTGGATGGGGTGCTCTGGCCGGATACAACGCTCCAAGACCACGGTTCCTCAACGAGATAAGATTACCGATTGTAAACCAGAAAACATGCAAGTCTTCAACAGGGTTCAAAGTGACAGAAAATATGTTCTGTGCTGGATACAAACGGGAAATTGTTGGAGACGCCTGCGAGGGGGATAGTGGGGGACCGTTCATTATGAAACACGAGGACCGTTGGTATCTAGCAGGACTGGTCAGTTGGGGAGAGGGATGCGCACTGGAGGGAAAGTACGGATTTTACACTCGTGTCAGCCAGTATTACAACTGGATTACTAGCACATTGCAGTCTTAGAAATCATGTAGAAATGTTCATATTTATTGTTTTCTAATTATTTAATGAGATACCTTCTGTTTTTGCTCAAAACTTATCAGAACATTTTACTCCTAGTAAACACTTATGTAAACATATTTTAATTCCAAAATGTACACATAAGATAATATAGAACAAAACTAATGCAGTGACATTGTTCAGTGATGTCCATATTCATAACAAGATATGTAATTTGCTTCATTTGTTTCATCTCAAATAACGAGGTGGTGACAAATGACTGAAACTGTAAAACTATGTACATGTCTTATAAACGTTTAATGTATCACTCATCTTGGTAAAGTAGTGTTTATTGTATTAGTATTTAATGTCTGATCTCGGCTCATTGTCAAAAATATTCCACGGGCCCATGTAGATAACAATACAAGGACGATAACTCATGGGGACGATAATTTCTTTCCACCAGGCGCAACATTACAAGGAAGCTTCATAAGTCCATATTGTTACATTTATAGTTTTTAGTACTGAATAACCTTTGGAAAGTGTCATGTTAACTTAGTTCTTTACTTCATATTCCAGAGTAGTGTCTATTTATTAGAAGAATCATAGATAGCGAGCACCTTTCCAAAAAATGCATTTCAATTTTAGAATGTTTCGGGATATGTCAAATTCCCCGAAGTTTGTTGTTTATTTAAGAAATGGAATGTGTTCATTTTTCAATAAATGTAGATATCCATAATCATTATTTTGACATGTTTGCCATTTGATGTATGTTATTTTAAATAAATATTATTCAAAATTCAAAATGATGTAAATGAAAAATTGATATGAATTTGAAATAAAACACATATATATTATATAATCATGCGATACAACTTAATGTTTCTTTATTCAACACTAAAACTAGTGCACGGCCAATAGAATTTCGCCAGTCCCGCTCTTCTACTCGACCAAACTATTAACGATATCAAAATAATTTTATCCGCCATTTTGGATGAGACTAACTGTAGTTCGCCCTGGGCCATTGATGCGTGATTGCGCAAGCTTTTTAAATAAATACCATGAAGGCATTCTGATACTCATCACATCTTTCTGACTTCAACTATAATAGTGTGAAGCTAATAGAAGAACATGATTTCTCATGATGCCATTAGATGAATTTATTCAAACTTAATCTGCATATTTCTGGAATTGCTGTTATCTTGGAAATTGATTACGGGATGATGCATCTCCCTTTAAATGACCTTGGAAGCAAAGCTATAGATGTGTTTTATTGTAAGCTAAACTAACAATCAATATTTTGAAACTTATATTTTTCTTTATCTTTTAAAATATTTATTATTTACACATACATTTTGTTTCATTTTGGGAGACCTTACTATGAATCCCTTCTTCTCTATAAACGAAAAAACCAAATGGAAAACTAGAGAGTTTCAAAAAGTCTCCTCTTACATGTATATATCTTCAAGGCTAGGTTTAGATCTCGCTTTAAGAAAGGAGAATGACTTTATATCCTACACAATATCAACAATGCTTGTAGTCAAAGAGATGAAACATAATATTTGAAGTACACCAAGGAACCTTTTTGATGTTTGAAATAAATGTAAACAAATTCTGTTTTACTTTTATTTGGCCGTGCACGGTTATGATAACAATTGAACCATTTCTAAAAAAAGTCAACTTAATGAAGTTTTTGAAGTAGACGTTTTTAAAGTACTTGAGATACAATAGTTTCTTTAAAACATATTAAAAGAGAAATAAACTGACATTTAGGAATAAAAATATGGCTTCACCGGGAATACGAACAGAATGGTTAGCTATCATAATATTCTTATTCCTAATAACATTAATCGCACAAAATGGTAAGTGAAATATCAATATGGAACAAACATTAAAAAATGGCAAAATATATTAAAATCAATTTGGGAGATAATGTTGTTTAAATTGCTCGATGGATGGTCTTTTTTACAAAATATAATATCTAACGAGCAAAAAACTACCCACATTAAATCACTATCATGTGTTTTTCGAATTTCAGTAAATTGTGAGATATGCACGAGTTATTGCAACTCAACGGGTGATTTTATCGAATCATTCGATTGTGGAAACGATACTCAAGACTATTGTTGTGGGGTGTACTATGATCGTCATTGTTGCGTTGATTATTACCACAGATATCTCGATACCGGGAATGTAACCACTGTACAGACTTGTTTGGATATAAAGACTCGCATTAATGAACTCCAAGCTGAAAATACAAGCCCAATGATGCATGGAAAGTCTTGGTTGATTGTCGCTGCATCATTAGTGATGCGTTACTTATGTAGCGTCCAAAACAGTGATGCCGATAACTTTTGAGAAACACCCAAAGGAAGATGCAAGTGCAATGACTCTTAACAGCATGGTTGGTTGGTTACATTTGATCCTCTTAGAGTGACTGCTATGTTTAGTCTGAGGAGATTCACTGAATATTCGAGTTATCTTCCGGACAGATGGACGTACGGACAGACAGATGGTCGGAAGGCTTCCCTATATCCATACTGAACTTCGTTCGTTGGGATAACAATCTCGTGGAACTGGAAGTATTATGACATGGGCTAACCAGGGGGGTTGTGCTGTATCAATGCTTTCCGCTTGTCTTTGTATTTTTATAAATCTTTATTTTTATTACATTTATTATATACTGTAATAATATATTATCTCCATGATTAGAGGAGCAATAAATATAATAATAATAATAATAACAAGAATCAACATGTATTCACGTGGCTTTTGCTCCCCAGTTCACGGTCCAGTACATGCATGAGACTAACATAACATTCAAGTTAGTCCCAGCCAGTACAGACAAATGGTATTCTAATGCTTATATACTAGAGGTAACCATAATCAGTACAAAAACAATAAATTGTTTTAAATATTCCATCCTATATTTCAAAACATACCATGCATATAACATTTTTATTGCATAATAAACAGTATACTATATAATGTAAAATATTGTTTCATTCAAACCATGGGCTCTGTTGAAAGCCCATGTTCAAACCATTAAGTAACGTTTAATATTAGAAAAATAGTTTAAATAAAAGACTAGCTTTTTTCTTGGATAAGAAACATCAGTCTGAAAATATTTTTTATTAAATTGAACATTTTGCCAGAGACAATGACACAAATGTTATATAATATCATTCAGTAATCGAAGCATTTTATATAATCATAATAATGTAAAGTTATTTTAATACAATGACTGTGCAAATGTACACTTTTATTTTGTTCGTGAAAATAAGAATAAATGTATGAGCCCCCTCCCCCTTTCCATTCTCTTCAAATTGGTTACACAGATACACAGGAGGAGCTGGGAACTGGCTTTTTACAAAATGTACTTCTTGTAAAAAAAACTTGTTAACATACTGTAATTAAGCATGCAATGCAATCAGTCTTTCTAAGAAAATGACATTTTTGTTTCAGTATATGAAAATTCTAAGTAAAGTGGAAGACAAAACACAGGGAATTTATTTTACAAAAGTTTACGAATCATTACTTTTAATATTTGGAATCTTTATGCAAGAGTCTCTGTGAATGACTCTCATCAAACAGCTCTATTTTCCCAAAATCATAAAATTCAACTATTTAGTATATAATTTCAAGCAAAATATTAGTCAAGCTACAAGCCTCTGTGACCCCCCCCCCTCTCTCTACTTGACTAAACACCTTCGCAAAAAGAGAAAGTGTGCAAGTTCTTGTAGCTAGACTAGCAGGAAATGAGAATTAGCAAAAGTTTCTGTACATTAACATTTCAAGATTTTTGTATACATCAATGCAAAATATAATATGCATTATTCAGTCTACAATATAGCTCGAGAAATTTAGACAAATGTGAGCTATATGTAATGAGTTGAGGCATTTCCTTGCTCTGTTAAATAGACTTAAAGCTCTATTTGTTTACAGACTAGAATGGAGCAAACCTTTATTAATTGCAACAGCATATAAATAATATAATTTTTTGTGAACTACATACATATTGAGGTATCACCTGTATCATAATGTAATGTAATCCTCATAACAATAAATTAATAAATGTTTCTCCCTATATAGATAAGAGTATTTCATATTCCTGTAAATATTTTTTTGATGAGTTTTGTTAGCTAGAATGTTGTTTTTACAAACATGTTATTTAAAAATGGACACCTGATCAGGATGAACATTAATTTCCTTTTATTTTTATTTCTGTAACTTTATAAATGGGTCAGAAAGTATTTGTTATATTATTCATTTATAAATATCAGAACACTGACTCTGTGTCAATAACACCTACTAAGACAAGATACAATACATGTACATGTCAGTCTTTCAGCGTGAACTGTAGTTAGTTGGTCAGTCCAGTACACAATCACAAAAATCATTCAAGAATACATAAGAAACTGGATCATGTCAACTATTTTATGGTGTGGTCCACTAAATTTATTGTGGATGTACATGAGACTGAGTACTACTACTACAAATATATCATAATACACATAGAAACTATCTAAATTGATGTTGTTTTGATATATTGGCAGTTTACAGGCATACTTAATGCCTAATCTGTTTCAAATGTTAATACGTTTACTATATTACAGGCATTATACACAGTAGCTTTTTAGGTGAGCTGTATTGCACGTTTCTTTCCATAATAATAGGGAGTTTAAGCTTGCAATGTTTTTCACAACCTAAACATGAACAGAAAATATTTAAGCAATGCATTTGTATGGGCGATTGGTCATATGTATAGGTTGGTGTTTTCATTTTATATGCAAGCTTAAACTCCCTAATGTCTTATAGATGATGGTCCATATGGTGTACTGTATTCCAATGTTTTGGAGTTCATCTGGCATTTTGCAGATGTAAATCCTTTCACTTTCACCAACTCATTAAACATGTTTAAGTCTACTTAATATGAATCATTGCAAACCATACTGTTCGTCATTAAGGGGTTAAGGCAGGTGAAATTGTGTCCCAGGATCTCCAATATGAAGATTAAAGATTGACGATCTTTTCAGCAATGGCTCCCTATAAAAATAAAAAGTTATATAAGTTAGAAAATTTAAGACAGGTGCCTCATGGGACATGATCCAACCCTGCAACCCTCAATGGACAGAGCGGACCTCTGTTTAAGAAGCAGAATTTTATTTGAAAAACAAATCAAATTGTAGACAACAAACTTATTTCCATTTTCAAACGTTTATGGCCAGCCTGTATCGTTACTGTGGGTGCTTGAAAACCCACTTTTTAACATGATAAGACTGTTGTACAATTTCAAACCATGGGCTTTCATGATGCGACTACTGCATGAAATCTTAGTACAGGGGTAGATCTAAGTTTTAGAGGTGGCAATTGGGACATGAAATCAGAGTTTGTAAAATTTCCAAGTTGATTGGGGCATTATTTCTAAATTAAAAATTACGATAGCAACAACACCCAAATACTTACTGGGAATGCATAGACGAACAAGAAGATGATGAGGAGCAGAAGAAGGACAATGATGAAGCCGATGATCAGCCATTTATAATTGCGCCATAAGATATACTTCAGAGTCTTCAGGGGAGAAGAAAACCACAAGAATGATGTTTCTGGTCGCCTAAAAGTAATACATCATAAAATACATATCAAATAATATGTGACTTTATTTAACTAAAATATCTTTACTTTAAACTTGGACAAGGCATGCATATGAAAAAATGTCATCACACTACACTACATTACTCCGCTAGCTGCAATTTTGTTAGCATTACAATTTGTTCCAAATACCATATGTCAAAAGCTGATGCAAAATATTGAGCTTCAGTCACAAAAAATTGGCCATTCCCTAGTGTCTCATGATAAGAACATTTGAGATAGGATTCATTTGTCTAAAATACAAACACATCTTATTGAAAATAGCAGCTAGACAACATGTGCTACTTAAGGGAAATAATTCCGACTGCTAAATCATAACAGTTTCTTACTTTGGTTCTTCTAGTTTAGGGTTCATATTAGGTTCATCCCTCCCTTGTCCAGCTGGTCTCGCTTCTGCATCTTCCTCAGTCAGCAACTCCATTTCCATCTCAACTTTACCCTTAATATATACAATTAACACAATATGTACAATCAACACAATATGTACAATCACCTGTACAAAAACCACAATATGAACCAATAAACCATGTTGATCAATAAGGTACACTACACATAAACATTATAAAAAGACTTTAACATGACAAAAGGGGACCACCAGGCAATAATAACTAAAGTGCAACCATTTTATATTTAATTATTTATATTTTACTTGTAAAAAAGAAGAAAAAAACGTTTGATTCTGGAGATGTAAATATATACAGCAGTATTCACTATTTACATGTACTCGTACATTTGATTAACAAACAAAATAGAGTGATAATTCAAAATATCAAAGGCAAAATGCAGTCATTTCCATTTTGATTTTCACCCATATTCAAATAAAAATAAGCAAGACTTAAGAACTTACAGTAAGTACTCTTTCCCCGCTATCTTCACTATAACAGGGCCAAAATCCATAGAGACGTTTCTGTTCGAACAATGAAATCATCTTTGTCTTTTTCTCAACATCTGAGAGGTCAGGAAGTTGTTTGAGGCTGCATGCGCTACATTTCTTGGCTGGTTTTGGCATTGAGTTCAAGTTTAACTCTAATGTGCCTGAAAAAAGAGAATGGTATGATTATTATGTGATATAAATGGTACTTACTAGCATGTTTGGCTCCGGGGTTTGGATCCAAGGCTCATAATATTTTACGAACAAGCATCAAATGAGAAAAATACCGCAATGCACTCTATAACTGACCTTGTGGCTAATTTATTATCTAAAATGTCCTAAAATTTCCAGGGAGGGTTCACATATGACAATTTTTGCCCAAATATGGCTAAAATCACTTGAGAAGTGCTCAAAATGGTGAAAAACTGCATTTAGCCAGGGGGGGGGGTTCGCCCGAACCCTGTGAGCCCCTGGCTACTGGCCTGGTACTTACTGTAAGTACATGTACTTACCTAAAAATCTTATAACTACTTACCTAAGAAATCATCAGCAGAGAATTTGTCATTGTCCCATATCTGTATCATCAGTATTGGAGCCAAGTGCTGTTCTGTCTCATCCAGACTCCAAAAATGTTCCTAAAAAATAAATATTACGGTTCCAAATTGAGATTAAAACTACAGTACACACAATATTGAACTGGAGTGCTTGTTTAAATGCTGACAGTAGAACATTTCCCAAAAAAACAGAAAGCATTTTTTGTTTTTGTTTTTTAAAATCTTTCAATATAATATTTCCAGTGTGAAAATAAGCTGGAAGAAATCATGAAGATCCACAAATTGAGATGGATATTGGCTACATTTACATATAAATCTATTACCTTTTTCCTGACTACCATAGTCTGTTCAGCTGGGAGGAAATCAAATGGAAAGACAAACCTCCAGTTGAAGTTGCCATCTCCATCAAGAGACCTGTAGTTGAAACAATTGAAAATATAAGACATAAACATGACAAAATGTCACCACCTTGAAAGGTATTGCAAATTGCTACAGAAGACAAATGTAAATTGTTACAAATACCAAACTCCGAATGCTGACTGCCGAACTCTGAATGCCAAAAACCATTCACAAAAGGTTGGAGATTAAAACAAAATGTCATCAATTCTGGTGGTGACATAACAATTTGATTCTGAATTTTACAATTGTATTACAAGATGATTACTCTAACTATTTTACATGTTATGCTCTGATGCTACAATTAATTCATACAGAAAGAACTAAAGACACAATATACCTATAGTGAATATCAGTTCTCTGTTTTTCATCTATACCAGCTACCCAACCTTTAACATAGATGTCACTCATTTTCTCACCAGTGATAGACTCCTCCTCCAAGATGACATCATTTGTATTGCGTATTATTATACGCAGCACATACCTACATGAGAATAATTTAAGTTACAGTTTTAGTTTCAATTTTTCAAGGCACCCTATAATTTCAGTTAGACAGGACCTATCAGAATTAGGGCTCATAAAATATCACACATCCCAATTTGAAGAGAAAAATGGCACCATGTAATTTACCTAGGATGCCCAAAACCTAATCAGATTTTGGAACAAGTTTGCTCTTTCATGTGTAAAAACATCAAGTTGAACAGATAGTAGTAGGTAGTTTTCCCTAAAGTTTGGAGATTTACTGTGAGAATCACTTTTGTTTATTTCAACATACATGTAATTACCTTCTGGCTTTCCTAGGTGCAATATCTATGGGTGGTCCCGGTTCCCCAAATGACTGTGGGAAAACATCAACAAACATCTGCAACTTGCCCTACAAGTAACAAGTGAGATTTCATATATTGTATACTATATACATGTATATATACTTTTAACAAATCTAAACAAGGCTTTAACATGCAAAATGTCACCACCTGCCATTTGTTACAGATGCTGAATGCCGACCTCCAAACACGGTTGGAAGCTATAACAATATGTCACCATTTGTGGTGGTGACATAGTGACAATTAAAATTTGAAAATTGTGATCTAAGATCAAATTATAATAGGCAAATTATAATAGGAATGAATTCCTGGATTAAGAGTGACATGATGTCAGCTTCAGGAAGTCTCATAATATAAGTTCCCTAAACCATTGAGCACAAAAGAATAAAATCTTTCAAAGGACACCTGTCTAAAGAAAGGCTTATAACAAAATCCCCACTTCTAATTCATGGAATGTCCAGTTTGACTGCAGAGGGTTAATGAACAACTAACCTGTTCGATGTTAGGCTGGAGAGGGTTAAACAATGACCTAGTTTCAACATGCTCTGGCACAAATGGAAGAGTGTTCAATACATAGAGGGCAAGTCTCTCGTCAGCGGGTCCAAGATGGCCATGGATTGGCTTATTCAGCTCTGAAATAGAATTTATTGTTGATAAATGCTGGTGTGGCACAAAAATAAAACCCACAAATAAGAATATACTGAAATTAGATTCACATTTTCTCGTAACCATTTTTCATTTTTAAACGTTGCAAAATGACAAACACTTCAAAATATTAGTACAATTCAATTACTAATATATCAAAAATTAGATACAGTTTTTTTATTTTTGTATAATTGAAACTCGGTATAAAATAAAAAAATTTTCTACCATAGATGATGAGTAAATGAAGTCCTACCAAAGTCTGTAAGAGCGTAGACTTTGCCACGTATTTTCAAACTGCTGTTGCCATAGTAATGTGGGGGGTCGAGATGATTTTTCTCACAGTATTCATTCAGTAAAGCCTTTGGTTTTCTACTGTCTCTCCATGCACATGGCCCTGACCTACAAATCGAAAAATAAGATTTTAGATTTATCAAATAAACCATCACTTAATCATTGTATAATAAGGTATAATTTACAACAACATGTTCATAAAATAACATCGAACAATACGTAACCATGTGATTGTTATTTATAACTGCTTACCAGTGTCACATAAAATTTACAATTATAATACAATACATCATTATCTGTGGTTATAAGATTACACAATATTGTGGCACTTACGTGCAGTAAGACTTTGGAAGCCCAACCAATGCATTCCATTTGGTCAAGAAACGATTCTCCAAATCTATCATGGTCTCTCCTATGATGTCATCACTACTTATAAGGTCATAATCCATGACACGAATTCTCAGATCCTTCTGCATTGGGAGCATGGCTTTCATTTCAAACATACTGAAAATACAAAGAGTGTAGCTGTCACTCAAACTTCTTATACAAGTACAGTAAAACCTGTCTAATCCAAATGCCACTGGGACCGGCCCAAAGTATTTGGATTGGCAGGTGTTCAAGTTTTTTTTAACATGAAAGCCTATGGCAGATTAAAAAAATGGGACCAAAAAGTGTTCACATTGAGAGGTGTTCAAATTAATGAGGTGTTCAGATATACAGGTTTTACTCTATGTTAATTTAAACAAGGTAAATAGGACCTTCCTCTATGAAGAAAATATTCAAGTAGAACATCATCTGGCAAATAAAATTGAATGATATTTTGATGTGTTCACATTGTACATAGGTAATTAATATGACAGTCAATGGGAAAAGCATATTCTGTTTTATAAAGTCATTCTGATCTGGGGTGTGTTCTCATGCTTCCTGGCATTATATGATAATGACTTACTGGCCAAAAACAGGGTCCAGTGTGTTAGGGATATAGTTATCTCTGTTATTTTCCTTGTTGCCACCCAACTTTATCTCCACATAGGGGTCAGCCTTGAAACATAAAACATTTTTTTAATTTGTATTGCAGATTTTCCAGCTGTATAATTTTACATTCACTTTAATTTGCTCGATGGTAATTGTACACTGCAATAAAATGTTCTCTGCATTTCAAATTGAAAATATCAAAGTTTAAAAGAAATTCCTCCCCTATTTCCTAGTTCCATATTGAAATAACTTCTTGCATTGTTTTCAATAGTATAGCTAGAAGCCCTTGTGAGTCCTCCTCCCCAACTTCACAACTCCCCACAAGAGTGAGACAGTGTTTAGGGAGTGGTGGGAGAGGGTCATAGGGGCTAGTAGCTAGAGTTCAATTTCTTGTTTTCAATTTCAAAGTGCAATCATTCACATTCTACACAAAATATTTTTTTGAAGCTTCGATAACTACAAAAAAGAAGTTTTACATCCAATACTATTGACTGTGTTTATATGATGAATTAAAAATGTCTTAAGTTTAATTAGGATGAGATTAAGAATTAAGTCTGTTATAAACAATTATACGTACGAGCCCATTGGGATCATTTGGCTGTAAGTTGATAGCTTTAATGATATACACCCTAACAACACATTCCTCTGGGTCACTGGAAGGGAGGTTCTTCAACATGGAGGGGGGTAACTCAGCCTTAGGGTCCTCAGGGAGAGGATAGACTTTAAATGTTGCCTACAATGCAAATATATGAAAGGATTATTTATAGAAAACAAAAATTGCTGTCACGTGTATTGAATGAACTTTCACTTGATTTTCTCCAACAGAACAATGCTTGTATCATAAACATACAGCTCTGAAGGCTGCACCTTTTTGTTATTGTAAAATTGATGATCTTTGGACTTCATTAATTAAAATATATTTCATCAAAATCATCAACTGACTCTAATTATATTTATTTGTATCTGCATAGTTAAAGAGAGTTTGCTATATTTAAAAGGGGATTATTCAATTGCAGTTCACCTTTAATTCTCCTACAATGTTAGACTCTTCGTCATCATTATTCTTGCCCCTTGAGAACTCAAAAGCGCTACAGAAGTCATTAAAATCATTGTAGCCATCAACCTGCTCAAGGGCAGTTCCAAACACCTATAAAAGTTATTGAAATTCATTTGTAGCATTCATATTCCTGTATGCATTTTCTTCTTCTGTGAAGGTGTGACATGTTTTCAAATGAACAAGATTTAATTTGTTGAGTCAAGACCTTTGTCTGGAGTCTTGAGGATTAGTCTTCTTGTTGAATACATGTTATTGAAAAACAGTTGACATTGGATGCAACTCCGTTGAAATAGTCATAACTGCTTATGCTTATGATAAAGAAGACCAGTCTCTTCACCCTCATTTTGAGTCCTAATACAACATACTCAACTCAAATGCATTAATTCTTTAAATCCCCTTAAATGTTATCATTGTAAATCATTAAGAAGTGGAGTATTTAATATTTTAAGACTGATATCCGCAACTATAAGTACATTTCTTTAGTCTTACCTCAATTTTATCATAGCCTTTCTCAAGATATTTTCTACATTTTGACAATTCTCCTGTTGATGCGTAATACTTTGACCACCAGTCAATGTCCAACTCTAGTAGTTCGGTTTCCTTAAATATATTTGAAAAATGTTTACAAAATGTAGCTACTGGATTGGAATATTTGTCTGTTTTGGGGTATTACATGTACTACATAGTAAAAACAGTAAGTCTATCGGATAACACAAAGGAGCTAATAAACTGGTTATTTGATTCCTGGTTCAATCAAATGGTCCTAGTAGCATGTAATTAAACGATTAACTGGTCAGTATAAAAAAAACAAAGGACCAGCCCTTAACTCAAGCTATGTTATTAAATTAATTCTAACATATTTTATAACATGAGTTATGGATCATATATAAAAGAATAAATTTGAATAACTTTACATCATCAACTTTAACATGCACTTGCCAAACACTGACAATTCACAAAGCTGGACAATGATGAAGCACTTTGCAATGCTAGACTTGCAGGCCCGTAGCCAGGGAGCCAAAAATTCTTTCAAAATCATGCAGTTTTTCATCATTCTGAACACTTTTTAAGTGATCTTGGCCATTTTTGGACCAAAATTGTCAAAAGTGATCCCACTGGAGCGTTTTCAAAAAGTGAACCCCCCTTGGCAAATCCTGGCTACGTTCATGCTTGGTTCATGCAGAGCCATATATTAGATGGTATTGCATGGTAATGCATTTTATATTCCTCTGCATATAATGCATGTGCTGACAGCCCCATAGCCAGGGGGTTCGATGGGTTCGAGCGAACCCCCCCCCCCTCCTTGGCAAAAATTCTTTCAAAATCATGCAGTTTTTCATCATTCTGAGCACATTTTAAGTGATTTTGGCCATTTTTGGACCAAAATTGTCAAAAGTGAACCCCCCTTGGCAAATCCTGTCTACGGGCCTGGCTGACTTCAGGATTTTACTAACACAAGCACGAAATATAATCATTACAGTTCATCATATGAAGAAATAACATTTTGTAGACCCAGTAATCAGTACATATACAGGTACAGTATATACATGCAATTTGGATAGCATAGGCTACAGGTGATATAAGAATGTTCAATGTTAATAACAAACGTCCATCAATAGTACCAAAATATGAACATGTCATTTTCTACACATATTAGTCAGGGGGCCATTAACAGAAGCTTCATAAAGTTAAGAATTCGTAAAACCCATTGTTCTCTTTCTGTGATGTCATTATATCCATGGTTTCAACAATTGATTTACGAATTCGTAACTTTACGAAGTTTCTGTTAATGACCCGCAGTAAAGCATAAAAAGAAACCCAATGTATTGTGTTACAACATATATTAATCAATATTAATCATTATATGTGCTAAATTATGACATAAAAATTATGACATAAAATAAGTGCTGAACTGTGTGCAATTATATTAATCAATGAGAAATACATAAAACAACTAATTAATTAATTGATAAAATATTAAGACAACATATTACTAACGCAAAAACAATACTGCTATAACTTTTGACAATGTATTTATAAATAATGTGAATAAATACATATAAATGATAAACACTTGTAAATACGAGACATGATGAACATATTTGAATAATAAATACTTGTAAATAATAAGTACATGTAAACAATAAATACATGTTAATGATAATAAATACATGTAAATTGCAGTGATAAAATCTATATTTCAGACAATATAAATTAGTGCATTTGTCTGAAAATACAACATCAATATATCAATGTATGCCAAGAATTACAACAGACCAAAACCCCTAACAGCCACTTTATTTTTCTGAAACAACTATGTTTGTGCAATATGCATTGAGGTGGGGTACCCCTATGAAGTAGTTCACTGACTTATCAGGCATAAATTGATATATAATAGTGCCTTAAAGTACTTACAAAAAAACACCTATACTAACAGAATAGACAACATCAAAAATATAAAATAAATATCTTAGTAATCCTGAGCTTCAAACCTCTGAGTCTAGTTTCTTTTTACTAGCAAGTACAGACATTTGAGGGAAAACTGCGACCTTGTCTCCAAACAGGTTGAATTTCTTGCCCAGCTTTAAATGAAAAAATTAATATGAAGGTAATCATTTTTGTCGCGGTGAAATATTATTGGGGGGTTAGTATGAGTTAGGCGTCCCATAAATGAAATATCAAGATGGTCCTGTTTTTAAATTTAAATAAAAAAGGAATTCAGAATATATTATAAATGGAGAAACAATCCTTATCAATAAAATCAATGACACCCTCGTTTAAAAGATTCTTTAAGAATACCATAAAAAGTAAGTCAAAAATAAAAATGACCAAATGATATTTCAAGCACAGGTTCAATGTTACTGACATTATTATTCGTAAAATATATGGTGGGGCATATTGCATGCACATCCATGTGTAACACTCATATACATATACAGTTGTGACGTACAACTATCTGATTCTGGTCTTCCATTTCATATACTCTACATTTTTACAGCAATTTGCATTTTGTGAAATGACAATATATTTTCCCACCCTGTCCATGGTAGCGTGACAATATATTAGCCCACCCTGTCCATGGTAGCATGACAATATATCAGCCCAACCTGTACATAGGAGCAGACCACATATGGAATGACAATGTATCAGCCCACCCTGTACATAGGGGCAAACAGACCATATATAGAATGATAATATATTAGCCCACTCTGTACATGGAAGTATGACAAAACATCAAGCCACCATGTACATAGAAACAAACAGACCATATATTGAATGACAATATATCAGGCCACTCTGTACATAAAAATAAACAGACCGTATATTGAATGACAATATATCAGGCCAATCTGTACATAAAAACAAACAGACCATATATGGAATGACAAAGACCACAATCAGATACATGTATTTTGGATGGCTTAAGTAACTGGAAATACCCTCTTAGGTGGGGCTGAGATCTCAATTGTCACATCAGCCGTACTAACTTCTGCTTCATCTTCTAGCCTTTCATAACCAGGCTCGTGAACTTTGCGGGAAGTACGTATAGCTACGGGGGAACCCTGTCAGTATATACAATATCAATTATCTCTTTATATATTTGAAACGCTTCAGTTTGAAGTAAGAGGATTGGAAAGTTAAATCATGCCAAGCTCTACAAATTGATTTTCTGCTTATTCTAAAAATAATACATAAACGCAAGATGCGATATGATAATTATGAAAGTATATACTATAACATTCTATTACATATTGTCTGGAAAACCTGTATAGAGAATTTATTGCACTGAAGTTATTCCAGTAGGCATCCATTTGGTCCTGCACTCCTAAGGGATACTGCCAATTCTGCTTGCTCCCTGTTAAAGGTCAAACCTGTAGAATTTGTTTTAACTAACCAATAGAAATACATAATAATATTGTGCATCTTTATTTTACGATTAAAAATGCAATAAAATTATTTTATCCGCCACCTCAACTTACAGCTGTACTCTTCAAAGAATAGTTTAAATATTCACATGCAAAATTAAAAAAGTGAGCTGGGATATAAAAAAGGAGTACTTAAAGTAATCTGAGTTTCAGAATGTTGTGGTAAATTAGCTTTTTACGTTACTTTTTAATAAAATGTGCAAAAGAAAATACTTGCTTTTTTAAACATTCTACCAGATAGGGCCTGCGTAAACATCAGAGATTTTATTTTACAATTTTTCAAAAGAAAAATACTTATTTTGTTTCAGAAAATATTCAAATCACAATCAATCTTCTTAATTACTGTAAGTTATTCGCTAGATTTGAAAAAAAATGTTTGTTCATAAAGGATAAGAATTTGCATTAAAGAAAAGTCTTGCTGGCATGTTCAATAAACTTTGAGAAATTGTTACAAACATTGAGTAAAACCATGAGAACTTGCAGCAATTTTACTAACACTAACAAGCTACAGTACACATGTTTGTTAATATTGCTAAGTAAGGTTTTCTAACAATAAATATGGTTTCACTGACACCAAAAAAGGGTTTTGATTGATCCTTACCTTAGATGGAGTTTTCTCAGGTGGCATGTCAACAATGGTTTCACCGGTCGGAGTCTGGACCCCATCAATGTCTAGAATTCAAATTAAACCAATTAAAATATAAGTACAGTAAAACCTGTATATTTGAACATTTCTCTAATCTAAACACCTCTTAATGTGAACGCTTATTGTTGGTCTCATAATTTACTTCAAAAATTGAGCTCTGTACTGCTTGGCTTATAAGCGATAATAGAGGTCTTAACAACCCAGGTACAGTATATATATATGCATACCTGTAATAGCATCATCAGGTAGTTCTGTGATTATAGGAGAACACCTATATTTCTCAAGAGATTTCTCCACATGGACACCAACCAGTGGTTTTCTCCCAAATGGCCGGTTATCTCTGATTCTGATGTTCATTGGTGGAGTGTAGAGCTCCTCTTTCGGCAGCAACTAAATGTGAATATAAACAATATAAGGCGGTTTATCCTATGCCAAGTAGAGCTTTAGGGAGATAAGTTGGTAAGATATATCCCGTATCCTGATTTTGAGGTCTCCATATCAAGAACCTCCAAATCTCCCGCCATATATCCCACTTCGGTGCATATCTTCCCGCTTCCGGTGCATATCTTCCCGCTTCTTGTAATGCAATAAAATGACTTTGCATATGAATGATTTGTTTATTTTTACACCTTGAAGTATTGAAATGGCAATATGCCCCTGAAAACTCTACTTGGTATAGGATAAAGCAGTCCCTCAGGTAGATATGCATATCTCCCTCTGGATAAACCCCATATCCAAAACCTCCCAGTACATAACCCTTATATAATATAATGCAAAGGCAGTACAAGATTTTATATCAACAAGGATGTTTATACAATTTGTACTGACATGATCGTATAACATTAAAGTAGTATTCTATGGCTTTTATATATATGTGTCAATTAATTGCCTAATTTTAGGCATTTTATGTATGTATTTGCATTTTGAAAATATGTAATTGAAAATATAGTGAATTGAAGGTTTCAGGCAAATGTTTCAAAAATAAGAATTTTAGAAACATAACCTAAAATTTTATTTGACAGAAATTGACATTTACGATATCTTACTAAGGTAAGCATAGTAAAAATGTCTATAATCAAAAACGAATGGCTCAGGAAAGTAAGTAAAATCCTAGAAATTAACATAATTTTGATATATTTCACCATGGCCCTGTGATCGTAAGACTCACCACATCAAAGAACAAGACAGGATCAGAGAAGTTTGGATTGTGCTTGGTGTTCTTTATGACATGTGACTGCATCACATGACCTCCAATCTCAAACTGAACACTTGGTGAAGTGACATTCGCCAGCTGGAACTTTTTCATATTCCTCACTCCCCAACAGAGCGCCTGGAAGTAAGAGGCCATTTAGGTAACGTAAGCATTGTGCTGAAGAATGTGGAAAACTATGGTTATCTAAGGACTATTTTTCTCTTTGTGGCTATTTTATCTGAGCGAGTGTGAAATTACAGGGAAAATACATGTAGTTCCCATATAAACCAAATGAGAGGACACCTTCAAGTCTTCCAAAATATGTGCAACTTAACCTCTCTAATGTAACTCCTTTCCCATGAAGAGAATAATTGAGGTGGAAAACCACTTTTCCAATTTCTTCTTGTTTTCTCATTTTCTGAAAATTCGATAAGTAGATGATGTATTACCTCAATCGCAGTACGCTGCATGATAGGACGTATCCCAGAAGGCACTTGGTAGAGATTTCCACGCTTGGGAGGCAGAAATGGAAGATCGCTTCCATTCATCTGTAAATATTCAACAAGATGATCAAGCATATATACAATGTATTGTAACATATTTTCTTGATATAGCTAACATGAAAACACAAGATATACTAAGAGAGACAGACATGTACTAGTAAAGTACAGTGTACTATAAGATGATCTAGTAATCAACTTAAAGGAATGTGCTTAGTAAGACTACTATAAGAACAGATGGTGACATCAAGTAAGACAACCGATTTCTATCACAAACCTTTGAAAAAATAATTCAAAGTTTTGACAAGAGTTTGATATACCTTTAAGAAATCAAGATCTAAGAACTACAAAATAAAACAGATGACCAATTCAGGGTTGTAGTTTCTTAATTAAATAGACTAAGTATATAGGAGTGTACAGGTCATCCCTCTCTTTTTCCTGATAAAATTTTCAATTATTCTTCATAATTTTTCTTGAGATTTTCACAGGATTAACTTTAAAACATTTCCACATGTAACATGCAAAATATTTTAGTTATCAATAACAAATAGAGGGATGGCTTGTTCTGTCCCGGCTACTAATTTATTTCATGTAGATGTACAGTACATGTGCTTGGAAGAAACATACACACCCGATAATGCATACAAATGCCAATCATCCAAACGCTCCATGCTCTGTTGTTAATAAGCATTAATACAAATTGCAGTGTCAACTATATCAGTTCAATCTATATTAAATTTAAATGGAACGTACATTGACCCGGGTAGTTTTTTCTGAACGAGTGGAGCTACGTAACTGTATGAGTACCACACACGGCTATCTCAAAAGAAAAGGTTCAGGTCAACTCAGGTTCAAAGGTCAATGTCATGCACCTCAAGGTCATATTTCATCAGTAGAATACATGCATTTTATAAGGAACTGTGAAAAGCATCCTCAAAATATTGGAGTACAAAACCAAACAAACAAAAGTAATGGTCCCTCTTCATCGAAATCAGACTCAGTTGGCCTGTATAAGTGTGCCATATACCCCATCATTTAAAGATACCAATGGGACACCGAAATCTACATTCAAATTGAGTTGCTTTTTGACATTACATGTATGCCTATAAAAATTCTTACTACTTAGGCTTTCTTTGTTAGAGGTCTTCAAAATACACATGCATGTATTGCTATACTGGTATTTTACTTATGCTAAAATATCAACTCTTATCTCGTTTTTCAGTCTTCTATCCAGTTTATGTAAGGCCTTGATACAAGACTAAAGTAATTCTATGTAAAATTATTAAAATTGTTTCTCCAAAGTGTCAACAACCATGCAAAACATTTCTCTAAAACTGACAATAAAGAATGTCGAATTCAGTTGAATTTCTTTAAAAATCAGCGGATTTACGTCATGCCTGTTTTCTTAATTGTTTGTTAAATTTCCTATTTTCACTCCATTTTCAATTTCAAATTCACAAGGTGATCTATCTGCAGGTCTACAGCATGCATCAATGTTCACATATTTTGTAATACTGACCAATTCATTGGCAGACTTGAACAATAATTTCTCTTCGTCCATCTGTAATAAACAGTCAGTTGTTGAAAGTATTCTTCGCTCAACAACAATAAATTGACCATATTAGGCAATGTTTCATAACAGAGGTGGGTCAAGGTGAAGGTGACAGCCCATACCAGGGCGGGGTCTAGATTCTAAATAGTGTGTACAGGTTGGACTGAGAAATGAGGATAAATTATTGAGGATGATCGATAAGATCAACGATTCTTGCTCACCACTGAATAAGACTAGATTGATTCCAAAGACTGATGCCATAAAAGGTGAAAATGTACTAACCAGAGACTCTAAACCCACCTCTGCGATATTATATAATCTATATCAATGATTCAAAGTAAGATTCAAAATGCAATGCACATATATGTCCTCTTATTATATCCATACAAATAGTGTCATCTAAATGACTTTTCTGATAAAAAACTTACTAGGAACAGTTCAAAGGATGCAAGAAGTTCTCCACCCTCCTGGTTGCCCCTGGTTACACTATGCCACTGCAGCAGGGCAGTTCTAGAGTCATCAGGGGTCAGTTTCACAATTGGTTTACACACAGTACGTCCCAGAAACTCAGCCTCTCCCTGAAAAATCACATTTTGTTCAGTGTAATGTAATGTCATGCTTCTATACATCATATTCACACTTTAGCTACACCTCTTCAAAGTATATGCATGTACTGTACATATATTTCATATTTGTTTGCTAACCCTACTCTCACACCAAACTAGTTCTCACTACATGTACGTTCTCGAAAACGGGCTTAAACTGTGCACGAACGGATTTGACGTACTAAGAACCCAATAAGAACCGTTTGGGATCTGTTTACAAACTTCATGAAACTACTAGAACGAGTAGGTCCTCCAGAACTTAAAGCATGCTCAAAATTTTCTGGTGATCATCAAAACGTTGCCGAATCGGTTTTAAACTGTGTGCGAACTGAATGAACGTAGCTACAACGTTCTACGGTCTGTTTACGAACTTCATGGACTTTCCCGGACGGGGAATGTGATTTAGAATTTTGAATTGATTCAAAATTCGATGGCGACCATGCCGTTCTGTAATCAGGTCATGATGACCTTTTAGACTAAGGGACGGTTTATACTACGTTGCACACCGACGTGGTGCGACCTGAACGAACTGCGAATGAGATGGACGTATTGAAGACTGTTTATGAACGAAGTAGCTAATTATTCTAGACATATATCCCGACCGCAGCCAGATTGAGCCCGTTTTACAACATTTTCGTGGGACTGGCAAGAACGGGTAAGAACTAGTTTGGTGTGATAGGGGGGTAACATAAAAAATCATCATGTTTAGTCTCCAAAATAAGAAATACAAAAAAGCTTAGCTTCCAAGTGATTAATAGATCTTCATCCAATAGGATTATCAAGAGAGTAACCAACTCACAAAATTATCATGGTCGAAGAGTTCAATGACAATCTCTGGGGGGTTCTTTGCAATGACCTCAGGGTCCCCATGTATGGCAACTTGCTCAAAAATAAGCGTCTGGTCCCACGTTGGACAAAGCGTCTTCATTATCTTCTCCGTTACATCACTCTGGTTCAGAAAACATATTCGGGCAAATGGATCTGAAAAATACATATAAATATATCAACAAGCAATTCCTGCATTCTTTCATGTTCCCTCGTATAGTTACTAATTAGTTACATGTAGTTCCCTGGGTTTATTGCAATGTTAAATATTAGATGACATTATTATACCTGGAACGCAGTAATGGAAACATTCTTAAGTACATGTATATTGTTCTCTTAATCTGACAATTATTTCCATGAATGAAACAGATTCAGAAATTCTTAGATCATTTATATTTAGATCATTAATTGACATGTCATTGATAGGCCACATTCATCTGAATCACTTGTTAATTCAACAAGGAAAGTATATGATTATTTCAGATTATTATATACCCAATATGTAACACTAATCCTGATTGGTCAATACCTAGTCACGTGTTCCGAAATAGATTTACTATTTCCCTCGGAAAATTATATTCCCTCAAATGTGAAGTCAACGGGAATATACATTTGAACTATTGCCCGCTGACGTCACGAATGCAACTCCTATTACCCTTGGAAACGTCTGCGCATCACCACTGCGCAGACGAAAAACAGAAAAATGGAGGATGAGCACAAACACAAATCAACTCCGTTCACCATGACAGACGTGCGTGAACGATAAAGTATAAGCAAAGTGTATGAAGTTCCCTAAGCTAAATACGTCTGTGTAATTTCAAGTGTTATGATAATCTATTCCGCGTGTTAAACGCGATTGAATTTGTCAAGTGAGAGTTTCAGAGGCAAAAATTTCTGTTGAGCATCTGATGACGTCACAGCTTATAATGCTAACAATGGACCCGGGGAGGGAGGGAGGGGGCTTTCTAAGCCTTTTTGGCCTTCGCAGAGGAAACGGGACAAGAGTCAGTATAGGGTATACTGTATAATAAAACAAATAGTGACTGCCTAATTTCGAGCAATAGTGTAAATGATTTCCCCTTGGGAATATCCTCTACAATGTACTATTCCCGAAGCCTCAATGGCAGTCACTATTTGTATAATATTTGGGGGAAAACTTCTATTCACAATTTGATATTGAGATTCAGAAAAACACCATAACCTGGGGTTTAAGTTAAACTCCAATCAAGAACAGATAGTTTACGACATCTTATGTACACACCCGAGATTTTCTTCACACAGTCTCTTGAACTGGTAATACACGAAATCACACCGTGGACTTAACATAATTTAATTACTGTTTTTAAAGATGTAAATCTAAAAAACTTGAGATTAAATCAGTAAAACCACTAGAATTTTGTAAAGTTTATGATACAGTCCCTTTCCTTACCTGAAAGTCCATTAGCGTCTGCAGCGAGAAGATCCCTAGCCTGATATATGTAAGCCCTCAGTTGATACCTCGGTGGCTCTAGAAAATTACAAAAGGAACAAATAAATTGAAGTAAAACTTGTTTTTATTGGAGTTTGAATGACTCCATAATTGAAAGAGTGTTTACAAGTTTGTTTGTTACTCTATTAAAAGTGCAACAAAAATTTAAATTGTATGATTGGAGACATGACCTTATATTTTATTATGTCCATTACTCAGTACATCTAACTAATACTGCATTTTTGAATAACCCGTGGTGGTGGTGCATTGCATAATAGGTAATGAGATTTCCCCCTAGGTATCAAGAAAAAGAATAAAAGCCCATGAGCGCAAATTACATGGCTGCATGTTTTCAACAACAAAAACTCATCCGAGCGTCGAACAACGAGTCTTTCAATAACGATCCAACAAGAAAGAAATCAGACAAGGATTAGCACTCCTACTTACTGGTGAAGGTTAAGAACATCCTTGGTGCACTCATTGAGGCCTCATATTTCTCTTTATCTTTGCCCTCAGCCTAATAATGTAAGCAGAATTACTGGTTTTTATACATGATCTTATTTCTATTCTGTTTAATGGTATATAATATGAGTTTATTGGTACACTTTGATTACAAAGAGCATTTATTCTAATGTTCTAGTCGTAGGCAAAATATGTGGAAAAACAAAATGAATACCAGTCAAACTATATTATATTGCATCTTCCAAATGAACTATATTATATTGCATCTTCCAAATAAACTATATTATATTGCATCTACCAAATGAACTATATTATATTGCATCTTCCAAATGAACTATATTATATTGCATCTTCCAAATGACTATATTATATTGCATCTTTCAAATGAACTATTATATTGCATCTTCAATATGATATACTTCCTTCAAAGTGTCACTTGAGATTCAGATAAACTCTTTGAAACAAAAATGAAAGATATGACAACTGCACTAACCTCTTGATTCTGGAACTCAAAAAAACAAGCTCCGTGCTCAGAGGAATCCTGGGAAACCATCTTCCTATGCCACCTCCTTCGTCGCACTAGGTCCATGCGTCTCTCCTTCGCGTGAAACTTCATATTGAACAAAGGGGCGTATTCCCAACCTTCAGCAGCCTCTTTTTCTAGCTCCTCCTGAAAAGGTGAATTCCAAAGATTTATGCATTCATGAATTTGGAATATGTTTTATTTAAAAGTCATGAATTTAAAAAAATGTGTGACTTTGTTCAATATTGAAAGGATCTGATAAGCTGATTTGTTGGTTTTTACGATATCAATTTTCCATTGATCCAGTAATTTCCAGGTTGGCATTTTGAAACTTACTTATCGCTCTTCCAAAAAAAATTCATTTGGTTCAGGATGTGATGTAAAACAATACATGCACCAGAGCCCCCTTTACTATCACAAGCTTACTCTAGTATACACCCTTGGTATACGCAGCTAACGAAAATTGACCGGTACGGGTCAAAAGCTGGACCGGTACGGGTTAACGGTTTTATTTGAATTTAAAACAGCCATAACTTGCTCAATATTGACTTCCTCGTGTCTAATTTGAAATATATGATGCCTCCCGATGTTTTTAAATACCCCAATTTTTTACAGATTTTTAAACGGACGAAAACTCTCTAAATGCGCATTTATGCTCTTTTCTCTCGAGAACGACTGTCTCATTTTCACGATAACTTTTATTTAGTACTTCTAACATATAAGATCTGTTTTTCCCCATCAAGGTATGATGTAAATGACATGCTATTTACATCTTGTGAGTTTCAATGACGCCCGTTTGATTTTATAAAAAATACCAAACTTTGTGACAAAGAATTTCATCCTGCTTGCAGCGAGAAGACGGACCGGTTCGGGGCATTTTTTATAAAATTTTCGTTAGCTGCATATACCAAGGGTGTACACAGCCAATATAATTCGGCACCGTTTCGGCATCGAAAAAATTCGGCGCTGTTCCGGCACCGTTTCGACACCGTTCCGGCACCGAAACCTTTGGACACTTAAATTTGCTACCGGACTAGTCAGTCCATTTGGTGCCGAAACGGCACCGAAATTTGGCACCGAAACGGCGTCGAAAATCAGATTGCATTTTGGGGGTGTAGTATATAAACAAAAGAATGACTGAATGAGTCGTGGGTAAGTTTTCAGAAGAGTGTACATTGAGGGTTCTCTCACAAAAATGTCCTTAGTTAGGATGTTTGTGAAAAATACAGCAGACTTACATCTTCAACTTGTGTTTTTATATCAGCCGTGAGTGTTCGTGTCCGAACCCAGCGTCTACGTCTACACATGTGATAACGTTTCTCCACAGGACCATAGCCACCAATTGTGGCCTCCACTGTGTATTCCCATCCTGTAAAAGATGATCCAACATTTGATGACGTAATCACCATCAAAAATTATTTCAATAAACAGGAGGGTGAGTATGTCTGAAATCCCAGACATGAATTGTCCGGAATCTCAGACATGAATTATAAAAGTTTCACACTTGGTAAAAAAATGCAAATGGGGTTTGGGTAAAATAAAACATTACATTTACTTCCTGAATATACGAGAGCCTGTAGCTATCATGTACTATTCCAGTCTTTCTTTTTACCCTCTCTACCATCTAAGTGTCTTACCTTCTTCATCAACTGCCCTGTTGAGATCCAATTGCCATGCATCATCCCAGCTCCATCCAGGTGGGAGTTCAATGTCATCTCTTCCTGTAGAGGCATCGCCTTTCTACAACATAAATATAGTATTTATATAGTACCCTGTTGAGATCCAATTGCCATGCATCATCCCAGCTCCATCCAGGTGGTAGTTCAATGTCATCTCTTCCTGTAGAGGCATCGCCTTTCTACAACATAAATATAGTATTTATATAGTACCCTTGAGATCCAATTGCCATGCATCATCCCAGCTCCATCCAGGTGGGAGTTCAATGTCATCTCTTCCTGTAGAGGCATCGCCTTTCTGAAACATTAATATATTATTTATATAGTAAAACTAACACAAGTCTTTCTTCAAGATTGTGTATTGTCTTTCTAAAGAATGACTTTCTTAGCGTGTCTTTTTAAAGATTGACTTTCTTAGCATATCTAGTAATTGTATTTCTACATCTATAAATTCTGTTCCTATGACATAAATATACAAGGCATTAACATGCAAAATGTCACCACCTACCAGTTGTTACAGACACTGAATGCCAAACAGCAACCAACAAACACTGACAAGAAAGAAGTTGGAGACTATTAACAATATGTCGCCACTTCTGGAGGTGACATAAAAATAAAAATCATCAACACGCTATATAAAGTATTTCAACACAAGAATAATAAATTAATAAATATAACATTTCAAAGAAAAAAATCTGTTCGCAACACACTGTTTCATAACACAATATTGAACTAATAAAATATGATATAATGACGATGCTTCAATTTACTGAATGATTTTAACATTTTATCAAAGCGCTGCTAATCCTAGATCATTGTTTCACATACGTCACATATGATTGTTTGAAGTACCATATGTTTGATCTTGTGAATACTAGAAGCCAACATCATGATCGAGCTAAACTATTATTATTTGAGATAAAATCAAAGAATAATTTGTAATATTTTACTAATGTAATATATGAAATACTGTATTCAAATATCAAAAAAGAGTAAATGAAGATGGTGTATGACATTTTGGGAAATGACTACCAAATCTGAATTATTATGAAAAAGATGTGTATTTTTCTAAAATAACTTTCATGATCGCTTGATGCTTGAACAATGGAATTCAAATGGAGCCATTTTATGTGGTTTCATAAGGAATTCCAAGAACTCCTGAATCTTAGAAGTCTTTCTGAGGCTCCTATAACATCTCAAAGTAATTATTTGTGATTTTCTGGCAGAACAATTGGTTTTATCAAATACAATGAAAATTACAAGGGCTACATGATACTGACTTCAATAAATCAAGTATGATTAATTGAAATGCCAATCACAAAAAAGCATTATTAGTAAAATATGAGCTATTTCAATTGCTAACCAGAACAACGGCAACGCCAAAGCGTAGCGAATCCCATCGAACAGCCATGGATGGCATTTTTACAAACAAAGTTTATAGCAAAAATGGCAGGCATTTTTCAAAATCGCTCCACTACTTTTCGAGTTATAGTAAAATACGTTAAAATGGCGGCCATTTTGAAAAACGGCCGCCTTCTACCAAAAGAGTCATTAGACAGTGTGCCATCCTTATAGTATTCACATACCAAATATGAACAAAATCGCTTCACTTCTTTTCAAATTATAGTAAAATAGGTTCAAATGGCGGCCATTTTTCAAAATGGCGGCCATTTTTCAAAATGGTGGCCATCTTGAAAAATGGCGGCCTTTACTCGCTATTTTACGATTTTTGCTGTAACTCGAAAAGTAGTGGAGCGATTTTGTTCATATTTGGTATGTGAATACTATAAACATAACACACTGTCTAAAGACACTTTTGGTAGAAGGCGGCCATTTTTCAAAATGGCGGCCATTTTTTAAAATGGCCACCTTCTACCAAAAGTGTCTTTAGACAGTGTGTTATGTTTATAGTATTCACATACCAAATATGAACAAAATCGCTCCACTATTTTTCGAGTTACAGCAAAAATCGTAAAATAACGAGTAAAGGCCGCCATTTTTTAAGATGGCTGCCATGTGCTTCTTTATTATTTCAAAGAAAAATAAATAAGTGTAGTGTCATGATAGCAAAAATAAGAAAAAACTAGAATGAAAAATTAAATTTCAGTTTAAGACTTCAGATTTCAGACTTTTTTAAGCTGAGTCAGCCAGAAAATAGACATTTAGACAATTCTTAGGTTGGTAAGTAGGTAGACAGGTAGGTAGAAAATATTGAAAGTATTTTTGTTTGATTTGCTTTTTTGTGGATACTCGGGCAAGTGGAAATTTCAAAATTCCCAAATTTTTGGACACTGATGTTTTGAAAACAATGAATGAAAAAAAATGTTCATCTGCAGAATTAGCTTCTTTGTTTACAGCTTTGTTTACAGCTTTGTTTACAAGATCATGATGAAAAGAAGGACCAAGAAAAAACACTGAAAGACAACTGAGAAAACTAATAAAACAGTGAAAACTCAAGATTTAACCTAATTCTTGAGCTTTGACCTAGATAAAAAGTTGACCTAATTTCCCATTGTATCTACAGAATTGATTCTTATCATCCTTTAAAAAATATTAGATTGATATTAAAATGATGATAAATCACACTGATACTTCATGTCACATAAGAATTAGTAGTTTGTTGATTCACAGCTTCACGTCATCCCTAATCAATGTCTGCTTGCGTAAACTTTTAATTGATTGGTTCATAATTGAAAATTCTATCAACATTGCATGTACTGTATTCCAATATTACTAAGATATTCTTATGAAATTGATGAGGAATACATTACCAGAAGCTTCTCTGAAATTAATATTCTCTAACATCCTCATTTCCTTGGTAACAACAATTTGATCGGGGGAATACTGTTAGATAATATCCAATCCAATAAGAAATCTTCAGTTGAGTTGGTAGGACGTCTACATGATTTGGAAAAATGGAAAAGATGACAACTCGTAGTCTGATTTTCCTTGTTCTGTCAATTCCCATATTGGCATCAAAGACAAGAATAGAAGAAACAAGGCAATTTGAAAAAAGAAAAGAAATACCCATGAGTTTTATAAAAACTGAGGAATATGATGACGAAAGAGAAGCAGTTGGAAACAGCATGGAATGTGCATTTAATGAATCGGAAATAGTTCAGTGTGGAGATGACACGCACAGTTGTGTGGAGAAATGTGGAACATCTTATAATCTGAACACATCTGAAGAATCAGTGCCTCCATTTGTCTGTCAATGCGACACCTTATGTTCCCATTATGGTGACTGTTGCAAGGACTATATCGAAACATGTGTATCTAAAAAAGTAAGCGAAGACCTTCAAGAGAGTAAAAAAGACATGTACGAATGTACTAGAATATATGGTAATGTCCATGTGTTTCTGATAAAGGAATGCCAGGCTGAACACCAGGGTGGAGAGATGGAAGAAGCGTGTAAGGGGTCCTCTCACGATATCATCAGTAGGACCCCTGTAATGGATGTCAAACATGGACACCAATATAAGAACATATATTGTGCTAAATGTAACAATGCAGGTGACCACATTCAGTCATGGAATGTCACAATTTTGTGTTTGAAAGGTACACTTTCTAATGAGGAATTGTTTAATATTGATGCTGATGTCTTCTTCAATTTGGTAGGCAGTGGTGGTAAATGCCGTTTGGAATTCAAACCTCCATTGCTATCAGAAACTTCAATATTGGCAAATCAAAATTTATCAGAAACTAAAAAAGTGGCAAGTCTGTCAGATAACCAAACAATGGCAATTTTTCTGTCAGATAACCAAACAGTTGCAATTCATCTGTCAGACACAGAAGCACCAGAAAATCACCAGAGCAGAAGTCAGGGCTCAGATATTAAAACTTTTGAAAACCGTCTATGTTTTCCCATGATTAGGGACTGTCCAGATTGTGCAGGTTCCCTCCTAGAGAAGTTGTGTACTACTGAAGGGCAGAATCCACTAAAACAATTATCATCATCAAGGACTTATTACAACTGGTTTTGTTTTCGGTGCAATAACAGAGTCAATTCTATGACCCAAGCTACGTGTGCAAGTTCATTTAAAGGGCCAGGGGGAGGCTTTGCTTTGGCTCCTTTTTTCTCTTTTCAACTCTTGTTGGATGTCACAGGAAAGGATGCCGTTGACATAACAGTTGAAACCAAAGGGAACCTTTTGGGTCTGACACCATTCACAATCACATGTGAATCAAAATCACAGTGTGGAACCAGGACCTGCCCAGTTAACTATATAAGGACTGGATCAACTTGCAGCATGGAGAAGATAGTCATTGTAGAGCTCAAGTGTATCATCCAACAGTCCAATATAACAGAACAAATTATCCACACATGGGAGTTAAATGCACTGGTGAATGATTTAATGTCAGATGCCATATCTGCACATTACAGGACAGTAGGTTTTCTCAATGTTGATTTTCAACAAAATGGCTTGGTAGACTTTGCTTTTTATGCCCAAGTTCCAGCATATGCGTCTATCGCAAATATTGATCAACAATTAACTGACAATTTTCAGGCCATGTTGACTTACATTGAGAAGTCACATAATGTGGCATTTTCATTAGGAATTAACATGACATTCACTATCACACAAAATGCTATGACAAAAAGAATCAATGGTGATGACACAAAAGAGGAAAACGAAGGCGAGACAAAAGAAAATGGGAAGGCTAATGGCACAGAAGGTAAAAACAAAGATACTAAAAAAGAAAATGAATTGACGGTTTCAAGAGGTTACTCGATGCAACACAAATATTTGACAGACATCATGCCTATTTTGCTTGTGCCTCTTTTTGTTCACCTTTATGTTCAATAGCATATGTTCATTAGATCCGAACATCAAATCCAAATAATTATTCAAATACATTTTTAAATATGTACCACTGCAAATTGTCTGCAATTTAGACAGAAAAATGAATAAATAGGGTCTATCTACAGAATGAGCCCCAAAAATTCATATTATTTATTTTATGCTAGTTTTTCATATCAGTAACCTATAGATTCTCTATAGTCTCGGTTTGGAGAACGATTTTTATAAAAAATTTATTAGCTTAGGGGACTGTTCTCCAAACCGAGACTTGTTTAATTCCATATAACACTTGAAAATGTGGGATTGATCAATCAAACAGTTTGCCTGGAAATGTGTAAACAAGAATTGCCTTATACTATTGGCAATCACAATATAGCAACCATGACAGTGCGATAAAATTCCCCATGGAATACCAACATAGTTTGAACAAGGCATTAACATGACAATATTACAACCTAGTTGCTTACAATATTATTAGTTCAAACTTATGTCAGATTTGAATTTCTGAAAAATATGTAGATGATTTTGACCCTGATGAATGTCATCTCTTCCTGTAGAGGCATCGCCTTTCTGCAACATAAATATAGTATTTATATAGTACTGTTGAGATCTAATTGCCATGCATCATCCCAGCTCCATCCAGGTGGGAGTTCAATGTCATCTCTTCCTGTAGAGGCATTGCCTTTCTACAAAATAAATATAGTATTTATAAAGTACCCTGTTGAGATCCAATTGCCATGCATCATCCCAGCTCCATCCAGGTGGGAGTTCAATGTCATCTCTTCCTGTAGAGGCATCGCCTTTCTACAACATAAATAGAGTATTTATATAGTACTGTTGAGATCCAATTGCCATGCATCATCCCAGCTCCATCCAGGTGGGAGTTCAATGTCATCTCTTCCTGTGGAGGCATCGCCTTTCTACAACATAAATAGAGTATTTATATAGTACTGTTGAGATCCAATTGCCATGCATCATCCCAGCTCCATCCAGGTGGAAGTTCAATGTCATCTCTTCCTGTAGATGCATCGCCTTTCTACAACATAATAAATATAGTATTTATATAGTACCATGTTGAGATCCAATTGCCATGCATCATCCCAGCTCCATCCAGGTGGGAGTTCAATGTCATCTCTTCCTGTAGAGGCATCGCCTTTCTGCAACATAAATATAGTATTTATATAGTACTGTTGAGATCTAATTGCCATGCATCATCCCAGCTCCATCCAGGTGGGAGTTCAATGTCATCTCTTCCTGTAGAGGCATCGCCTTTCTACAACATAAATATAGTATTTATAAAGTACCCTGTTGAGATCCAATTGCCATGCATCATCCCAGATCCATCCAGGTGGGAGTTCAATGTCATCTCTTCCAGTAGAGGCATCGCCTTTCTACAACATAAATATAGTATTTATATAGTACCCTTGAGATCCAATTGCCATGCATCATCCCAGCTCCATCCAGGTGGGAGTTCAATGTCATCTCTTCCTATAGAGGCATCACCTTTCTACAACATAAATATAGTATTTATATAGTACCATGTTGAGATACAATTGCCATGCATCATCCCAGCTCCATCCAGGTGGGAGTTCAATGTCATCTCTTCCTGTAGAGGCATCACCTTTCTACAACATAAATATAGTATTTATAAAGTACCCTGTTGAGATCCAATTGCCATGCATCATCCCAGCTCCATCCAGGTGGGAGTTCAATGTCATCTCTTCCTGTAGAGGCATCGCCTTTCTACAACATAAATATAGTATTTATATAGTACCCTGTTGAGATCCAATTTCCATGCATCATCCAAGCTCCATCCAGGTGGGAGTTCAATGTCATCTCTTCCTGTAGAGGCATCGCCTTTCTACAACATAAATAGAGTATTTATATAGTACCATGTTGAGATCCAATTGCCATGCATCATCCCAGCTCCATCCAGGTGGGAGTTCAATGTCATCTCTTCCTGAAGAGGCATCACCTTTCTCCAACATAAATATAGTATTTATATAGTACCATGTTGAGATCCAATTGCCATGCATCATCCCAGCTCCATCCAGGTGGGAGTTCAATGTCATCTCTTCCTGTAGAGGCATCGCCTTTCTACAACATAAATAGAGTATTTATATAGTACTTTTGAGATCCAATTGCCATGCATCATCCCAGCTCCATCCAGGTGGGAGTTCAATGTCATCTCTTCCTGTAGATGCATCGCCTTTCTACAACATAAATATAGTATTTATATAGTACCATGTTGAGATCCAATTGCCATGCATCATCCCAGCTCCATCCAGGTGGGAGTTCAATGTCATCTCTTCCTGTAGATGCATTGCCTTTCTACAACATAAATATAGTATTTATATAGTACCATGTTGAGATCCAATTGCCATGCATCATCCCAGCTCCATCCAGGTGGGAGTTCAATGTCATCTCTTCCTGTAGAGGCATCGCCTTTCTACAACATAAATATAGTATTTATAAAGTACCCTGTTGAGATCCAATTGCCATGCATCATCCCAGCTCCATCCAGGTGGGAGTTCAATGTCATCTCTTCCCATAGAGGCATCGCCTTTCTGCAACATAAATATAGTATTTATAAAGTACCCTGTTGAGATCCAGTTGCCATGCATCATCCCAGATCCATCCAGGTGGGAGTTCAATGTCATCTCTTCCTGTAGAGGCATCGCCTTTCTGCAACATAAATATAGTATTTATAAAATAACACAGACATTCTTAGATTAACTAGTTAATGCATTTCTATATCTATAAAATCTGTTCCTACAACATAAATATACATGGCATTAACATGCAAAATGTCACCACCTACCAGTTGTTACGGACACTGAATGCCAAACACCAACTGACAAACATCAACCACAAAACACTGACAACAAAGAAGTTGGAGACTATAACAATATGTAACCACTTCTGGTGGTGACATAAAAATCAAAGTCATCAACATGCTATAAAAAGTATTTCAACACTAGGATAATAAATTAATAAATATAACATTTCAAAGAAAAAAGTTCGTTCGCAACACATTATTTCATCACACGATATTGAACTAATAAGATATGATAATTACGATGCTTCAATTTACTGAATGATTTTAGAATTCTATCAAAGCGCTGCTAATTTCCTAGATCTTTGTTTCACATACGTCACATATGATTGTTTGAAGTACCATATGTTTGATATTGTGAATACAAGAAGCCAACATCATGAGCTAAACTAATATTATCTGAGTTAAAATCACAGAATAATTTGTAATATTTTACTAATGTAATATATGAAATACTGTATTCAAATATCAAAAAGATGACATTTTGGGAAATGACTACCAAATCTGAATTATCATGAAAAAGATGTGTATTTTTTAAACATCATTATTTTTCTAAAATAACTTTCATGACCTCTTGATCCTTGAACAACAGAATTCAAATGGAGCCATTTTATGCGGTTTCATGAAGAGTATGGAGAACTCCTGAATCTTACAAGTCTGTCAGAGGCTCCTATAACATCTCAAATTATTTGTGATTTTCTGGCATAACAATTCGTTTTATCTAATATAATTGACAAGGGCTACATGATACTGACAACAATAAACAAGTTTGATTAATTGAAATGCCAATCACAAAAAAACATAATTAGTATAATATGAGCTATTTCAATTGCTAACAAGCAATAACTGATATTGTAATATCGCAATATGAAAGCTGAGGAAATACAGGGTAGCCCCAAAAACAGTCTCACTCGTATATCTATGCTATTAAGTATTAACCTTATCTATCCTTCTCATTAGTTTGACTTACATTGTAGCGTCTCCTTTGTCTACACTCCTTCAGTTTAAGAGAAACCTTTGAACTCACCGAGCCACTCAGAACTTTTCGTTTAAAGAAGGATGGATCTCTATACATGTACATGGTCATTTCCTCTGAAGTCATTGTTATTATTGACCAACATTAACGGGGGGGGGGGGGCATTAACACCAGCAGTGATGGTGGCACAATTAACTGTAAAACTGTCTTAACTGTTCAGAGTGTACCTAAGAACTAACCTCTGCGCTCAAGGTAAACCTTTTAAGGTTTTAAAACTAGAGCAGATAGATGAAAATGTGACATTTAAATTTTTGAATTAAGGTTATTCTTTATTATGTCATTTGCAAACTAAAAATCACTGGTTGGGTTTGCCTGGTTTGTCAGCTATCATGTTAGTTTCAGTGAAAATACAAACAACAGTACAAACCTTTTGCATGGAGGAGGTTATTTTCTTTGATAAAACAAAACATCTGAGTTAAAAAGCTTTTAAAATGCTACCTTTAAGACAACTGAACACTTTATATAGACACATTTTAAATTGAAAGCATTTCAATAACTCAAATGCGAGTAGGTAGTTACCAGTTTCCCCACCAGGTGGCTCGTCCGGTTCAGATAGCATGGCGCGTATAGTAGAAAGTTCCCTTTAACTTAGATTACATCTGTTTTAGTGGTTCAATTTTCATATAGCCCTTATGTATCGAATAGTTATGCAAATTAAAGTATGCCCAGTAAAAGAAAATGTTATATGTCCAATACAAGAAAAGATATTTCACTTTTTGAGATTTTGTAATATGGGGCCTATGGGGAATCAACCCGAACTAGAAGTCCCATTTTCAAAAAAGATTAAATTTTCAAAGTTGATAAACAATTTTCGAAACCATATTTCTAGATGTACTTTTACATGTAGATTTGAATTTTGAATATTTAATGACGTAAATCAAGATCATTTCTACTCGCATCTAGTCTATTGGCTTGGAGGAGTGCCATATCTTATCTTAGTATATACATGTATTCTTTATTTTCAGCCACACTTGTAAGTATAAAATAGTACATGATATTAACTAGTTTTTTAATTTAAAGATTTTTTTGAATATCTAAAGCTCATAGAAACTGAATTTGAAGTTTAATTAAAAATTCTGATTGAGGATTTTAAAGCCTTAAATAATTATCCTTAGATTTGATGCTTACAACATTAAATTTTGAGAATGTTTTGCTGACCGACTTTCTTGACACTATATCTCAAAGATGGGTCAAAGTACATTCTAACGGTTTCAAGCTAACACTTTTAGCATAATCTTGGCAATTTGTAAACTAAATTTCAAAGAGAAATAAATATGTGAAGTGTCAGGATCACAAAAATAAGAAAAACTAGAATGGTAAATTGAACAAAATTTTTCAAGTTCAGATTTCAGAATATAGACATTTAGATAAGTCTTGGGTTGGTAAGTAGGCAGGCAGGTAGGAAGGAATTAATTTTTAAGTATTTTTGATTGATCTGCTTTATGGATACTGGCAAGTGGCAAGCACATATTCCAAAATTTTGGGACATTGATATTCCGAAAACAATAGATGAAATAAAAAAACTATTTGCTTTTCGGAATTAGCTTTGTCTACAAGGAACACAATGAAAAGAAAGACCAAGAAAAAACACTCAAATACAACTGAGAAAACTAATAAAAAAGTGAAAACTCAAGATTTGACCTAATTCTTGAACTTTGACCTAGATAAAAAGTTGACCTAATTTGCCATCGTATCTTCAGGATTGATTCTTATTATCCTTTAAAAAATATTAGATTGATATTAAAATGATGACAAATCACACTGATACTTCATGTCACAAAAGAATTAGTAGTTTGTTGATTCACAGCTTCACGTCATGGTTGGTTCATAATTGAAAATTCTTATCTATCAACATATCATGTATTGTATTCCAATATGACTAATACATACTTATGAAATTGATGAGGAATCCATTACCAGAAGCTTCTCTGAAATTAATATCCTTCAACATCCTCATTTCCTTGGTAACAACAATTTGATCGGGGGAATACTGTTAGAAAATATCTAATCCAATAAGAAATCTTCAGTTGAGTTGGGAGGACGTCTTCATAATTTGGAAAAATGGAAAAGATGACAACTCGTATTTTGATTTTCCTTGTTCTGTCAATTCCCATATTGGCTTCAAAGACAAGAATAGAAGAAAGGAGGCAATTAGAAAAAAGAAAAGAAATACCCTCGAGTTTTACACAAACTGAGGAATATGATGACGAAAGAGAAGCAGTTGGAAACAGCATGGAATGTGCATTTAATGAATCTGAAATAGTTCAGTGTGAAAAAGACACGCACAGTTGTGTGGGGAAATGTGGAACATCTTATAATCTGAACACATCTGAAGAATCAGCGCCTCCATTTTTCTGTCAATGCGACACCTTATGTTCCCATTATGGTGACTGTTGCAAGGACTATATCGAAACATGTGTATCTAAAAAAGTAAGCGAAGACATTCAAGAGATTAAAAAAGACATGTACGAATGTACTAGAATATATGGTAATTTCCATGTGTTTCTGATAAAGGAATGCCAGGCTGAACACCAGGGTGGAGAGATGGAAGAAGCGTGTAAGGGGTCCTCTCACGATATCATCAGTAGGACCCCTGTAATGGATGTCAAACATGGACACCAATATAAGAACATATATTGTGCTAAATGTAACAATGCAGGTGACCACATTCAGTCATGGAATGTCACAATTTTGTGTTTGAAAGGCACACTTTCTAATGAGGAATTGTTTGATATTGATGTTGATGTCTTCTTGAATTTGGTAGACAATGGTGGTGGATGCCGTTTGGAGTTCAAACCTCCATTGCTATTAGAAACTTCAATGTTAGCAAATCAAAATTTGTCAGAAACTAAAAAAGTGGCAAGCCCGTCAGATAACCAAACAATGGCAATTTTTCTGTCAGATAACCAAACGGTTGCAATTCATCTGTCAGACACAGAAGCACCAGAAAATCACCAGAGCAGAAGTCAGGGCTCAGATATTGAAACTTTTGGAAACCGTCTATGTTTTCCCATGATTAGGGACTGTCCAGATTGTGCAGGTTCCCTCCTAGAGAAGTTGTGTACTACTGAAGGGCAGAATCCACTACAATCATCATCATCAAAGACTTATTACAACTGGTTTTGTTTTTGGTGCAATAACAGAGTCGATTCTATGATCCAAGTTAGGTGTGCAAGAACATCAAGAGGGGGAGGCATGGCTTTGGCTCCTTTTTTCTCTTTTCAACTCTTGTTGGATGTCACAGGAAAGGATGCGGTTGACATAACAGTTGAAACCAAAGGGAACCTTTTGGGTCTGACACCATTCACAATCACATGTGAATCAAAATCACAGTGTGGAACCAGGACCTGCCCAGTTAACTATATAAGGACTGGATCGACTTGCAGCATGGAGAAGATTGTCATTGTAGAGCTCAAGTGTATCATTCAACAGTCCAATATAACAGAACAAATTATCCGCACATCGGAGTTAAGAAAACTGGTGAATGATTTAATGTCAGATGCCATATCTACACATTACAGGACAGTAGGTTTTCTCAATGTTGATTTTCAACAAAATTGCTTGGTAGACATTGCTTTTTATGCCCAAGTTCCAGCATATGCGCCTATCGCAAATATTGGTCAACAATTAACTGACAATTTTCAGGCCATGTTGACTTACATTGAGAAGTCACATAATGCGGCATTTGCGTTAGGAATTAACATGACATTCACTGTCACACAAAATGCTATGACAAAAAGAATCAATGGTGATGACACAAAAGAGGTAAATGAAGGCGAGGTGAAAGAAAATGGAAAGGCTACTGGAACAGAAGGTAAAAACAAAGAAACTAAAAAAGAAAACGAATTGAAGGTTTCAAGAGGTTACTCGATGCAACAAAAATATTTGACAGACATCGTGACTATTTTGCTTGTGCCTCTTTTTGTTCACCTTTATGTTCAATAGTTACATGTTCATTAGATCGGAACATCAAATCCAAATAATTATTCAAATACATTTTTAAATATGTACCCCTGCAAACTGTCTGTAATTAACACAGAAAAAATGAATATATTAACTAGAAAATGGAAACTCCACGGAGTAGCAAATCCCAACGAACACTATATGAATCATCAATCTGTACAGTCACAATGGAATATTTACCATCTACTGTTACCTTCAATAAATATTTTAAATCATTGTAGTATCATGTAACCATATTTTCAAGATAACTCTAAGTAATGGCGAATTTCTGCTCTAGTCAGCCATTTTGAATTTTCAGAGGCGCAAATCAGAAAAACAATGCCATAATTGTGATCTACTCTGAAATTCCTTCAATTTGAGTATAATATAGCCATACTTTTAAGAGATCATAAAACAATTGCGAAATCCTGCATTAGGTGGCCATTTTGAATTTTTTGAGGCCTGAATCAGAAAAACGTTACAATATTTGCAATCTACTCTAAATTGACTTTCAATTGAGTATAATAAAGCTATACTTCAAAAACATCTCAAAATTAACGCAAATTCCTGTTTTCCCGATCCCCCATTTACGGCCCCTGGGGGTCAGGGTGAAAAACCCGGGATATATGTGAAATAGATAGATGTTGTTAATATACCCAAAATTTCAAATAATAATATTTATTATTTTGGTTTAAAATGAAAAACATAAGATTTTTGCGAAAAATTCCAGCCATTTTTAAACTGGCAGCCATCTTCTGTTCACCAATATACATCTTTCCACCAAATATGAAAAAAATCTGTTAACTAGTATTCAAGTTATCTTCTGGACAGTTGGACGGACTGACAGACTGACAGACTGACGGACTGACGGATGGCTTCACTATATCCCTACAGAACTTCGTTCGTTGGGATAAATAGGGTCTATCTACAGGATGAGCCCCAAAAATTCATATTATTTATTTTATGCTAGTTTTTCATATCAGTAACCTATATATATATCTTTATAGTCTCGGTTTGGAGAACGATTTTTATAAAAAAAATATTAGCTCAGGGGACTGTTCTCCAAACCGAGACTTGTCCTTAACCCATCATGTACAAAATCTTTTTCCTGATCTTTGTTTAATTCCATTAAACACTTGAAAATGTGGGATTGATCAATCAAACAGTTTGCCTGGAAATGTGTAAACAAGAATTGCCTTATACTCTTGGCAATCACAATATAGCAACCGTGACAGTGCGATAAAATTCGCCATGGAATACCAACAAAGTTTGAACAAGGCATTAACATGACAAAATGTTACCACCTAGTTGCTTACAATATTATTAGTTCAAACTTATGTCAGATTTGAATTTCTGAAAACTCTGTAGATGATTTTGAAAAAATGGTCAATTTGAAACAAGTTTCTTGACCCTGAGAAGGTCATTGATGGTGAAATCTCAAATCTAAAGTCAGATTTGAACTTCTGAGAACTTGAAGATGATTTTGAGAAAAAAATTGTCAATTTGAAGCAAGTTAAAAAAAGACCTTTTTCAACCTTTTTTGACCTTTTTTGAAATCTTTTTTGACCTTAAAAAGGTCATTGAAGGTCAAATCTATATTCCAATTTGAACTTTTGAGAACTTGTAGGTGATTTTGAAAAAAAAATTGGTCAATTTGATGAATGTTGAAAAAATACATTTTTTGAACTTGAAAAGGTTATTGAAGGTCAAATCTTAATTTTAGAGTCAAATTTGAACTTCTGAAAACTTGTAGATGATTTTGAAAAAAAATTGCTTAATTTCAAGCAAGTTGAAAAAAGACCTTTTTTAACCTTTTTTGACCTTGAAAGGTCATCGAAGGTCAAATCTTAATTCTAGAGTCAGATTTGAACTTCTGAAAACTTGTAGACGATTTTGAAAAAAATTGAAGTCAGTTTAAACAGTATTTGTCAAGCTATTGGAAGTTGTAAGAAATTGTTACAGACGCAAATCGCCAACCGCCAACCACAAACCGCCAACTACCAACCGCCATCCGCCGATCGCCATCACAAAAATGGAGACCATAATAATTTTATGACATAAAAAGAAAATCATTTGGTTAATTTGAAACATAGAATCAAATCCTGTGCTAAGGGCAGATGTAAAGAAGGAACTTCACCTTGGTGGGAATCAAACCCACAACAGCCCAATTACACATAAATAAAAAAATAAAAAAAACAGCGTCAATTAAGTTGGAATGAAATTTTCCTCATGAAAAAGCTTACCACATCTGTCCAAGGAGTATATGCTGACCCCCATTGACCTCCTGGAATACGAGATTCATTCTCGTAAGCATCTTCCATGAAGTGTCTATGTCCAGCGTCCTTGTCAAACAACATACTGTAATGAGAGATTTTTCAGATGATTGATATGTTTTCTAAATAAGACACCCAGTCATCTGAAGCCATATTTTATGGATATGTTATTGTTAAAATGAACAAAATGAAAATTGTAATACTAGCCTATTGTCATTCAAAATGACTGTTTCAACAGTACAACTTCACCGGTGATAGCATTACAATCATACTTATACAGTGTATATACAGGGTGGTCCAAAAAAAATTGGAACATTTGTTAATTGAACGCAAAACCTTTATTTTTCTTCTAAAATGTACGAAACTTTTACTGAGCATAGTTCAATCACTTATTTATCTGATGTAAAGTTTATAAGTGAAAACCACAAAGTTAATGCATTAAACTAGTCAATGTTTGATAGGACCCCCTTTTCTTAAATATACACTTGTCAATTCCGCAGCTACTTTTTCAAGTATTATTTATTTCAAAGCTTTAATGCACATGTTAACTGCTATAAATATTTTATAAAATCATATTCAGTTGACAAAGGGTATTTACATCTGGGGTTTGCCAGAAAAATATTGTGTTAACTTAAACTTAAACAATACCCAAAATGATAATTTTCATTTAAGAGTAGGGAAGAACGAACATGTCAGAGGTGAGCGATTGCATAACCCTCACAGCTACTCAAGTGACAAAAGAATTGTCCCACTTTTCAGTAAAGGCAAAACTGACCAGTTATTCATAGTAAAAACCAACGCTAAGCACATATACAGTGTATAATATATATATAATATGCCATTTGTGTTCTCTCTATGATATTGATAGACATATTGATATTTCCAATGAACATTATTCATATCAGAACAATAAAGGGGAGGGGGCTTCGTTTACCAGTCAAATCAGACTGTCCTGACCTCTTTCTGGAGAATATTCAATCAGTAATACACCCAACAATAGCCATCAAAATATGCTTGATACTCATGGATTTGGGTAAAAAATGTTGAATATGTTACTAGATTTGATTTTCCAAGTCAAACAAATAGGAAGTTTGATCAAGCTGAAATTTTTAATTAAGATGGCTTGGACAAAACAAACGAACAGCAAACTGATTCAATTTTTACAAATCTGAGCCCCAGGCTTCAACTTGTAAGTCAGGAGAAGAGGGGTCATATCAAATATCGACTAGTTTAATGCATTAACTTTTTGGTTTTCACCTATAAACTTTACATCAGATAAATAAGTGATTGAACTATGCTCAGTAAAAGTTTGGTACATTTCAGAAGAAAAATAAAGGTTTTGCGTTCAATTAACAAATGTTCCAATTTTTTTTGGACCACCCTGTATATTAATGTTAATTATAACATTAAGACAAAGTATGAATAGATATCATAAATAAATTTGATATAGCAGCCTCAAGCAAGTAAGTCTCCTTATATCTTTTCAAATCACCCACTCAGCTAAAGGTGAAATCATACCTTTTCAGGTAAACAAAAAACGATACCTTAGTTCTGGACTAATATACCAATCATCATCCCAGACCCACCCAGGTGGAGGATTAAACATGTCCTTTTCCAACTTCATCTGCAACACAAAACAAACATACATATATATCAGGCCCGTAGCCAGGGGGGGGGTTCGCAGGGTTCGGGCGAACCCCCCCCCCCCCCTGGCCAAAAATTCTTTCAAAATCATGCAGTTTTTGACCATTTTGAGCACTTGTCTAGTGATTTTAGCCTAATTTGGGCCAAAATTGTCAAATGTGAACCCCCCCCTGGAAATTTTTGAAAATTGAACCCCCCCTTGGCAAATCCTGGCTACGGGCCTGTATATATGTACAGGGTTAAGCAAAACAGCAATCCTCCATTTTTGGGCATTTTACTTTGTTAATTGTGAAAAATTCTTGAATTCTCTTGTGTAGTTAGAGTTCAATGCAGATATCTGAGGCTATAGAAATTACATTTTCTGTTTTTCTCAGTCTAGGCCCAGTCTCACAAATTATTCAAAAATGCAAGTTCAGAAATCTGTCTTACTTTTTTAAGCTCCTATAATGATGAGAAGTTTGAAGAGGAAGATAAATTATATAATGTAAGTGTAATGAAGCAGGAGAAATGGAGTTGTTTGTTTTGGAAGTGAATTCATGCAATTTTCTTCATTGATTTAATAAAAAAAGATAAAAGACACCATTTACCGGCTCAATTTTTCATAATTTATTGTGACTGCTGCACCACTACTTTTTTGGGAAATACACTCTAGGGATTTATAAGGTTAAATTCAAACGTACAATAACGCAGATGCGAGTAGGTAGTTACCAGATTCACCACCAGGTGGCTCGTTTGGGTCAGATAGCATTTCGGGTATAGTAGAAAGTTCCCTTTAAGTTAAATTACATCTATTTGCGTGGTTCAATTTTCATATAACCCTTATTTTTCTAATAGTTATGCAAATTAAAATATGTCCAGTAAAAGAAAATGTTATCTGTCCAATACAAGAGAAGATAATTCACTTTTTGTGATTTTGTAACATGGGGTCTATGGAGAATCAATCCGAACAAGAAGTCACATTTTCAAAAAAAATTAAATTTGCAAAGTTGATAGACAATTTTCGAAACCATATTTCTAGATGTACTTTTACATGCAGATTTCAAATATGACATCACTTTGGCTGAGTTTTGAATATTTAATGATGTAAATCAAGATTATTTCTACTCGCATCTGGTCTATTGTAAATGTTTTTCTCTTAGTCCCGGGTCTTAGTCCTTACCTTGCCAGTGACGTCTGAAAATTTAGGACGGGACATGGTTGGTCCTTTGTTGGTCCAGTTGCCTAGGATACTGACCTGGTTTTCATACTATAAAAATAATTGGTTCATCCACTTTATATCATTATCACCAAACATAATGGTGACACAGGTTTTGTAGCAAGACTTAGACAGCATTTGAATCCTGTGTGTGTGTGTAAATGACCAAATAAGATACATGGATCTCTGAGTACAATACACATATACTATTAAGTTCTATATTATCTGAATATTTTAAATAGCCTAACACATACGGCTTATTTTCCAACATTCAGTTATATCTCATTATGATATATGTTTAGTATGGGAATTTTTTTTTCTTACCGCCTCAGCAAATACAGAAAGTTCTCCTTCAGTCTGCATGCGGTGCCACTCCATCTCATGTTTCTCTAAACCCAGCCATATCTTCACCCTCAGCTTAGCAGGCACCCCACACTTGCCCTCTTTCTCAGCCTTGTGACCGGGGTACTGAACAAAATATCATATAAAACTGTTCACATGATTAAGTTTTGTGCCTGGTGTATAATCAAACACACAACATTTAACAAATATTATTTTGAAGTAATTATTTAGATAAATAAAAAAAAAAAATCGCTTTCAGGACAAGACTGTTACTGTGTTCCATGAACAATATTCTCAAGGTAAAATTCTTTCAGAAAAAGACTTACATGAACACCATACCTTCTGGGTAAGAGTCTCTCAGGAAAAGACTGTTACATAAACACTGTACCTTTATGGTAAGATTCTTTCAGGACACAACTGTTACATAAACACCATACCTTTAGAGTAAGAGTCTGTAATTTGCCACAGTTCTTTCCAGAGGCCCCAGCATTGGGTGAATACATAACATCATAGGCTGGAATACGATAATACGCAACACGTTTTGTACCACAGATCATCCAGACTACCACATCAGGCACACTATTTTGTGGCTGGAAATACAATGTATATTACAATTTGTGAATGTTCCCATTTATTGTTGAGGTTTTTCCATGGAGAAACATTTAAATTAACATTTTAGTTTCATGTCCATAAAATAACAAACAAAAATACAGATTTAATTTATAGTGCCTAATATAAAATGCATTAAAAAAGATTTTCACTAAATGCTAAGAGTGCATGAAAACAATTTTAAGAGAATATTTCAGATTTTAGAAGGTTCACTGTATGTACTGTATTATTCTTATATAGTATTTGTCTGTATGTTCTGAACTAGCTAAATTTTTATGTATAATTTTTCTACATGCTTATAAGCTTGTTCACTCTTTATTCTTTGCTGTTTTCCACAAATACAGGGTGGCCCATGTTTGGTGTCACCCTGTGTTTTAATAATATGACCACTATTAAGTTTTCTAGCAGGGAGATCAACAACAATTACCTCGATAGCGATGTTTTTGAGGATCTGTAAAAAGCCATCAATTTCTGACAATGCTTCGTCTATCTCCGTGGCAACCTCACGCAGCCGTGCAGCCTCTTTCTTGATGAAGTACAGCTCGCCTTCACGGTATGTACGGAGTAACTGATCCAATGTGTTTTGAGTATGTTCACCAGGATGTGCAGCTGGCAGAGGACGTCTGGTAAGAAAAAAGGTTTTAAGATAATTTGCATGTTTAATACACAAAACATGTACATGTACATTCAATACTGTATGGTACAATGTGTTATAGTATTTATATCAGTAAAATGGATTATAAAAATGTGTGTACAAAAAGTAACATCATACTGCACTTTGTTTAAACATTTAAATATTCATCTTTTGAATACTTTGCACAGTTTAAGTAATATAAACAAGTTACATTTATATTATTCCTATTCTGCTTCAGCTACCTTAAGGACAATAATAAGTATTTTTATTGGCAAGTCAGTGATGACTTGTTCTTGTGTATCTCAAACATACCTGCAGTCTTCAATGAGTTGTTCCAGTAATGCAATGACCTGCTGGGCTAGTTCTGGAGTGGGCAGGTTTGCTTGTTGACCAATCCTGAGTTTTTCTAAATTTGTCTCCTATAACAGTTTCGTCAGAATGAATTAACTCTATCCTTTACTACTTATAATTCATATTACTTAGAAGTTAGAAAAAATATCTTTAAAAATATATCTACAGGGTGATCATGGGCTTTCATAGACAAGCATATGAAACACATGTAAACATATTAAAATATGACTCTCACAGGAATCGAACACCCAGCATTAACTATTGATCAAATCCCCACCCCCCTGATAATTACAGGACATACCAGTCCATCTATGATGGCTAAGATGATATTGAGACTCTCAAGCCTAAAGCTGATGTTCTCCCAGTGAGATTCCACCACAGTGCATGGCTTAGTGTCCCCCCAGGGCAGGAAATAGTAGTAGCACCCATCAAACATAGCATTGGTTGGCTGGGTTGTGCTGGAACATGGGGGTACACTCTCATCCAGTTTGTTGCCATAGTTACCTATCAAATCAATCACATTATTAATGAAACTGCAGTTTTTGAGTATTTTATCAATAAAAAATATTCTAAAAGTCAAAATTTCACAATATGATGATGTGGATATTTCTCCTTTCTTTTATTCCACAAAATAGGAATTATTTTTTCACCTAAATCATTTTATTTCAAATTTATCATGATAAAACTGTTGCATGAAGTTAAACAATCATGAAGTGGCTGTTGTATGCAACTGAACAGTGATGACATATCCATTGTGTAAAAGTGCCTAATATTAATGACTTAATACTTACCTATGCTAACTTCAAACTCGACTGGAGCATCCACTTCATTTACCATGGTAGCATTCAGGAATGCAGCGTGAAGCTTGTACTTCCTTCGTCTCATGAATTTCTGAAAATAAAACATGGCAGTTAGCATTTTACATCTTTTCCCAGAGAGAGAGACAGTGATGTAAATTAGATAAGAGCCTTTAACATATTTTTGAATTTAGCAGGTACTGATGAGTAATCCACTGTCGCCCCTATTTGAGCACTGTGTCAATGTTTTTGTAATAAATATTTACTTTTTTCTAAAGTGTGTTACAGCTATGAAAAAGATTTACTTGTCGTACCTGAACCCTAAAGATGTCATCGCTGACTATGTCATCAAGATTTAGTTCGGGAACTTCTCCAACTGATGTTGTCAGTTCAACTAAGGCACGTCCTCTATAAGCCACACCCTCACCCTACGACAAAGGTAAAATTACAATGAATTAAATGAAAACATTTATTTATATCTTAGGGCAATTTCAGGAGTTTTTACACTTTCTATACATAATCTTCCATTGACATCAATGTCAAACAGAGTGAGGTAAATTCAGAATTCTGAATACCAAAAACCAGGCGGCTATCATTGAAAAAGGTATTTTACAAAGAAAAATAAAATGAAATATTTGTTTTTTCACACAATATTTTCCACCACTGAAATTCTCATATTTGACACATATGACTTGTGATTGCTGCCTTATCCTATGCCCAGTAGAGTTTTAGGGAATTAAGTTTATAAGATATATCCCATATCCTGATTTTGAGGTTTCCATATCCAGAACCTCCATATCTCCCGCTCCAGGGCATATCTTCCCGCTTTGAAAAAAATTTGAAAAAAAGAATTTTTGAAAATAAATTTGAAAAACAATTTTGAAAAAAAATCTTGGAAAAAAATATGAAAAAAATTTGAAAAAGACAAAAATAAAAAATAGAAAACTCTACTGGTGATAGGATAAAGCAGTTATGTACGGTTGGTTTGGATATGGGGTTCATACCTCGTGAGATATGATATGATATGCACATCTACCTTCGGTCCCCGCGGTCCCTCAGGTAAATATGCATATCTCCCTCTGGATAAACCCCATATCCATAACCTCCCAGTACATAACCCTTATTTATCTTTCATTGACTTATGAGAGAGTATCAAAGTGATGAAATAATAATCAAAATAAATGTCATACTTTTCCAAGATTGAGATCATCAAATTCATCTGGTAGGTCGGAGTATTCACGAGTTGATCCATAGAAGTTTACATAGCATGGTCCAAATGTAGGAAGGAACCCTACAAAAATAGGAGAATATTCAGAGTGCTCAAAAGTAGATCTTGAAGTGCATTATTTAAAACTTGAGGTGAGATATTGATATTGATAAATTAGTGATATTCATTGTTTCATTTTTGCACAATATAAGATACCACAACCCGAAATCATAGAATTTTTAAACATACAATATATAATGTATAAGCAACTTACAGTACATAAATTTTTGAATTAAGTTACATCAAGATCAACAGTATAAAAATAAAGTGAAGATAAAATTTATTATTCTAAAAAGGTTCATTGTTTATGTAAAAGAACATACATTACATGTATATGATCTGGACATAATATTTCAAGAACCCTTTCCCTGCATCGAACAAAACAGGCATTTGTTTGTCATAAAATATAACTCCAGTGTTGAAGCAGCAGAACAATAGAGACTGTCAGCTATGTGTAAAATAAATCAAACAAAAAAGATCTGAGAAAGTCAAATTCTAGTTACATGGTTCTTATTTCAAGAATTTTCAGTATTTTTTACTCCTCAATCTTGCCATTTATTCAGTGATCTGCTGCTGCTTTATCATAGAGTATGCATGTATCTTATATAAATTCCCAACTCCTATATGTACACATGCATGCTTAAAATTATAAAATGTGCACCAATAAGAGCACAATGCACAGACACTAACTACAGATACTTCAAACACAAAATGATAACTTAACAATGAAGGAGGATATAATACGGAAATACGGAAGTATTGTAGCCTACGGTGGAGCAAAGAGGTCACAAAACAAACATAACTATTTATGTTTGTATGTACTGTTTGTATGTATACGAAAAAAATGAAAAATATGAAAAAAAGTAAATCCTTAGAGGCAGACCATCAATAGCCAAGCTGTAACCACATTGTCCACACATAGGCCACACTACCTCAACCTTTTTTATTTTCTAACTCAGTAGGATGATAGCACCACCATCTGACAAATCACTTTTTGAGAGTGAAGTCAAACTTGCCATAGCCAGCTTTCACCAAGGTCTAGGGAAGCTCCCTGGAGTGGGGGAGATTTTGCTATGAGGGGTAGCTTTTGACAGCTTTGACTAAAAACTGCATGATTTTGAAAGAATTTCTGGCAAGGACCTGCCAAAATTACTCAAAAGTAGCATTGTCAGGGTCTAATTATTTGAGAGTCCAAATATGACACATTACAGATTGTCTATATTCATATTCAGATGTAAAACACAAGTGACCATATTTGGACTATGCACTGAGCTGCCTCTCAAGATTCAGATGATGGGGCTACATCCTCCCGCTCATGCTTATCATGCTTAAATATGTATAATAATAATGATTGTAGAATGCCAATCTTACCATCCTCTCCCTTCTCTGTTCATGTAAGCAATTAAGAATTAAATAAATCTCTTTAATTATACACCATTATCATAACTATTTATATACAGGGTGGGCCAAAAAAAACCACCCCCCTAGCCATTATTTCTGATAAATATCTATTTTTTAACATGTACACCAACAATGATATATCATTTTAAAGATAATTTAATTTGCAACAAAATGATATATAATAGATCCATTTTCAACAACCCCATATAGAAATATAATCAATTATGTGACATGGGGGTCAAAAAACACCTTTTCAATTTTCATCGATTTTGCGTACAATAGCCTATTTCTACCAAATTTTACTGTTCAGTTCAACATTGCAACATTGTCATGAGTCTTTCATAATCGGATATTATATATTGTTTTCATTCAGTTTTTGAACCATGCATGCTCAATAAACATGTGTATGCTTATAAAACAAATTCATTTCTTCCTCAGTCTGTCCAAATATGGCTCAATAGACCCACTCCCCGGGCCCATCCTCTGATGGGATTATTCGCTAAAGACGCGGAAGCCATTGGTTGATGGCATAATTGATGGATGTATGCCGAAGTACCATTCAACTGCTAGTTATTCTTTCTTTTAGTTCCTCTACATCCCTGATAAGCAGGGTATCTTTAAATACCAACTGTTCTAGATGCCCCCAGGTATGGTTATCAACATTATTGGCATCTGGACTGCCAGTAAGCCATTTGTCCTGGCTAGAGATGGTGTCTCCAAAAACTCCAGGGTAGCATTGGAGCTGTGTGATGAAGCACTTTCCTATCAGATAATGAAAATTTCTTTCACATGTTTTTTACATCCTTGAGGAGTCCTTTTTAACACCTCATGCCATTAATATTCAGAGGATATTTTGCTCCTGGTTCAACAAAAACAGGGCCTGTACGGTCTTTCCTTTTTGGGAAACACCGAGTGGCACCATTACCCTTTCAGAAAAAATGTCATCCCGATTTGAGTAGCCTTTTATCGCAAATGTCCCTATTTTTGCTTACTGATGTATAGAGTCTATTCTGTTGATTACATGTATAGTACTTGGGGCATTTATAACAGTTGGTCTATGAAGATCACTAGCCTATCAGGGATGTAGACAAACTAAAAGAATGAATAATTAGGAGGTTGATGGTGCTTCTGCAGAGATCCACCAATTATACCAATGGTTTTTGCATCTTTAGCGAATAATTCCGATCAGGAGGTGAGTCCGGGGGTGGGTCTATTGAGCCATATTTGGTCAGACTGAAGAAGAAATGAATTTGTTTTATAAGCTTACACATGTTTATTGAGCATGCATGGTTCAAAAACTGAATGAAAACATCCAATTATTGAAGACTCATGATAATGTTGCAATTTTTAACTGAACAGTAAAATTTGGTAGAAATTGGCTAATGTTCGCTAAATTGATGAAAATTGAAAAGGTGTTTTTTGACCCCCATGTCACATAAATGGTTATATCTCGAGCCAGGGTTGTTGAAAATTGTTCTATTATATATCATTTTGTTGCAAATTAAATTATCTTTAAAATAATATATCATTGTTGGTGTACATGTTAAAAAATGAATCTTTATCAGGGATATCGGCTAGGGGGGTGGTTTTTTTTGGCCCACCCTGTACATAAGAGGCTGACAAGGGTCAATATCTATAGTAATGAATAGTACTAACAAAGGCCATGGGTAACTGGTACGATTCTTTTAATTTCAGTGATGGTTAAGGGATTTTTGTGATAGTATAAGAAACAGGAAATTATGGGATACACTCTCCGATATGGGGTTATCTGCGATGAACATATACTAAGGTTTAAGGATAATACAAAGAAAGTACATTGGGATACACTCTGCAATGGAGTTAAGGGATTTTACAGTACAAGGATATGACATTATGGGGTAAGGTAGGGTGATTACCCTTTCTTTCCAGATCATCAGATGATTCTTCCTGGAAAAACTCATCATAGAAGTCCGCTAAAATATCATACATAAGTCTTTCTGAATAGAACGGTATTAGTCTTCTAAAGTTTTCCAAGCTGTTCAAATTCGAATTCATAAAACTCTTTTCTAAATCTTGTTTCATAAAATTGCTATGTAAAATTAGTTTTGCGTTTGAAAGTTCAATTTGAGTTTAAAGGTTGTATTTGTACATACCATAATCACCCTGGGCTGAGATAAGAGAAATGTTAAGGAAGGTTGTCCCCACTGTGTCATCTTCTGTAACTCTATCCCTGTTAGTGTAACAGTTAGTATGTTAATCATGGTTAGTACAAAATAGGCATTAAGGAAGGTTGTCCCCACTGTGTCATCTTCTGTAACTCTATCCCTGTTAGTGTAACAGTTAGTATGTTAATCATGGTTAGTACAAAATAGGCATTAAGGAAGGCTGTCCCAACTGTGTCATCCTCTGTAACTCTATCCCTGTTAGTGTAACAGTTAGTATGTTAATCATGGTTAGTACAAAATAGGCATTAAGGAAGGTTGTCCCCACTGTGTCATCTTCTGTAACTCTATCCCTGTTAGTGTAACAGTTAGTATATTAATCATGGTTAGTACAAAATAGGCATTAAGGAAGGCTGTCCCAACTGTGTCATCCTCTGTAACTCTATCCCTGTTAGTGTAACAGTTAGTATGTTAATCATGGTTAGTACAAAATAGGCATTAAGGAAGGTTGTCCCCACTGTGTCATCTTCTGTAACTCTATCCCTGTTAGTGTAACAGTTAGTATATTAATCATGGTTAGTACAAAATAGGCATTAAGGAAGGCTGTCCCAACTGTGTCATCCTCTGTAACTCTATCCCTGTTAGTGTAACAGTTAGTATGTTAATCATGGTTAGTACAAAATAGGCATTAAGGAAGGTTGTCCCCACTGTGTCATCTTCAGTAACTCTATCCCTGTTAGTGTAACAGTTAGTATGTATGTTAATCATGGTTGGAGTACAAAATAAGCATTAAGGAAGGCTGTCAAAACTGTGTCATCCTCTGTAACTCCATCCCTGTTAGTGTAACAGTTAGTATATTAATCATGGTTAGTACAAAATAGGCATTAAGGAAGGCTGTCCCAACTGTGTCATCCTCTGTAACTCTATCCCTGTTAGTGTAACAATTAGTATGTTAATCATGGTTAGTACAAAATAGGCATTAAGGAAGGTTGTCCCCACTGTGTCATCTTCTGTAACTCTATCCCTGTTAGTGTAACAGTTAGTATATTAATCATGGTTAGTACAAAATAGGCATTAAGGAAGGCTGTCCCAACTGTGTCATCCTCTGTAACTCTATCCCTGTTAGTGTAACAGTTAGTATGTTAATCATGGTTAGTACAAAATAGGCATTAAGGAAGGTTGTCCCCACTGTGTCATCTTCAGTAACTCTATCCCTGTTAGTGTAACAGTTAGTATATTAATCATGGTTAGTACAAAATAGGCATTAAGGAAGGCTGTCCCAACTGTGTCATCCTCTGTAACTCTATCCCTGTTAGTGTAACAGTTAGTATGTTAATCATGGTTAGTACAAAATAGGCATTAAGGAAGGTTGTCCCCACTGTGTCATCTTCAGTAACTCTATCCCTGTTAGTGTAACAGTTAGTATGTATGTTAATCATGGTTGGAGTACAAAATAAGCATTAAGGAAGGCTGTCAAAACTGTGTCATCCTCTGTAACTCCATCCCTGTTAGTGTAACAGTTAGTATATTAATCATGGTTAGTACAATATAGACATCAAGGAAGGCTGTCCCCACTGTGTCATCTTCTGTAACTCTATCCCTGTTAGTGTAACAGTTAGTATGTTAATCATGGTTAGTACAAAATAGGCATTGAGGAAGGCTGTCCCAACTGTGTCATCTTCTGTAACTCTATCCCTGTTAGTGTAACAGTTAGCATGTTAATCATGGTTAATACATAATAGGCATTAAGGAAGGTTGTCCCCACTGTGTCATCTTCTGTGACTCTATCCCTGTTAGTGTAACAGTTAGTATGTTAATCATGGTTAATACATAATAGGCATTAAGGAAGGCTGTCCCAACTGTGTCATCTTCTGTATCTCTATCCCTGCTAGTGTAATAGTTAATCATGGTTAGTACATAATAGGCATTAAGAAGAGTTGTTCTCTAAACTGTGATAAAGGTTGTATTTGTACATACCATAATCACCTTGGGCTGAGATTAGAGAAATGTTAAGGAAGGATGTCCCCTTTGTGTCATCGCTTGTATATCAATCCCTGTTAGTGTAACGGTTAGCATGTTAATAATAGTTAGAACACACGGGGAGTTAGTCACCCCCTCTAATATTCTCTATATCAAAATCATAATATGGGCTACAGAATATAAGAGGAAGGTGTGACTTACTCACCATGTTAGAACATAACAGACATTAAGGAAGATTGACCCCTTAATCTTTAAGTATCAGTATATATTGAACAACCCTCGTATATCAACTGTATGATGTGTATTATGTAACTTATTGGGAGTATACATTGTACACCTTTGTCTATACAGAAATAGCCAGATATGACACCGCCCCATGGCCTCCAAAACACAATAACACCCAGTACACAAATCCAGGTCTAACAGGGCTACCACTCATTCAATATGTTTTCTGTAACTATGAACTAACTACTCTAAACAATCCGATAAGACATCCACAATGACAATACTCATTCATTTTCCATGAACTTGCAATGGGGTTAGCATAAATACGAGCAAAACATAATGCATACATAAACGATGTATACTTTCTATCACAAATTCAGCATGCTGCAGCCCCTCTTACTCTAGATAGACATTTTCAAGGTTGTCATGATTTTAAAATGTATCCTGAAATCTCATTTTCTTTATTAGACTTGTCATTGCCTTTCCCCCTTTCTTTTCCTCTGATTTGCATATTACCATGACAACCTTGAGATATTCAGATGGGTATCTAGAAACTATTGAACCAATCATGCTACATAGAAAACAAACCATGTTCTCCAGGTGCAGATATTAACTTTAGATCCAAGAATTTGGACACAATACAGTCGTGTTCAGTGAAACGATCCCTGGGAGGAAAAAATAAAGAATAACACAATCATCTTTAATAGGAAATAGACTGAAACAAAATTATTAATGTTAGTTCATTGAAATATTTGGGTAATGACAAATGTTAACCCTCTGGGAGTAGAACATATGATATCAATCAAAATATTGAAAAATAAACCTATTATTAGGATTAAACAAAATTATCACAATATGCATAAAAATGGCATATAAGATTCTTATTATTAGAAAGATAATTATATAGAATAAAAAAAATAAAAAGAATAAAAAACTCACCAGTCCCTTATTTGTAACTTTAATCTTTCACACATAGATGGAAACTGAAAGATATCAGAACAAGAAATAATAAATATAATATTGACCAGACACAAGTAATTTCAGCACTACGTGCTCTCTCTTTGGTAAGACGATATGAGAGTAAAAATACAAACGAAAAGTAAATAAAGAAAAAGTGAGTAGAAAATAGATTCAATCAAAAAATTCTTAATTTAAATTGTCTAATCTAATTTGGTTTGTGGAGTTGAAATATGGTATCACATTGAGTAAATTTTGAATAATCAAACATGGAAATTCCATTTACATCTGCTTGCATGTATTATTAGTACAGATAGATACAGTAATGAGCAGGTGGAAATTCCATGAAGTACTTTTGTACAAGTAGCACCTATGCTCAATAATCAAAAAATTAAAACTGTTGCTCAACAAAAAGTTTACAAAAACATATGATTATCTGCTTGATATGTGCACATGTAAGAGAATAACTTAGAACAAAATGAGATTCATGGGCCACTTGTACAGATTTCATTGATTTCCACCTGCAAGGCCAAGGCAGGAAAGAAGTTCAGCCTTTGTATATAAATGAATAAATGAGTTTAACTGACCTTCATCCCAATCCTCAATTCCTGGTTCCACTCTGGGTGATCACTTGAGTACATTATCTTAGACTTCACCTGTTATAAGAAATAAAAATGATATTGGAATCATATATTATCATACATTATGCATCCTTGAGCTGTGCAAATTAAGAAGTTTTACAAAATCTGTATATGGCGTTGTTTGGTCTAGATATATTCTCAACCAGGCGCAACATTCTAAATCACAGGTACAAGATGCTCTATTTTCTGATTTTAAATAATAGAACATTGTTTCATATCATTCCCCCTAAAACTTCATTTTTGCAGAGCTAGGCAGAGTGCTACATGTTTAAACTAAGTAACATGGGCTTTCAAGGCAAGAGATTGAAAGCCCATGGTAACAAACACAACGTTTAGTGATTTTCAGAAATCATGTATGGCTGCAAATTGATTTTAAACTATTGGTTTCTATGGTCTTTTTCAAATAATCTGTCTTGGGTATATATTTTATTGCATTTTAGTGTTTTGACGGATTACATTACAATGTACATTCCATGGTGCTTCAGCACTGGGAATAACACTTAACTTGACAAACAATGATTTGGAACAAAGATTGTAGTCTCTGCGCCACTTCTCTTTCAGCATTATTATTAACTACACACATTGTGAATGTATCATTTTCAGATGAAATCAACCTAATGTGTATACAGGTTGTGGATTAAGATTTTCAACCTACTTGGTATATATACTTGTCAATACATATATTGAAATACACTGCACAAACTAATTGTTGCCAGCTGATGTAATGTTTTGGGCCCAACCTTTTTTCAGGGCCCCGATTTTTGGGCCTTTTGGGACATTACTGGGCCTTGTTTTTTAATTGAGGCCAAATTAACAAGAAAATGAGCCTTAAAACTTTTGGTTTTAGGGGCCCAGAATCCCAGATCCGCCACTGATGTAGTAATGTATACTTTACCTCTTTCCCTGCGAATGAGAATATGAAGTAAGGGTCAACGAGTTCCTTTTTCTCATCTCCTCCAAAGAAAGACTTGACACCTTCCATGACGTTTGAGTCCACTGGAAAATAAGAGTTATGTGCATTAATGTTATTCTGAGATGAAAAGGATGCAACCATTTGTAATCTTACATCTCATGTATCTCATGTTGTATGTGGATTAGCAATTTTAATCACTGATATGCTGTTCCATATTCAATTTTTCTTGCTTTTTAAACACTTCAATATTAAACAATTATAACATTTTTACAAATTTGTGGTCACGACACTTATATGTAATTGACCACATCTAATATTATGACAAAAAATTGAGTGCTTGAAAGTGGTGAAACATGTCTCAGAATCCAAGGTCTTTTCTTCAGGTACAAAATTTTCATTTCACTTATTCAGAATAAAAAAAATTCCAGAACATGTTTCAAATAACAACTTTTGTGGTTTTACAATTCAATGAATGATAATTCATCTATTGACTGAGGAGTTAACTTACTTCTTGGAATATCTTCAGCTCTATAGAGCTTTAGTTTAAAGGTGGCAGGTCTCAACTGTACACCAGCAGGCCTCAGTAGGTTCCTGAAAGAAGTCAAGAAAGAGGCTTTAAGTATCAATACTAAGATATAGGCTTTAACTATCAACAATAATAAATTACACTGTAAAATCATAATTTTTTCAAATAAACATTCAGAACAAATAACAGAATGGAAATGTGTTAGATCCCATAAGATTTGTGATTATCCATAAAATAATATTGTGGAAACTCATTACAACCATGTGAGATGAACTAAACATCAAATATTGGAAAAATATTTTTATAATTGTACTCACGATTCAATATCTACATCATCATCCTGGGATGGAGCTTTGAAACTCTGAAAATAAAAAATAATTTAAATTAGAAAAGCTCCTATAAGACTCTCTAAAAGTCTATGCTTTCATTTTTACAGAGATATCATCATAGTACTCAGGCCCGTAGCCAGGGGGGTTCGATGGGTTCGAACCCCCCCCCCCCCCTGGCAAAAAATTCTTTCAAAATCATGGAGTTTTTCACCATTCCGAGCACCTTTTGGACCCAAATTGTCAAAAGTGAACCCCCCCTGGGATTTTCCAAAAAGTGAAACCCCCCTTGGCAAATCCTGGCTACGGGCCTGGTACTGAAATCTTTGTCACTGTGAAAAATTATACTACATGTATTCTATAATATTTCAAACATCTGTATAGAGAAAGTAAAGGGTGTACATTAAGTATCTCTACAGCTTACACATACTTTGTATTGTAATTGTAAAGGGATTGTATGGACACCCTGTATTATATAAAATATAACTTAATTAAAAATATTAAATGTTTCTAACCAATGGGTATTAATCATAGTGATTTGCACATTATTGACAAAGTGATTTAATTCTAAAAACAAAACCTAATGTACTAAATATCAATTCTGATCAAGAAGAACATACAGGTTGATCATCGAATCATTGAATCAAATAAATCCAACCTTACGAGGGATGATCAATAAGTAATGGATGCTTTTTTACATCCATAAAAAGCATCAGTGTAAAAAAGCGTCCATTACTTATTGATCAACCCTCGTATATATGCATATTGCTGCAGTGTATATTCCAAGCCAGCACTGTGGCCATGAAATCAATATTAGAATTGAACAAGAAATAAAACAAAAGTGCATTTAATAATTGCCACCTTTATAATAAAAGCCACCTTTAAGATATATTCAAAAGCAATTATGCTGTGATCACATCAATCTTAGAGGTACCACATGGATATAAATCTGCCAAGATTAGGTACCACACAATATTTGGTACTATATCTGTCAAGATTAGGTACCACATACAAATTGGTACTAAATCTGCATAGTAAAGGTACATATACAGCACACCAATGGTACTGAATCTAATTAGGCACCACATTTAATTCAATCAGTATGAAAAAGATAAGTTACCACACTAATTAGTACTGAATTTGCATAGATTTAGGTTCCACATGACAACTTGTACTGAATCTGCCAAGATAAGGTACCACACTAATTGGTACTGAATTTGCACAGATTTAGGTTCCACATGACAACTGGTACTGAATCTGCCAAGATAAGGTACCACACTAATTGGTACTGAATTTGCACAGATTTAGGTTGCACATGACAACTGGTACTGAATCTGCCAAGATAAGGTACCACACTAATTGGTACTGAATTTGCACAGATTTAGGTTCCACATGACAACTGGTGCTGAATCTGCCAAGATAAGGTACCACACGAATTGGTACTGAATTTGCACAGATTTAGGTTTCACATGACAACGGGTACTGAATCTGCCAAGATAAGGTACCACACTAATTGGTACTGAATTTGCACAGACAAACAACATAACATGATCTCAACTTAAAGATGGCTCATACCTTTGTAAAATATATTTTTGCAGTAATTGATCATATAGTGAATCATATAGTGACTGACAGTGAGTCAACAGTAACTGTGCAATTTTCACTCTTACTACCTACCTGAATGTCATTGCCTCCAGATATAAAATACTACAAGCATTTTAAATAAAAAATAGTATCAGAATGTTTGTTTAGTGCCTCTATAAGAAAAGATATGTGTCATAGGATTGGATATAAAACATTTGTCTGACCATATTTGGTCATCATTACCATATTAAGGCATATGCATCATACAATACCTTTTCCTTAGGAAATGCCTTCGCAAATGAAATGGTTGTAATAGGAATTATTCATATAGTTTTTGTAATTTCTAAGACATTTTCCCTTCATGCGTAGAAAATAAAGACTGATGTTTTATTAGAATACAGTATATAAAACAAGGCATTAACATGACAAAATGTCACCACCTAAAACAATTTGGTCAATTTAAAGCAAGTTGGAAAATACCTTTTGACCTAAAGAAGGTTTGATTTGAACTTCTTAGAACATGTAGATGATTTTGAAAAAAAAATTCGTCAATTTGAAGCAAGTTGAAAAAATACCTCTTTGACTTTTTTTGACATTGAGAAGGTCATGGAAGGTCAAATGTCAAATGTAAAGTCAGATTTGAACTTCTGAGAACATGTAGATGATTTTGAAAAAAAAATTAAGTAAATTTGAAGCAAGTTGAAAAAAGACCTTTTTGACCTTGAGAAGGTCATTGAAGGTCAAAGGTCAAATCTAAAGTCAGATTTGAACTTCTGAGAACTTGTAAAAGTCAAATTTGAACTTCTGAAAAGATGTAGATGATTTTGAAAAAAAAATTTGGTCAATTTGAAGCAAGTTGAAAACAGACCTTTTTGACCTTTTTTGACCTTGAGAAGGTCATTAAAGGTCAAATGTCAAATCTAAAGTCAGATTTGAATTTCTGAGAACATGTAGATGATTTTGAAAAAAAAATTAGTCAATTTGAAGCAAGTTGAAAAAGACCTTTTTGACCTTTTTTGACCTTGAGAAGGTCATTGAAGGTCAAATGTCAAATCCAAAGTCAAATCTAAAGTCATATTTGAATTTCTGAGAACATGTAGATGATTTTGAAAAAAAAATTAGTCAATTTGAAGCAAGATGAAAAAAGACCTTTTTGACCTTTTTTGACATTGAGAAGGTCATTGAAGGTCAAATGTCAAATCTAAAGTCAGATTTGAAGGTCAAATGTCAAATCTAAAGTCAGATTTGAATTTCTGATTTAGTCAATTTGAAGCAAGTTGAAAAAATACCTTTTTGACCTTTTTTGACTTTGAGAAGGTCATTGAAGGTCAAATGTCAAATCTTAAGTCAAATCTAAAGTCAGATTTGAATTTCTGAGAACACGTAGATGATTTTTAAAAAATATTATAGTCAATTTGAAGCAAATTGAAAACAGACCTTTTTGACCTTTTTTGACCTTGAGAAGGTCATTGAAGGTCAAATGTCAAATCTAAAGTCAGATTTGAATTTCTGAGAACATGTAGATGATTTTGAAAAAAAAATTTAGTCAATTTGAAGCAAGTTGAAAAAAGACCTTTTTGACCTTTTTTGACTTTGAGAAGGTCATTGAAGGTCAAATGTCAAATCTTAAGTCAAATCTAAAAACAGATTTGAATTTCTGAGAACACGTAGATGATTTTGAAAAAGAAATTTAGTCAATTTGAAGCAAGTTGAAAACAGACCTTTTTGACCTTTTTTGACCTTGAGAAGGTCATTGAAGGTCAAATGTCAAATCTAAAGTCAGATTTGAATTTCTGAGAACATGTAGATGATTTTGAAATTTTTTTTAGTCAATTTGAAGCAAGTTGAAAAAATACCTTTTTGACCTTTTTTTGACTTTGAGAAGGTCATTGAAGGTCAAATGTCAAATCTTAAGTCAAATCTAAAGTCAGATTTGAATTTCTGAGAACACGCAGATGATTTTGAAAAAAAAATTTAGTCAATTTGAAGCAAGTTGAAAACAGACCTTTTTGACCTTTTTTGACCTTGAGAAGGTCATTGAAGGTCAAATGTCAAATCTAAAGTCAGATTTGAATTTCTGAGAACATGTAGATGATTTTGAAAAAATTTTTAGTCAATTTGAAGCAAGTTGAAAAAAGACCTTTTTGACCTTTTTTGACTTTGAGAAGGTCATTGAAGGTCAAATGTCAAATCTTAAGTCAAATCTAAAGTCAGATTTGAATTTCTGAGAACACGTAGATGATTTTGAAAAAAAAATTTAGTCAATTTGAAGCAAGTTGAAAACAGACCTTTTTGACCTTTTTTGACCTTGAGAAGGTCATTGAAGGTCAAATGTCAAATCTAAAGTCAGATTTGAAGGTCAAATGTCAAATCTAAAGTCAAATCTAAAGTCAGATTTGAATTTCTGAGAACATGTAGATGATTTTGAAAAAAAATATAGTCAATGTGAAGCAAGTTGAAAAAAGACCTTTTTGACCTTGAGAAGGTCATTGAAGGTCAAATGTCAAATCTAAAGTCAGATTTGAACTTCTGAGAACATGTAGATGATTTAGAAAAAAATTGAAGTCAGTCTAAACAGTATTTGTTAAGTTATAGGAAGTTGTAAGAAATTGTAACAGACGCCGGACGCCAACCGCCGGAGTCCAACCGCCGGACGCCAACCTCCAACCGCCGGACGCCGTCGCAAAAAAACGGAGACCATAACAATATGTCACCACTTTTGGTGGTGACATAAAAACTAAATTAAACAATATTTTGAGATTTTCGCTTACACCTAAAGTAATGTAAAATATTGTAATCAATTTTAAGCCGAGAAGGTCAGTTATGATTTTTATGATATAACATTTTGTCACAAACTTTGTATTGTTGTAAAAATCCAAATTGTAACAATCACATATCAGATCAATATAAAAACCTTTGTCATGTTGATTATTCCAATATAACCCATGCAGTTACACCAAACTAATATATATTACATCTAAATAAATAACATCATATATTGTATTAACTTTGGGAGAAATTACATTAATAATTTTGCTGTCATGCATTCATACTCAATCAACCAGGTTAGTCCATGAATTGAAAAAAATAGTCCCAGGATCAGATCATATGTTTACAAGCTCTACATTTGAATTCTTCAAAATAGAGGCAACTTAACCGTGCGACTCAACATTTATACTTTATCATTGTAATTTCTCCTTCTACGTTACATATTTACAATAATTTATTTCACTGATTGCGCATACCGGAGCTTCATCTCCTGCTGCCAGGACGCAGGCACATATTGACAAATAGCCCTTGGCCCCAGCCTGATTGTCTTCTGGGTCGCTAAGCAACAACCATTTGTTGAGGAACGTGTGTTGCGGCTCATCATATATCATCCCAACATCACACTAGAACATAAGGTTTGAAATCTAGCTTACGTTTATCACAGGTTTTGCCTTTATGAGGCTGAAGCATTTACACTCATTTTGTTTGTTCGTTTGTTTGTTTGTTTGTTTGTTTTCTTGCGTGATTGTTTGTATACATTTTGAATACACATTAGTTATCATGGTGGTTGTGATGCCAGAAATGAAATTCAAATTGGTCAATTATTCCAGTTTAGTCAGACAATTTTCTTACAAATTCAGTAAAGACCTAAGAAGATCCATTGATATTTGTCACATTATAGAATCTAATATCCAATATAACTTGTAGTAGAAGCTTAGATTAGCTTGCCTATTTCTAGATTCCAATATATCTTATAAATGAGCACATCATCGAAGAGACACTTGCCTGAATGCCAACGGCAACCAGTTTTCACTCTTGGCAATGAACTTGGAAAAACAAGTTGCCTATTGGGCAATGGACTAAATGCCAATATGTGAAATTGGGCAATCATGTTTTCAACCTTCCATAAACCTTGTAGAGATTCAAATCAAATCGAAAAGAAAAAGAAAATTACGATTTTTAACTTACTTTGAAGGAGCCGATCATGCAATCAGAACGCAGTTTTCTACTGTTAAAAACTTGCAAGTTGACCAGTTCATCAAACAACTCGGCAGGTGCGACATTAAAGTTAAAGAAAAATACTTCATTCCAGGAAGGCGAATTTGTAGACTTCTTAATCCTGGTCTGTTTTGAATGGTTGGCAACAGTTACTCGACAAACTGGACTGATGTTGGCCCCGGAAAGTTGTCGCCCTTCAACTATTTTGATCCGTATCTGAAAATTAATATGTGTTTCATTAGAGTCAAAAAGAATACTGCATTAAATAAAGGTGACTTTGCTCACTAAAATTTGAACAGGCTTCATTTATAAATGTGTATCTTATTAAAGATTATATTTCTTATTTAAGGACGGACAATTTGGCAAGTGACAACACGTCAACCAGATACAATGTTTATACAGAAGAAATGAGAAAAACAGATATTGGTATGATGTTGAGAATGTAACATGAAGGTGCAGTGAACATGTATTGAAAACATTGATACATATAAGTATAAGCCAACAGACATGTCAAGATAGCTAAAATAATGGGATTTAAAAACAGGTAATAGGCTCTATATCAGGCTCTATATGCCAGGGTAAAATTAATAATTTATTCACTTGAGACTTTTTTAATCTAAGATTTTTATCTTTAAATTTTAAACAATAAGCATTCATATCTATTAAGTTAAAAAGTAACATCATGTTAAAACAGCCAATGTAAAAAGGTAATGTACAGTGAACAGAATGTCAAAACAAGTAATGATACAAAATATTATTCTCGATAAAACACCTGATATAAGGTGGGGTTTACTCTATATGAAGTGAGAGGCGGTTACCATAACAACAATGTTGTGAATGCATCAATTATTCATTGCCATCATGAAGTTATCAGCATAGAGTAAGTGCAACAGGTGTTTCACCTGTATACTCAATAGAATTCTCTGTTTTCCAATACTAATACAACATGATGGTTACATGAAATTCCAATGCATGTACAGCCAATGATGGCAAAGACTTGGTATTCACTGCATTTCAGATATGATTACATACTGGATGTGTGTGGTTATATGATTTGCCATGGAGCAAATTTCTAATTATGTTGGCTGTTTGTGAAATATAATATATTGTTTCTGAAAATAATGTTGTCAAACTATTCTAAGAAAGAACAGTAGGCATAATGAGACATATTTAAAGAAGGGGCATTAGATAACAATCCATTTTTGACAATACAACTGTAAATTCTAGCTCTATAAACTACATGTAATACTCTAACTTCATACATTTTGTCTATGAGAATTGTCCATAACATGATGACAACATAACATGACATCATGACAAACTACATGTAATACTCTAACTTCATACATTTTGTCTATGAGAATTGTCCATAACATGATGACAACATAACATGACATCATGACATATTATAACATGACATAATCATTTTCTAAAATGTGAATTCTGCTATATGTTATGTGATCATTGTACCTAAAAAGAAAAAAGGAATTCTAAAAAATAAAAATTAAACCATTGCTGCTCATTTATCATATACAAATGTGGAAGATAAAATGACAGCTTGTAATAAACCTATCAATTGGCATGGCATCATCTCTGAAAACCAAGACTTTTTTAGTGCCTTAGAAAATCTATCATATAATGATATTCAATATTGTACATGTATTTCCTATATAAGAAAAGAAAGTCCACGCTTAGTAAAGTCAATGTACAAGACACTCTTCAAATAGCGCATTCAATTAATATTAACATATGAACAGAAACATGGCATATTTAGAAAGCTGAAGAATAATATGCATGTACATGGAACATATGATGGAATCTGTTAATAAAAGAAAATCTGAAATGTTACGTAACAATTTCCCCCCCCCCTAAATTATCATTACCTGGAAGTCTTGTGGTTTATTAGATAATTTCCCTCTGAATTTTCCACGTCGCTGTCTTTTCTTTTTTCTTTTACGTCTAACTTTATTTCCATTTGCATCCACTTCATCAACTTCTTCCTCTTCTTCTTCCTCCTCATCCTCTTCTCCTACAAATATAACAGAATCATTAATAACAGCAACAATAATAACACCAACAATAATAACAGCAACAATAATAACACTAACAAAAGTAACAGTAACAACGTTGATTTTACACAGCAGCAAATCCCTAAAACAGGCGTCAACCAAGGAAATTCAAAGCAAATGCATATTTGATTTGCCTGAAAATTCGAAACAAACTGTGTTTGCTTTTTTCGGCGTTCCTTTTTCAGCATTCGTTTTTTGACGTTCTTCTCCTGAAATATTTTGTTTTTAGCAGGCTGTCTAACTGTCCCGCAATTTGCGTATTTGTCACGCATTTGCTGAGAAATTCTGACATATTCTGTCACGCAAAAAATGGGCGTGACTTCAATTTCTTCAGCAAATGTGTGACAAATATGAAAATTGAGGGACAGTTGGAGAGCCTGCGAAAAGCAAAATTTGATTTTTTTTTTAAGGTTATTGTTATTTATTTCTATACAATTCCACATAATTATTTACATAGATTGTGAGGGGCCGAGGCTACATAGCATTATTGGCCCCTCTCTAGAAAGTTAAAAACATATAATAAATCACTGGAGTGTGTAGGATTGCAACGGACAGACGGTCGTCCACCAGGTCTTGCCCATGATGATGTATATGAGTGTTAATGAGAGATGATGTGAAATGAGGAGGATGGTCATTTTAAGATGTTATCGATATAATTTGAAGATAGTTGAAGGCATTTTGTATTCAGTTCACTATTTAAATTTTCATCTCCATAAAGTATAAATTCAATTTTTTGCTTTCTGGTTTTTCCAAAATAGCACATAATATCAAGATTATCTAACTTTAGGATGTTCTGTATGTAATCATTTCTATGTATGGCGGTTAGAGGGCAGTCGAGAAAAAGATGAATCTTATCTTGATCTCGGTGGCCACAGGGGCAAGAAGGATCTACAAATGTATGATGTTGTTGAAATTATGTCTAAAAAGTCACTTTTAAGGGCAAGGTCGCTTCTTATTTTATTAAGTTTAGTTTCAGAAGACCTTTTCAAATTAAGGTTTTTTGTTAAAATATTCTTTTTATGAAATGTATATTTCTTATTATAGTTTTTCTTGAAGATTGCTAGGGTTGGCGATGTTTTTATTCCCTCATTCTCATTGGAAATTGTTACAATAAAACATTTCATGATCTACTTTTAAATACATATATGTGCCTTCCATTTGCATATAATAAGACAAACTTATTATCCTAAAATCCTACATTATTGCTTGGTATGCCAATTTATTCCAACTATGGGATGACTTATTCACATATAATCTTGTTGAAGCAACTATTGTAGCTACGACCTACTCACGTACAGTATATGCACAAGTTAAGGAACTTTGAGATAACTTACTCCAGTATGGCCTTGATGTACCAATTATAGCAGGGGGAGGCCCCTCTAATTCTTCTAATTCATGCTTATGCAAATGATGCTGATCAATCTCATCCATTGTTTCATAATCATCTGTACTGTAATGGCTATGAGACTGAGGTATGTCCACAGGGGGTGCAATAGGGGGTCTCATATGATATTGCTTTGGGACTTTCGTCACATTTTCCAACTCAGGAGGCTTTGAGAGTCCCACATCCTTTGAGGATATCAAACCCTTTAAAGCTCCAGCAACCTTTGAGGGTTCTGTATTCTTTGAAGATATCAAACCCTTTAAAGGTCCAGCAACCTTTGAGGGTTCTGTACTCTTTGAGGATATCAATCCCTTTAAAGGTCCAGCAACTTTTGAGGGTTCTGTACTATTTGAGGATATCAAACCCTTTAAAGCTCCAGCAACCTTTGAGGGTTCTGTACTCTTTGAGGATATCAAGCCCTTTAAGGAGCCAGCAACTTTTGATGGCTCTGATCCCCTGTCTGACATTTCCTGAAGTCTAGGTTTTAATGATATGTCTAATTCCTTCAATGGAATCTTTTTTAGTATTCATTGCAACTTTTAGCCTTTTTAAGTCTTCCATTTAATCATTTGGATCAAATCCTTTCACACGATACACAAAAAATGTAATATATATATCATTCGTAAAATATAGTATTTGTGCTATTAATAGGTCCCAGTTTTCCTTATTCTTATTTTTTCCAATAGCTGATTCAATTGTTATCCCTGTTTTGAAGAAAATATGTTCAAACTTATACGTTTCTTTTTATTCCTTATCTAATAATCCAATCCAAACTAAATGTCCACCAACTGACTTGTGAAAAATCTTAATGAAACCTTATGCAGGAAGTATAATTTCATTTACATCCTGAGTAGTATGTGGGCATAATTAAAATGTGAAGGCTTGAACTTTGACCTGATTATACTGACCTATTATGACATTCTCAAATTCACAACACTTCAAAAACACCAAAATCTCATTTCGCTTGGAAAGAGCCACTGATACCTTCCATTTCCCTTAATTTGACCCATCCTTCAAGATCAGGCGTCTGGGGGGTTCACTGTATATAAACCTTGACTGGGATCCTCGGCGCACATGGGGTACCTTTTTTGACATTTGGTATGACAATGGACCTAAATTTTAGGATCTGGTATGAGAATGGCCCCACATTATGACTTTTGAGGTATGGCAATGGTCATATTTTTTGACTTTCTGGTATGAGAATGGTCATGGAAAATATGTTATCTCACACTTGTGGTATGGCATTGGTCTAGTAGTTGCACATATCCTTTTTGGAACGTTTTCCTCAAAGATCGCCTTCTCCTTGGGACCTTCTTTAATTTAAATATTAGCATTTTCCTGGAAAATATTCTACTTTGGACCAGTCATACTGTAGCATTGGTATGGCATTAGGCATTGGTCTCACATTTGGGCATTTGGTATGGCTTTTGGGCACTATATTGGTCGGAATGCAAATACATGTTCATCCAAATTGGATATTTTGGTATAGGATTAATATATTGATACCTGAGGGTTATGACCCCTGTCGAATTTTGTACTCAGTGAACCCCCCAGGCAGTCGTCACTGCTAAACAGCAGCTATGGAAAGAAATGAAATACCTTGGACCAAGGATCAATGAATTTGACCAGAAAACAAGAAATTATTTGAACAGACTTAGAGCTGATCTACTATTCAGGGCCAATCAAATTAGATGCAGATACTTTTATTTTCAATGATGGTCAAGCTTCACATGTGGAGCCATTTGTTAGTTATATATATATATTATATATATATTCTTTTATTGACTCTTGTGTGTCTGTCTCTCCGACACATGGGTCATTATACAGTAATTTACATTGAAACACTTTTTCTCAAATAGCAAATTAATACAAAAGCTCAAAATTTAAAGTGTGACTTTGAACAAATTTTACGAGGTGCCAAAAAGAAACACAAATATACATATAATGCCCTCGGCCAATGGGGATTGAGTATTATTGCTATAGAATAAAGTATAAAAGTATTTACACAATTTCCTTTTTATTAGCCATCATCTATAAGTTTATGAATATAACTGAATACCTAACACAAGGGCTTAGTTTATAAAACAAGTGGGTGATAAAATACAAATGTATTCACAAATTCAGCTTCCAGACCTGATATCACCCAAGACCCTGGGAATTCATATGTCTGGCCAGCACACATTGGCTAAAATATCATATTAATCTTGTTTATTTGCTCCTCTAAAATGCTAAAAAGTGATTGAGGAGCTACTTGTGTAATATATTATATTGATACAGATAAATTGAGTAAATAATTTTTTTTTGAAATTACAGATTCAAATATTATGTTAATTCCACACCGCATGAGCATATATCCACACCGAGCATTTTTTACAAGCACCATCTGCATAGGGTATTCTTGTAGGTATCACTTAACTCAGATGAAAAACTTGATGTTCTAACTATGATGGGAATTACTTATGGATGGTCTTATATGATTCATGCTGATAATTGTACCAAATATGTTAATACTTACCTATGGTATATGGTCTCGATATACCAACAATGGTATTATCCCAGGAGTATTATCTACTTATGTATTATTTTGATGTACCACTTTTGGTTGGACATATTGTACATTGTATTCTCTAATTGTATGAATTATTTTAGGACTTACGTATATATGGTCTTGATATACCAAGTAGTTTGGTTTGATTTACTTATGTATGGTCTTGATGTACCAATTTTGGTTGGACATATTGATGTATTCTCAAATTATACCAATTATTTTAGGACTTACGTAAATATGGTCTCGATGTACCAAGTAGTATGGTATGATATACTTATGTATGGTATTGATGTACCAATTTTGGTTGGACATATTGATGTATTCTCAAATTATACCAATTATTTTAGGACTTACATATATATGGTCTTGATGTACCAAGTAGTATAGTATGATATACTTATGTATGGTATTGATGTACCAATTTTGGCTGGACATATCAATTTATTCTCAAATTATACCAATTATTTTAGGACTTACGTAAATATGGTCTCGATGTACCAAGTAGTATGGTATGATATACTTATGTATGGTATTGATGTACCAATTTTGGTTGGACATATTGATGTATTCTCAAATTATACCAATTATTTTAGGACTTACATATATATGGTCTTGATGTACCAAGTAGTATAGTATGATATACTTATGTATGGTATTGATGTACCAATTTTGGCTGGACATATCAATTTATTCTCAAATTATACCAATTATTTTAGGACTTACGTAAATATGGTCTCGATGTACCAAGTAGTATAGTATGATATAATGGTATTGATGTACCAATTTTGGCTGGACATATCAATTTATTCTCAAATTATACCAATTATTTTAGGACTTACGTAAATATGGTCTTGATGTACCAACTATGGTACGATTTACTTATGTATGGTATTGATGTACCAAGTAGTATGGTACGATTTACTTATGTATGGTATTGATGTACAAATTTTGGTTAGACATATTGTTGTATTCCCAAATTATACCAATTATTTTAGGACTTACGTAAATATGGTCTCGATGTACCAACTATGGTAGGAGGAGGCCCCTCTAATTCTTCTATTTCACTTGAATGAAACCGATTCAGTTGATCTATCTCATCCATTTTATCATAATCCTCTTTACTGAGAGGGGTAGCTGGTTGTAATACCCCCACAGGGGGTGCAATAGGGGGTGGCCCAAATGACACATGTTGGTCTGGTGCTTTCGTCCCTTCCCCCTTAGCTGGGGACTTTGATGGACTTGCTTTACCATGTGCTTCATCTGATCCTACTTCATCTTTTTTGAGTAACGAATCTATTTTGGCATTCAATGCAAGCTGTAGTCTCTTTAAGTCTTCCATTGCAATCCTTTGGACCAAATATTTAGTAAAATATGTTACTTAAATATCCTCATGGTTTATGTGTAGCGCATATGTATAATAAATATGTAAAATAAACCATTTTGTAGTTTGTACACTCCTGCCTAATTTCTAATTCCATATACTGGTTCTTTCTTTAGCCTGTCCAATTGTTATCCAAGTTTTGTTAAAAATACGTAAAATTAGAAGTCTCTTTTTATTCCTTTCCGATAATCCCTTTAAACCTCAATGTATTGTGCTAGTACAATATGTTATCGTTTCTCTTACAAAAATGAGTTTATGAAATAATAATTATTGCAATGTTATTTGCCAGTTATATGCAGGTATATAGTAAATCTTCATGTATTTCAACTATTGCTTACCACTTATAATAATTAATAATTGATGTTTTATAGTTTATTTTATCTACTTGATCCAGGTATTTTTTGAAAAAAAATTCAGCACTAATAATGTCAATATCACCATATCTTAATTTCTCCCTTTATATTAATCCATCCTGAGTGGGCAATTTATACATTAAAGATCTAAATAGGTTAACATTTGTATATGGCCCAAATTATCTATTTAACCCATATTCCATTTTTCCAATTTTGACAGTTCCATTAGTAAAATGTTCCAATTATTCAACTCAGTTCAGTGGTATGTTCCAAAAGGTTTTATATATTTCATAATCATGATGCTAATAGAATAGCATTATGTGAGCATGAACATATGTCAGACATCAAATATGAATTATAAGGAAAAACAATTGTAATTGTTATAAAACCTATGCAAAAAATGACATAAATCCTATATCTATTTCACTTATATTTAGTTTAACTATCTCTGATGTTCTTTGAATTCCTACATAATTTAAAGTATATACATGTACTGTATACGAATTTACAGGTGTATGTGTATCAATATCTTAGTCATGTCTATTTATTTTATTTCTTGTAATTTTTGAGGTTTTGTATTTTTTGCAAAAGAGCATGGTAATGAAGTACTGTATTACTAAACTGGTATAGCAGAATATTTGCCTTTTATTGATACAGTTGCTAGTAGCACTTACCATTCCTTGCGAGAGATCCTACTCAGAATTTAGAGAAATTAACAAGGAACGATGTAAACAAGCATGTAAAAGAGTGACATTTAAGTGTTCTACACAAAAGGTTCATGTGGATATTACTCAATTTCTCTTTTTAAATTGAATAGATTTTCTAAATTCCTAAACAATTTAGAGGGTAAACTACATGTCTGTCTACTTAAATCCTTGCTACATGTCTATTCTTCTCCATCTTGCATTTAAAAATCGGACCAATATGTCGTTCCTCAAATGTCAATTGCTTAAATTAAAATATGTTAATTCCCCACAATTATATACATAACATACCACTTATTGGAAAGGCTGACCAAACAAAACAGGTCCTTAAAAACACAACTGTTTACTTTATAAATGGATTATCAATGCAAGTACAAAATATATATAGACTAAGTTCCCACCTATACAACCATTCAGATATTTTTCTCATACAAGGTCATGGTCTTAGTTCCTACAGTTTCATTTTTCCACAATGTCAGACAAAGCATTAACATGCAAAATTGTACTACCTGCCATTTGCTACAATTGCCAACCGCCAAATGCTGAATACTGTCCATACAAAGGTTGGAGACAATAACAATATGTTACCACTTCTACCATGTTTTCTCCTGTACAATTTTCATTTTAACTATTTTGGCAAAAATTGGCCTTACCTGTTTCAGTCTAAAATAGGTGCAAATGTATTTTAAACTCGGTGCAAGATGATTTTCAAATTCTTGACTAGGGGAGGCTGCAGAATCTTGATCCAGCATGTTGTATTACTTAAACCAAAGTGGGAACCCAAGGTACATATGTATATAGACAAAGTTATAATATTAAATATAATCTCACCATAATCCACAACACCCTCTTCCTCCCCGCTAGGCTCAGTATCACCTGCACTCGCGTCATTGGATTGCTTGCTCTTAGGAGGCATGTAGTGGATAGACACACTCAATGCACACTGGAATATAAAATCACAAAAATCATTTCTAGGGATCAGTTTTCCTTTCAAAGTTCCAAGTGCTTACAAAAAGCTACAATGTAGTTTAAAAGGGGTTCAATCCATAATCCTGATTCCAACTAATTTTTAAAAACTATAACTGCATAACAGTCAGTTGCTTACACTATCAAGTGACTTTCTTACAAACTTTCTTTTCTGTAAATACTACATATCTGAAAGAAATTCCTTGTCAAGTGAATGATGTGACATGTGTAGTTCAAGGGATTAATGACACCTTATAAGTTATGGTGATTTGGATGGTTGACCAGTTAACTAATGAATTACATGTATATGTGCAAAATGGCCCTTATGCCATTTTGCACATATACATGTAATTCATTAGTTAACTGGTCAACCATCCAAATCACCATAACTTATAAGGTGTCATTAATCCCTTGAACTACACATGTCACATCTGGCGGTGTTGGCATAATAAAACCATAAAAACAATTCGGAAATAAATTAAAATCTCCTTACCTATTTCTTATTGCTAAAATCCAAATTATTATCTTTAAATCGAAACTTGCTATATATATATGCTTGAATTCAATCAAAAACGTATTGATTCTGACTGAATATGTAGACATAAACAGAAATAGAATATTTAATGAGAAAAGAAATAAAGCCACTATAATAATCAGAGATAACATCAGTCAATAACCTAAATTACAATCAGAGATTAAAGCTATCAAATAAACGATTGTACTAATAATGTACTGATTATATGTCAATTTCCTAACTGAAATAGAATCCAAATATCTCATTTTGAATGAACAGAAAAACACTGAGATGTATAATGGAATTCAACATAGTGAAACCCACCAATTTTAAGGATATCCCAGAAAAGCTTAAGTCCAGAGCAGAATATCATAAAACAGTAAAATGGTTGAATAAATATCAGAAAACTATTTTCATATCAGTATCCATGACTGATGATAAAAGAGACCATTACTATCTTAATTATGTAATTACATCAATGTCATGATAACATTTTTGCTATAAAATCCAGGCAAGAAAAAACATGAAAATTCAGTGAAGAACTCAATAAAAAGCAGATATTGAATTTACCGCACTTCTTTCTTCAAATTAGCACACGGTGGCAGAATTCATTTGATTACATGATACAATATCACTAAGATTTTTGCTTTCTTTTTTGTATTGTGCTTAGTATTTTGTATTTTTGTATTCCTGAAATGTTTGCAATATTACGATGAAATTCCAGAATAGAAGTAAATTAGTATGGAAGAATATTAAATTATTTAATTTAATGGAAATTATGAGTGATGAGGGTTTAAATTCAATATAGTAACTATGACATTGAAATATATACAGTAATCACATACAAAGTACCCATCATTGTGTTTTGCTGTATCTTAAAGCTTCACATATATCTAAGAATAAACACTTTTGTGATTAAAAGATGTCTCTCTAGTACAGGTATAAGTTTAGTGAATCTATTTCTGAACCCATGTATTTCTGATCACCCAGAGGCATATACATCATGTATCATCAGTTCAAACAGCTCAACCTGTACTTGCTCTGTAATTAGGTAGGCCTTAGCTTTTCTACCTTAGCTCAAGCTTTTTGAGCCCCTCCCCCAACCTATCGGAGAGGTACAAATATTGTAAGAACCAGAAACTTCTCCTTCATCAAGCCCATATGTTGCCCCTCCCCATTATCGCTTGACCCCCCCTATCTGCCTAGGTTTATTTAGGGAGAAGGGGTTGCTGGAGTTGAAGCAAGACTAATTCTCTCTCATCTCTCTTTAAAGACACTCAAATAAGCATTTGTATATTCTCCCTAATAATTATACACTTTAGCTTCTTCACAATTGCTTAGGCTTAGTACAAGACTCTGGTGCGAGTATGCTAGCCCATATATGCCAAAACTTACCCCAGGCAGAGGTCTTGACTGGCCATCCTCTAGCTGTAGAGTTCGTTTAGATGTGCGATCACCAGTGATGACAGCTTTCAGGGAAACTTTCACTTGTCCAAGGAGTCTACAATGACAAAGAACCATTACATCACAATCCCATCATCACAGCCCATGTACTGACCAAGAAACCTATTATATAAAATATCAATATGTACTGAATTATAGATAAATTAGTAGTGTTTTTAATTTTTTTTCAACCATCATCAAAGCATCATAAATTGATAAAATACAATTAAAAAAAGACGCTGATAAATCGTGGCAGAAGAGATGCAGGATAACATTACCAGGGGATTGATGCAGGACTACAGGCATCTCACCTATACCTCTCTATCACAGATTCAAGAAAATTCAAAATCTTTAATGATGGAAATCATGATACTATAAAGCAAATATTGCATATCACATGTCAAGGGAATATTTCCTCTATTTCCTCTTGGTTGACTTATTTTGGGATTCTAAAATTCATAAAATATTTCTGGGTTTTATTGTATAAACATGATCTCTCGTAGCTCATGAGAATTGAGATGTCATGGTTTATCGTGGTGTATTTTGGGCTGGTATAGGTATTCCAAATGTGTTCAACATCATACTGGAATTCAGGATGTTAGCAACCTATACAGGTACACTGTAATAACAACAAAGAAAAACAAAGGTATGTATCAGAGACATTATACATGCACTTGACATTACTGATATAGCACTCAGATACTACAGAAGAATGGACACCCTGTGCAAGAGGTTGACCCCATATAAACTCTTTAGTTTAATCATGAAGCATAGCTTTTGGTGGTAAGTCTCAAACATTCATTTTTAGTGTTTCCCTGGGCTTCTACTCCACACATTTGCAAATGGTTTTGGCCTGATACATATATAATATATGATTTATAACATTGGTAAACAACTATTTTCTATGTTTGTTAGTCTACTGTTCCATATAATATATATTGTAACTTTTCAAATCTAAAATAATTTATGTACTCATCTTAAAGGTGGAAATAAAGAAACATAATACAACAATCCATGGGATGCACCTGCTATAGAGTGCCACTGTTATAAATAGTGTATATCAAAAAAAAAAAAAAATTATATTTTCTGCATTATAGGTTTATAACAGCTTACATTAATAAAAGCCATATAAGATGCATTTTAGTTCATTAAGATCATACCAGAGTGAAATCTGTTAAACCATAGTCAGAGTGTAGTGTGACTGATTGATATTGAACCAGGGTAAAGAATACAGAGATAAGTCCCTGTAGAGATTTATGATAGCACACTCACAGATAGTACCCCTAAATAAACTTTCAAGCATGTGGTCAAAATGTTTTACTTGAAGCTGTTTCTAAGTCTGAACCAAATTCTAAGAAATTGAATAAAAATAAAATGGAGGTGTACATTTTATGAAATCTTTGTTTTTGAATTCTATTTGAAATAACAAACTTAACAATGTCCATGCAATTTCAAAACAGATAAGAAATATTCAGGTTCATCATAAAAGTGCATTGTTATTTCATTATTACTGCAATATACACAGTAAAATCTGTATTATCTGAACACCAAACCACACCACACCACAGGACCGACCGAAAGTGTTCAGAATAGGCAGATGTTCACATTTCAAGGTTTCCTTATTTGTGAGTCAATGGGAAAATTTGGGACTGGAAAAGTGTTCACGATGAGAGGTGTTCAGATTAGAGAGGTGTTAGCATATAGAGGTTTTACTGCACCCTATTGTTTTGCCTTCAGGTTAAGTGCTGTAAAGTTAAAAAAGTTACAGGCCCAATTATTAAGACTGACAAATTCCTGACAAACATTTTTGTGGTAATGAAGTTTTTCTATTGGACCATTTTCTTCGTGCAAGTTGAAAACTCCTACTGGTCCCATGATAATTCTTATTGAAATCAAACCCATAATCTAGTTATTCTCAAAATCGATGCAATATTCTTCAATCAAATTCCAAAGATATTTACTTTGACAATAAATACAAAAATATGGTATTTATCAAAGTTGATGCATGAATTAGCACTATTTGAATGAAGAAGAAATAAAAGAAAAAGTCCAATGTTAACTCAATCTTTATTGAACATTACACAAATAGCATTATACTGTACTTGTAAAATACAGCAATAAATGTCAAGTACTAGTACTTGATATATGAAAAGACCTTAAATTTTTTATTCACTGAGAAAACATGTTTCTTTAAATGAGTGTCCAAATATGTTGACAAGTAATTCATACAGGAGATATTAGGAGATTAAGATGGATTGAACAAAAAATACAAAAAAACTTCATTCAAGTTGTAATCAATAAAAACCTGATTTTTGAGGACACGAAAGGGGGATACTTACACCACCCCCCCCCCACCCCCTCCTTAGGTCTCTCCAGTCCCCTACCCTTGCTCAATAGAGGAGACAATGATGAAGATGGACAGTTTTGGCAAGAATACTTTTTTCTTCAGGTTCAATAATGAACACCATTCATAAAAGTTATAGTTTTATATAAAATTCAATTCTATTCTGTGCAATTATGAGTTTCCCTGAAATCAGAAACTTGTATCTTGACCCAGAATTCTAGACCAGAATGTAGTAAGCAGAGATCAGCCTAACTATGAAGGTTCACGATGCCTTTAGTTACAAGTACAGGTACACTGTACAGACTACAGGTATACATGTACACTTCTACAGGTAAATATGTTTCTAATTCTGTACTTAACATGCCAATGAAGGTGTAATGAGCAGGTAAAAGAGATTATATAACTCAGGAGTGAGGGTGCCTAACAAACAAATAAATTCTGAGAATGAAATATTGGGCCATTCAGTAGTACAATTTCAAGTTTTAAGGCAGTTCTGCACTTTCATAAAATAAATCTAAAAATTTGGGGAAACATTTCAACTAATTTTTACGAAATATTTTGATTCTGAACTATTATTATTCAAAGTGTATTAATATCCACACAAAATTTTGAGTAAAGTATTACCCATTTCTTTCAAAATTATTAATTCAAATTAAATTAAAATTCCATCATGCAGATCTACCTTAATACAATCAATACAAAGGTATCTTGCCTTTTCCAAGTATTCTAAGACATGTCTATCTGAAGAAAGCTTCTGTATAAGGAAAGACATATTGTTAGCATTCTAGACATTCTTATACTCATCACATCTTTGAAACACCAGCTCATGACTGAGAAGAAATAAGATGTTTATCATGATACCATCTTCGCAAGCTCAGGTCTTCACTGCATTCATCGACCGACGGGACGGGACGGGAGCCGAGTGAACAAAGATGTTAAGATACACTAGCAGCTTGTTCGTAGCATGGAGAAGACATATAAAAGGGCATACATGAGACAGGTGGAGGAAAAGGGACTCCAAAAGTTAATGGTGGACAAATACATATGAAAATAGAAGACAAAATAAACCTAATAAACAACAAAAATATTATTCATGCCAGCCCACTCTCCCTCTTGAATTCTCTCAAATTTTGGTCCTAGAAATGTAAAGTAGGGAGGGGGCCAATGTAAATCTACTAGATGCAAATCTACAAGATGTAAATCTACTAGCCCTGCAATATGAAGTAAGGTTTATGTAATGTTGAACTGCATGTTATGATGGTGCATCATTAGACATGTTAGGCACATTTACCTCCTGATAACCAAGAACATGAGCTGAACATAGAGGGATGGACCCCAAAATAATTTTGGCTTGAGTTATATAGAAACGAGGCATTAACATTCAAAATGTCATCACCTGCCATTTGTTACAGACACTAAATGCCAAACATCAACAACCAAACATCAACTGCCAAACACCAACTGCCAGAAAAATGTTAGAGACCATAACAATATGTCACTACTTGTGGTGGTGCTATAAAAATGTTGGTGATACATATCTACATGGGAGAACAAATAAAAATATAAGAAGCCCCCAGTCAGAGGAGTCACCTGACTGAGGGGCTTCTCCTTAGGGAGAAAATGGGATTAAATGGTAGCCAGTACTGACTACCCCCCTCTCTCTTGGTTTTCAGGACCTTCATTATATGTGATAAAGAGTAATAATGATTCATTTTTACATTATTTGAATTAAAGATTTTCTAAATACACTACATGTGCTATATGTGTCACAATGTTTAATTGGAATAAGATAAAAATAATATAATTGCATGGACACAAGTAAATGTCTAAGAGGGAAAAGTTAAATGCTATTTCAGTCTTTAGATAAATTCAAATCAGCTGTATAGTCTCAAAGAAAATATATACAAGGAAATATCAACAATGTTAATCTCAAGTGTTCTTGTTCCACTTATAAGAAATTGGAAACTCATCGATAAAATTTGAAGATAACAATGGGAAATCTACCAGGATTTAAATAGAAATGTAAAGAAGCAGATGTTATAATAAACCTACATGCCTTAAAAGATTAGTTTGGAAATAAAATGAAAGAAAAAATGTATCAGTGCCACATTACATTTATGGAATTTATACAGTAAAACCTGTATTAATGAACACCTCTCTAATGAACACCTGTCTCTGGTGGACACTTCCTCCGCACATACTCTACTGACTTCTGTATAAATTACTCTCTCTCTCTGTGTAGTGAACACCTACCAACTGTATTGAACATTTTTCTTGGAAAAAAATGTTCAATACACACAGGTTTTACTGTATAAGCAGTGAGATATGGAATGAATGAACAATGGAATGTACGATGAATTTTATTTGCAGCCCCGCTTTAACTCTCTACAAAGTCTCAAGACTTGATTCAGGAACCATGAATATGCTATTAATACCCCCCCCCCACCAGTATGAGAGTAGATGTAATAGGCAGCAGAGAGAGGGGGGGGGCTTCATATCAGAAAACAACGGGTCTTGCCCTAAAACATGAACCCAAGAAAGACCCAGAATCAAATGAAAAAAAAAATTACCAAAACTTTGAAATGACCCCTCAACATCAATGTTCACCAGAACTGTAACTGTAAATTTATTAGCCTGTCATGAGGACAAAATTCCTGAACAAACACCTCTTTATCAATTCATTACATTAATAACACTTCCTATCACTTTATCATGGTGTAATTATGGAGAATTTAATGTCAGTAAAAGTGCCATATTACATTGATCAACTTCATTGCAAATATCAGATGTCAGGTGATGCTGGTTCATTCTGAATATATTGTTAGATTCAGTTGATTTAATCCATTTTTGAAGGATATTTTCATCATTCCAAATCAAATATTCTTCAAGTCTTGTGCCCCCCCCCCCCTAAACACATCAACAGTCAACACAGCTAAAGTAGATAAAGTAGATCTACTTGATACAAGACTATTCTTCCGAGTGAGAAGGAAAAAAAGTAAAACTTCAATTTTGTACCTCATTTCTAACATCTGAATCCCTCAAGCCCCCTAGGCAAGGTCTTGGTTTACATTACAGAGGTCTTAAGAAGAGGTCAGTCTCATCATTTAGGTTTTAAAGGTATGAAGTGTGGCATGTAAATCAAACTGGTAAGGGTGCATGCACTTCTGTACTAAAAATTAATTATTCCCTACCCTGACCTCATAATAGCTACCCTCAGTTAGTAAACAAAGCTCTCTTTTAAGAAGCAAATCCAAAGGAATGCAGAGATATAGCATCTTGATTTACCAAGAATCAGCCGATTCCTTCAGTCATATACTGGTCTAACAGTATAGAGATATATTATAAGAGAATGGCTTTTTGTGAAAGTTAAGAATTGGCATCGATAAAGTGAAACATAAAAATGTCTCATCCATCCAAAATATTCAAGTCAACATCGATATTTTCAACTTTTTCTTCATTGATGAATAAAATATGTCCAAGAATTTTTTTCTTCTGTATGGAAAGCTTGAAGCAATGTCTATTCTCTGTATTCCTTCTCAATTCCTCTATTTTAGGGTGGGATTTTACATGGAAAACCATGAGTAAGGTAAAGATATTTAGAAAAGTCATGTTGGGTGGAGAGAGCTCATGTATCTAGATACTGCAAGATGCCTGTACTCAAAATGATCCGCTGATCTTGCTATTTTTAATTCATTTCTCAATAGATATTTGCATGAACCATTTTTTCATGTTTCATATCATTAAAAGTATGCCTTAAACGATGTAATGCTATCAATTTCTTGGCATTCTGAGCTATATTTGTAAAAATTTGCTAAAGGGATGGTATTTTATTTTAGGTGGAATAAGCTGCACCACTGGATCCATGCAAAACATAACCTTGGTCAAACTCACCTATGAAAAAGTGAAATACACAGTCATGTTTTATATTTGTGAAATAAGAGTAGAAAAGAGCGAAATTAGTAAGCAATGAAATAATACACCCGTTCAATATTAAGAGATAACCATGAAATAGTGGAATTGTAGGATTGTTTATCTCCTGCAAAATATTGTATGATTATCAAATAACAAATTAACCAATCAAACATATATAGAAATGTGCCCCTACCCCCTACCCTATACCCATCAAAGGAGGACTTTAATTGTGGGAGACTTACTTAAGGAGACAACAGAACAATAAAAGTTGAGTCTTGCCCTATCCCCACCCATATAAAGGGCAATCTGGAGCAAATGAAAGAAAAATGGAAAGATAAGCATATCATTCCAAACCATGAAATTTCTTGTATGAGCAGTTCTCCATGGATATTCTATTTGGTTCTAGCAGATATTTATAAACCTACAAGTAAATCAACTTATTACTGCTAGTCCAGCCTCCCTAAACACAGATGGGGTTCCTAATGATTCTACTTAACACTTAGTTTATTTTTGTCACTTTTACGGTAAGCTGGAAATCCTTTATTGATAGAAAGAGTGAATTAATTCTTTTTTGCTAAAAGAAAGGTGGACATTTGTTGCATTTTTTCAATTACCCCTCTTCTTTCCTCATATTGACTTTACACCTTTAAAAATGTTTGCCTTGCTCGGTTTCCCCATTTGGTGCTCCACTGGTACTATGGGGTCAAGTGTTTTAGGCTCTTGGCTCTGGTTTTCTCTAGATGACCAACATATACATAAACATAAACTGCATATAGCTACTCGATTGCTCTAGAGGATCTAATTCTCTAGCTAAGTCCTTTACACAGGCACTCAGATTTAGCATGCAGACCAATTCTTTATTTTGGTCATGCTGATGAAACATGTCCTATCTTCTCATTTGATCCCCCCCCCCCCCACTATGGATGTTGACCTACCTGTTTCTGCCGATGCGTTCATAGTCTTTTACTTGGATGTTTAGAGTGTCTGAAGAAGTGAGTGCTAGTCCTTTTAAATCAAACTCAAGTTTCTGAAATTAAACAGAAAAAAATTTAATGCACATTATTCAAAGACATTTACTTCAGAAAAAATTCTTTTTAAGAAAATTTTACTTATTCATGATAAGGTAATGGTATTCTTAGAAAAATATGAATTACTCTATTTACAGCAATATGGCTTCCGAAAAAAACATTCCACACATATGGCTCTTTTAAATTTTATTGAAAACATAAGAACAGGTTTAGACAAATCGGAAACAAGCATTGGAATATATATTGATTTAACAAAAGCCTTTGATACCATGGATCATAATATACTGTTGAATAAATTGAATTTTATGGAATTAGAGGAACCCCACTTTCTTGGTTTAAAAGTTATCTTGAAAATAGGAAAATTATAACAGAATATACAATACATGATTTTGAAATTGACCCAAGTACTATAACTGATATGAAATATCAATCATCTTCTTCTAATATTGAATATGGAATTCCAAAAGACTCTGTTTTGGGGCCCCTCTTATTCATTATTTTCATAAATGACATATATTTAACATCAGATAAATTAAAATTTGTCCTATATGCAGATGACACAAATATTTTATTGACTGATGATAACATTGATAATTTAGAAAATGATATAAATGAGGAATTGAAGAAGGTTAATGATTGGATGACATCTAACAGATTAACACTCAATGTAGAAAAAACAAAATTTATGATTTTTGACATAAAAAGAATCAACAAAATTGACAACTTTGAAGTAAAACTAAAAAATCAATCAATAGAAAGGGTAAATAATATTAATTTTCTAGGAGTAATTATTGACTCCAAGTTAACATGGGCTGCTCACATAAATGCACTTTGGTACCAAAATTTCAAATTTAATTCGACTAATATATAAAACTAGACACAAACTAACTTTGAATGCCTTGCTGACAACCTATTATTCTTTAGTATATTCATATATAAGTTATGGAAACATTTTATGGGGCAATGCAACAAAAAATCACTTAAACAGACTATTTATTTTGCAAAAGAAATTTCTAAGAATAATGACAAATTCTGAAAGAACTGCTCATTCAAGTCCCATCTTCAAAAAGTTCAAAATATTAAATATTTTTGACATTAATATATTTCAAACGCTCACTTTTGTGCAGAAAACTGTAACAGAATCTGCAGACTTTCCGTTTCATAATTTTAAACATTTTTTTCAAGAGAGAACAGATATACACACCCATGATACTAGATACAAATATAATTTAACAATCAAAAGGTTTAGAACTGAAACTGGTCGAAAATCAATTGCGATTAGAGGAGCAATACTGTATAACTCACTGGCTAAAGACTTCAAAAAGGCAAAATATATAAAGAAATTTGAAAAACTAATAAAGAATGATCTTATCAGTAAATACCAATGCTAATCTGTGCTTCCATTTTTCTCTTTCAGTTTAATTCATTTAGCTTTTGATCTATGACTAAAACTTTACTTTTAAATATTATGTCCCATGGAATATATACGCCCCTTGGGGTGTCTTTTTCATGTAATTGATGAAATGTTGTATGATGTAATTTTGAATGAATAAATTGAATTGAATTGAAGACAACAAATAAGGACAATTGATAATTTTTTGGGAAGAAAAAATTTTCTATGTAACATTTTCAGATTTGCTTGACACTTTTTATAAACTGATGAGAGAAAACTACTTACATTAAATATTAAGTAAATCTCATATTAATCTATAATTTGTAAAATTTTCTTTGGTTATATTTCTTAGAGTCACAAGAGATGTGGGAAACATGGAGAAAATGATAAGATGATAAGAGCGTCTGCGATTTTTCCAAGTAACTCGATCAGAATAAATTATCATGTTCTGTAATTCTCCATTTCGCTGTTCGCTCTTTGAATCAGAACGTTCGCATATATGGTGCATATATGTACTCAAAAAGGACAAAATTTGATTGGTCAATATTTTTCAACGATGCATTTCGTGTAGCTATTTGTGAGACCCGAAAGTTCTAAATCAAATTAATTACGCAATTTTGTTTTTACACCCGCAAGCTAAATAAAAAAATGACACCATCGGAATTCTTCTTCTTTGTCATTGAATTAATAGTCAGTATACCAGATTTAATCAATAAAAGATTATACAATTAACAACAAAATTCGGAAACGAGTATGTAAGATTTGCTTTCGAACCACTAAACTTGACCTAGATAATAGCGACGTGTCTTCTTTGGTCAAATGCTCAGTTGTTTGTGGGTTTTCAACGTAACTCTATAATGTAATATGAAGATGAGTACTTTTATTCAGTTGTTGCATCGATGTTACAGTTTGTAGTGCGGTAATATTGGCATGAACGTGTTGAAAGTCGAATGGAATTGCTTTTTCCAATATGGCGACTAGTCACGTGACTTCTTCTCTTCCGGAATATACTCCCATTTTCAATCATTGTTTTCACCCCGTTAGGAGCCAATAAAATGAAAAAAAATATATGTTATATAAAGATTATTAAAAGACTAATTGTTTCTGATAGTTTGTTTTCTCCGATCGCATGGAGATTCGATCGAAAATATCGCTTGAAAAATGGGTATGAAAATCCCCATGTTAAACCAACGGGGAAAAACAAGGTAGAAAAATTTTGTTCCCCCGCGAACTGCATCATGGGAAATATTTTGACCTTATAAGGAAAAACTTTCGCGCCATCTTTATTAGAGATTCAATACCACCGAATCCGCGATTTTAAGAATTAGGGCGGACTAACCATGAGCAGAGAGGAAGTGATGAAGCATGGGGTAATGCTTACATGATCACTAAATGTATGAATGTTTCTTTAATTCGAGGAAACATCGTGACATTGTGACATATGTATAAATGATCATTATACATATATTATTAGTCACACAGTCAACTTAACATGATTTCCCCATCAGGCAAATATTTGAAAAATATAAATTTTTTCACGATTGGTAACATTAAACTTATAAATTGTCCTATATGAAATTGCTTTGTTAAACATTTACAAATGTGACTTTACATTTAATTAAGGAAAGGTGCCTTCACAAAATGAATGATAATCTTAACTCTTAATTCTAAACTAAATCTTTTTTCAAGTTACAGAATTTAAAATGTTCACAATTTTTGCGAAAGAAGTATATATCTCTTCAGATGATTTTGAAAAAGGGCTCTATTACAAGTTTTACAAAAACTAATATTGGCCAATTTATACAGGAATATTCTTTCATCAAATGTTCAGAATACAATCAAAAATCTGATGCAGCAAATTATAAAATTGTTTCATCATGGCCTATTAATCAAATGAACAATTACAATTCAAAAGTTAATAATTTTAACAGATTTTTAGATAATTTGTAGTTGTGACATTTGATAACAACTATTGGGATCTCAAAATTCCTTAATTTTGCAATTTTTAAAAGTTACTCAAAAAGTGTTGTGAGAATATAATTCCTTGATAAGAAAGCAAGGTAATGTCTATGACAAAGAAGGCACTCATATCTATCTAGTATATGCAATGAGGCTACATTTTGATAGTCACTGAAGAAATTGTTTGTTCAGCAGGTATAAGTGGTATAAATACATTGACCTTACACATATAGATCTTGGGAACTCATGTTTGTAATGCAACAAGTTATAATACAGGCACTTAGAGAATTCAATTTGATGTAGATTCAGTCATTATGTAAACAATGAAATGAGCAGACTGGTCAGTAAAGTACACATTCTACGCATTCCTACCTCATTCCATGCTGGGTTTAAATCTCCATCTTTCACTTCTGTCTTCTTTTTGTTTCCTGGAATTATTGGAAGGAAAAAGATGGTTGGTAGGACTGGATACTCCATTTTACGATATATGAGAGCTTACTTGACAGAGAAAGTGAGCCTATAGAAGTCTCAGATAAAATAGCCGAAAAGGAAATATCGACATCAGGACTTTCAACACATATCCATCAGGAACAATTTAGCGAATATCTTATATAAATAGGCATAGGTTTCTCAAATCATGCTAAAATAAAACAAGTTTTTGCACATGAATTATTCATCTTAGTAACCCCCCCCCCCCCCCACCTCAAAAAGCAATTCCTATTCCATTTGAATTTGAGAACATTATCACCTCAAATGTATAGAATATTTAGTTATTTGAATCTATTTTCCCTCGAAGATATCATTTAGAGTCACTGTTCACTATCTTATTTGCTGCAAAAGTCAATTCAAGACATGTCAAATTGAAAATGTTGGCCAAATTCAAAAAGTTTTTCCAAACAAATAATCAAGTTTCACCTACCTTGCAGTTCAACTGAGACATATGGATCACTCTTCCCAAACTTTTCAACATTGGGTAAATTTTTAGCCGACTCAATGAGCACCGTCAACGACATTTTGACGAGAAGATCACTGCTAAACTTTTGAATCCATTGCCCTCCAAAACTTTTCACTAAATGAACACATTGCCTGTTGAGTTCAGAGGTCAATTATTGACTCATATGCCATCTATTTAACATTTCAAAAGATGTTGGTTGGAAATGGAATGTACTTTGTGCGTGGGTGAGAGCATGACAAATAACCAAATACATAATTACAAATGATCATATTTTCATAATTACCAATTAATTGATTAATTTGACATGAACAAGATGAGGTTCTAGAAATAAATAGACCATAACACAGGAATTTGGAATTGTCTAACTGATGGCCTTAGAGCCTTAGCTTCCAGCATGACTTTTGCCAGGGGGTCGCCACAGGTTTCAGGTTTTATTAAGATTAGTCTCGTCGCTTTTCAGAAAAATTGACTGACATCACTGTTTTTAGATTGCCTCAATAATGTTAACATTTTGCCTCAAGTTATTTTGACATTTTCTCCTTAGTCTTAATTCCAATTTGCATATTCGACAGCACAGTGCAGTACCATTATATCACAACTTTTCAGGGATAGACAATAGACTAGTTGTTCATGTTTGCCTCGTGCAGTGTTAAAGGGTCGAAGTATTTGCCTCACTGACAAAAAATTGCCTCGCTGCAACCCCACCCCTACAAAATCCCAGCTCTTTGCCTCATTGACATAAAAAAATTGCCTCCAGAGAAAAAAATTGCCCCATTGCACCCTCTTCAAGAAATCTTAGCTTCGGCAGTGTCCATGCCTCATGAATGACGCAGCAGCTCATATATGTATCTAATCTATCAAGTGATCATTTACTTACAGCTGGTTGGATTGTGGTCATGATGCAGTGGGCTTGCAGATAAGGAAACAATATTACTAATAAGAGAGATTACATTTCTCTCATAGTGGTATTGTTCAGGTCTCTTCTAATACCTTGGTTCTGGGTTAGAACAAGGAATTAACATGCAAAATGTCACCACCTGCCATTTGCTACAGACACTGAAAACCAAACATCAAATACTGGGCATTGATCACCATCCACAAAAAAGTTGGGAACCATAACGATGTCACCAATTCTGGTGATGACATAAAACTGATCCATAAGAATGAAAAACAGAAGATAAAGATTATTATTTTTGATACACTAATGGTAACAAGAATATTTATTGTACATATTAAAATGCCGCTTCTCTAACTTTGTACATTGTTAATATATTTTACAATGTTAATGGCTTTGTACAGGATTACATCAACCATGTACTTGTATTTATAATATATATAGTACATACTATATATAAAGCAAGCCTGATGGAAAACACTACTCTACTTACAAAACTATTCTTTACAATTACATGGGGAATTTACAGAGATTTGAAGATTTGTACACAATGTAAAAGCGCTTTTTAGAAATCTTCACCAATCCAAGCGTTAATATGATCATGATCTAATAAATAAATAATAATGATATACATGTGATTGTTTGTGATTGGTGTGAGTCTACTTAATTGGTGGTCATTTGACTTCAGTCAGACATCTTATTGGTCATTTACAATCTCCTATTTAGCATGGGTACAATAATTTTAGCAATTGTATTATAATACATAACTTGGCACCAATGATTATAAATAGTTAAAATGTAATTAAACTAGCCAAATGGGAGAAAGCGTCAAGTGCTTTTCCCTTAGACCAGTTAAAAGTAATACATGAAATAAGAACAAGGCATTAACATGCAATATGTCACCACCTGCCATTCGTCGAACAAACACCATCCACAAAGAAAGTTGGAGACGATAACAATATGTCACCACTTGTGTTGGTGACATAAAAAGTTAAAACAAAATCAGAACAAAACCTGAGATTTCAACAAAGGAGGATGTGAATGTTTGACTGTAACCATGACCACCAAGATGAAATGAATTGCAGAAACTTAAAAAAATTAACTCCAGTACCTGGATAAGTTTAAGTTTATTAATTTTTTTATTAAGTTTATAATATTGGATGTCGATATTTTTAGGCCTCAATATGTTAATTGATATACATCAAACTTTTCGTTATTTTTTTTATAAAAGTATACATTTGTACAACACAAATAAACCAAGCATAAAAATAAACATTTTCTTGAACGTTAAGTTTTTACCATATCAAGACATACGGTTAATTGTACTTAGATTTGGTGAAAAATATGTTATGACATGTAACAAAAATAGATTTAAATTAGTTCTACTCAAATGTATCATAAACCTTTATACTTTCAAATTGAATATTTCTATTTAATTTGTTTAAATGTCAGTTTATGAGAACTATTTACACATGAAAGTTGGGACTCAAAAATGTGCCAGAGTTTATCAACAGCCCAACAAATGCTTGCACATTTTGAATCGCCTAGAATTCAAGAACTTGTCACTTAAAATATGCCCTCTTTAGAAGCCTTTCTGAAAATCTCACCACTTTGGCCAGTTTGGGGTATTCAAAAAGTTATGATTTTTGCCACAACTTGTTGAATACTCCACACTAAATGCAGTATTCTAAGATCATAGGTAAAAGTTACATTGGCTGCCCTATATGAGGTCATTTGTATGAATGGTTGGCAAATATGTTCCATTGTACAGGTTTGTTCAAGCATATAGACAGAGGTTAACATTTTTGTATCATATATTTTGGGGAACACTTTTGTTTGATGATTGTTATTGAATAACATAATAAGTTATAGTAATACACAGTAAAATATGTGAAAATGTACATCGAAATTATGAGGCACATTTCCAATGTAATAATAGACCAATGAGAGAATACAAGTTCTATACTAAGAAATCAGTTCACGTTCTGTAGGTATGTATGTATTCACTGTTCATATTTACATGTTTTACTGTGTATTAGAAATTAAGAGACAATTTTGAATTGAATAATCCCATGTGTTCCCATTTGAGGCTACTATTTGAAAAGCCTCTATTTGAAAAGCCTCCATTTGAGAGTCGTTCATTTGAATCTCACATCTATCAACAACAGCCATCTACCAACATGAAAAGTTTACAAGTATGTACAACTAGAAAATAACTGTGTCTCTTGCGCCTGTGGCCTCCACCACTTTATCACATGCTGCTCCCATCTACATTATATCCTACATGATTTCTCCATATTAAAATCAACAGGTGAACCTCAAATCATTTTCTCAATCTCATAGCTAATAATTGCTATGGCTACCATCTGGCAGAATGGATACATTGGTTGACAAAATATATCTGGTGTTTTGGTAATCAGATAGTATTTTAAATCTAAGTTTCAGTGTTTGATTCCAAAACTCTTCCAAATCCTGCATTCTAATTCGACGTCTTCTACTACATTGTTGTATTATTCATTCTATATACATTATTTCATAATGTGCGTGTATGTTCACTGAATAGGTGTATGCATGTGTAATGTCATTTTGTACATATATGTACATGCTTTCTCAATAGTTAAATGAGAAGTATTTAAATGAGATCTCTTGAACAATTTAGGAACATCTTCACTTCCTATAACCAGCAAATTCAATTTTAGGTTTTCCATTGCGATCTTTCACCGAGTGTGATGTTTGCTGTTTATATGAATTTGGTTCTCTCATCGAGTGCAAGTCTCTCAATTGATTTGAATCTCTCGATGAATGTGAGTCCCTCGATGAATGTGAGTCTCTTCGTGTATACGAATTAGAATCCTTGTGTGAGTCCCTATGATTATATGAGGTTGAATACTGGGTCGAGTGATGACCTCCAGTGTCTGTAGATGATGGTGTTTGTCTATACGCAGGAGGTGTAAATGTTCGCAAAGGAGGTGCAGACCCAGATGCCCCATTTCCTCTTTGTAGATTGGGTGATGGGAGTGATGGAGGATAGACTGGACTGGTGGGTTGCCCAGGTGATGTTCCTGTATCTGGAAGTACACATGGAACATGTACATAAGTATAAGTATGGACTATATTAAAAAGTGTGTGTTTCATTAAAGTGCCTTTGTAGTAATTTAACACATTTCATACACTAGCAGACTAGTTACACATTACATCAGATAGTTATACACATAACATCAAAAAGGAATTATAAATATTACATATGAAAGTAATTACACATTATAAGTTACACATCAGTTATTACACATGTTAAACATACAATACTAAATATCGTACAAGTAACCATGAGGTTGAGAGTTCGAGACGCGGTGTGCTCTGTGCGTTTATTCATTTACTTACTATTGACTTTGAAGGTGGGTGGTATATGTAATGATAGCAAAGATGGTATTCCTCCCCCAGGTGCACCATGATTAGGAGGCCCTGGTTGTGTGCCTCCACCTGGTTGCTTCATCCTCATAGATGCCCCATGAGAGCCTGTCCCAGAAGAGAAGTGGGCACTGGTGTGTGGGGGTGGTGGGGGAGGGGGCGTCCCACTACTTGAAGTGCCTGAAAGTGAAAAGTATAGTTGTATTTTGATTTTTCAGTATTCAAAATTGATTGCTGGTCTCCATTAAGAATATTTCAAGGAAGAATCCAAAGCTTCTGATTTTTCAGTACAATTCACTCCTCTATCTGATTCACTTGTGAAACATTATCAAAACTAAACTATGTTAATAATTATTATGTGCTTATGCCAAACTGCCAACCAATTTGATATAAGGATAAAGTAAGATGGCACTGTAAATCAAAACAAGAACTTTTCCTGAATTTCAAATCTCACAAGATTCTGCTCAAGTAAAATCATGAAAAACAAGCCTGCTTGGACTATATTATCTGACATGTTTTTCATCAGAAAGTTATCCTGGCCTATCTATATAGCAACTCATATATGAACTCACCATCACCCTTATTTGGACGAGAATGATTGGCTGGAGATGCACGTGTTGGTGTGCGGGCAGCAGCAACTGGGGGTGGAGGGGGAGGAGGCGGGGGTGTACACATTCTAGGAGAGTGACACCCAACGTGCAATTTACCACCACGTCGCTCTACAATAGAGAAATACTAACTTCACAATCTGGCCACTTATGAAGACCAGTTTAAAGTCAGCATTTTGCGACACTTACAATCTGGTCATTTTATAAAACCAACTTGTCAGTGTGTAGTCACTCTGTATAACCTTGAAAGTGCATTTGTCAAAAGAAGATTTAATAATAGGCGGTGTCAGTAAATGCATTAAATGCTAAACTTAACTATTCAGGTTTTTGAGAATTAATTGTACTTTTAGTAAAAGTGGGTCTCACTATAAAATGCATGCAAATTTCAATCCCTTTCACCCAAATATTAAACACATATGTGACTGAAAGCTAAATATGTATAGATTTGAAGCTGTGGAAACAGGAACCATTTTTCAAAAGTCCTTTATTAAGTGTTATTGAACTATAATTAACATTATAATTCTACCATGTTAAAACAATGTTAATATTGAATAATGGTCCCTAATAAGACAAGAATATAGATCAATACAGGATTCAAGAAGAATATGCCTGGAGGTCAATGTATGAATGAATAAAAAATTATACGTTACCTTTCCTTAAATCATCATCTTCATCATCGCTAAGTCCAAATTCTTTCCTAAGACGCTCCGAGAGGCTCAAATGGGACATATTGGGTTTAACCTTTCGTTCCTTTTCCCGAACCCGATCTCGGACATCTCTAGAGCGAGGATGCTGGTCTCTTTTTCTGTGTTCCCTCTTGTCTTTAGAGTCGTTTGATATAGACCTACTGAGGCTTGATATGGCGTGGGCTGATAGGCCTCCTGTAAATGGAGCAAAAATGTGCATTATGATGAAAAAAATTAAAATAGATTTGATATTCAAGTCCATCCTCCAATTCTCAAGAGATGGCAGTGTAAAAGTACCTTAAGTCCACCACCTACCAAATGATAAAGGATTGAGAAAGTGGCATAGAAAACCTATAATAAACATACCTTTTATAGGGCGATGCTTGTCATGGTTGCTGCTTGGTTTACTATTACTGTTAGTGTCCACAAACAGAGGAAGAGGGGCCAGAGTATATATCCCAGAGCCTCTAATTGAGGGTCCAGGAGCACGCAATGTTGGTGATGCTAAGAGAGGGGATGACGAGGTGCTGCTGCTGGATGATGTTGACTTCACTGGGGTATTCGACTGTTTGGAATCCTGGTCCCTAGAATCTTTACTGGTACTTCTCTGTTTCAGTCTCTGCCTGTATTCAAGCAGGGACACCTACAACAATAAGTTAGCACGTGAAAAATGTGACTGCATTTTCAGAGCTTGAATGTGTTAGAGAACTTTCAGCTTGACTGAAAATGGTTAAAATATAAGTCAGTTTTATTAAGATAAAACACTGGAACACCTCTCAATGTGAACACTTCTTTCAGTCCCATTTTTTGATCTGCCATTGACTTCCATATTAGAAACCCTCCAAATGTGAACGTCTGCCAATCTGAACACTTTAAGACAAGTTTTACTGTAATTAAAAATAAAATAATTACCCTTTTCTTTTCTTTAGGTGGTGGAGTCCCTTGGTCTATAAGCCCATTAGACGAAGATGTGGCCAAACCACCAGACTCCTGCAGTCTTTGCTCTCCTACTGAAAGATCATGCATGTTATGCCCCATGGGACGCTGTGAGAACATTTCCTCAGAGTGAGGATGAGGTAATGCATGCTCCGGCATAGAAGGATTGGATAATGAATGCTCCAGCATATGGTGTTGGGCTAATGCATGCTCCGACATATGGTGATGAGATAAAGAATGCTCAGGAACACTAATTCCCACTGCCTCAGAGTCTCTAGGACCAAACTGTCCTTGTAAAGAACTACTTATATCCATGGATGTGTTTCTTTGTGAGTGGTTATCACCAGATGTTTCAACGACATGCTCCTCTAGAGCAATCTGCTGGGATGTCGAGTCGACCCATTTATCTCTGTGCTGCTCAGACATCATATCCATGTCAACTGAATTGACCATTGGTAGGTTACTACTCACAAAACTCTCACTCGAATTACTTAGTAACCCACTGTCAAATTGTCTCCTTGGTGACACAGATGTTGAGACATTATCGAGGGGGACAACATCAGATCTACACACATTGTCCGAGCTACTATCAGCGGAGAAATGGGCTCTATCCATTGGCTGGTAGGACATAGCAACTGAGAGAGAATCGGGGCCATTTAGAGTATTTGAGTGGACACCTGATGAGTCCAGTTGGATTTCTACATGTCCACTGTCCACAGAGCCAGAATCAGCACTATGGACTTCGAAAGCTCCACTAGAGTCCAAATCAATTCCCTTTGAAGCATTATCTGTACTGCATGTAACAGCTTCTCTTAAAGGATCTGCTATTCCAACAGTACCAACACTGCTACTCTCAACCTTAGTGGCATTTGTTTCTATTTGCTCGGTAGAGTCAACATTAGTTGCTTTGTATGCTGTATCTGAGGTACCAACAGAAGGGGAGTTCCCTGTATTACTGGAGCTGGACTCCACGTGACACGGACCTGCAGATGTGCTTGGTACAGATCCAGATGTGCTTGGTACAGATCCAGATGTGCTAGGTACAGATCCAGATGTGCTGGGTACAGATCCAGATGTGCTGGGTACAGATCCAGATGTGCTAGATAATGACCCCGATGTGCTTGGCAATGTTCCAGATGTACTTGGCGATCCAGATGTGCTCGGTAATATTTCTGATGAGGAATTGTTCATATGCTCCCCAGATGTTGAGGGTAATGGATCTAAATGACTATTTTGAGTCCCTACACGTGAATTACCATCTGAATTTGAAACTATGTCCTCTAAACACTCTTCATTATGACCAGTCCTATCTGAATTTAACATTTTAGTCTCGCCAGAGGATACAATCTCAATGGCTTCACTACACGAGTCAATATTTCTATTTTTGTCATCACTTTGAAGAGAACCCGTAGTGACCCTATTGTTGAACCTCTCCTCACCGTGACTGCTATTTTTATTAAAAACATGTTCGTCATCAGTTGTCGACTGATTATCTGATGATTCAAGATCAAAGTCTGAGCACCTGTTGAGTGATTTTTTATGTCGAAACTTAGAAGGCAGTAGCTCGGGGTCTAAACGTGGATCTTGCGTTGTACTTGAGATGGCGCTACTAGTTCTGGGTCGGGGAAGTTCCCCTAGGGGATGAGGGTGCGGACTGAGTATTGATTCCGAAATGTCACTTTCTATCGAGATCTGATGATTCACCTGGCCGAACCTCTGAAAACAAAACCAATACATAGCATGGAAAGCAATACAACATATATATGTATATAAACAGAAGCAATGCATGTTATGTACAATGCATTTACATGCCAAATGTAACCACCTACCATTTGTTTCAAATACTGACCACCGAACAATGATACACAAACCAGTTGCGAGACTATAACAATTTGTCACCACTTCTGGTAAAAACACAACCAAGATTCTGTTATGAAACAAAAACTTAAGCAAAATGTAATATGAATATGAATGAATCATTTTCCTTATAAAGGTCTAATTAAGTCTTTTTGTTAGATGAATTGAATATAGAGCTCTCTATGTAAAGTGAGCCTACAAGCATATCAGTCTATTGCTCTACCTCTGTGTGTTAACAAATGCCAAAACTGTCACAGCTTCAAGGCCACAGTCTGACCAACACTTAGAGGAAATTCAAGACAGAGATCAACTCTCTCAAATACCAGCAAAAATATCATGTTTGAGGATCACCTCTACGTGAAATTGTCTAACAAATACGCAAAAAATTATTACCATGAGAAGATCAGTTTGAGCATTGTTTGAATGAAAACCCTTTAACATTAATAATTACTATGATGATTATTTCTTGCCATATTTCTTACCTCAAATAAATTATCACTTGGAGTAACAGGTGTTATTGGGGATAAATAATTGTGTCTGAATCCATTCCGTCGAATTTCATCATTCCCGATACTACTTTCTGGTTTTAATCGTTCGTTAATCTGTTTTGAAATCTCTTCATCTTGCATTTCTTCAGAATGAGGTTTTGGGACGTGTTGGCTTGGGAAACTTGGTGTGGACGGGGTAGGGGGTAAGGACATTTCTGTAGAGATTGATGCACGTGCCAGGCGGCGCTTTTTGAGCGGAGTTACAAAATCTGTAAAAGATTAATTGCAAATCATGTAAATATTACCATATAGCATTTATTTGTTCACAACATTTCTTCAATACAATTTGATTTTAATAGTGTTGAACATTTATTTAGAATTTCCTTGAATTTTACATAGTGAATCCAGTTTCATAAATTTGTACATTGAAATGAATGGTAAAGAAATTATCATGTTAAGATTTCAACTTAAAAATGACTCACAAAGAATGAATGTGTTAGCTAATGACATCTCACTTTTACTGTATAATACAAAATTGTTCTCATTAAATAGCGTTTTTAAATGAAATTGCGAAAATTGCATAAATGATGAAGGAGGCTAATCAATACCAGCAGGAGGCGATCCACAGGGGCTATCACAGGGGGCAGCTGGGAGTGGACTCATACTGCCATTATGAACAGGAGAGTTGCCACCACTTGTTGGTGTGTTCTCAAACATTGCCTGGCGCAACCACCTGCAAGAAAAGACTCGATTAATTCTGACGATTATTATGATAATATTAAGGGGAGAAACATGTCCATAATTTCATGAGCCTACTACTAAAAGGACTCATTTTTATTAAGTTGGGACACACAACTTAGTCATATCATAAAGCAAAGACCATGACTGTGAACATGTGTTGTGATTCTGTTATTACATGAGTAAGTGATAATTGCAACTTATATGCCTCTGCACATAACGAGAACAGGCAAATGTGCATCACAATCACATGATGATCTGTATATCATATGTTATTAAGTGCATAACAAGTACAAATAGGAGTGATGAATTACATTCAGTTGCAATATTTCCTCATATCTTCTGTCAATTCAACTGGAAAGTCCCCCTAGTAATATTCTAAAGCACCATGCCATGTACGTTTACATTTCGAACATTCAAGTTACCAGTCAAGCTGATTGATATTTCAAACTATGAGTTTACCTCTTCTTTGCTGAGCCCATACTGCTATCCAGAGCTTTAATGCCCAGATTGGGTTTCATCTCTGCACTGGATGAGAAACTTGACCTCCTCAAGTGCTGCAAACCACTGTACTGGGGGCTGGGGACACATTTGATGAAGTCGGCATTTTCTTCCTCCGAGGATTCAGTTTTGATTGTTAGTGGTTTAACCACATCGCTCGCAGCTCCTTTTTCATTTAGCCACTCATTCATCAAATGCTGCAAACACAGGTTTAGTTCATATAGAGAAGAAATGGAGGTTATTTTATATACAAGTATATGTGCAAGATGGTACATACTTGATGACCTTGATTACCTTGACCTTGATTCTCGAGTCAAAGTTATTAACTAAGTCACGTGAGAAATACATTGCTTGCCTGAGATGGTATGATTTCCCTTGAAATGCCACCCAAAACTGCTATTATAATATAATGCAAATCTGAGAATGTAAGATTATTATCAATTATTATTATTATCAATATTAATAAAACATCAATGACTTATATATATTTCAGTGGTAGGTTACGTTGTAAAAGTATTTTAGAAATGGAGCTTCATGGAAATGATAAAAAATCAATTTAAAACCAAGATTAACGAGACAAAAACAGGTACTTAAAACACCATCATCAAAAAGTTAATACATGCTGAACCCTAGCCTTCCAGACAGCCTCCAAATAACAAACACAATTGGCATTTTCAACTTACTTTCTTCGTTTTTGGAAACCTGAACCCCTTCATATTTGGAGATAGTGTACTGGCTGATTGTGTACAGAGTGGATTACTTGGTGGTGCAGTAGTGACATCTAGTGAGGCCCCCGATGGTATCGCTGTCACTGGGGTCACGGGGGTACTCATACTGGACACTGGCGCATGGTTACTTGTGTCATCATGCGACAATGTGTCACTAACACCACTATTAACGCGACTACGACGCCGTGCTGGGGTGCTATGACCCTTTTTAGCCTTTCTGTGTCGGACAGCAGGTTTTGGCTTCTCTATAATTGGCGCTTCTTCTTCCGTCACTTCAACCTTCTGTAAAAACACATAACTGATTTAAGTTGAACAAGTACAAAATTACATTACACAATATTATTTATTTTCTTACTAATTCCTATATGCAATTTACTTGATATCATTAGCCAATATAAAAAATTAAAAGACAAGCTTAACAAATCATTTACCTCTACATCTGGCTCAGGTTGAACCTCTTTCTCTTCTTTTTCCTTTTCCTTTTCCTCAGCCTTTTTCTTCTTGGATGCAGGAGTCTTCACGGGGGCTCCTTTGGCAGGAGCCACTTTGGCAGGTGTCACTTTGCCAGCTGAAGCTTTAGGAGGCACTGGTTTCTCTTCTGTTTGTTCTTCCTTCTTGACATGCTCCAACCTGGTAAGAGCTTCTTTTCTCCGTTCTTGACGTTTTTCTAGCTTTTCAAAAGCTTTCATAATGGCCTCCATTTTCTTCTCTTCACGAGTCTATCAAAAAATAATAGAAAAAATGGTAACATGCAAATCTGAAATGAACATTTGGTGATTCTAGTTTGTTGCTTATAAATTGCAGACAATTCCAGTCATTTTAATGACTTTCCATGACAAATGTCCTAATCTATAGAGGGGCAACAAGAGAGATCTCTACTTACCATTTTATGTGGCTCAATTCCATGCTGGGGTGAAGTAACATCATGTGCTGGTTCTTCTTTCACTTCCTCAGGGGCCTCAGCTGCAACTGCTTTTGGCTCTGACTTCACAGGGGACACCACCTCTTTCAACTCAGCCTTCTATAATTATAAATAGCCCAAATGAACATAACAAAGAAGAATTACATTGAATTGCATGCCAAAGCTTAACATAGCACTGGGCCATAGCAAGTGTCTACATCTGAAATGTAATCCTCACTGGACATATATTCACTCCCCAATTTTCCTGTTCTGCATAGTGAAGACAGAATTTGCTATGGCCCATGGATTTGGAGAATCTTGTGACTTTTCATAAAAAGTCACATGTTGTGATATATTGCTACATGAAGCACATAGGTACATTGGTTTAACAATACATAAAACACATTACATGTACTTAAATGTGGCTAGACTTTCCATTTGATTGAAAGGTTAAAAAACTACCGGGAAGCTTGAGAAGTCCAGATACAGACAGGTACTCAGTGCTTAACAAATTTAAACAGTATGTAAATAAGGGCCCTATCCTTTTTTATCTAAAAAGAGAGGACAACTTACCGTTGCTACTTTGGGCTGCTTCACTGGTGTATTACCAGCAGATGTGCTCTCCTTTATGTTAACTCTAAGAGGGGATAGTTTACGTTGCTTTTTCTTTGGGGGTGAGGGTACAGGACTTGTAGGAGTGACGGCTGGACCAGCAGCTATCTGGGAGAGGGAGTTTGTGTCATCATCAATAGACACACTCTGAGATTTCTGACGTTTTTTCTTCTTTGCTGGTCTATAATAAATTAATTAATAATAATGATTTAAGTAAACATCAAAAATATATCATAATGGCATTAAAGGAAACTTGGATGTATGAGCTATTTCCTTTTTAAACAATCAAGTTAATTTGCAACAAAACCACTCATTTCAAGATTTAATTTTACAGCTGAGTTTCAATTTCTTAACCCTTAAAAGACTGTCTTGTTTTGTGCCTGCTTTCTGTGCACACTGACTTGTTTAAGGGTTGTTTTCCTTTTTATGGCAGAGGCATGTAGAACCTGATCATACCAGGGGTAATGATACATTATGTGAATCAAATTAAACAGCTTAGTTAATTCAAAATGCAATGAAAGCATCTAAGAGTTACTTGAAGGACTCCTTGTGCAATAATATCCATTGGCATGAATCCTATGGAAAAGAAACTGTTTTAAAAAAAATCAAAATTTAAAAAAAAATTGTCCTCCCATCAGACCAGACATATATTTCCTTCACTTTTCACAAGTTAAATTGATAGATTTACCTCTTATGCCATCATTTGATCATAAAGCATGACTGCTACCCTCATATTTGAGTATTGTTTAATTTAATCAAGAATTTCAAAACTTCATCTCCATCACAACCACTTCCGGTTCCCTACTTCCGGTCTAATATTTTAAAAATAATATTTCAAAAACTTTTTTTATTTCATGAATTATTGTGTCATTCAGTCTATTTTGTAATAATTGTGTTGTATGAATGTAAACACTACAAACCAACAAAAGTATAATACATTTGGACAAGACTAACAGCAAACTATATCAAGTAATGACTTTAATTTTTTTGACAACTTTTCAAACCTATATATCGACCAGCCGTCCTTGCGTGATGTAACGTCGTGGTCGATATATCGACCAGCTGTTCTTTCACGGCTTAAATGTTCAAACTCAACCAAATACACATATGTTTTTATTTAAATCAGACTTTCAATAAATAACTAACTGTAACCATTCAGATTAATCTTTCCTCCAAGATAAACCTAAATCCATTCCAGTGCCATCCCATGTAAAGTATGCATAACCCAAAAAAATCAGATAATTTCAAGTTACTCACTTGGCATCTTGGGACAATTCCTGCTTGACATCAATAGATGTAACATCAACTAATTGTTGTTGATGGGCCTGTTGTTGCTTCATGGCTGCCTTGTGACGTTTCTTAAGCAATCGTTGCTCTTGTTTCGAGGCAAATTTATTGACAGGGCAATTAGCTCGGAAGCAGGCACATTTGATGCAGTAGTTGCAGTCTTGGTAGTTGAAATCAAAGGGGATGGTGACTTCTGTACCTTTAGGGACCGTAACAGAGGACACAATGTATAGTCGAATACTTCCATTCTCGATCAAATGCCGTACCTGAAAGAATGACATTTGTAATTTATAAAACATAAGATATGCACACTCTTTCGATCAACAGTTCAGAGAAATATCCTTATCAAGGTTTAAAGCAGTTTTTCTTAAAATAAATATATTACGCATTTAATGATATGACGATGTTTAGCATATAAATTAAATATTAACGAATTTTTTTTCGAATTTCTTGAAGGAGAAAATGACGTCAGTTGATTACCACTGCTACCATTCTCCCACACAAGTTGCTAATATGATTATCACCCATTTTTTAGGCTAAGGCACTAAACTCATGGATGTTCATAATTCTTTAAAATTGAGAGTTGAGAATATGATGGTAAAATGTGAAAGCAAAATAACAGTGGCTGGAGCTTCTCTTATGAGTGGTTTGGTTGGTGGTATCATCACTCACTAGTGCCCAATTAGTGAAAAATAGTGAAACTAAAACACTCACCTCTGAATTGGGAGTACAAGATCTACGGATAAACCTAGCATCATTGCCAGTCTTGCTGGCATCTATGCACATGTCAAGGGGCTCGTACTTTTTGTAGAACAACACAAAGGGAAACATCCTGTAATTTAGACACATGCATATATGAACCGCTTTTCATTCGTGCCAGTCATTTAAAAAAAACATGTTTCAGAATAATCTTAATATATAAACCATCACATTAATCTTATTTCCTTAAATAATCAACATTGAATATATCACTTTAAAATTGAATAAATATGAATGAAAACTGTAGGCAAAATGTGGTTGCATTGATAAATATCCTGCTTCTTGAAATAATTTAAAAGTGTAAGTGAAAATATTCCATCACAATAGAGCTGCAGTATCTGGGTGACAGGAGTGGAGATATGCAATTGAGAATCACATGTTTTGCAATGATTCAAATATGTGATATACCTGCTACTTGCTAATTGCGATAAGAACATTGACTTCATGATATACCTGCTATCTGCTAATTGCAATATGTTCAAATTATAAAGAACTAGATAATAACATAGACCTTCATTAAAATTTGTCAACTTTGCACTAAGGTTGATTCTTTGCCAAGAGGCTGTACAGAAAAACCTGGATTGAAAAAACCTGTTTGCAAAATTCTTCTCTTAGTAACACATAGTACTTCTCTTAGTAACACATAGTACTTCTCTTAGTAACACATAGTACTTCTCTTAGTAATACATAGTACTTCTCTTAGTAACACATAGTACTTCTCTTAGTAACACATAGTACTTCTCTTAGTAATACATAGTACTTCTCTTAGTAACACATAGTACTTCTCTTAGTAACACATAGTACTCCTCTTAGTAATACATAGTACTTCTCTTAGTAACACATAGTACTTCTCTTAGTAACACATATGTATACTTACTGGTCTTGGAAGTTATTCTCCTCTTGGAATTGAGGTGTCAACATAGCATGGCCAACATATTCAATGATGATCTGATTCTCACGAATGTTCTCCGTTGTTTCAAGACCCTGTCAATTACAAAACTTCATCAATAATAACTGCTGACAAGTCAAGGGTATTATGTATTTAAGGAATAAATAATGATAGGCCATTCAATATGGTGAAATTCAGCACGAGTTGGACAGAATGTTGTACAAAGCACGAACCGTAGGTGAGTGCATTTGTACTAACATTCTGTCCAACGAGCCTATCATTATTTATTCCGATTCAAACATAAAAATTAGTAAAAGCCGTGTCTGTGGAACGGGCATGAAGGAAGAATAAGCCTACGCATACTGTCAAGATTCTGAAGTCGGCCGGAAGAATTTTAAAATTTGTTTGGGCTGTTCTATTTTACTCCCCGTTTTAGATTTTATACGGTGTATGCAAACATGGGGTGTTGATAAAATAAAAATAAATATAGAGGGAGGAGGGAGTAAAAAAGAACAGCTATCCCCGGACAGAGCCCCAGATGTGCAGCTGAGATGTGACGTCACACAAAACAATGCAAATTGCAGATTGAATAGAGCATTGTCGTGCATCTATGGAGAATTAGAGAACGTTCTATATTGGCTATGCTGCATTCTGATTGGTTGAGAAATTCGAATAGAGCATGGTCATGTTTGAATATGTAATAAGTCTGAGCATGGTTTCACCTTCAAATATATAAATGTGTCTTATTTGGGACTAGAAAAATTAATTCACAAATGACTTTCAACTACATATATATATAAACAAGCGATGTCTCATTTGGTACTAGAGGAGTTAAGTCATTGTGGACATAGTTCCTACCAAAATGTAAAGTTTACAATATACAATTGTTGACCTCTGCAGAGGTCAACCGGCAAAATTGTATACCGAGACTGTAAACCGAGAAACTACTGTTGACAGAGACCGAAGGTCGAGGTCAACAGTAGTTTCAAGGTTTACAGTCGAGGTATATGATTTTGACAGTTGACCGAATGGAGAGGTCTACAATTGTTTTGTTGGTCAGAAGAAACTAATCATACACATATAGACGTCAGTCATCAATCATGGCTTCATTTCACAATCTTTTCTCCGAACCACGCCAGCAATAATTTTTGAAGAAAATCTGAAGACAGTGGTAGCTAAACTCTCTGTTTTCGGCACATCACTGCTTACTCACTTGTAAATTAATGTTAATTTTTGTATTTTTGCTATACTTGTCGTCTAGCAAAGTCAAAATATCACTTTCATCAACGTTTACAAAATGTCCGTCTACCGTGTTTTTTCTGTAAACATTATGACGTCATTTTCCCCATAATTTACAAGTGTAGTACAGTAACATACGCGGTCAATAATATGATATCCCATGATGCACAGGTGGGGTACAGGCAAAAATGTCGACCGCTAATTGACCAATCAGATGCGAGTATTTACACTGAGGTACTAACAATTGCAATTGGAGCGATTGGACTGGCTGAGATTGGGAAATTCCCTTTAAGACAAAATTGTCTCAATATGAGTCTTATTTTTTTTACCTTTCGTTGATCTGTGAACTGCACAACTGTACAGAGTGGTTCTCTCATTTGCTCAGCTAACTTGGCATCAACAGAGTTGGGCTGAAATATACAAAAGCAATAAAACATAAGAGAATTTAAAAATGTCTACAGTACAATATAGAATATATGATCATCTCAGAGAGGCAGAGGGATAGCATGACATCATTACATGTACCTCAAAAAACGAATAATTCATTAAATTGATTTTAAAATGACTGATTTGTCAAAATCAAAAACCCTTGATTTCTTTTTCTGTTGGTGTTTCTTTATATCATATACAACATGTAAACTGCTGCATGTGCAATATTATACTACTAATAGCCATTACTATCAACTGAGAGAAGCTCGGTCTTGTAGGATCAAAACAGTTCTCCTGTAAAACGATATTAAACTGTTCAGAAAAAGGCAGTTTTTGTTCATGAAATTTGCTCAATCCTTTCATCTAGGTTTCACTTCATGAGGATAAAATAAATGTCAATTTGCAGAACATTTGATCAGTATCATATGATATTGCTGAATTATCTATTAACATTTATTAAAACAATTTAAACTTACATGTAGTCCATTGACTCGTTTGGTAGCTAGAATTGTCTGTACAGCTGAGGTATAGACACTGCGTGTAATCTCTCTATATGATTTGCTCCATGGACTATCCTCCTCATCTGATTCCCAAGGGCCAAGAGCATTCTCATTTTCAAACAAAGGGCTTGTAAACTTCTTAACATGTTTCTTCTTCTCGTAGAGAAATTTCTAAAACAAAGTTATAAGCCAATAATTTTAATTCACTTTAAGACCTAAACCAGAATACACATACATTCATCTTAATTTCTGATATTTCTATTTAATTCAGAGTGTCATCCATATGCTTGGTTAGAGTTTACTTTATTTCTTGATAGATAACACCCAATTCCTCTTTATGTTGTCATGCAAAACAACCACCATGACCCGTCCCCATGACGTTTTCCAATGTTCACCTTTGCATGGTTTCCATGACCACCATCACATAATTTCTCATAGCAACAATATAGTGCAGCGTACCTGTTCTGTATTATCCCATTTCCTTCGTTTATCCTTTTTTTCTTTCTTCATCATTTTCTTCTTTTCTTTCTTCTCTAGTTTTTCCATTTCCTTTTGCCTTTGCTTCTTGGATTTCTTGTACTTCTTGGTCGTGGTCAGTTTGAGAGTTGTTGGGGTACTGGATACTGCCTTGTACATCTTCTCATCCTCGTCAGTGTCAGTAGACGAGTTGGTTGCCAGGGCAGCTGTAAAACATGACATGAGTATAGAAAAAAGTATAAATGGTATTTAAAAACTATACTGATGTGTTTGTCAGGACTAGACAAAAATTTGTTTTTGTAGACTTTATTAGAGCTCACTGCTATGGCAACAACAGTACAGGACAAAAGGGTGAAATAGAAACATTGGAATGTGGAAATTTTAAAAACTGATACCCATAGCAAAGGAGAAAATAACTTACATGACACAATTATAAGGTTTAAAAAGAGGAGCATCTCTATTTAATAAGATAACGCTTACCTAGAAGCTCCCTCTTGTGCTGCTGCAAGGCTTTGGCCCTGGCTGCATTGATGGGGCGTGGCTGGCACCTCTCGCAACTGTAGGCATCAGGGATGTTGCCTCGGTCTATGTCCATACAGTCAATATGCTGCCATACACTACAAAAAAGTAAACAGAAATATATAACATATGATTTTAAGTGACTTCATTGAATGAAATTGGAAAATGAGTAGATGGGACTGACACTTAAATAATTTAATTCAAGGCAAAATCAAACCAACAATATTGCAAGCAACAACAACATATATGACTAACCTACACATAAGTCAATATTCTCTCAAATAAGAAATGTTGATATCACCAGATTTAATTGAAAATAAATACGTACATATGAAAAAAAATCTTTAGTTTTCTGGAAAGTTTGCCCAAGATTTGTCTTTTCCATTTACTCTCTTTACAAAACGTTTATTATATGCCTCTAAAAATTGTTATTCCTTGCTATTTCCTCTATTATTAATCAAACATGACCAACATACCAAAATGGGTTTTTCTCTTACTCATCTCTTACCTGCAATTATCACAGCAAATCATGTAGCCGTCATCGTGTTCGAAGTTACAGATACATCTGGTGACGCTCTCATCGTAATCAACAATCACATTGGAGGAGTTGTTACTGGGAGTCGTACTGATTGTTGATAGCCCAGCGATACTGGTATCATCGTCCACTTCGATGTGACCATTGATTTTTGAGTTGGCAGGAGAGGCAGGACAATGGGCTGGGGAACTAGGGGGTGGAGCAACATAATTGTGGTCCTGAAGAAAACAAATTATTCATTATGCCTCATGGGTACTTTTAAGGAGACATTGAAATTTGCTATTATGCCCTTAATATACAAAATTCTTAATGCTACATTGCTCCAAGTAGCATGAACTAAGAGTGACCTGCACAGGATTTTTTCATATTATTATGGGCATTCAAAGTTTTGCTAAAAAACAAACAATCAATAAGACTCGTACTTAATTTCTAAATGTAGAATATTAATACTCAATTGGTCCTAGTAAGATGAACTGACCTAGTTTTGCGCTAATTTTCATATTCTATTAAACATTCTTATTACTTAATATTAAATATTCATGATCTGTACCATAGTAAAAATTGACAGCATGAGAAATGCATAACCATACTATTTATAATGTTGGGGGCAAATAATCACCTGATGAGATAAATAATTCACTTCTATAATTATTTAGCTTGGAATATTCAATAATAAAACAAAGAAGTCATTCTATTTTTGGTGAATAGCTGAGCATCTTTCACAAATTCACAAATAGCCCTTCCGGCTTCAGGGAATATTGCTTGTGAAAACTGCACTGGTATTGACCTCAATAGAATGAAATATGTGTACAATATTCATTAAATTCTGAATAGTTTAATACATTACCTTTGTTCTATTTCTTTTCCGTTTAAATGTGAAGGACTCAAAATGACCTGATTTTAAACACAGCATTATTGCTTATCTCATTCAAATAATTCCTTTGATAATTTCATCGAGGTTTTTCAAATAATTCTTTTTCCTCTAGTGGTACTCATCATTGATTATTCAGCTACTTCAATTCAGTTAACAATTTTATCTCTATCTTAAATTAAATCAATATCTCCCAAGATTAATTCCTGATATTGTATTCATTCTGATGATAAAACTGAATCCTACATCTATATATCAGTAGCTTTCAAACAAAGATAAGTTATTTCCTATAAAATAACAGTTTCACCCTTAGAAAATTATCAACATTTTATTCAATTGTTAATGCTCCTTTTCAACTGACTACTTCTCCCTGAATAAAATAGATGAATCGTACAGGGCCTATGTATTAGATAATAGTTATGTAAAAACCTCACTTAGACGTCAAACGTGCAAATTGTCAATTATCAGATATTTAACAAAAACATGTTTTTTTCTCTATTATAAGGGACCATCTCGCAAATATTAAGACTTCATTTTTGTGATACTAAAAGTACAAATATTCATTGTGATTTACAACCTACTACTAGACCTTACATATATTTTTCAAATCTAAATTGAATAGTTAACACATATAGTCAAAAAATAGAAAACAAAATATCTAGGTCAAGGTTTAACATGAAGTTGTCTACAATATTCTTAGCTACAGTATGCATCGAGTATTTGGGAATTAAATAATCTCTAAAACATACTGCTGCTAGATTCTTAAGGTTCAGTATCACTAATCTTATAATTTAGAAGAACTAAAATTAGCTTCTGGTAAACCAAATAATTGTTTACTTCATTCTTAGTTAAAAAACAAGAAATATTTTCAAAAAGATGTCACTATAACATAGAAAATTAAATTGATGGAGCTGCAAGCACAACTGAAAGTAAGCAGATATAATTGAAAAGTTGGATCAATAGTCAATTCAATAAATATCCAGCTTAATATATCTGTGAAATAGCAAACCAGTCATAAAGCATGTCATTTATGCATTTGAAATAATTTATTGGGAGCTTTCTTCCCCTTTAAATCTACATTTTGAGGAGATCATTGATTTAAAGGGGCTATAGTACCTAAATGACAGGCATAAAGGGATAAGTCTTGCTTCAAGACTATGGACCTGGAACCAGTTGTTAGAGTAGATAGTCCAGGGTCATGAAGCAAGACTATAAAGGGATATACCCAAAACTAAATCACGGTGGTATTATAACACTTTCAAATAATTCACAACACTCAGATTTTTCCTCTTATAAATCAATGATTTTAAAATCCTAAAAATTTCAAAATCTTTCAAGCAAAAAATCTGGAATGAGCAATAATTCTCAAGAGCCTAAACAACAAACATTTATTCTGTAGTCAACTTTCTGTGATCAAAAATATATTTCTATTTCATTGTAAGATCATTGAAAAGTTATTACACCAGGTCTGTAGTAGGCTAAAAGCATACGATAAACAGGGAAAATAAATTAGCTAATTTTCAACCTCCTGCATTGTTGTTTGAATTTTGCGAAGAATAGTTGATAGTGTGATCATTTAATAATTAGAAGGAATTCCCACTGAGAAAATCAAAACAAAGGGGAATTTTATAAAACAAGTACAGGGCCGATAAAAATATAGGGTCCTTTGTTTAAATATACTTTAATAAATAGAACAAACAAACATATGAATAGTTTTTGTAGTAAACAGGTTATATTTTCATCTTGATAAAAGAGGGCAGAAATATGTTTCCCCAGGGACTTATTGGCAGGATTGAGTGGAAATTCACAAAAAATCTTAATCAGTTTGTCGTTGAGGCTGTCATATACTAAGGATTCTCCCCACAGGTGTTTTAGCTAGGGGTTATTCTAATTTTACCAATTCGACAAGAATTATTTTAAACTGATCAAACGATGTTGTATGCTAATTTCAGAGATGGGTAACATTATACATAAATGTTGAATAAATTCAGCAGGGAATTTTCATGTTCATTTCTAGAAGCAAGGATCCATCTTGGAAATCACATTGCATCAAGTTTAAAACACTATCGAGAATTTGAGGAAATATATAATAGAATATTCTTCAAAAGAGCATTTCTTGAAAATATAAAATGTGATTTTGAAACAGTTGATACTTTATAGTAAATCCAAGGAGCAATGTTATAATGTAGACTTAACCACTGCATAAACATAAGTATAAGTACTTGTTCCTTAGAGCTTCCCCATTCATCAAGCTCAGGTCATCCTATACTCTCTCAAAGCCCTGGATAAGTACAAATTGCATGAATTTGATAAAATTGAAGTAGTTTTGCACTTACTTGATAAGGTAGCCCATAGTAGCTAGTTGTAGTACTCGTATAACCGTTAGATTTGGAACAGTCCTCTGGAACAATAGGACTCTCCATGGCATCGGGTCTGCAAATAAACCACATGATTCAGCCAAAAATAACATCCATGGTCATCTACTAATTTCTGTGAAATCATTAATGATACAATGTGTAGTATTGAATACAGTGTACATATATTTTTTCATTTTTGAATGTATGCAAATAGGCAGTTCAAGTAAGTAAAGCGAGAACTTTTTAGTAGCTTCAGTTACCAAATCTAATAAGTGTCCTGTTTTCCATCAGCTAAAATTTCTTCCTCAGAAGATTCATCTTAGATATTCATTCAAACTCCTGAATTCTAGTAGAAGTTAATTCTAGTAGAAGTTAACTCTATTCTTCAATACTGAGTAATGATGTGAAACCACAACTAATAAAAGTTTTACTCTTCCATTCTGACCATTTTTAATAGAAAATATATGATTAATTTTTTCACTGATTTCAAAAAATCTGATTCAACAGAAAGTAAAAAGGACTATTCAGTGTATTCACACTTAATATGATCAGCCCTAAATCAAGACTTTAAAATAGCAATTTTGCATTTCAAAACATCGATGGTACTGATACCCAAAGCTAAGGTTAGCTCATATGTGAAAACTGCATGTTTAAAAAACAGAGAAATAAAATTAAGGTGAATTGCAAGTAAAAAATGGGATATTGAAGCATACCCATTTTTCCCTTCTTTAAAAGTTGTTACTGATTTTGTCACATTTACTTTAACTAATGATTAAGAGTTAAAATGAATCATTTTGAATTCAACGGGTGATATTATTTTATTATGGAGATATTTTCTACACCTTAAATCTGCAAATATATAACAAAGGTTAATTTGACAACTTTTGGGCGATTTGATAAATCAAAAATTGCCAATTTACACATTTGCCAAAGTTTTAAGATAACCTAACCTAAGAACTTGTTCTTTTCATATCATCTACTGTGCTTTCATTAACGCCGTCCCATAATGGAGAGGACCCGGTTTTTACTATAGGGACCCCAAACAATGAAAATGAGGGGTCACTTGGACGCAGTGCAGGTCATATCAAAAAAATTAACTCAGGATGAATGTATTGATAAAGATCTTACCTTCAGTCTTTTATTTGTTCAAAATCCGCTAAATAAACGAAGGATATTCTATTTCTAAAAGAAATAGAATTTTCTTTCGGAGTTTCTTTCCCGGAAGTTGATTTCCGATCAAAATAGTATGAGGTACGTGATTGGACAATCACTAGTAGTTGATTTCCGAGCGGTAATCGGTACGAGTCCTATGATTGGCCGAGATTATTAATCGCGCATGCGTCTTAATAATTTTAACTAATCAAAGTGCTGGATTTGCTGCGCATGCGCAAAAACTGAACCAAAAAATGGAACCTCGCGGAGATTGCTCCTAGTGAAACTTTCTGAGCGATCAAAATCAATAGCAAATTGCTTTGAAATACGCGAAGAAAAATTGTATTTAATGGTTGAAAATTAGTTATCTCTTTCTAATGAAGGTATCTGCATCATTAATGACCTACTAGACGTGTGTAGTACACTGATCTGGGCCAAAAAAATAACAAAACTGATGCAAACTTTTCATCAATTTTTTTCGTTCAGTGCAAAAATGTGACTTTGAATTCCCGGGAACCTTTTTTCATGGGGACGCACTTTTTTGAGGGGGACGCGATTTTGTAAAATCAATCCGTCCCAGGGAAGCACTTTTGGACAAGCCTACTGAAAGCACTGATCTACAAATAATGATGTTGTACATAAGTGTAAATATATTTCTTTACTGTGATATGATGCAGTATAGAATCAACTCTGAATATAATGAACAGTAAGTGGTTACTCTAAACATGAGAGAGTCTGAGAGACCATCGTAACTTTCAGTAGTCTACATACATAGTTCCCTAATTGCATTATTATTTACCCGCATCTTCTTAGTTTACATTTTATAGCTCTGAACAAATAGAATTTGTTGTTCACGTATCAAGACCACAATCAGAATTTAATATATTGCCTATTAAAAAAGCAAGAAGTCCGATGAAAAGTCAATTGTTTCTTATCTCAAGAATAATGATGGTTTCCCTGGCGATGTCTTGTTCAATGAAACAATCGATCATTTGCGATCAGAATTCAAGTAATTTGTTAATGGATACTGTTGTCATGTATTGACACAATGGAGAGATGAAATTTTGGGGCCCTTAACCCCTATCTTAATCATATTAGTAAGATCTTAGATTTGGTATGTGCTTAGAATGAATGTTGATTTAGTCAAATATCATATTTTCATAAGAAATAAAAATCAATGAAGTATGAAATAAAGATAATCTCTCAAATAGTCAAAATCAAACAGCTACAGTTGTGTGGCCTAAATGTAACGTCACAAGATGCATCAGTTGATCGTAAATCATCAATTGTAAGATTGTATTTCTATGATATTTTCAAAATAATCATGTATGTGAAGTAGTAAATAAACTAAAAACTTACACAGTGCCCGCAGCCATCCCAGAGGTTAAATCATTAAACCCATTGACAGCTCGATTGACAGTTACTATCCCATGTATAGGTAGTGTACTCTCTTGTTTCAGCACCTTTACCCAGTTGGTAACATTGTCTTTTCTAGCTATGTCATTTTGCACATAATCTCCTAAACCATTATCTCTAGGTGATAATCCACTGGTTGGTTCCTTATGTAAAGAATAAGTCTGTTGTCCTCCATCGGCCTTTAAAGAGGTCAATTGAGGAATTGTTGTAGTCACATTTTGATCAGGTTGAACCTGATACAGTGCCTCCTGATTGGTAGAGTTCACCTGAACAAGTAAGCTCATGTTGCCCTCTGCCGTGATGCTAGCTGATGGTTGTGTATCAAGCATGGGAAAGCTTGGTCCCACCATGCCCCCATTATATAATACATAGCACAAGCCTGAAAAACAAATACAAATGGATTAAATCAAAAGAGATTATAATACAGTTATAGCAAAAAATGAAACGTTCCTTTGCTATCTAGGATATTAGCTACATTTGGAGGAAGTCTAACTTGTCCTTCTTTATGTTTTGTGACCCAAATTCCCTACAAAATTTCCCTGCTCATCACCCTAATTTCCTGATTTTGAGAGAATATGGTTTGGAAAACAATAAAAGATCAGTGAAGCAAATTAGAAGTGGGTGTCAAATTACTACAGAAGTTGATTTTGAACTGTGAAGTGTGAAGTAAAGACATGACTTCAAAATCACCAAAAAGTGAAGTGGGGTATATCAAACTAAACCTATAGAGAAGAAATGGGTCAGAAAATAGTATTAGAATATAAAATATGCAAGATTCTTGGAACAGTTCTTTGTTCAGGTGTTTCAAAAACAAAAACATTCAGTCAATCAATTTTCTAAATTTTCTTGACCTACTTTCAGAATGTCACTTCAAGCCGTGTTCAAATAAGGTCGTTATTATTGTCATACGCCATACCATTGAACATAATTAAACTTGAAACATGTAAAAATCTACTTGATCATGGGAATAAATGATAACAAAGTAAACAAAGGAGTTTCTTACCTGTTTCTTTCTGTCTTTTTCGATCCAAAAAATATTTTGAAACGGAAAAACAAATTAAAATTTATGCACTTTTCTGATCTAAATCCTTATAATTTTGACTCAATGTCAACATCAAATATAGCTTCAATTGTGATCCCTTTGTGCTTAATTGGTAAATTGATAATTTATAGCACCACTGGGAAGAAAACGCCTGTAATCCGTTTGTGAATCGAATTTTTAGAAATCTATGGCGGCCATTGAAATTTGTTATTCTACGGGGCCGAAAATTTGAAATCATGGAATTCATGACGTCATGTTCACGCAAAATAAAGAGTTTATTTTAATTTATACAATTCTTACTCAAACTTCGTATTATACAAATAAAAAGCTGTAATCATAAGTAACAAAATGCCAAGATATAGCAAGTAGGACAATATACGGTAAAAGTGAAAAAAAAAGTTTTTAACTTGTGTTGCATTGTGGGTAAAATATCAATCAGTCAATAATTTTTGCAATATTAGATCTACTGAAATGCTGAGGATTTTATCCATTTTACACTCTTCAGGGTGTTATTGACCTAACATTTACACACGGACGTACGTCTTAATATCCGTTGAAGATGTTGGACCCATCATCTAGCGAGGAGGAGTCTGATACCGAAGTTGATGTGGATGAGAACTCTGACATTCTCAGCTTGCCAAGTGTTGATCAGAGAAGTCTGTCTGCTAGTGGGGACAATCTCAGTTTGACAGGCACACATTCACGCTCCAGTAGCGGGGTTCGACCAGCTAGTCCGAGTCCATCTCTTGTAAGTGAACGGGATAAAGAGGACCTTGAAAGGGTTGAACAAGAGGAAGAAAACCGCAAGAAACGTTTGCAATTGTATGTTTTTGTAATGCGATGTATTGCTTATCCTTTCAATGCCAAACAACCAACAGATATGGCAAGACGCCAAACAAAAGTTACCAAGGAACAATTAAAGACAACGAAGGACCGATTCCATTCGTTTTTAAATGGAGAGACGAACATTGCCGCTGATGAGGCATTTACCAATGCAGTTCAGAGTTATTATGAAGTGTTTCTGAAAAGTGATCGTGTTTCCAATATGGTGCGAAGCGGAGGATGTTCAGTAAATGATTTCCGTGAAGTATTTAAGAACAATATAGAAAAACGTGTGAGAAGTTTACCTGAAATTGACGGACTCAGTAAAGAAACTGTACTAAGTTCCTGGATGGCAAAATTTGATCAAATATATCGGGGAGATGATGATCCTAGAAGATTGAGAATGTCAACAGCAGCATCAGAGCTGATTCTTAGTAAGGAGCAACTGTACGACATGTTCCAGAATATTCTAGTCGTTAAAAAATATGAGCATCAAATCCTGTTCAATGCCTGTCAGGTAAGAATATCATCTGCTCTTCGCTTACTTCTGCTTTTTTTCAGAGAATTCAGCTTTTAGTTGTAAAAAATATTATATATTTGACAATATTATACAAGTCTATGGAGCATTTAGTGTAGTGCATCACATTATTACCGGAAGTAGCACAGAAGTAGCGCTGGGCTTCAGTGCCGGTATTGAAATCAGATGCTGGATGTCCTGTGAAGACAATAACATGTTAGGAAAGAAGATGCTAATATCTTTACTGTCCCTCAGTGAACTATAGCTTCGCTCTGATTTTGCATTGTTCTTTTGTAAAACAAGATCAATAGACTAGATGCAAGTGGAAACAAGCAATCTTGATTTACGTCATTAAATATTCAAAATACAGTCAAAGTATGGGTATTGCACTTCAAATGCTCTTCAAAATGGAGGGTTAAAATGTAAACATCGCTAGATTAGTTTTCTAACAGCTTAAACTGAAATTTCTTTCATTCAGACTCTCATTTAGTGTGATAGGTGGAACTTAAGGCGCATAAAGAAGGTAGTCAAAAGAGTGTCAGAATTAGAATAAAAGGTGAAGAATAAGGTTTCAATCAACCTCGGATCACAGGGCTTGAAAATCCAGAATATATTCTTTCTTTTTACTCCCTGCGATGAGCAGTTAGCATTTCCCCGATTAAGAACTGGGATTTCAAATTTCAACATATGGAATCACATTTTTGATATCTTTGTTACTTTTTGCAGCACTACCGATCAGTTATGAAATAGGTGTACTCAATACCGGTATTAAAATTTGATACCACTTGCAGCACTAGTTTAGTGTTCCAAAATCAGAAATGTTGCAATAGTCATGTTGGGAAGTATCAGCGTGATTTTCAATGTGTCAGGTTTTACAGTTTTCTCTGGGTACCCAAAATCATCATCAAGTCCACCTTTTGCCAAATGGGGGTTGAGCTTGTAACCCCTTTAACCCCTCCCCACCCTATATTGCAATATAAACACAATGAATTCATGATGAGCCAATTCTATTGATCATATTTAATTAGTACAATTCCTAAAAGCTTATGTAGAATATAGATCAATTGATTTGTTATCACTGTAATCAAGATTTCATTAGGAACCACATTTCATATGTTCATAGGAGAACTAATAATCATTCAGAGTCATTTATATTGGTTCCTTATAATTCATTGGCTGTTCATCTCTTTCCCCAATTTGGTACATATCATATATGATGATATAATCACCTTATGTCACATAACTAAGACATTATATGCAGAATTGATTTATAGTTAGATCTGATACTTTACCAATAGAGACAGATCCCATTTTCATTTCGGATTTCTAAGGTCTGGGGGTTTCAAAGTTTTTTGATTGAAAATCAAATAACTTGTACAATTTATAGATTTTCTTGAAATCTATGAACTTGCAACAAGCTTATTAACATCTCAGCTTTATGGTTATTTTTAAAGATTCAAGCAAGCAAACAACTGTCAAACAACCTATTGATGAATAAATCAATCTGATGCTCATCACAATTTTTTGTTTTCAAACTTCGAATAAAAGTAAAAGGGAACTGATAAGGCTTAAATGTATCCCGATGAAGAATCATTATGACAACTGTATAGTTTTTTTGTGGACAGTGGTCAGCAGTTGGTTTTCAACTGTCATTCTCTGTAACAAATGGCAGGTGATGATACTTTGCATGTTATTGTCTCATACATGTATATGATATTGAAATTTAGAAATCTGGTACTAATAGACCTCATTCCTTTACTACTGGTAATAGATAGTAAAGCACTAAGAAATTATAATATATTCTTATAGTCTTCATTAAACAGGCAATGCGCCTATTTTTGAATGAAAAGGACAAAATATTGTTTGAGACATGTCACTCACACAGTCAATCAAATATGATAAAAACTTTAATTTGGGATAATACTGATGTGAAAAAAAAATTACTTGCATAGAAAACAGCATTTGAAGTTCAGAGATTCAAAAAAGTGAATTACCACTTTTCACAAATAGTGTATGTTTTAAATAACTCTTGTATTAAAAGATGGCGTATGCTTGAAAATCCTGTCAAAAATGAATTGATAATTAATGCAAACAACAATGCCATCTTTCTATGGCATTGCTAAAAACTTGACATATATAAATTGATAGATCAAAAATATTTTGTCATGATCAAGTGTCAACTCTGATGTGGTCTGTTTGAGCTTTTTTTTGGTGTCAAATGAAAGATCGGGTACTTATTAATCCATTGGAAATACTATGAAGATCAAAAGTGAGACTTCATTTATGCACTTTGTCCCTTTAACAAACCCCAGACTACATCCCAAATACAAGTTGGGGATTAGTTATTATAGAGGATAAGATTCACAGACAACCCGCTAAATGTGAACTTGACGAGTTTACATAATATGATGCGGGCGCATCGCACTTCACGTTCAGGTTTAGGGTTTCGTCGGTCCAATATTTTACTATATTGCCCTTCGAAATGACGTTATTAGTATTACTACCACCGTTAATGATCAGGACTGAAACAGCAAGAAAATCTTAAGCACTGAACGATATCTAATTCCCGGGGAAAATTACCGGTCATTAAATGCATTCTTGACCGGCAATATGGACCACCACTATGACATCACAATTGCTCAGGTCGATATAGTAAAATGAATGCCTTCTAAATTAGTACTAAAACCCCTAAAACTGGCCCGGCAATGTGGTAATAATAAAATAGAAGTTCCATGAAGATAATGTCATAGTAGATGGGAGGTTATTCCCCTTTTGGTTCAATATTTAATAATATAAATAATTTACTACTGTGACAGAACAGGAAAACTCCTGATGTATTGTATTCAAAGCATTTAGCTTCAAGACAAACACCGCAATATCAGAGCAGTCGATTTCACACAAAGCAATTGCATAGAAGAATCTGAACTTGTTTTCGAAAGGTTAGATGACTATTTTGTGGAATTTCAATACATCAGCGGGATAACCATCAAATATTATCCTGGCAAAATAATAGCACTTTTAGCTAGAACTGTTCCCGTGAACAAGTCTTTCAAAAAGTGTCCCCCCCTCAAAAAAGTGCGCCTTTGAAAATAAGGTTCCCGGGAATTCAAAGTCACATTGTTATACTGGACGATATAAAATTGATGAACGTTTGTATAGTTATTGTTATTTATCCTAATGACCAGAGAGCTTTTCTTTATTTGACATCCTTAGAAAATAAACAAGCTCTATGATTCAAAATTTTAGTTAATAATCAAAATCAGGAACCAATGCATCACAAATTCAGTTGAAGAGTACTTTTAGATGTAAATACAAGAATGCCAATTCCCGCTGGGTTCTACTACCAAACCTATGTTATTGATTTCTTCTTTATTCATCATTAGAATCCATACATGTTGAATTAGATATTCAGATACATTCAGAGCATTGCCCAAAATCTATTTTTGGCTACGTATTATTCATTCCACTCATTTCTCCATAGATTTTTATATATTTTCTCCTAATTTTTACACTCTCAAATTATGATTTCTTGGATGTGAACTTTTATTTTTGCTACATTTCACTATTTTTCATCGTAATGCATTCAAAATTGCGGCAGATATTTTATGTTTAGGTAATCGAGTGTATAAGATATTGATGGAATGGTAAACAGCTATAAGTCTGCCGTAGTCTCTATAATGCATTTCTACACAATTACTTATCAATAATATGCCATTTTGATAGGGTTTAAATATTGGTTCGCCTTTTATTGCAAACTTCTCATTACTTAAACGCATTTCACAACCTATGTACATACAGTTGAAATTATAGCCTTTGGTTTTATTTCTTTAAAAGGAAGTTTCATTTGCTCTCAGTGAGAAAGAGATAATCCTACAGTATTTATTGCACATATGAAAACTCTCTTGATAGGCCACGGCAGCTCCGTTGAGGTCATCAGTCCATAAGATCTAATTTATAAGAGATGATCCTTTGATATAGCACTTATTTTATATTCAAACTCACAGAAAGTTCATGTCAGAGCTCTACTTTTCCCATTAAGATTATATCGGTATTTTTATGTCATCAAGGCATTTTTATACATGCTTTTTTACCGTGAGCAAGATTTTATTCCTTAGCATTCGGTAGTTGGTATTCGGCTTTCGGTGTTTGTAACAAATGTAACAATTGCATGTTATTTATTTTTCAATACTGAGGCAGGATATTTTGCAATGTTTGACTTCTGGAAAGTCTGGCATAATAGTTTTGGTTGTGTCTTTACAGGGCTCTCGCCAGGCTTTTAGACTGTGGCGCTGCACCACACTCTATTTAGCTCCCTCCACACCCTATTGGCAAATCATGACTGTTTCCATAGTCTAAACTCGACTGAATATATAATAATAGCATGTAAAAAGGATAAAACATAACATAAATATGATTTATCACGATTGAACGGTTATTCTGAAGATGGTAGCACCACACCCTAAATATTTCCTGTTGAGAGCCCTCAGCTTTGCTTACCAAGAGGGTGAAAGTATTTGGCATCATAAAGTTATTCTTCATTTGTGTCATTGGTATGACTCGGATAAAACATATTACATTCATGAAACCAATATCAATTTCCTTTTGCTAATTCTGGTTTTGGAATCAATAAAAATGGTTGGATGAATTTATCTTTGGGATTTGCATTACAACCAACTGGACTTAGTTCCATCTTTTGACAACCCTAAATCTGCCATCTTTTGACAAACCTAAACCAGTAGTTTAAAGTTGCTAAAGTTCGAGGGGTATTGGACACTGTTTCTTTTCCTGTTGGATTATGATTTAGGATAGTTGGGGTTTGCTTTCCTTTTGACTGATGTTCTCTTAGATGTTTTCCTGTTGTGTTCTGTAACCACTTGTACTTTCCCATTGGAACTTACATATACATATTCAGATTAATAGGCATTGAAAGTTCAAAACAGTTGCATGAATCCAGGGAATGAATTGATAATGGGGAAGTAAACTTTTGAGTCGAGAGAAAGATGATAATGCTCATTTTATGAAGTGGTGAATTCTAAATATTTCTTGAACAAAAATCATAATTATCAGTAGAAGATTATAAAAAAGCGTTTAAAATCAAATCCAAAGCTGTATTTGCAATAAAGTTTATCGGCAATATGCAAATGCCAGAGAACATACTCCTATTGCAGATGGCAGTTTTATCAATAAGGAAATGTGTAATTTTATATTGCCTAATATATGCTTAAATGAGTGATTTGGATATCTACATGTATTTAAATTTTGAAATAAAAAAGTAGGTTCATCTGCACCTTTTGTCTAATGTGACTTTTTTGAAAAGTGAAGGCCCTAGGCAAAAGCTGGCTATAGGCCTGCTGCAATGTTTAGTCATTTCTATCATCAAAGCCACTTTATTCTACCAGACAGGATGCTAGACTTGCTAGACTTAATTAAGATCCACAAATCATTGATGGGGCTTAAGATAAAACTCTTTTAATGCCAAGGAATCTATTTCATGGTCATGCAATGCGCTTTTGTAATGACATAGAGTCTTGTGATTATGAGCCACCCAGTACATTATGTCTAATACAAAAGTAATACTCCTTAAATGAGGCCCGTAGCCAGGGCTTACCTGAGGGGAGCTTTTGTCAAGGTAGGGGGGGAGTTTTTTGACAGTTTTGGCAGAAAATCATGCGAAAATAGCTCAGAATGGTGAAAAACTGCATGATTTTGAAAGAATTTCTGGTCAGGGGGGGTTGCTTCCTCTATTCCACCCCCCGGGCCTGAAATGGGTGATGGCCAGAAGTGGACAATACATTATATGCTTACAAACATAATTATATTTTGGTAGGGGATAAAAGCTAGGGCCTGCAATTGCTCAATATTGCTTGATTGCTCAAGCAATTGGTCACAATCCGAGTGTACTGGTACTCGATACGAGTGTACTGGTACTCAATCTGAATATCAAAGAACAATTTAATCATGTCTACCACTTACTGTACCTTAATATTGCCAAAACTTCACATTTTCAAAATGTCTTGTTCGCCTGGATCAAGTGTTTGAGAAGTCGAAAATATGCAAAAATTGGATCATTAGATCACGTTGTATAGCTGCTCGTACCGTTTTTTACCATATCAAGTGGTAAATATTGTTGCTCGTATCGATATTCAAAAAAGTGTATTGTTGGACCCCTAATAAAAACCTCCTATTTTTGATAGCATTGTTTTATTTGAAAATATCAAAAAATATTCTGTTTATTTCTTGGAAGGAAGAGTAAAATAAAATGAATTACTGTTTTAATAAATTATATCTTCTTTGGACATCAAGATTTTGATGCCACTTTTTAGCTTTTTCAGTTAAAGGTCAACATGGTCTATTTTCCAACTCCTTACCATTCCTGATATACCTTATTCTTGAAATGCCACGTTAATGTGTGTTGAAAGTGAAACATATATCACCTCTGTAATACAAAAGTTAAAAGATGACACATTTTAGTTGAACCATTTTAGAGCTTTTTAGATTGATTTTATCACCCAGTCTGATGTTATGCAATGTATTTGTCTCTTTACTTTTTTTTGGCTGCTATTCCCACCTATTGTAGATACAATATCAACACTTCACTCACCTACACCATGGATAGTGGGAAGTTCTAGACTACTATTAGCTGAATATATACACCAGGTTATGAAAGTAAAATTCCCATTTCATTTTCCTCATGGCTATTTTACGTACGTCTCGTGATCTGATTGGTCCTTTCACGAAAATAAGGCAGAGCAATTTACAATTTTGCAATGGTCTTACGTTTGCAGTATTATGGCCAGAATAGAAAGATTGAGTTATGAATTATTTTTTCCCCTCCTTGTCATTTATGAACTTATCTCGGGCTTGTATGACTGCCAAATGTGGAAAATCATGATTAAGATGCATATTTTTTTCTGAAATTACTTTTGTGACCTCCTGATCCTTGACCAACACGGGGCAGTCAGTGTGGCAAAAATATACGTCTGTGAAGCAAAATTTTACACTAACATAACTACATGTAGCTCTGAGTAAATCACAACAGTGAGGCAATAAGTATCAGTGAGATAAAAAGTATTTGAAAGTAAGGACATTTTGTATAAAAGCAATTTTTACCAAATAACCAATGAGCCATGATTTGAAGATGATTGCCTCCATCCGTCAAGACAATCTGATGAGGGATGATAGCCATAACATCGAATTTTGCCAAATAAGCGATGGACTGCGAATTGAATAGGTGGGTTGCTACAACCCGTCAAGACCATCTGACAATAGTCATGACTTCAATGAGCCATATGATTTGAAGGGTGGACTTCTTCAACTTACCGAGGTCATCTTAAATGATGGCCGTGACACCTCCATGGAATCATCTCGCATGAGCGGCTTATTCTACTTACCGAGTACAAATGGCAATCACGCCTACTATCTTAAAACCGTTAGGGTTTTATATTGTAGGTTAGATAATCAGGTTCGCCATGATATTCAATGTAGTATCAACCAGCTCGCTATCAGTATTAGTTCTAGGATTATTATTGATTTTTGTTATGGCTAGAATCTACAGGAATCACAACGAAATGCTACATTATAGTACCCTTAATATAATATTACAACAGTCTGGAATCTCCACGCAAAAAAGCAGACAAAACATACAGTGATATATTTAAATGTCAACTTTTGATACATAAATCTCATAAGAGAACAAAGGGCAATCATCAAATTCATATTTATTTTAGATTCTTGAAAGAAAAAATTATAACTGGGTGTACAAGTGTGAATTATTTTATCCAAGTTATAGATCTTTTGTCTTTAGATTTATATCACCTACTGCATCTGTTCTGTAAAGCGAAAAAGATATAATACCAAGGCTGTTAGGGAACACTTACTGTGCCATTTAGTTATGTAATAATTGGATGCCATAAATTTACTCTCATTATCAAATCACAAAGATATTATCTTGGTGTGTTGAGTTGGTTTATTTCATCTCTATCATGAATAGTTCTGATTTGGATATCAGGCTAGGATAATTAGTGATTACTATTATTTTGCTTTTCTAAAAGGATGAGAAAATTAGGTTTTTATTTTCATGTAAGGTGAATTTTGTACTTGTATGATGAAACACATATATTTCGAGTGAAATACATAGACAAAATATGCGAGACTTTTTTCATGAGATGTCCCTTTTATGTTATCGTAGCCTATCTTATACATGAATCCAAGAGAGGGCATTGTGACTCTCTGTAATTTGCCTAGGATGGACAGGCCCATAGCCAGGATTTGCCAAGGGGGGGTCACTTTTTGAAAAATTCCAGGGGGGTTCACTTTTGACAGTTTTGGTTCAAAAATGGCGAAAATTACTTAAAAAGTGCTCAGAATGATGAAAAACTGCATGATTTTGAAAGAATTTTTGGCCAGGGGGGGGGGCTTCGCTCTAACCCATCGAACATGTTACTCTTGGGTAATGTAAAGTTCTAATGTATGTTAAAGTGAGATTTAAGGAATGATATTTTATATATGGTATACAATGTAGTTGGATAATGAACCATGTTTTATATGTAAGTTAGATAATGAACAATTGTTTATATGGCACTGTTAAATAATGAACCATGTTTTGTATGTTAGTTAGATAATGAACAATCATGTTTTATATATGTTACAATTGGATAATTTTGTATACAACAAGATAATGAACAATTGATTTATATGTTACAGTTAGATAATGAGCAATGTTTATATGATACAGTTGGATAATTTTATATGTTACAATGAGATAATGAACTATGTTTTGTATGTTACAGTTAGATGATAAACAATGTTTCATATGTTACAATTGGATAATTTTGTATGTTACAATGAGATAATGAACAATGTTCTGTATGTTACAGTTAGATGATGAACAATGTTTCATATGTTACAATTGGATAATTATGTATGTTACAATGAGATAATGAACAATGTTCTGTATGTTACAGTTAGATGATGAACAATGTTTCATATGTTACAATTGGATAATTTTGTATGTTACAATGAGATAATGAACAATGTTTTATATGTTTCAGTTGGATAATGCAGATGAACAGGCTGTACAGGTTAGAAGAGAACTTGATGGGAGATTGGCTTTTGCTGAGCAGATGTTTAGGGTAAGAACACATGAATAACAGAATATACAATAATTTGCTATGACACATACTTTGTTAATAATTGACCAGTGTCTAACACAAGGCAATAATTTGAAAATAGGCTTTGTGAAATCTAATATCTACTGCTGAGCTCACATTCTCACGGAAGCTATAGAAGCTCTGCGTAACTATGAGATGATCCAATAGGTCAAAATAGAAAATTACTGTTGAGTTGTAAGATCATTTCCAGCCCTATATTGAAGTCCCTCTCATATTATTTATATATTTATTATAGTACTATATATTAAAACAATGTTAAAGAGCTAGTAATTGTTTTTCTAACCATTCTTAGTTTTCACAAACTGAGGATTATAGTGTAAAAGATAAAAAACTTTCGCTACTAGGCAAAGGGCAGTAAAAGTTGTTTTATTATATACTCCATCATATCAGGATCATCTGGTGAGGTAATGAGTATGTAAGGGGGTGGGTCGATTATCATGTACAAATGCCTACCCTTTCCTTCACAGACCTGCATTCAAGATGAATCCACATTACCCAAGCACTTTTCTGGAAAAATATTAATATGATGATTATTTTTGGCTTACAGGCTAGGAAATACCCCAAGTTTATGATAAAGGAGATGGAAAGTATGCATATAGATGAATTAAAGTCATCTATCAATCTCCTCATGGGAAACCTTGAGTCATTACCAGTCTCCAAAGGCAGCCAGGACTCCAAATACTCACTACAGAAATTAAAACGATACAATAGGTAGGTGTTCACGTACTGAATTTTGCATCTATGAAATGATTGCGTTAGGCTCACTGTTAGGTGTGTTTTGGTTAGCATGCAGAGCATAATTCTCAGCACGATATTCTTTTATTTATTTTATGAAATAGCGTGAGTGTTTGATTTAACTAATTTTGAATTGAATGACATGCTTCTACAATGATCAGGAGAAATTCTTGTATTTTTTATTTTTGATTGGCCTTAATTTTGAAAAATCAATAGCTTTAAGTTATCTGTACTATATGTTAGTTTTCTATTAATTTTTAACAATAGTAGAAAAATCAGGACTTCGAATTTGCACAATTTTGTCAAATTCTACAATATCTGCTCTTTTTGGATGAACGTGGAGACTTTCAGATTCCCTAGTGTTTCTAGGCATTTTTTATTTCTATCAAAATGAGTGTTAAAAGACACTTACAATATCCTTTAAAATGTTTGAAATTGCCAAAATCAAATGCATAGTTTCTTTATTGTATGAATATTATTTAAAAATGTAGAATTTCCTATTTTTGCAGAATTTTGAATTCTGAATTTATTGCGCAGATAACAAGCATGTGTGTTTAAAGTTCATATAGATGAGAAAAGATATATGCTTTACATTTATTTATTCAATCTAGCCTATAACTTATCAATAACCAAGTGTGTAATTTGGCATGTATTTATTTTAAGCCAATATGTATCTTTGAATTATCTTATTTGGTAAAAGCTTTGTGAAAAATGGCCATCGGCTGATTAGTAGAGCCAGATGATTCATTAGATAGTTTTAGGTTTGATCTTTAGACAGACTGCATGGGAATATAAAAGTAGTGAATTGTGCTCCTTTGCTGCCAGTATATCATGATGTAGAAATAATACCATGCTCATTCTCGATACATTATTGCACTGGGTTACAATTGAAAAAGGTTATTATTTTCGTAATACAGAATTTTGATTCGTATAATAATGAAATGAATGAAGGTTTGTTCCAGAGAATTTTATTGTTATCGTAGTGAGTTATATTTTCTTACATAAAAATTGATTCGGAGAGAGCAAAGGTTTTTCCATATCATGATTTTGGTGATATCCCGAAGGAAATGCAATCAAATGCATGTCTTGACAATGAATGATGAGGAATATCTAATTTTATTCAATAAAATATCTTAATAATGTTATTTAACCATATAAGCACCCTGTACAGTATATATTTGGCCATATAAGGACTGTTATGTTTTTACATAATCTATTTTCTATCTTATTTTAACAAGTCCCAATAGGTAGGGGACCATTCTGATAACCCATTTCACTCATAGAATCGTCAGCACAGGTCAACTCACTTTGTGTTTTTTTAAAGTTTACCGTATTCCTAAATGTTTACTGGTACAACTAAATGTTTACTGGTCTGCCTAAATGTTTACCGGTATGCCTAAATGTTTATCCATCCCTTATTTTTAACATATTGTACCCAAAATATTAAGCATTTGTTGGACATCTTAGATGTTTATACCTTACACGTTTACCTAATCTGTTTACAACCACCAACATGTTTACAACCACCAACTTGTTTACCTTTATGTATTATTAATCCTATATTATACTCTCATATGCTTAGACATAACAGTTTCAAAGGCTTGAAGTAAGTAATTAGATATGATGTAAAACATGCACAGATATAATTCATCATTTCACACGTTTGTTTTCAATGTTTTGTTGATTTTACACTCTTTGTTGTGATTATAGTATAGCACACGCTTCTGCAGATAAACTTATTATATATCTTTTGCCTGAATTGTAGAGATTTGGCCTGGATTGTAAAGTTTTTATCTGGTTTTTAAAGTTGTTATCTGAATCAGTTTACCTGCATTAGAATGTGCTTGCCCATTTTTTAAAAATTGTTTTACCAGATTCATCAAGTCTGCCAGAAGAGCCTTTACTGTTTTTCCTATATATTTGAAGCAGAAAAAGCAAAGAACCAGTAACATTGTAATATATCACAATAAAACCTGTATATCTGGACATATCTCTTTCAGAACATCTCCCAATGTGAAAAATTTTTGTATCCCATTTTTATCCTTTTATCCGTCATAGACTTTTATGATAGAATATTCAAAATGTGAACACCTGCCAATCTGAACACTTTTGGCCAATCACAGTGGCTTTCCAATTGGACGGTTTTACTGTTATAACGGGGAACTACATTATTTGTTAAATCCAGTGATAGATATTGAATAGCTGATCAAAAAAAAAATCACCATTTCGGTAAGATCCAGTGGGTAGAATCAGCTTTGGTATATCATTCCTCAACTGACTGTTTAAACATCAAAACATTTGGCATCTGGTCAAATTATCCAAAAATCAGTTATTGTTATCACGAGATTAAACCTCGTTACAGATTACCTATGTGAGAAAAATACAAGTTTGGGCTTTGTATTATTATGTATCGATAAAACTCCCTTGTTGAAATAGACCACTTTTTCGAATTCCTGAGATGATTTGGGCATTCATGTTATATTAAAGGTGGGCTCTGTGGATTTCATCTTCTAGAATATCATCATACTATAAATAGAATGAAGTATAACTGGTGTTGAAATTGTTAAATTAAATTAAGTAGAATTTAATGTTACATGTTAAATCTCAATCAACAATAACGACATTGTCAGGTTTCATGTTATATATTAAAAAATTACAATTTCTTTTCCTCAAATATTAAAAAATCTGAAGAAAATCACAAGAAAATGTCTGGGTTTTGGCATATCAAATCAGCTTTATTAGTGCAGTTATCAATGTCTATATTCCTCTTAAAGTGTTAGGAGGCGTATTTAGGTACCGATCTTTGTCAAAATTTGTTTTTGAAATCGGGTGCCACATTCAGTACTAAATTGAGAATGAGACTAAATCAGTTAAAGGCTAAACTTCTAGAGGTTACACCATAAGGCTACTGATAGTAACTACAGTATGTTACTTATATGCAAATAATATTATGCGAGTTCTAACTATGAACATTGAGGTTGTATCTATATTGTTGGTATGTAAAATTCATTTGATTGACAATCAATCAATCATTCCAACATACAAATATTAGCTGTACATTCTGTCTCTCGGCCCAAAATATGTTCTCATGCTCAAAAACACTTTCTGATTAGAAAATTAAAGTTACAATGCAACTTTAAAAGGTAATACTAGTGGTAGCTCTATGAAGAAGAAGTCAGCATATGAATTTCATCATTTTAGTGTTCATGAAAAATTTATATTGTATCCATAATGGTGTTGCCTCCAATGTCATAGAGGCATACTTTGGCGGTATATACTTAAACTAAAGCTCAGTAATGGGATAAAGTCTGGGTACAGAAATCCAAGTGAAAGTTTGAAGCAGGATTTTAAATGTGTTACATTTTAGCGAATAAATCGTTAAAAAACATTTTATATTGGAACCAAAAGATTATGGTTTAATTCTTATCTTCAACTTTTCAAAGAATATATCTCGGGAAAATTTTATTACACATTAAACCCTTGGGTATTTTGACCATCTTATAGTATAGGTGCACTTATTGAAATAACCTTTGGAAGGCATAATGAATTATATGCGATTGCCCCAGGGGTCTAATTCTTCAATAATGGTCAATAAAAAGAGGAAATTATAGATTTATGCTTGTATTATGTTCATGCACCTCTTATTAGTGTTTGTTTTTGTTGTTTATGTCTTTTGTATATGTTACTCACTTAAATGTTTGTATTGTTGTATGTTACTCACTTAAATGTTTGTATTGGCAAATGTGACTCACTTAAAAGTTTGTATCGATATGTATTACTCAACTCACTTAAATGTTTATAACATGTAATGCAATGGAATGTTTGTATTGGTCTGTATCACTCACAGAAATGTTTGGATTTTTTGTACTTTTAACATGTAACTCACTTTCTAATTTGTTTATGAATATGAACATGTAACTCATTTAAATGTTAATTTGTACTAACACACATACTTAACGTTTGCTTAAAAATGTTGAAATGTGTCTTTATACTCATTCATTGTGAAGTTTGAATATGTTTGACTCGAATGATATTCAGTGCTAACTGTAAACTGAAGCCAGATATATCATACATCATTAATTAGGCTGTGCACCCTCGAAGAAAATATCATGTGTGGTAATTTTAGAATTGAAAAGGAAGTAGAAAGAAATAGAATCAGCAAGAACTAAAATACATAGGTGTGTATTCAGCACTCTGAATTATATAGATATGTGAGGAAATTGCACATTTTATTCAGTTTGAAGTGATATGTGCCAGAATAACTGCGAGCAGATGGAATTTTAGTCTTGCTTATGTTCTACAGAACCAGCTCTCATTGATTTTATAGTCATCCAGATAAGACATATGCCTTTATGCGCTTGGATAACAACTGATTCAATTAATTATCTCTTAGTTGATCTGATTAAGCCTAGAAAGCACTTTCATTGAAATTATCTTCTAGTATATGATTCTGAAAATAATTCTGAAAATAATTGGAGCAATACTTGGTACTCAATTTTACTCAATTTGGGTACTCAAAAAGTGGCATTTAAGTATGTGATTAAAAATTTGGCCAAATAAGAGATAACCCTGATCTAAACATATAAAGTTATGTACATGTACTTCTTAAAAAAAAAAAATGATTTGTTTATTGCAAACCATTTGATGGTCCAATTTTCTCACACTTAATGTCTAAAAGTTGAATGAAATAACTGATTTCCTGATATTTCGATATATCTAAAAGTGTAAATTACATACCAATCTGCTTACCATATTTCTTTACAAATTCCTCTATTCTAGCATAATTTTAGATTTTAAAACATGTCTGATTGAATATCATGGAGGTTGAGACTTTAAATGATATTGATTGATTATACAGGGACTTTGACCTAATATTTCTGTAAGAAGCAATAGGGGCTCAAACCAATTGATTTTCTTAATCTCTCAGATATTCTGTTTCTGTATCCCATTGGATCTACTATACTGCCAAGTATCTGCTCTGTTTATGTAGGTGGAAATGGGTGGACTTGGTGCAGTTTGGTGCAGTTTCTTTGGGGTAGACTCATTATTATTTAATTATACGGTGAAACAATGACTTTTGGGATTATGATTTGTTCAAATTATCATAGGATGATATCCATAATTGCAGTACCTTCTTCACTGTTTAAAGGTTGTTTCATCATATTTTTTAACAAGGTCATTGCTTTAAAGGCCCTGTGTAAACAGTTGTACAATTTGGAATTTTGGGTCAAACATGTGCAATTTGGAAATTTGAGGGCTGTCTTGCATTTCCTAGGAAATAGTTTGGCAGTCTGGAATTCCAGTAAATGAGTTGGTCAGTCTAGAATTCCATGGAAAGAGTTGGGCAGTCTATAATTACAGGGTAAAAGACTGGGTAGCCTGGGAAAGAGATGGGTATTTTGGAATTCCAGGGAAAGATTTAGGTTTGAAATTCCAGGGAAAGAGATGGATAGTCTTAAAGGTCTTGAATGCAGTTTGGCTTTTACCAGGAATTTCAGGTTAAAAACTAGGTAGCCTAAAATTCCAGGGAAAGAGAATGGCAATCTGAAATATGAAGGTAAGGGATTGGGATTCTGTTATACTCAGATAGATGGCAATTCTTATGTAAAGGGAAAGGGATTGGCAAATTCTAGGGTAAGAAATTGGTGACTTGGGACGCAATGACTTTCACACATGTATCTCACTGCCTGCCTTGTAAGCAAATAAATGCTTTATTAGTCAAACACCGTGAGAAGTTAGACTGGCATTTTATGCCGGTAATGCTTAATAGAAGCTGTAATTGCGTTCACAATAAATAGAATAGAACAGAGAGAAACTAAGTCATCAATTTATGACTCCCCGTTGCGTGAGATCGATGTCTCCCATAATTGAACAAACTCCTGCTCGTGAAGCCTGCCACTTCCCGCAGAAATTAATGAATATATTTCGCAATACGTTTGGTCAATATGACCTCAGACACGTATGCAAGACCCTGATAAGCTAAGATAGGAAAAGTGAGTTTTCTTTATGGTTAAAAGTTGTAATTTGTTTTTCTTTCTTGTTTGTTAATATCTGTTACCATTGATTTCTAGCAGATCTCATTTTTTATGAGAGAGGGTCATATTGTGGATATTGCGATTTTTGACCAATATTTGGTGTTTGGTTCGGCATTTAACAGTCGCCATCTGTAACAAACTGTCACACTTTTTTTTAGCCATTTCCAATAAAGTTACGATTAAAGATTGGAAAAAGAGAGTATATTAAAAAGCAATTATAGTTTTGAGAACTCGATATGTCTGGTTATATACCGTGTTTGTCTTTTGTAAACAACACCCAAACAAAATTATTTCCATACTTAGGTCACTGTAATCTATTGAATTGCCATGTAATGAACAACTCAACCTGATTCATATTCGATTGTTTCTGTTTTCAAATGGAGAAAGGTTGTTAGTTGTGCTGAGGCAAGCACACGATGTTCTGAGAGGTATATTAAGTAGAAATAAATCTAGTATACATTGTGGATGTTTGTACATGTATGCCTTGTTATGGCTTTATTATCCTATCGAACAAAGTTTTGATGGATATAGAGAACGGTTTCGTCTGTCCATCAGTCCATGGACAAAAAATTTCAAACAAATGCGAGACATACACAATTCATGTGACAATTCCGAACGAACTGCATTCGTTTTTTTCAGCGTTCATTTTTAATATTTCGGCATTTGTTTTTTGATGTTCTTCTCCAGAAATATTTTTGCTTGACAGTAATCAGAAAAATGTGTATTTGCGTGACATTCTGTCAGTGTCACGTAAAATAATTTGGCGTGACTTCAATTTCTTCAGCAAATGCATGACAAATACGCAAATTACGGGAGAGTTGACAGACTTACATTAGTTCCTGCATCCAGTGTTTTTCCTAAGCGTCGAACCATGGGACATCTCCGACGATGTTGACCCAGGACTGACGATTTATTCCAACCAACCAGTCCACAAGACCGTCCAAGTCCGATGGCTAAGATATGCACCAAAGTCTTACCTCAAACATCAGTCCGATCGTTGAACTTCATTTACTCAAGATTTTACTCATTATCACATCGAAAATCTTTAAAACAGACAGGATTTTTTGAAATATTTTTTGAGTTTCAGGTCTGCAAACGAGGATAAATTGCGTAGCATAATCTATCAATAACTTCGAAAAACTGTTTTCTGATTGGTCGAAATGAATTGTGGGTAGTGACCATATGGTATTTCGTTCGATGTAAAATTTCTGATTATGGAAGCAAATTAACCGGGAATTCCAACACGGGGACTTCATTACTGTCCACTAACTATTAAATAAATATAATTATAACGAGAAATTATATGGGGATTCATAAATTGATCGAGTAGGATAAATGGAGGTTAAACAATCCCGGGTGAAGATACAAACTACATTTGTTTTCGTCCAGTGTAGCAAAAGTAATTTCCGGTTCCTGTATTAATTTTTTTAAATTCTTTTTGAACTTTTGACAAATGTCACGAAATGTGGTCGATTTTCAATCTGAATTCGAAGTAACTTTAATATTTTAAGGACTGGTTGGTTTTCACTTGGACCTGTGATGTAGCAGAAGTTACAGGTCCAGATGACTGATGATGCTTAGCCTGGACTGGTTGAAATTTTGATATTGCCAGTCCATTGGTCCTGTGATTTATATTTGCTTAGGAAAAACACTGCCTGCATCGCTAATTGTATACTTTTAGCTTTTTTCAACACTGTCTTATGATTCAAAATTCTTTGACAAAACTGTTCTATGAAACATTACTAAAACCACTTTTTGATGAACACAATTTAAATTTAAAAGTTCACAAATCAAATGATATTGGATGATTTACTATGGTTTGAAAGGTCATTTTTACCAAAAATGTGTTTTAGCTGAGAAATTAAAGCAGTGATTTGTTCATTTTTAGCCATAGGTCAGTTTTTAAATTGTCTTAGAGAGTGACCAGATCAGCTTGACCTTGTAGTTTTAACACAGGCCATCAATTTCACTTTCCAAATATGGTAACTGTCAATCAAATCTGGCAGAGTTTCAGAGAAAGTGAATATCAGATTGATGCTGATTTTACATTGTGTCAGAGGTTTGAAATATTTGAGATTGTGGAAATGATTTCAAATAAATTTAATCACAAATATAGTAATTAATCGAATTTACAAAGAAATATCAGTTACTCATGAAGTTCAATTCTTGATGACTCAATTTCAAGATTTTTTATGTTTTTTGAATCTTGATTTGATAAAAAGATAAATCACAGATTTTAGGTGAAACAGAGCAACTACCCAATATATTTTTCATTGATAATCAGGGCAATAATATCTCAATCTTGGAAAATAAGTTAAAATACCTTAAATAATAATCCATGTATTCATCCTTTAGAGTTGAATGGATTTTTCTTAAAACTCTCAAGAATAGTGTATTACAGGGCAAATAAGCATAACAAATAATAATTGAAAAAAAATTTTACTATGATTTTTTACTCAGCTTTAATATCATCAAATCGTAGAGTTTTATCATTATTGCAGACACATCATTTCCATCCCAGATTTCAATCTGGCTACTGCATGATTGTTTAGGAGTTTATGCTGGCATAAAAGTCAATGGAACCACTATGATATCATTTTAGGCTATTAAATTAGTCGTAGATATCAATTCTGCAAACCATGTTATTCTTTATTGGCTGATCATATTTGTGATATGAGACCACATGGTGTCTGTGATTGCTAATAGTACTAGGTTTTATTTTTGTCCTTTCTACACCATTTAACATTCATATTTGTGATATTTGCAACTTATGTAAACTGTTTGTATATTGTTTTATATTTGTGATTTCTTTAGCCATATAATGATTGTATTTATATTTATATTTTAGATCACTTGGCTTTGTAATGTTCCATGTATATATGATTGCTAGGCAAAAAAATATTTCTGAGGGCGAGTTGAGGTCGAAAAGATGATAATATGTTACACATTTGTACTTTCTAATATTTGTGTTTCTTGGTTAAATAATATGCTACATTTATAATTTCTATGGCTTAAAATGTAACATATTTGTGATTTCTAGGCCTTCAAATGTTACACATTTGTGATTTCTAGGCCTAAAATGTTACACATTTGTGATTTCTAGGCTTTAAAATATTACACATATGTGATTTTTAGACCTTAAAATGTTATACATTTGTAATTTTTAGGCCTTAAAATGTTACACATTTGTGATTTCTAGGCCTTAAAGTGTTACACATTTATGATTTCTAAACCTTAAAATGTTACACATTTGTGATTTCTAGGCCTTAGAATGTAACACATTTGTGATTTCTAGGCCTTAAAATGTAACACATTTGTGATTTCTAGGCCACACAATGCTAACATGAACAAGATGGATGTTGCAGAAGACAGTGAGCCTGGCCTATCAAAACTGGATGTTGTCTTGTCATTCACTTTAGAAGTAAGTATCCACGCCTACCAAGTACTTCACTAAGTTGCAGTTGCCATTTCCTAAACAAATGGGACAACATTTATTTTGGAAAATAAGGCCTACATTTAGTCTAAAATGGAAAAAGTTTCTCATATTTTGTGGCCCATTTAAATTATGGCCATCTTAGAATTTGTTCAAAATGACAAAGAATATCCTCAGTGCTTGCAGCTAGAAGACGGACCGGTTCGGGGCAATCTGCTTGCAACGAGAAGACGGACCGGTTCGGGGCAATAGCTGATGAAATTCTTTGTCACAAAGTTTGGCTTTTTTTATAAAATCAAATGCGCGTCATTGAAACTCACAAGATGTAAATAGCATGTCATTTACATCATACCTTGATGGGGAAAAATAGATCTTATATGTTAGAAGTACTAAATAAAAGTTATCGTGAAAATGAGACAGTCGTTCTCGAGAGAAAAGAGCATAAATGCGCATTTAGAGAGTTTTTGTCCGTTTAAAAATCTGTAAAAAATTGGGGTACTTAAAAGTATCGGGAGGCATCATATATTTCAAATTAGACATGAGGAAGTCAATATTGAGCAAGTTATGGCTGTTTTAAATTCAAATAAAACCGTTAACCCGTACCAGTCCAGCTTTTGACCCGTACCGGTCAATTTTCGTTAGCTGCGTATACCAAGGGTGGTATTAATATCAAATCTTATTGATATGCAAAAATGTATACATGTGATCCCCTTAACTATCAACCTCAATATGTGGAGGTATTAATATTAGAGGAAAAAACTTTAACATAAGATACTAGTAACTAATATGACTAAAACATGATCATTTCTATTTCCAGAAAATCTATTTACGCCATATCACGTCTTTGATTATGTGATTATGAAATGAAATAAAATGTTTATCATGTATATATAGGTTGTTGTTATGGAAGTCCGTGGGTTGAAGTTTCTTCAGCCTAACAAGATTGTTTACTGTACCATGGAAGTAGAAGGAGGGGATAAATTACAAACTGACCAGGCTGAAGCAGGAAAACCAACGTAAGATCCTAACACTTCATTTCACCCCCCAAAGTACACTCTTATGATGCATTTCTTTTTAGTTTAGATAGTTTTTAAAAATTCTTATTTTTCCCACACTTACTTAGACACATGGAAATAGATATATATGAAGATCCTCTCATAGCTTCCCCTTTGCTATAATCACATTAAAAGCTATCACTATTATGAACTCCTGTTTTCTATAATTTCTATTTTTAAATATCCTATTGACACCCATGTGATTTTAATCTGTCAATGTGAGCAACTCATAATTTAATTAATTAGACAGTCTTAATATTGTTCATTTGACAAGCTCAAGGAAATTTGGATTTTCAAAACATTAATCTAAATTCTCTATTCTGATTGCCCATGATCTGCAATACTCATACTGTATTGCATTTTGTGTTTTGATTTTGTTTTGATTTCTTTAGATGGGACACACAGGGTGATTTTACTACCACCCACCCTCTGCCAATAGTGAAGGTGAAACTATACACAGAAAGTTCTGGCGTTCTCAGCTTAGAAGACAAAGAATTGGGAAAGGTAAAGACCAAAAATTGACTCATTGAATGCAACTATTGCATCATCACTGATTTGTTTTGTCAAATGCATGTATTTAGAAAGTAATCATTTTCCTTTCAACTTACTTTATGACTTTTGACTATAAAATTGTTTCTGTACATCAATGATTTGAGTGTAAACCTTATTAAAAACCATGCTATATCAGTTTATCCATTAATATTCATATCCATTAATGAGGGTAATTAATTATTAAGAGTTGTTAATTATCAATATTTATTGTTAATTTTAGGTTATTATTCACCCCACATCAAACAGTTCCAAGATGCCAGAGTGGTACGCTTTACAGAAAACCAAAAATTGTCCAGACATCCTCAAAATTAAGATAGTTGTGCGAATGGACAAACCTCAAAACATGAAGCATTCTGGGTATGAACCTCTTTTTTCTTTGGTCACATATTTAGAATAAAACTGCTGTAAAATGGAAAAGCATATAATTTGAAACATTTTCAGAATTTGCTTCGAAATTTAATTTTTAAAGATCATGATTAAGTGTCCAAATTAACAGTCCAAAACACACTAATTTAATTATTTGAATGAATGCTTTTGATATAATCTAGGATTGGACATGAAAATATTTTTTAGAATGTTGCATCTTGCCATTTCTATATGCTAAGCAAATATCTGCCACATACAAACATTCATGAACCAAGTAACTGTTTCATTTCCCTGATGTGTGGAACATTTGAATAAATTGAGTGGAAAATCTAATCCCATGGGCTTGAATTTGCTCAAAATAGATTCCATTCATTTGTTTGTATGACATCCAAGCAAGTAATCATGTTTTCCAAAGTATTTACTGGGTTTTACTGGGGACATTTTGACATGATGTTACCCAAAGTAATGTTTACTAAATCATGAAACCGTATATAGTGCCTCGGCTAATATGGACTTTTAAATGACATTAGTTTAACATTATCGCTCATTTCCTATATTTATTTGATGAAAATATTGAAAATTGTACAAACTAGAAGAAATCACTTTAGTTTTTGAACAACCTCTGTTTATTTTTATTTTTTTAATCTTTTTATTGTAAAATTGTATTTTTGTTTATCTATTCCAGGTATCTTTATGCCCTTGGAAAAGGAGTGTGGAAAAAATGGAAGAAGCGTTACTTTGTCTTGGTTCAGGTATGTGTAAAAGGCCCCATGTAGTGTTTGAAAATACATTTTTACTAACGTACACTCATTTTATTTTAATGTTGTAAAATATTGTGAAGTATGTACTGACACTATGTACTGAAAACAGCAAAGTTGAGAATCTTGGGAAAAACATATTGAAAACTTGGACAGAGAAAGTGTTTAAATATGCGCCTAAAAAGGCGCTCCCATTTGTAGGTTATAATGTACTTATTTTCTGAGTATTAGATAGTGAGACCATCTTGACTTATCAAGGTATTTTGTATGATTGAAAGGAACGTAATGTTATTCTGTTATTATACAGTATGACATAATAAAGAAAAAATCCGAAGCCAATCAGGAATGAATGGCATGTTCAATTAAAAATCTTGTCATATTCAACCTTAGGCATTGTCTTTTAATACGAAAAATGAAGAAAACACAATGTCATCTTTCATACGTGAACAATAGCTTTGCTTTAATGGCGTAAAAATAGATAAATCATTAAATGAATTAATATGGTTAATGTGGTTTTTATATACCACTTTGCTTGGTATCTCTGCATGTCTACATAAAAGGGAGTGAAAAATTGAAAAAGAACTAACATTATCTTCTTAATATAATAGTAAGTGGGAAATAATGTGGATGAAGAATCAATGTAACAGATTCTTGGTTAATTATAGTACTTTGATTGATGGGTGAAATTGCTTGACCTGAAACCTTTATCTTTCTGATGACAAGCCTGGCATTTGACGGTGCCCTTTAATGAAATACAATGATGAACATCGACAACATTTTTTTTATTTAAACCCACTTTACGATCTTGATAAGGATAAATTGCTGAAATACTGATCTAATTCATTAACTCTTTGATGTAAGAGACTGTATCTCAGTCATTTTGATTTGAATATTTGATATACTGTAAAACGTTTTTGTTGAATTATAAGAATGGGTTTGATATGGACAGTTGATTGTAATACGTATGATCCTTTTTGTTTTTATGAAAGTAAGAATAGAGACTTAAAACTAATAACAAGACTTGTTGTTTTGAAATATGATCTCATGTGTGAATATTTGTTAAAATATGACAGGCTCACTTGACAGAGTAATCACCTTTGCTGGACCACTGCTACTATTAAGTTGTCATGGCCCTGTCAAATATGCCACATTATAATGCCAGTTATATTCAATTACAATTTTGTCAGAATTGAATTCAGCGTATTAACTATTGTTATAAATAGGTTGAGTTAGAGATGACCCTATTACATGAAAAGTTAGAGATGCGCATTTAATAGGTTGAGTTAGAGATGACCCTATTACATGAAAAGTTAGAGATGCGCATTTAATAGGTTGAGTTAGAGATTACCCTATTACATGAAAAGTTAGAGATGAGCATTGAATAGGTTGAGTTAGAGATGACCCTATTACATGAAAAGTTAAGATGCACATTTAATAGGTTGAGTTAGAGATGACCCTATTACATGAAAAAGTTAAGATGCACATTTAATAGGTTGAGTTAGAGATGACCCTATTTCATAAAAAGTTAGAAATGAGCATTTAATTGGTGGAATTAAAGATGAGCCCTTAAAGGTCGAGTTAGAGATTAGCCTTTAAATGAATATTTTCTCTCCAGGTATCCCAATATACATTTGCCATGTGTAGCTACAGAGAGAAGAAACCAGACCCTACTGAGATGATGCAATTAGATGGTTATACAGTGGACTATTGTGACCCAATAGCAGGTAAATATCCTTTTTATGTCCCCACCACATAGTGTAGACCCTGGTGAGATGATGCAATTAGATGGTTATACAGTGGACTATTGTGACCCAATAGCAGGTAAATATCCTTTTTATGTCCCCACCACATAGTGTAGACCCTACTGAGATGATGCAATTAGATGGTTATACAGTGGACTATTGTGACTCAATAGCAGGTAAATATCCTTTTTATGTCCCCACCACATAGTGTAGACCCTACTGAGATGATGCAATTAGATGGTTATACAGTGGATTATTGTGACCCAATAGCAGGTAAATATCCTTTTTATGTCCCCACCACATAGTGTAGACCCTACTGAGATGATGCAATTAGATGGTTATACAGTGGACTATTGTGACCCAATAGCAGGTAAATATCCTTTTTATGTCCCCACCACATAGTGTAGACCCTACTGAGATGATGCAATTAGATGGTTATACAGTGGACTATTGTGACCCAATAGCAGGTAAATATCCTTTTTATGTCCCCACCACATAGTGTAGACCCCACTGAGATGATGCAATTAGATGGTTATACAGTGGACTATTGTGACCCAATAGCAGGTAAATATCCTTTTTATGTCCCCACCACATAGTGTAGACCCTACTGAGATGATGCAATTAGATGGTTATACAGTGGACTATTGTGACCCAATAGCAGGTAAATATCCTTTTTATGTCCCCACCACATAGTGTAGACCCTACTGAGATGATGCAATTAGATGGTTATACAGTGGATTATTGTGACCCAATAGCAGGTAAATATCCTTTTTATGTCCCCACCACATAGTGTAGACCCCACTGAGATGATGCAATTAGATGGTTATACAGTGGACTATTGTGACCCAATAGCAGGTAAATATCCTTTTTATGTCCCCACCACATAGTGTAGACCCTACTGAGATGATGCAATTAGATGGTTATACAGTGGACTATTGTGACCCAATAGCAGGTAAATATCCTTTTTATGTCCCCACCACATAGTGTAGACCCCACTGAGATGATGCAATTAGATGGTTATACAGTGGACTATTGTGACCCAATAGCAGGTAAATATCCTTTTTATGTCCCCACCACATAGTGTAGACCCTACTGAGATGATGCAATTAGATGGTTATACAGTGGACTATTGTGACCCAATAGCAGGTAAATATCCTTTTTATGTCCCCACCACATAGTGTAGACCCCACTGAGATGATGCAATTAGATGGTTATACAGTGGATTATTGTGACCCAATAGCAGGTAAATATCCTTTTTATGTCCCCACCACATAGTGTAGACCCCACTGAGATGATGCAATTAGATGGTTATACAGTGGACTATTGTGACCCAATAGCAGGTAAATATCCTTTTTATGTCCCCACCACATAGTGTAGACCCTACTGAGATGATGCAATTAGATGGTTATACAGTGGACTATTGTGACCTAATAGCAGGTAAATATCCTTTTTATGTCCCCACCACATAGTGTAGACCCTACTGAGATGATGCAATTAGATGGTTATACAGTGGATTATTGTGACCCAATAGCAGGTAAATATCCTTTTTATGTCCGCAACCACATAGTGTAGACCCTACTGAGATGATGCAATTAGATGGTTATACAGTGGACTATTGTGACCCAATAGCAGGTAAATATCCTTTTTATGTCCCCACCACATAGTGTAGACCCTACTGAGATGATGCAATTAGATGGTTATACAGTGGATTATTGTGACCCAATAGCAGGTAAATATCCTTTTTATGTCCCCACCACATAGTGTAGACCCTACTGAGATGATGCAATTAGATGGTTATACAGTGGATTATTGTGACCCAATAGCAGGTAAATATCCTTTTTATGTCCCCACCACATAGTGTAGACCCTACTGAGATGATGCAATTAGATGGTTATACAGTGGATTATTGTGACTCAATAGCAGGTAAATATCCTTTTTATGTCCGCAACCACATAGTGTAGACCCTACTGAGATGATGCAATTAGATGGTTATACAGTGGATTATTGTGACCCAATAGCAGGTAAATATCCTTTTTATGTCCGCAACCACATAGTGTAGACCCTACTGAGATGATGCAATTAGATGGTTATACAGTGGACTATTGTGACCCAATAGCAGGTAAATATCCTTTTTATGTCCCCACCACATAGTGTAGATCCTGGTGAGATGATGCAATTAGATGGTTATACAGTGGACTATTGTGACCCAATAGCAGGTAAATATCCTTTTTATGTCCCCACCACATAGTGTAGACCCTACTGAGATGATGCAATTAGATGGTTATACAGTGGACTATTGTGACCCAATAGCAGGTAAATATCCTTTTTATGTCCCCACCACATAGTGTAGACCCTACTGAGATGATGCAACTAGATGGTTATACAGTGGATTATTGTGACCCAATAGCAGGTAAATATATTTCTTATTATTTCATGGTTATCATGTTTGAAGTGTGATGTGCAGTGCAAAAGAGTGAAATTAACAAGAGTGAATAAGAACAGGCATGTAGTCATCATTTTTTTGTTGTTAAACCAAACACTTTTTATCAACATTATTAATTACATGCCCAGATAAGTTCTATAAAGTCATAAAAATGATATATGATTTTTGTTTCAGATGTTGAGGGTGGGCGACATTTCTTCAATGTTGTTAAAGAGGGCGATAGTGTGATGTTTGCCACGGATGATGAGAATGAACGCCAGCTATGGGTACAGGCTGTTGTGAGAGCCACGGGGCAGTCCCATAAACCAACACCCCCACAAGTGCAGCAGCCTAATAGGATCAGCAACACACAGATATCAAGGATGCAAGGAGGTGAGAGAGAAACTGACTTAATGTTAAATGAACCTCTATAAGTGAACAACCTTCAAAGTGGAACACTTTTAGAGATTCCAATTGTGTTCAACTTAGACAGGTTTACTGTAATCTTAACAGGGTTCGTACACACCTGGAAATGTCAGGGAAATTGATTTATTTTTCCAGGTGCTGGAAATGTCAGGGAATTTTAAAATTGGGTCAAAAAGGGCCAAAAATGTCAGGGAATTTTGAAACAGTAGATGTGTCAGGGAAATGTCAGGGAATTTTGTATCAATGTTGAAAGAATAATGTTCCAGCAAAATACATTTTAGGGCTATGACAGGATATAAGTGAAATCCCAAATCATCTAGTTGTTTCCACAAATTGCAAATCTTTTCATTAGGGTTGGTTGAATGACATTAGATCTGGTATTGTCTATTTGTAAGAACAGTGTGAACATTACACTGAAACCGAACAATAAAAATAATGTATAGATGATTTAATACAATTATGCTTTTTTATGTAGTAAGCTTAGTCTTAGGCCATTCAAAGTTAATTACTGGTATATATTTCATGGTTTGATGAGGGGTTAATCTGAGGGGGGGGGCGGGAGGTGAAAAACAAAAAAAAATTCTGGGAGCTCTTTACAATGTAAAATTGTATTTATATTAAGAAGCTGTCTGTTCGACAGTCCGATTGTATGTTAGTCTTTTCAACTTTCAGGGGCTTTGCCAATTTTAAAAACCTTAGCACAAAATGTGTGTGAGGTACTATTAACAGTTTTTGAATTTGGTCCAAATTTTTCTTCTTGTAAAGATGAACCCAGCATTTTACTTTGGCTCAAATTTTGTATGATGTAGCCTTAGGGACAAAGACCTGCTCAAGAAGAAATATTCAAGATGGTCTCTGAATTCAACATTGCCACCATTTTTTATGAAATTTTTGATAATTTAAAGAAATTTGATTCCTGATAACACAAAATACTGATTATTTGATTTGGTATCATAGGCCTGAGCCTTTTCGTGATCTGGTGATGCTACTTGAGAAGGAATTTCTAATATGGTGTCAATTGTTTTGGTGTAATTTTCCCAAAAGGGAGAAGACAATAGTAATGCCAGGTTATTGCTATCATATAATGTTCACAATGGTAGTATTCAATAGAAATATGTTTCATTAGGTGGGAATTGTCCCTCAAGTGAGTTGCTATTTTTCTAGGAGAATTTAGATCAGAATTTTAAAGTTTCAGTTGTCATTTGGATTCATTACAAAACATTAACAAATTATAGTTTAAAATGCTTAGAATGCACCATATACAATTGTCAATTTAGAAAAATTTCCGGGGGTGAACCCCCGTACCCCCTTTTGGTTTTCCTTAGCTTGCAGTGATGCAAACCCCAAAAGATGCACCTCCTTGACACTTGTTGGCTATGCCCCTGTACATGTATGTTTACCTTTGGCCTTATGCAATGTAAAATATGTAATATTAAAAATAAAATGTATCAGGAATAAATTGGTGAATAAGACTGCCTGTTCAAGTAGCTAAGTCATGAGAAATGGTACTGAAGGAGAAACCCCAAATGTTTCATAATAAGTCTTTTTGTCTTGAATAATACAGTTGTTTGAGACTTTTTAGAGGGTGCGCGAGGAAAATTAGATCTGGAAATTTCCTTTTTTGCCTGGAAATGTCAGGGAATTGTCAGGGAAATTCATTTTGAAAAAGGTGTACGAACCCTGCTTAAGCAATGAGGGTCACATTAGGGGATGCATGAAATCTGTATTATGGGGATGGATTCCTTATTAATTTTATGATATTTAGTCACTGAGCCCTTAAAATATTGTGCAGTAAGAACTTTGATTTTTAAATACTCAGTTGTTGGTTTTTCAAAGCCCAAATGCTCATCCAAATCTTGAATTTCAAATACAACATTGAAAAAGCCAGTGGTATAAGTATACGTGGCATTATGCAAAAGCAGTCACATAATCAGTCATTAAAAATCACAATTTGTAGAACTTCAAAAAACATACTCTTCAATTTGGATATTCCATAATGTTTTCAGATGCTGATCGTGCCAGAAAGCATGGGTTGGATGAGTTCGTCCTTGCCAACCCTTGTAAATTTGACCATGCTGACCTGTTCAAGTTGCTACAGAGCAGAACACTTGATTACAGGCTCAGTGATGCCTATACTTGTCTGGTAAGTGTATATTCTGAAATAAGGAACAGGGGTCTATTTGTCCAAACTCCGTAAAGTTACGGATTCGTAAGTCAATTGTTCTTTCTCAAACGGAGATTGTGCATTTCTCAAAAGTTCGTAGATTTACGAGATTTTGTGGAATTTATGTTAGTTTACGATATTCATGACATCATAGCCTTCTTTTTCCGTATTTTTATGGAACTGTTTACGGAAGAATTACGATACAGAGATACAATTTGAAAACTCCACATCTTTCTCGTAACTTTTTCAATTCTATGGAAATAGTAACTTTACGGATCTGCAACTTTACGGAGTTTGGAAAAATAGACCCCAGGTCCATGTATAGGGGTTGAGTACTGTTTGATTTTGGATATAGGGACCAAGAAGATGCATATCGTTCCAGAGGGATAAACTTTGAATCCAAAACCGACCTTAAATCTTATACCCAATTGATTGAAATTAAAATTGAAGCTTCATTTGTTGTAAAAACATCTGTGTACTAACTAAACCCTGTTTTTCTAAATGTCAGAAGTAGACAAATTCATTGGTTTTTTGCCCATACCTTCCCTGATACTAAAGCCCACTTCCATTTGATGCGGATTGAATGAAATTCGAATTTTCACTTTTCTGTTTAGGGTTGGTTCAGTCCAGGACAGGTATTTGTACTGGATGAGTATTGTGCCAGATACGGAGTGAGGGGTTGCCACCGCCATCTATGTTATCTGAGTGATCTACTTGATAGGGCGGAGCAGGGCATCATGATTGACCCCACCCTCATACACTACAGCTATGCATTCTGTGCGTCACATGTACATGGAAACAAGTATGTACATATATGGTGGTTTGATATATGTAAACGCTATGAATGATTGTATGTGGAACACTGGAACATCCTTGGTTGCTAAAATGTGTTCCACTTAGGATGTGTTCCACTTAGGAGGTGTTCTGCATATGAGGTCTTGCAGTTACTGAGTGTGATTTACACTAAAGGGGTAACAAGGCCTGTAGAGAGAAATTTCGAAATATTTTACTTTTTCTGAACTCGCAGGGCAACATTTGGCTGTACATCTTCTTAGACATACCTATTTTCTTAAAATGTATGCAAAACTATCAATTTCAGCATTAAGAAGTGCAAATTCAGTTCAAAGCTTCTATAGAGGGAGTCCCACTTATAGATTTTTAAGATTAACCATGTTTCAAGAGGAATATCAACTAAAATAATGTTCATCCAGGGGGTTTCTTTGGAAATAATAAAAATATATGTTAGTCTTGAAGAAATAACCAAACTTAGAGATATTTTGACACTTGTCCATGATCGTTCAATGGCCCCTCTGCAATCATTGTTGCACCTTTAAGTCTTGGTTAAGAGACTGAAAAGGTGTTCCACTTTTAAAGGTGTTCCAATTAGAGAAGTGTTCCACTTCATAAGTGCTATCGCAAATTCATTTAATTTCCTAAATATCAAAAATAGATTCTTCCTTTTTTTCATTTTAATACATTTATGAGTACAGTGCAATGTATTGAATTATGAAATTCAAAACCTAAATTAAGTTATGTAACTAATGTGTGTATTAAATTGTTAAAACTCGTTAAAGATGGTAAACTGCGAAATCTGTAAATATCCTATCATCAGTGTTTATATACATGGCTTCATAATTATTTCAAAATGTTATCTTTGCATTTCAGACCTGATGGTATTGGAACAGTTACAGTTGTTGAAAAACGCTGTTTTGACCAGATTAAAGAAAGACTTTGCATACTTCTTCAAAACCAAATTACCAATTTCAGGTCAGTAACTTAACATCCCACTGTTGTGAAGTTCCTTTAGGGTCACAAAAAGTATATTTCTTTGCTCATTATATTTCACTTCTTTTACTGAGTGGACATTTGTAGGTTGTATCTATTATGTCATTGTGGCTTATTAAGATTTTAGAAAACCATGAAAAATTATAATTTATTTCACCAGTTTTAGAAATTTTTAATCAGGTATACTCTAACAAAGGTATATATATTTAAGAAATATAGACCGAAGAGCAGGGGTAAATTTGTTCCGTACCCCGAACGACCGAAGGGAGTGAGGGGTTTCGAAAGCTTTTGTGCCTAGCCCTAAGGTGTGTATTCGGCAATATTACCCCAGCTCTGAGGTCTATATTACAATTCGAACATGAAAACTCACCAAAATGTTTTGAATTTTCATTATGGTCCGCCATTACTACGACCCGCAGTTATGACGTCACATATTACCAGGGGTATTCTTCACAAATATAACCTGGGTGAAATGTTGACTTTGTTTACAGTTTATATGCTATACATTGGATTGAACATTTACATTTCTGTTTGTTTGTAGATACTGCTTCCCATTTGGCCGGCCTGAGGGTGCCCTGAAAGCCACTGTCTCCCTCCTTGAACGGGTATTTAAATATTCAACCATTTTTCTTGAACCTCCTTTAACAGTCAGCTAAATATGGTGTCATTTGATAAAATGTATGTGATACCATATAATGTATATCTGCTCAATGGAACATGTGGCACCAAATCTTTTAGTGTTGAAATAGTACCAAATCATGTTGTGGTTTAAAATATTGTCGATGCCATGGTCGATAAGTAACTATTTCAGGTGTAGAAATTTTCCATCCAACAGATTTTTGCAAGATTTAGTTATTTGTATTTTTATTAACAAGGGGACATAAATTGTTGGGTGGTGATTTGCCCCGACCCTTTATGTTTGCATCCTCCTAAGCAGGTGTACAGAATCCGTACCTCCTTCCCCCCTGCTATAACCAATTTGGAAGCGTCCAATTAAACTGAGTCATGTGATCTAATTATGCTTATAGCAGGGTGTAAAAAGAAAGAAAATATTCTGGATTTTTAAGCCCTGTGATCGGAGGATGTACGTTTGAATTTATGAAAATTACGTATTGATTAAAAACTTGCAGGTGCTTATGAAAGACATAGTGACGCCAGTGCCACCAGAGGAAGTTCGCCACGTCATGAAGAAATGTCTCGAGAATGCAGCATTGGTCAACTATCAGAGAGTCTCAGAGTACGCCAGAATAGAAGGTATGTACCACTATCTGTAAATAATAAACAAATATCCAACTCTTTAGGGTTATACTTAAAATATGTTGCATGCCTACAAAAATATATTCCATTCTGAAATGTGTCAATTTCTCTACGACCTACACTCCAAATATACTTCCCTTGCACTTAGAATAAAGGACTTAAAGGAAACATATGTTGTATCTTTGAAATGTATTCTTTATAAAAAGTTGGATACTATAAAACTCTTCCTATGCTCTATGAATATACTTGTTTTGGTGTATTTCATGTAAGATTCTACATCTCTGCCAGTTATGAAATTATTTAAGGATCTATGAAGTAATCTTGCATTTCCATACTTTTTGCTTGGGGTGTAAGCTAAGATGTATGTTGTTCACCTTCGTGGTGTCTTTAATTGTATTGGCTTGAAAATAATAAAGAAACATATCTCTTTCTATTTCATCGTATTTTTCAAGATCTGTCATCATGTCTAATCGTAATCAAAAAGCATACCCTGAAATAATTAAATTTAGGCTAGTCTCACTGGGGATGTTTTATCAATTGTTAAATGAAAAATGAAAAGGTGCCTAATGCCCAAGATTATTTCACCACACACTCTCTATTTCCTGTTTAAACTTCATCAAAGGGTAAAAAAGGGTGAATAAAGGGTAAATTTTTTTTCAATTCAATTTCAAGTTTTGCAATTCCAATAGGTGTCCATGAATCATTACAGTGCTACCATGTAATGTTGTGTATCTATGTCTAATCATGGTGCTGTATGCTATACTAAGAGTCAATCACTGCTAAACCTAAAAATGATCAATGAAACACATAGAGGTAATGGGAATCGGAAAATGCCTTAAATAGAAATATTTTGGCTCATTTATAAGCTCTAATGGACCCCTTATTTGGATGTCCATTCTTATAAATTGTTGTATTTCTCACAGATCTGAATGTCATCTGATCCTTTTTCTGCTGCTTCTAATAGGGGGTAGGTAAAGCTGTTGGAACAGCTTCAAAACTGAATAAAGTTCTATATCGTTAATTCCGACCGCTTTTTTAAGTTTTCTCTCAGTAGAATAGAGCTTTGCCTACAACGTTAACTTATGCTGGTTATTGCATGCTAATTCTGTTATGTTACTTAACCATTAATGAAATATTTTTTTGTTTCCACATTTAATACATTAGTGTTGCTAGTAGAGTGAGTGCTCTTCATTAGTAAGCACCTGCTCTCTCTATTGCTCCAAAGAAAATAGGTCTTCATACTTTTACTTTCAATTATGTTTTCACGATTTTTTCAGGTATTATAAGCCTCAGGATAGTTGATTAATGTAATGTAAAAAAGTATAGGAATTATTTTTAGGGGTACATTCTATAAATGGACTATATATATGGTGTATGGTAGATGCTTTGTGTATTCATACTAGTGCAAAGGCAATATCTACCCAGAAAAACTAGGGGAACCTGGGGCAAAACGGCCAAGGTGGGGAAAACAGCCCATCTCGTTTGCTTTTTAGAATAAAATGTATTGGGCTGAAGGAATGGTTCTTGAATTCTGTGTGTACCAGAAAGATAACAAATATAATGCATAAAGATAATGAATATGATAACAAATCATTATTGAAAAAAATGTGATCATCTTGCCCAGGGTTCCCCTATTTGTGTTTTGAGATAGAAGTGGTTGAACAATGCTTTTCATTTTGAATAACTTAAAGGCACTCTATTAAGCTAGAACAGTATAGTACACATTGTTTAAATGAAAAATACAGGAGAATAGCAGGTATGTCACCACATTATCCCACATTATGTGCTTTTTAGAATTTTTTTTTATTTAATCTAAAGGCTAGATTTATTGCTGCAAATAGTTTCAATAGACCAGCTTTGATAAATCATACCTTTGATATATACCTACGAGTAGTACTGTATATTAAATATGCCAGTGATAAAACCACCATATATGGCAACACTGGAAAATACAAATCATTTAATTAAATGAGAATTGGTATACATATAGAATACAACATTATTAATAAGTACTGTCCAGTTACAGAAACTGTTTTTTTATTCTCTATATTATCCATTGATTAAAGTATCATCATTGTCATTTTAAGGCAAAGGACAAGGAGGGGCACGCCAAGGTGAACTTTTCAAAAATATTTCATTCTTAACAAGTTTTGCATATGGCATTATTATAGTTATTAAACATGCTTAGATTTTAATGATTTTTATATTTTTGTTCAAGCTTCTTATGTAGATCGCAGGATATAAATAGTGTATTTAATTTTTACAATATAAATTTTATTGTCAAAATTATAGCATTGAATTCATATTATTTTGAAGATATGGATTATGAAATGTTGATTATTAGATTAGACATATTAAGAAATTCTGTTTAATTTATGTTCTTATATGCATTCAATTATATTTCAATTACTTTTTAAATGTTGTCAGAAAGATAAACTGTTACCTGTATGTAACACACAGCACAACTGACTTGTAAAAATCATCGTCAAATATATCATTGAATATATTTTAATTTGGAATTTTTCCATATTGTGTGGACTTACTAATATATTTAAGATCACTAAATAAAGCAAAAATCTGAAAATTAGGTTTATTTAAAATTATGTTTTAAGTTCTAGGTCTCAATAAACTAGTTACAATGTATATTATATTATCTTATTATAATATGAATCCGGGAGTCTTCAACATTTCTGACATGAAAAGTTCAATTTTATTTTCATTTTAGAGCATTTAGTTCATAGTATAGGTGTACAAAAAAATGTTTAGTCAATACTTTAATGGCTATGTCCCCGGTCCCTTTTCATGTTTCATAGCAAGTACATGTATAGTTATACTGTATATGTTTTATTAGTAGAGATTTATAGTGTAGTTGATAATTTGATTTCATTCCAATATTGAAATAAAGTATATATATTTAGCTACATATCGTGTCACTTAATAATTTTAAAAATGTCTTCACTCATTTGTCTGAAAATTTCAAGTATCAAACATGAAATGGTTTTATAGAATTTTTCAATAACTACAAACTCGAACATACAGATATTAAGCCTATATAACATTGTAGTATTGTACTAGATTTGTATTGTACAAGGTTTGTATTGTACTAGGTTTAAGGGTATGGGGTTGTAAAAGGTTGTAAGGCAATGTCTATTGTATTATGGGATGGTGGCCAATTTTCAGAGTTGTGGAAAACAAAGTTTAATTATTAATTATGTGACAGCTGTAACCCCTTACTCTATGCGAGAATGTAAGAATGTTGTTGCCATTCTCTTGAATTTTCCCGAAAAATCAACAGTTTTCACCAACAAAATCCTCAATATCCCTCCCGAGATATCCAAATTAACTTCACTTCTCACATCTGTTGAAAATTCGACACCAGACCTGAGTGACACATATAAGTCCCTTATTCTCTTAAATTCTATTAGCCAGTCGCATTCATTTTCTGCTTAATATTTGTAGATTCCTACGATGATGGATCCCCGTCAAAACGCTTAGAGGCAATTATCCGACTTGCCGAACTTTGTATCGAAGTATTACAACAAAATGATGAACATCATGCTGAGGTAAAAGCTCTAAGTATTGCACTGTATAGTCTTACATGCTGAATATTTGAACGTGTCTTGTAGCGTAATGCTAATATAATTGCTAAGATTATGTATACTGTTCTATAGGAATCGTGAGAAATTCTAATGGCAAATCTTTCGATATCCAGGGGCAATTTCTCAATTTTTAGGACTTACATCTCGATTTTCTGGTCCGATTTCTAAATTTTGAACAGATCCATATGATTTGTTGGATTAAAAAATTTTCTGACTTTTCCTGAGAATTTGCCCCATTTTGAAGAACCTGTATATAAGTATAGGTGGTGGTGGGTCATTAAGGCTTTAGGGTAATGCTGAATTCCTTGTGGCATTTTTGAAGACTTTCTCTGCTGATTTTAAGTTGTTTTAAGAGTGAATGTTTGACTGAGATGTGTGAGTACATAGTTTCCTAATAGTTAAAATGCCATGAAAATACACTATAGACATACTGGTGTCTTCCTTAATAGTGTAGAAATAAATAAATAAGAAGTTAAATAACATCAGTCTTGGTGTAGCCCAAATGACATTTTAACTAATAGGGTGTTTGGCTGTGATCAGAGTGGGCAAGGTTTCTAATGAAGATTTTTTGTATAACAACCTATTTCGGTTCTTTTTCTCTCTCTCATTGCTATCTATTTAAGGCATGTTTTTCATAAAATCTACATCTTACCTTTATCTGTTCATACTATTTATTTCAAAAAAGCCTTGTATCATTTAAATTATTTTATTCCTCTATTTTATTTCATAAGTTAATCTACATACCTCTAGAAACACACAAATGCATGCTAACAAAGTCTTATGGAAGAGACAATAATAGGAACTTTATCTGTACAACTGAAAATCAGTACTTGGATGTATGGAATTATGGTCCTCAAAGGATAAGTTCTCCCCTTCGTAGTATTGACTTGCCTAATTGAGTTTATTGGTACAAGGAAAGTAGTTGTAACTAGGTGGTTGGAAAAACAAATTGAAGGAAACATAATCCCTTGGGGTCATAATGTTACACATTCATGTACAAGTTCCATTTAAAACATGTCTAGATTAACCTCCAAGAATTGCCATACATGCATTAAAGATTAAACATTAATAAATGTATGGCAGTTCTTGTAATTAACATATGTTTTAACATAATTTGTCCCCAATACTTCCATATAATCCCATATGATAGTACAATATGGTTTATACTGTTCTGTTGATTTAGCATGACCCTATTGTTAAAGTCCTGACATCATCTGTTTGACCTGACATCATTTGTCCAACATGACATCATTAACCTGTCTTCAAAGTTTTTGCCATAGTTTGTCTTTTTTCATAATAATATGGTAATTTAAAATTCCCTAACATCAAGTTCTTTAACATACTAGTAAGCCTACACCCTTAATACAACTATTGTTTTGTATTCATTTGAATTTATTTTGCAAACTGTACAAAAATCACAATTAAGTTACTATGGCAAAACCTTGAAAGACTTTAGCAAGCAACTTATGTACTTCTTTGCCGTAAAGTTCTTTCCTTTCTTATTTATCCACCTTGTGTGTTTCTGGTATAAAGGCGTGTCATTTTTATGTCACCACCACAAGTGGTGACATATCGTTATAGTCTCATACACAAGTGGTGACATATTGTTATAGTCTCCAATTTTTGTGGATGGGGTTTGGCAGTTGGTGTTTGGCAGTCGGCATCTGTAACAAATGGCAGGTGGTGACATTTTGCATGTTAATGCCTTGTTCTGTTTATTGTCACATAGAACTCGTATGAGTTCAGAAACTATGTAAGATCAAAAACTATCATGGGTTAGGCAACCAAGTTGACTTAAGTCTATCTACAATAGTATATTAATTCATCACAAAGAAATATATATTTGTCTTTAGTGTATATTTGGCAGTAACTTTAAGTATATCAAAAAGATGGCAAAAGTAGCGTTATCATCATATAACCTGCATATATATATTTTCCCAATATGTTCCCAGCTCTCATCTTTGAAAACACTGTAGTTCCAATTGCAAACATCTTTGATTTTAGTATCCTTTATATATATAAAATGTTATTTTTTGGTAAAAATGGCAAAGGTGTTGTAAAAATAGCAAAGTAAGCCAGTCATTGTCCTCTGAAACATATTTTAAAACGTACCCCCCCCCCCATCTTTGAAAGCTGGTTTGGTATTTTCCCTAATTTCTAAAGACTTGGTTTGACCTCTAAGCTAAACCTATGATTTCAGTTTTCTTTTTTCATTTGTTACTGTTGATAACAGAGTATTGGGTAAAATAATGTATGCATTATATAAAAATTGCAGTGTTTTCAAAAGTAAGTTGTATTTAAAATGCATGTGTTAAGTTAGTAAATGCAATCCTTAAAATTAATTATTTATTCTGATTTATTCATTTGTTTGTTTTTTCTTATTATTCTGCATATTTATTCTGCAGTCATATTGGGTTAACATTTTATAAAATTTTGAAAAATGACTTAAATTTGTCATTCCATAATTTCTTTGGTATTTTCAAACATGAGTATGTTTTAAATAGAGAGAATGTGATATAGACAGGAAATTGTACTATACTGTTAAAAACATTGTGTACTTTTGCTTACACTTGTATACTGCACTTCAACCAAAATATTTGATTGGATTCATCAAAAAAATCTTGGATTGCATTTCTAACTGTACCAATCGTTGTAACTGAATTAATCATATTTGATGTACTTCCTTTTCCAACAATCTCATTGGCTACGTATCAGGCATTTTTGGCGGTGAGTTTGGTTTGAAATCATCCAATTTTTAACATGTTTTACAATTTTGGCTTTAAATATGAATTTCATTGGTGATTGGGTTATGGTCTTCAATTACATTGTATTAGCTTTTTTAAGCGAAGATTCTTTGTTTTTCCATCTATAAATGATAAGACATCAATTCTTAAATATATTGTATATGTTTTGTTTAAGTGCGTCACACGACCATCTGTAAAAGTGTTTTGTAATCCTTTGTCTCAACCATGTATATAACTGTACTTTATGATTATGTACTATTTCTTGGTATTTTTCTCTTATTGCCATATTTGGCTTGCCTGACCATATTTGGGCGTGTTGTGACTGTTATGGTGTGTGGGATTTTAGAAAGCGAAGGTATTTTTATCATTATTATTACATTATATTACATTTTGGATGTCATTTTTGTGAATGGCTTTTCACATGATCTTAGGCTAATAGCTTCACATTATCTAATTACATGTAGTAGAAAAATGTTTGAGAAAATGTGACATATAGAACATGTATATGTAGATCCATATTTGAAATGATCACACACATTTTCCCAGGCATTTTAGGATGCACAGTCTGCTTCAGTAAAATCGACATTTCTCATTTTTGTTGAATTTACTGAGGCAGTTTTTTACCTTAGAGCACAGAGCTACTGCAATATGTCTATTTTACTGGATTTGTTTACCCTTGGTCATTAAGGAGAACAGAATAACTTTAAGATGTTTGTAGCTCTGTGCATCATTTGGTGTGATTTTTACTCAAGGTTGAAGATTGTGTCACCCGCTGCGTACCATATGGGTTTTTAAAAGAACCGTCCAAGTAAGATTGGGAAAAGGTTTTAGAAAATAAAAGTGATTCTGGGAGACCCAATAATATGGGTCACAAGAATGGCAATGCATATATTGATAGAATTCTGGCTGCCTCTGTGGTACCTCCCATATCCTGAAATTGGTGTGGTTGGTGGCACAAAGTTTAAACTATACTTTTACTAACATTTTAAGGGTTTCTTCTATTTTATATATTATCTGCATCAAGTCTCTGTGGACTCCTTTCCCCTATCACCTTCTGCATGGAGAATGGGGGAGAGGGGGTGGAGACAATAGATTATTGCCTTAAAGCACTTAGACCTGATTGGCTGGAACTATCCTCCAGTTTTGATTGGTCAGTCAGAGGTACACAACCAATATAATTCGACGCTGTTAGGCATCGAAAAAATTCGGCACTGTTCCTGCACCGTTTCGACACCGTTCCGGCACCGAAACCTTCCGACACCAAAATTTACTACCAGACTAGTCAGTCCATTTGGTGCCGAGACGGCACTGAAATTTGGCACCGAAACGGCGTCAGCATTTTGGGGGTGTATACATTTCACTGTACAGTCTACCTCTGTAGAAACAACTGTTGACCTATTTGGCATACTCTCTACTGCAAACTCTCCCAGTCATCAATGAAATCTTTGGAATATCAGAGGTATTCAACCAGTCTACTTCTACAGAGGTCAACAGTTATGTACTGTAAAGTCTCTATATTATGGATAATGGTCAGTACTAGGTGCTTTAGGACATTTTTATTATTACATTGAATGCTGGTATGTATTTACATTATTGCTATGATATTATTATATGTGTTGTACCTTTTAACAAATTAATGAAAAGCAAGCACTTTTAATTGGTAGTAAAGGGGCATCATATTAGATACTAGTATTTTATTATGTCCCAAACTTAATGTTGGGATATATATGGCAAAACAAGTATATGTTATTATGTCCATGTGTTTCTATGATTTTTCAAAAATTTTTGAGAATCCTTTGTATTGTGTTTAAATTTCTGAAGCATCAAGCATGAAAACTGTGAATGGTTTGAAATTTTATTTTATGAACTGCAACATACTATTCTGATCTTGTTCATCTTTAAGGTAGACAATTTGATCAAATTATCTCTGGAGTTGAAAAAAAGATCTGTTTTTGCATATCTATTTCTGTTGAACTTGTTGTTTACTATTATTCAAAACCCGATTGACATTTTTTTCGCTCAATAGGTTTAGAAATTTTTGCAATAGGCTGGGAACAATTTACACATACATTTTTGGATCTTATGCACTTAGGTTATAGGGCATGTTCACCTTAGTTTGGAGACATTTTGCACAATGGTAATGGAGCATTTTTCACTCATGGGATGGGTCATTTTGCATATCATTTTCGGTCATTTTGAGATATCTGGTTGGGAGACATTTTGTGCTGAAGCCTTGGTGCAGTTTGAGGACATTTTGCACAGAAGCATTGGAGCATTTTTCACTTATGGTGCAGGTCATTTTGCATATTAGTCAGGGGCAATTTAAATATGGTTGGAGCCATTTTATGCAAAAGCTTTTTCGGGCATTTTTCACATACTGTGTGGTTTGGACATTTTTAACATAAGTAAAGGCACTTTAATGACATTTAACCATTAGCTGCCTTATGGAGGAAATATGTTTATAAGTAGATCTACATTGATGTTTAGAGCGTGTCTGTAGAATCTTTTTGAGATGATCATTTTAAGTAAATAATGCATAAATTCTACTTAGTAAATTATTGCTTATATTTAATAAAACTAATACTTCATGTTGTACATATTTCTTTATATTATTATCATTAGCATGTTCTGAATGACAACTCATTTGTAGGAAACCTTTTTTGCACATATTAAAAAAATATGGTATTAAATACATTGACAAAATATTAGTATATAGCACCATTAACACATGTATCACACACAAAACTATATTCATATGAACTAGTACTTTTTCAGATTTTCAGATCAACATAACATTTTACACCAAGTTCCATTTTTGGTGCAATTACTTCACCCATTTCATTGGTTATTTCAAAAATGGACCTCTGGTTCATATCGTTATTTCTGAATTTCCTATCGAGGTTTAAGAATTCAAGCATTTTAACTCATGATCAATAATAAATGATAAAAGAGAACGTGCACAAGTCGCAGTTCTAAACACAAGACTGCAAGCCGAGATTTTGGGCTCGTATACTCTGTAACTTGTTGCATTGTGTCGACGTGTTTAAATTCTTTACTTATATATGTTACAGTCATTTGCATGGTTCAGTGAACTGCTAGTGGAGCACGCAGAAATCTTTTGGTCTTTATTCGCTGTTGATATGGATGCCGTTTTGGAGATGCAACCACCAGATACATGGGATAGTTTCCCACTTTTCCAAATGCTGAATGATTACTTAAGAAACGATGGTAAGTTTGTGACCCTATTACTCTGGGCTGCGCATGTGGATAGTTTGTCAACCCAAGGGGGCTACCCTCAGTTACCTACTGCAACTAGAGTGTAAAGAGGGGGGTTTTAAAGGGGAGGAGGAATGGGGGGGTCACTAGGGCATGATGAGTCTAATCTATTAATGTGTATCCATTTAAGGAATACCCTTTTCAAATGGCTCAAGAAGGGCTCCACCTATACTCTTTATATTAGAAATAATTCTTTGATCTAACCTATCCAATCATAAAATCTTGAATGTATTACAGGAAAGGGGGTGTCTAAGAATGAACTCTGCAAACGTCAGCATCAAAGACAACATTTTAAGAAAATTAATCATGTTTACATTTTAGATAACCTTCGAGATGGGAAATTCCATATGCATCTACGGGATGTATTTGCTCCCCAAGTTGTGAGATACGTTGACCTTATGGAATCCAGTATTGCACAGTCCATACACAAGGGCTTTGAGAAAGAACGCTGGGAACCCCAAGGGTCAGTATAAACCTACTAAATTTCTCTAATTTATTTTACTGACTGCCACCTGTTATAAAACAAACATCAATGAATTTCTGTAAATCTTTTGAAATCCTCTCTAACTTCCTTTATCCACTTGAGATCTTTTGTTTCATTTTTTGCGTTTCTATTGAATTGTAAAGGATGAATTAAAAATGTGTTGAATGAAATATTTTGAAAATATGAATGACTAGAATGATATGTTTATGTACAGTTGTAGATGTAAATATAGCACTGAGCACCCCATGTTAAATATTAGTAATTCCCCAACTCGTCTTAAATGTATATGGATCCACGCTTGTATTTCAATTTAATGAAATCTACTCACTCGAAGTGTATTACTAGTATATTCTAAGTGGCTTTGATTTTGATTTATATAACAAATTACTGACATTTTGTGAAACTTTTAGAAGTCTTTTTTTGAAATAACCAAAAAATACAGAGTGGATCTTATACAATTATCTGTACTGAAAAACTGTACATAAAATTCTGAAAATCTTAATATTGTAGTAATTTTGAGAATGAACATGACTGTATTACCAGCCATCTAGGCTACTCAGATAGAATTTTGGTGTTGTTACTCTGGAGATTTTGCAATCTCACTTATAACTTATGTACTTGTAACTTATAAAGTTACTTATAACTATAATGGATATTGAAGCGATTTTTATGTCACCACCATAAGTGATGACATATTGTTATAGATGTCTCCAACCTTTTTGTGGATGGTGTTCGGCGTCTGTAACAAATGATGTCTGTAACAAATGGCAGGTGGTGACATTTTGCATGTTTATGCCTTGTCTAGTTCTTATGTTTATGCCTAAGCAGTTTATTATAGTATAAGTAACTATAAGTTACTATATGTGAGCTTGCAAATCTTCATCATTGTGTTTTAAACACCTAATGAATGGCAATGAATGAATTTTACCTTCACTGTAAATGGCTCTCTCTGCTTCTGTGTATTACAGGCGTGGGTAAGGTCTTTCTTTTAAACTTGGACCATCATTCAGTTCAACTTGTAGCTTTTTACTCTGTTATGTTTAATAGAGGATGTTGGTGCCAGGGGTCATTTCTCAAGTTTGTTTGCCATTTGTAACTTCAATGATTGACATTTGTTATTTTGTACACCATTGGTTTCCTAGCAAGGTTCATAGACTCCCTAATCAACATAAAATAGTCTCCATTAAAATACCCTTTAATCTATATGTAGCGCTCTTCATCTTACTTGAAATACTCTCTAACCTAGTATAGAATATTTTTAACTCTTTATAGGATACTCCATGTACTCTCTTGACAATGTAGAAGACTCTAATTTAGGCAGAATGTCTCTACTCTCTAATCTATGTAAACTGAAATACTCAACAAATAATTTTTTTAATCTACAAAGAAGACCATCTTCTCTATAAAATTATATCTAAACTGTTTTGTTTGAGAAATGGCACCCTGTTAATTAAGCTATATATAGCCCTTGTTTAATATAATCTAACAATCATATATACTTGAATTAGTTAAATGCTCTGTCTTATCAATTTTATTTATTTACCTTATTTAAAGAGGTACTTTCTGTTTAATATCTGTTTCAAAATTATTCTTTCTAAACTTTAATCATACGTTTATAGCCAACCCATGAGAAAAGTATGAAATGATTCTATTGAACAAAAATCCAAATTCTCAAAGTCATTTTTTTGATTTCAAAATCTAAGTGGTTATATAAACCATACATTCATCTACAATAGTGATTAGGATATCTTCATTTTGCTCATAGCTACTAAAAATAAAGATTAAAGATAGTGCCACTTTAATGCATAAATGTAGGAATGGTTTTAGTGTATTAAGAGGCCAACTATTGCATGATCATTTATATTCTGTCATATCCTTCATTGGTGTCCAAGTATTTTGTGTTATGATCATTCTTATGATAAAAGGTGTGCCCTGTATATATATGTTTCATCTGTAGAGAAATACACAAGCTCGTGTTTTGGATATATTTGCCAAAACCTAGTCTAGCTACAAGCCCTTGCACACTCGTGTAAAGTGTTTAATCAAATAGAGGGGGTCACAGAGGCTTGTAGCTAGACTAGCCAAAACCCTGAAAATCTATTGCTGTAAATCTCCCAGTCTACAATTCCCAGGCTCAAGGGGATTATTTTTGGCTTTTTTCTAGACAATAAAACATAAATCTTTCAGAATATGATACCCCATGGAGTATAGAATCAGCTATGTGGTGGTATGTTTTGGCCGGGGTTTATGGGGGGATGGGGGGCTTCTATATGTGTATCTCGGGAAGGTCCTGTAACAATGGAAATTCCATAATAGAGATCTTTCCGGATAGATACCCTTGACTTATCATTTATTACAAAAATTCCACATTTTATTTTATTACTACATACAGACATAGGTATGAATAATGAGCTGTGTGAAGTGTCGTGAATTTATTTGTAGATGTGAATAGTTCAGTACTAATTCAACACAAGCTCACAGTATTTCTACTTTCAAATACATGTCTGGCATTCACAAACTTTTGTTCCACTCAAAATGCAATTTCACACTGCAGTGTAGGCCTAATATAATGTTCACTTTCACATATTTCTCAATGTATTTTTGACACAATTTTTGTTTGTATACTTTACTTCTGTACTTTCCTTCATTTACTCTTGAATCAACTTTTGAGCAGATTTTTAGAATTACAAGAATGATCATTAATTATTTTCGGGGGTCTATCAGAAGTATAATCTAAATCCCTTGTTTTGATTGTTTTGTTTGGTTTGCAAAATCCTACCTAGGCTTATATAATTTACCAAAACTTCTGATCAATTGTTTTTAGGTCAAATGTTTTCTGTCCTATAACAATTTTCAGATAAATGAAAATGGCCATTCATCTGAGCCAATTCCTCATATTCACTTTATGAAGGTCTATGTCGATGACATTTATCCCCCCTCTTTCCTTGCTTCATTATTGAGAAATCAGCTTTTTTGATCAAGTTTTTTTCTGAATGATGCCATTTAGGCTTTACTTCATGGCTCTTTATTTAGCCCGATGGACCCCTTTATTTTTTTGTTATGTCACCTCCACAAGTAGAGACATATTGTTATTGTCTCCAACTTTTTTATGGATATTGTTCGGTGTTTGACAGTTGGCATCTGTAACAAATGGCAGGTAGTGACATTTTGCATGTTAATGCCTTGTCTTTTTTATCGCACTTTGAAAAAGTGCTATATTGTCGTCGTCTTGTGCTGTTGGGCGGGTGTGCGTGCGGGCGGGCGGGACATAAACCAAATCTTGTCATCAAATTTCCAGGATAACTGCTTACCTGTTCAACTTGAAATTTTTACAGATGCAAGAGCAGACTAGTACCAAGATCTGATTAGGTTAAGGGCATGCTGGGTAAACTACGTGGCGGCCATTTTGAATTTTTCAACAAATCTTGTCATCAAAATATCAGGAAAACCACTTATCCGTTCAACTTGAAATTTTTACAGATGCAAGAGCAGACTATTGCCAAGATCTGATTAGGTTTTGGGTATGCTGGCTGAATTACATGGTGGCCATTTTGAATTTTTCAATTTGGCGGCCATTTTGAATTTTTCAACTTGCTCCAAATTGACCAAATTTTTTTTAAAAAAACATCTACAAGTTCTCAGAAGTTCATATCTGACCTTAGATTTCAGATTTGACCTTTCGTTCACCTTCAGTGACCTTGAAAAGGTCAAAAAAGTTGATTTTCTAAATTGATATTTTGGATTTCAATTTAGGTCAGCTTAATTACAAAACACCTACTGAGGTCTGAAAAAGTTAAATTTTCAAGGTCGAAGGTCAAGGTCATTAAACTAGGTCACAAATGATGTTATCCAAGTTTCTCAAAGTTTGAGACTACAAATCAATTCCTGTCATCAAAATTCCAAGAAAACCGCTAACCTGTTCAACTTGAAATTTTTACACATGCAATAGTAGACTAGTGCCAAGATCTGATTAGGTTAAGGGCATGCTGGGTAAACTACGTGGCGGCCATTTTGAATTTTTCAACAAATCTTGTCATCAAAATTCCAGGAAAACCACTTATCCGTTCAACTTGAAATTTTTACAGATGCAAGAGCAGACTATTGCCAAGATCTGATTAGGTTTTGGGTATGCTGGCTGAATTACATGGTGGCCATTTTGAATTTTTCAATTTGGCGGCCATTTTGAATTTTTCAACTTGCTCCAAATTGACCAAATTTTTTTTTTAAAAACATCTACAAGTTCTCAGAAGTTCAAATCTGACCTTAGATTTCAGATTTGACCTTTTGTTGACCTTCAGTGACCTTGAAAAGGTCAAAAAGTTGATTTTCTAAATTGATATTTTGGATTTCAATTTAGGTCAGCTTAATTACAAAACACCTACTGAGGTCTGAAAAAGTTAAATTTTTAAGGTCGAAGGTCATCAAATTAGGTCACAAACAATGTTATCTAAATTTTCCCAAAGTTCAAGACTACAAATAAATTCTTGTCATCAAAATTGCAGGAAAACCGCTAACCTTGTCAACTTGAAATGTTTACAGATGCAAGAGCAGACTAGTGCCAAGGTCTGATTAGGTTTTGGCCATGCTGGGTAAATTGCATGGTGGCCAGTTTGCTCTTCAAAGTGCGATATTTATCACTGTGTGTCTTGTTTATTGTTATAATTGTTACGCATGGCAATTCATCACTCGTTTAGATGTGCTATATTCTCTCTAGATTGTGCTTCTGTTGACTAGTGAACTTAACACAACTCAATCGTGTGCATCCATATTTAACACTGATTAGTAATGAACACATTTATGTGGACAAAAAACCTGGAATCTTGTTTTTCTTCTATTTTATTAAACAGAATGCATGAAATACTTAAAGAATTTTTGAACCTATGGTTCTCTATACAAGTGAAAAGTTGTTTGATGTAGTACTCCCTATTAAAGTTACTCAGGTTTTTCAGTGAAAGTTTGAAATTGAAACCAGTGCATATTGATGCATTCCCATATAAACATGAGCAATAACCCAAAATTGGACACTTCTCGGTCAATCTGATGTGAATTTGAATACTCAAAATATAAAAAATGGACTCTCTGTACTCTTAGGTCAGGATGTGCCACATCAGAAGACATGCTATGGAAATTAGATGCCCTCCAGTCATTCATCCGTGACCTCCACTGGCCCGATGAGGTGTTTGCTGAGCATCTTGATCACAGATTAAAACTCATGGCATCCGATATGATTGAAGCTGCAGCCAAAAGGTATGTATGTTCCTGTAGACACAATGCATAATTGTTACTATGCTTGTACAGTATAACAAGAATTGAAAGTCTTTAACAATGGATTAGACCCCATCCACCATAATAAAGCTTTCAGGATATTAAATGAATGACACACATCGACCCATTTTCAATTTTAAAGTAGCCCTTTACATAAACCCCTCAAATGAATTTACTTTTTAATATCTAGAAATGACATCCATTGTTGATTTCCTCACCCCTGAAGATGAATATTTTTGAATCAAATGAAAATGTCAACATATCATTGAGACACATTGCCTCATATTGTTTAAATAATTAAAAATCCCTATATTAATGTTTGAGTATTCATTATCAAGTGGTGACTTATTCTTATAGTCTCAGACTTTTTTTTGGACAGTGTTCGGTGGTTCGTGTTTGGTGGTTGGCATTCAGCAGTCGGTGTCTAACAAATGCCAGGTGGTGACATTTTGCATGTTTATGCTTTTTCTGATATTTTGTTTTTTCATTTGTATTTAAGGACGCTGAAATCATTTGAAGCATTGCTAAAGAGGGGAGGAAAGGGTACAGACTACGTCATTCCAACTGAAGTTGCCGTCATGGTTAACGTCATCATAGACTTCAAAAATCAGGTAATTATACATCCATTGAAAAATTTTCACAAATATCTGAAATTTTATTCACAAATATCAATGATTTATCATTAAATCTATAATTAATATTAAAATAAAATTGTAAAAAGCATGTGCTTGCTCATTTTTGAATTGATTTTAGCCAAATTTTTGATTTTCATAGTTTGTGATTTTGTAAAATGGAATGCATATTTGAGAAAAATTATGACTTGTAACATGCTACATTGGAATTATTGTATGTCGTCATGTTTGCTTTTTGCCTTCCTGTGCGCAGTATGCATTTAATCCCATCTTCAGCGTAGGTCATATTTTAAAAACTCTGTCAATTACTGCAATGTGGCACAAAACGGCATCTGAACTGCTCATTATTCTTATGTGCCACAATGTTTTTTGCGATCTTCACGTGTTGCTGTGTGTGCTGTCTCATTCTCGCAATGCAGTCTCTATTTTTGAATTTTATTTACAGTTCTGAGTTTAAGGTTTTTACCTTCTTAAAAGAGTTGAATCTTATAATTTGTTTTATTTTGCTGATAATACATGTATCAGGTACTCAAACCTGTGGATGGAAAACCACTTGTTTCCATATAGACGTTATTCTTGTGTAGTTTTAGTTTCTTATATCACATCTGTACTAACCAGGCTTCATCATATCGTGAGCATTTTAAGCTCTGCACTGAGCCAGTCATACTGCTGAGTTCTCTTTAACACACTGCCGTTGCCTTAGCTATGGTACTGCTAAAAAACTCATTGTATCATGCGATCTGGTTAGTACCCTTTTACATCAAGAGAAACATCTTTCGGGTCATGTTTTCAAATGTGAAATAGAACAAGAAGGAGTGGAATTAGCAAGGAATAAACTATACAAGCTTGGAGTCAACATTTTCCATTGTATAGAAATGACAGACCAGGCAAGGCAATGTGGATGTTCATCAAGGTTTTAGAGAGAATAGGATGAAATAAACAGAGATAAACAGTGTGGGAAATAAGCATTTTTTGTGCCTGGACCATTTTGTCCAGCCACTTTGAAACACTCCAGACAAATTCTTTTTGACTGGTCAAAATTTTGACCAGACAGTTTAAAAACACACTGGATAATTTTTTGTACTTGGTCAATGTAAAATAAAAAAAATATATCTGGAAACAGAAGGGGGGGGGGTATAAATGATTGAAATTCTTAACCATTGAATTTCATATTTTGCATTGTTTCATTTGTAGACAATTTCTTCCTCAGAAGAAGGCCAATTTATATTCTTTTATTTGATGTGTAAAACAAAATTCATTGTCTCATGTCTCAAAAAAATCTATCTGGACAATTTTGACCACACAGTTTGAAACAGTCTGGACAAATTTCTTTTCAGACTCGACATTTGTCCGTTGTCCGGTGCTTATTTCCCACACTGGATAAAGTGAAATCTGATAATTGAAACACATGATCTGAATTACATACACAATCTAATAATATCATATTTCTTTTCTAGATGTTCAACAAAAACCTTTTTACTTGCAGTTGGAATGAATCTTGATATTCACCATTACTTTTGAATTTTCCGATTGGGGTTTATGTTTGTTCTGATTATGACTGACTAAGATTATGAATTTAGATTTTAGAGGTGTACAGCCGCACTCCCACTCCACTATGCTATATCACATTGCTATCCACGCATTACATCGCCAAATTTTATTTTTAATACCTAGAAATGCATGTTATGTTATGTAACAGTTATATTCTATCAATATTTTGAAAACCTCATATTTATGAAAAAGTAATGTAATTTTATTAGCTTGCTAAAATAAAAAGGCCTTTGGTAAGGTTTTATAAAGAAAGGATCTCCATGAGGAGTCCTGTATATACATGTGCCAGTAGTTTGTATCCCTCAAAAGCAAAATGCACGAACAATGCATACCTCTGAAGATCTTGTTATACAGTCTTTAACAGGTTTAACAGATTAAAATTCCTTGTCATCCATTGGATTAATAAATAAGGTTCTCTCTCTTGATGATTCAGCTTATATCGTTGACTGTATTACACTTTGCATTATGCTTTTGAGGAAATACTAGATCTAGAAGCAACTCCATTCTGTTAGTGACACTCATTCTCACCGAGTCTATGAGGTAGCTTACACTACCATAACTTTGACCCCACGATGCAATGTTCTACTAACCCTTTACTGTGATTCGTCGATATCGTTTGTAGAATTGTGAAGAATTGCAAGCTTACAGATCTACTAAATTTGTGCACTGAATGTAGATCATGAGAAACATTCTTCTAAGTTCTGATTGGTCAGTATAGTTTCAAGAATTGTGGATCTTATGAACCATAAACCTAAAGTTTCTCTAAGCTCTAATTGGTCAATTCATTTTGTACATTATTTAGTTCTTTGCTCTGATTGGTCAAATTTGTTTACAAAATTAGGGATGATATGGACCATAAGCCCACAGATCTAGAGACTATTCCCTTATTGGTTGGTATAGTTTGTACTTGTACATGCATGAAATTTATAATATGAACCATAAAACTCAAAATTGAAGATCTTTCCTTTGATTGGTCAATGCAACTTTTTAAGTAGTAGATATTTATGGTAGTGTTTAGCCTCCTCTGTGTCTATGGCTGTAGCAACTATACTGTACTGTATAATGTCTAACACTTATACTCAAATCCATGCAAAATGCAATATTTACCATGTTAATTCTTATTACCATGTTAATTCTTATTACCATGTTAATGTTCATAACCCTTTACATATCTTATCCTAAATGATGTTTGGCATTTTCTTATATAAATGTAAAGCTAAACTGAGAGTTGCTGTTGTGTTATGCAAAACCAACAAAACCAACCATCAAAATTAATGAGCAAACATAGTCAAAAGAATCAATTTATTTGACATTTGGCCAGGCTATATTTTCTGAGGGATGTTCATGAGATTGTAATTATAGACTCCACTTGTTACTTTATTTGAGGAGATTTACATGGTAAATGTCTGCATTGGTTGCATTAGTCATATATGAAATATCACATGCTCATGCAAATAGAATGGTCATGCAAAATATATTCTGTGCTAAAGTGAAATGAAAAAGTTTAGTATGCTGGGAATCACAAGGGCTTGAAACAAGACTTTTACAGTTAAACATGTATATCCAGACACCTCTTTGATATAAACACCTCTCAATATGAACACTTTTATCTGTCCAAATTTTGTATTTTCCCATTGACTAACATGTTAAAAAAAATTGAAATATGAATTCCTGCTTATCCCAACACTTTTGGCTGATCCAAATGGTGTTCAGATAAGATTTTTACTTTAGTTGCTTTTCTGAAGTAAATACCGTACACATTGGCAAAATTTTCATGAATTCCTTAACTAATTCAATTAATTGAATCATGACTCAATGTGATATTTCATACATGAGTTGTAATGTAAGTGTCCTAGGTGGTAGTCTAGAGCGGGGGTCGCTATGCTTTCTATACTTGCAGGCCATGAAGTTATGCGCACTGGAGGGAGGCGAAGATATGGTATGCTTTTTATGTTACTTCATTTATATGGTTTGAAGGGCATTTATGATTTTGATCCCAAAGATAATCAAACTCATCATTTGCTATATTATATTTTATCTAAGAAAAAAATTCTCAGTAAAACTGAAAAATCAGAACAACTTTGTGGGAAAGTTTTAATGTAATACAGACATTATCATAGGACAATTATTATAGCAATATGACAAGATTTACTATTTTTTTTTCAATTATTTTGATCATCACGAAATTACAAATAAACATGTATTGTTCCGATTATATTCCGATGTTTTAAATACGAGTACAATTGATTGTATATTCACTGTTATTCAGTATACTTTACATGGGGTTTGTGGTCCGTGCATGCTGCATATTTGTAATAGATAGCGCTATCACTAGTTTATTCCAAATAAAGTTGTGTAGAGGCTACAAAATAACATTTATTGAATACCCATAATGCAACAGCTAGCTCCTAGCAGACGTCACTAAGCAGAAGTCACTAATTCCTGGGGTTTGATCAATTTTAATTTCAGGCTATTTTTTTAACAATTTAAGGTCCTGTTGTAGACAAGTCATCAACCTTTTAAGACTATTTTTCAAGATATTTATAAGTGTTTTATTAAAAATGAATTTACTTTGTGGATACTGACTCACAGCTGAATTTTATACCATGGATATAATTTTAAAAGATATAGTAAAAGTTTTAAATAAGATTGAACAAATCATAATTGAATGTGTTATTTTTGAGCACAGCATGAATATCACACTAAGAATGACGAGTTCCTGGAGAACATTCAAAAGGAGATGCAAAAAAGTTTAATTGAAAAAGTAAGTATTACTCGCAATTTCTCAAAGTTTACACATTCCATTACATTAGTTTTGTTTCACAAATTACTTTAAATAATGCAAAGAATTTCCTATCCATTATTGTCTACTTCCACCATCAAACAATTTTAACCATTTTCCCATTTTCAGCATAAAATTCTAATTAATTGCTTTAACTGAAAAGATATCTCTTAGAGCCATAACCTTTCTCATATTCAAATACCATGTTGTGCATCTACAAGCAGAGCATATTGGATACATCTACATTTTTCTCAAAAATGAACTCTATATATGGAAAAATCATAAGTCTTCATTACACATCAGAAATAGCTAAATGAGTTAATTCATGTATTCTTGATGCTTCAGCTCCTAAGTGTGTTAGAAGGAGGTCTGTCAAAACTACAGCGCTATGACGAGGGGTCGTTCTTTTCTTCCATACTTACACTGACAGTAAGCTTTTTATTTGTGAGCTCTAACTGTAAATTATGTATTTGTGACTCTTACTTTTAAGCTCTAACTTGGATTTTCAACTCTAAATTGAACAACAATACTACATTAAGGGGATCGATCACTGTCTTGAGATAAAAGAAATTGTTTAAATAATAAATGTGAATGAAATTTTAAAATGTCATAACTGAAGTATCAGTACACAAAAATATCACTCGATAGTAGAATATAGTTATGAATAAAGATATGACTTCATGCATTTTTTAAGGTGGACATTGTCATATTATTTGTTTTAGAAACCTACTGATGAGCTGGGGAAACAATATGTTGAGTTTATGCGTTATAACTTAGACCAGCTCCGACAAAAGATAAGTGATGAACTCTACACTCTTACAATATTTGAGGTAAACAATAAAGCCATTTTTAATTTAAGGGATTCATTCCTAAAGAGCAGTGTCAGTGCTAGTTGTAGCTTCGACTGTTTTCTCAGGGCATTCTGTAAAGTTAATTTGAGACGAATTTTTGCAATGTTATTTAGACAATGATTTCATGAACAGCTTATTCTATTGATCATATTTAGGTATCCAGTTGAAGACATGGGTTTTATTATTCATGATATATTTTTAATTTGACCTACTTTTGTAGTTTGACCTACTTTTGCAACTTGACCTATTTTTAAAATGAGTACATGTGTGTGAGGAATCACCAAATGTGCCACTGAGTGGTACCAATTTCTTATTATTGGTAGCCTTGTATGGCCATGCATCATTTCCACAAAATTCCTCATAGATATGTCAATTCCTCATAGATTTGTCAATTCCTCATAAGCCTCATAGATTTGTCACTGTGTGGTGTCATCAGAACAACATTACTATGCAAGTGAATTTAATACACCAATTATGTAGAATGTAAATGCTCTGAATATTCCACTATAATGAAGGATTATTCTCTAAATATTACAGGACTGGTACAATGGTCAGATGAAGATGATCTGTGATTGGCTGACCAACAGACTGGATTCCTCACTTCATCCCTACCAGCTCACCTGTCTCTTGAACATAAATAGGGTATGTGTAATTTTATAGGATGTGTGTACTTTTATAAGGTGTGTGTACATTTACTTTAAACTTAAAACTCGTATGCAACTGTAGTTTTCAAAAATGTTGTCCCTCATACTGTGTGATGTTTTGTTTCAGAAACTGTATAGCGACTTTGAGCTGCAAGGTGTCAGTGAATCATTCCTTGACAGCAAAACACATAAAACAGTCACCAGTAGACTTCAGGTATGTCCAATCCCCCACCCCTCATTTGAACAATCCTTTGGTCAGTCAGGCTTTTTCCAGAAATAAATCAGTCATACTTTATCCATTAATAAAGAAGGTCTCACTTTATTTATGGAATAAGCATGCTGCATTTATGGAATAAGTCGATCATGTTGTATTCATTGAATAAGTAAGTCGTGCTTTATTCATGGATTAAGTATGACAATGACATTAAATAGATCCCTAAATAATATTTCCTTCTTCCTCCCCAATTCCTCTATTCGATCTGGTAGCATTTTATTAGTATTCAATGAACTGATACATTGTATAATGTACTTTTACATTTGCTCATATTAATAATTCCGTTTTTATATCATTTTATATCAATCTTATTTTTCTGCTCGTATTACTTTAATATATGATGTTTTAAAAATAAACTTTTAAGAAATCTTTAAACTTAAATGCAGGGCTATAAATGCTAATAATTTCTATGTTTTACTTCATTAGGCAGAAGTCATAGGTTAACATATAAGTTTATATATTTATTTATTTTACTTTGTTTTTTGGGGATGGTTGTATTTATAATGACGTTACTCGCAGCTTTGATTTAGCAATTTGACCTTTGGTCTGCAATCCCATGACCTTTGACCTTTTGCAGGTGGAAGAAGCCACACACTCCGTGCGTCAGTCGGCCATTTTGAAAAAATAATTTCTAAATGGGCTGGCTATTTCATTCCAACATGTAGGTCATTTTGATATGTAAGGCCAGAACAATCAATATGTGTTTGCTAAATGCTACCACCTAGTTATTATCTAATACATTTCTACACCCAGCACATATCTTATATCCTATGAAGTGATAAAGTTAGCATAACACTCTCAGTGTCATAGCCAGGATTTTGAAATAGGCGAGACTAAAAGGATATATATTCAGATAACTTCAAATGACTAATGCCTCTTTCAAATACTATACGGTGTGCATACAGTGGCCGTAGCTTCACAAAATCAATAGAGGAAATCCACATCGTACTGCTTATTCATATGTTTTATGCTGCATATTTCTCTCGATTTTAGGAAGCTACGGTCACTGTATGATTGCTGAGATCAAATGTGACTGAGACATATTCTTACCACTGAACTTCATTTCCATTATTTGTTTGAAAAACTGTAGAAATGAAGGGTTTTCTGTAAAATTTTGCCAAGATAATTGCCTGATTCCTGGCTAAACGCTGATTTATTTGAAATACCCTGTTTACACTAAATCATCAGCGGCAATTAACAGTCTACACATGTGATGCAATATACAGGCCACATGCACAAATGCAGCCTTATTACATAAAATCTGAGAGGGTAATTAATCATTCTCAATATAGGGATACAAATATTCATGATTCGTTTATTTACTTTCTGGTTTGCATTGGTATAATTACATCATCCTGATGTGCAAGCAATAATTAACATTCTTGTAAGCACTATAAGCTAACGCAAAGCTACCATGCATATCTAATAGTAAACAGATATTAATCTGCCTGGCCTTCTGTAGAGATAGAGTTTTGGACTTGGCACCACCATGGACAACTGTATAAGATCATGTGACATCATTGAAGGAATCCTATTGGCTAAATATGACCACTTGCTGTTGGGACTTAATGCTGTAAAGGAATCCTATTGGCTAAATATGACCACTTGCTGTTGGGACTTAATGCTGTAAAGGAATCCCATTGGTTAAATGTGATCACATGACCATAAGTATATTATACAGGGTCTATAAGGGTGTGCCAAGTCTCAAAACTATATTGGTTAATGGAGAACCTGCGATGAGTAGTTGGGCCTGCTTCATCCACATGGTGTTGTTCACATTTCCTCATAAAACATATCTCCTAATTTGAAGACATGACCTTGGGATCATTAACCGAAACTTATAAATAAATACATGACCTGATAAATACCTACAGGACCTATTAAACACCCTATAAGGCCTGATTAATACCTACATGACCTGATAAATACATACAGGACCTATTAAACACCTTTAGGGCCTGATTAATACCTTCATGACCTGTCCCTACAGGACCTATTAAACACCTATAGGGCTGGATTAATACCTACATGACCTGTCCCTACAGGACCTATTAAACACCTATAGGGCTGGATTAATACCTACATGACCTGTCCCTACAGGACCTATTAAACACCTTTAGGGCCTGATTAATACCTACATGACCTGTCCCTACAGGACCTATTAAACACCTATAGGGCTGGATTAATACCTACATGACCTGTCCCTACAGGACCTATTAAACACCTTTAGGGCCTGATTAATACCTACATGACCTGTCCCTACAGGACCTATTAAACACCTATAGGGCCGGATTAATACCTACATGACCTGACCTAGGGGTTATTAAGTTAAGAATTTTTGACCATGGAAAATCTGACAGTTAAAGAACAGTGCACTTTAGGAATTCTCATCTTTACGATGTTTCTGTCAATGACCCAATGGTAACTACAATACATAACTAAAAGCTGAGTACATACGTACATGATAAAAACTGAAAAAAAAACTGATAAAAACCAAAAAGACTTGATGCGTACCTGTAGGGCCTGATTAATACATACACAAGGTACCTACAGGACCTGAAAAATACCTACAGGACCTGAAAAATACCTACTGGACCTAGTACATACCTATGGGACCTGGAAGATACCTACAGGACCTAGTTCATACCTGTAGGACCTGATAAATACTAACAGGGCTTTGTACGAACCTAGAGATTCTTGTTTTATGAAGATGAGAAGTGTTCATCATTAAGGTTAGCAGAATGTGATAATTTTGGCAAACCACAAACCACATGTAAAATCTTTAGTCTACTCTGCCAACCTTAAACACCATGTAGTTGTGATGTGTTAGATTATTGAGTTTGGTACGCTTCTACACATTGGACCTGGTCGCATTAGATATCAGCATGAACATGTAGTGACAGGGAGAATGGTGAAAATGGAGATTTCTGAGGTCAATTTTTGATGTTCTATTCAAATTCATCTTCGGGGAAAGATTGAAGGAATTGGTACTTTATTTTCTGACATGATGCAATGTGGGAGAAAGAATGATGTCAGTTCTTGCGCAAAAGTAAAATGTAGTCTGGTAGTAGAAGTAGTTAGAGTCCCCTTTGGTGCTAGTTTGGTTACATTGCTGAGTTTTTTGTACAGTGTACCATATCTTGCTTCCAATGGTGTCATGATAGATAAAGATTCCTGATTTCTGTTCTGGTATTAAGTAGTTAGTCTTGTATCCTTGTGTATACCTTCCTCTTCATCCAACACACATGTGATAGGGGGACTTGGAGGGAATTAGAGATTTAGAAATATACAAATAAAATGTAAGGTTCAGTATCTTTTTAACAAAGATAACTGAGAGCATCAGAAAACGCCTTTCTACTTTTTGAGCTTATTTTGATTAATGGATAATAAAATATTTTTCCAATTCGAAGATCTTAATTTTTCAATTGGTATGATTTAATACATATTGTAGGCCTTCTACCTCATACCTTTTGCTTCATATTTGGGTTTGGAGGCTCTCTTAATGCTTTATCTAAAACCTGTTTCCCATTTGATTTATACAGGTGGACACAAGTAAATGATGATTTTATTTTGATTCTCTTTTAAACATATTTCATTCAAACTTCTTTATTTTCTAACATTTACATCATGCAGGAATTTGAAAGTGTTCCATATAAAGCAGGGGTGCAGTTTAGTAAGATCAAAGCGGAGTTAAATCTCAAGCCAGAGGATACTGTTAAAGGATTCCTCAGTAAGGCAGCACAAGTGGCACCTAAAGACCCACAGGGTCATTTTTATACATTACGTCCTGACTAGATTGGGCACATACATTTATTGAACATATATTTAATATTTTACAATACTACAAGATGCTTACGTATAACATTTCACTTAATACAATAGTGTCAATTATTGATATTAAATTATACACTTTATAAGTGGTTTCTAAAATTTTGCTTCTAAAAAATTTTAAACACCAGATTTCATTATTTCCAAGAATATGCAGTCGTAGATTAAAATCTGAGTTTTGGGGCAGTTTCACTTTTAACTTCACGTAATTGTAGTGGTGGGCAGTACTAGGATCCAGGATAGGGCACAGTGGGAAAAGTGGTTGTTTGGTTGTGATTTTTGATATTTTTACACAAATGCTATAACACAGTACACACTACATGCAGTAGACAGATGTAGGTGATCTAACTATTTATTTACACAATCCGTAGATCAGTTAGACAGAAGCAGTTTTTACATTTTAAATCAGGCATCATTTAAGCCTCCGTTGTTCATATTTGGGAAGTGCGGGATGGGGTTATCTATATATTACATATAGGGGTATTCTAGGAAGTCTAGGAAGTTCAATGTATGCTACTCTCACAGAGCCACCTCCGCCACCCCTCATCATAGAGACATCTAGCACATTCACCATATTTAGAACTTTGCTTGTATTTACTGGCTGCATGCATTTAGACTTGCATTCTGTTTATTGTATGGACCATCGGGAATTATGGGTCTCACTGCTGTTTATGTACAGTAAAACCTGTACTCGTGTATAGACATCTAATTCATACTGTATGACCAGTTTTTCATTGTGTAAACAAATTTGAAATATAGATACCTTATCACATGTTCACATGAGGCAGGTTTTACTGTAAATCGGTTGTCTAAAACTGCCATTTTCAAAGTGTCATAACTAAATAGAAAAAAAGATTCAAAATAATTTATTTGAGAATATAATTAAATCATGTACTGTAAGTTCATGTTGTTCATTATTCCAAGTAAAAAGTTATCGTACTTTGTTAAGTGGCAATTTTATACGACCCTATGGACACTATTTACAGAAAATATCAAGTCTTAAGAGTGTTTATATAGCGGTTTTAATGTAACTTTATAGCACTGTACTGTGCTAAAATAGATATAGAATCTACATAGATAGAACCAAGGTATACAACTGTTTTCATAAAATAGTAAAGTAGCATATTATACTCTAGTTTGTTATAGCTCTAGATATTATTTACATGTATATGCCCAAGATTGATTGAATCTGCCCTCAAATATGCTCTCCCTTGAATAATGCACCCTCGATTTAAATTCCTGTCCTTGCACTATACTCTAATGTATATTTGTTGTAAAACATCATTGCCCAAAAGTCCAAGACTGTCCCAGTTCTTCTCCCCCATTTTAACCCCCCCCCCCTTTAAAGATCCATTATCTAGTTCCAAACGACCAATCCTATATCTATGTTCAAAATGCAGAGATTGTCTTGGTGCTAGATAAGCTGCCTATACTTTCTTCTAAGATGATGCCTTTAATTTCAAAGATGCTGCCTATACTTTCTAAGATTCTACCTATACTTTCTTATAAAATACTGCCTATAATTTCAGGTGGAGGAAGCTACTAGATCAGTATCAGCCAGTTGTGAGGCCAGTAGTTCAATGGGCAGCAGAACCAGCAAGTTTCTTAGCAATCCAGCCAAAGGTTTTCTCAGTAATGGACTATTAGGCATCGGGGATGACTCCGAATAGCAACTTTCCTGGCAGCTTAGTTAAATATTTTCTTAGTTATGGACTAATCAGACTTGGGAGATTTACTCTACCCAAGCAACCTAGAAAAATATTTTCTGTGTTATGTTATTTAGGCATAGGAGGATTAACTCCTTACAAATGCCCATGGCCAGAAGAGAAGCCAAATGATTTATCGGGTGAAGATGATCACTGTCTCAGCACTAATAGATACATGTACATCTATTAGCCAGTCAATCTCTCTAGTCATATACATTTTCATCAGTGCAGAGGTTTCCTTCTTGTAAAGGAGTTAAGCTTTGCTATGCATCAATAATTTTAAAGATTCTTGGTCTAACTTCAAGCTTCAAGCAAAACCTAGTCATTGGAGTGACCGATTCTTTCTCCAAAGTGTCTCGGAAAAATAAACACTGTTCAGTATAATATAAGCATTGCAATGAATCCCATACCATAAAGTATTAACCAATCCATCATTTAAAGGGAGGTCTATGAGGGTCTTTGAATTTCATATACTTTTTCAAGTATCTTGGTTTTAAAATGTCTAAACGTCTTATATCCTTAAAAGTCATGTTTATGGTGCCCATGCTAAAGATCTGTATTCTGTCTGCATCTTTATACTGTGTAATGTACAGCTGGCTTGATGGAATCTCAAATGGATGAATATGTTATGTAAGTTATAAGTATTTATGTGTCTATCTGTACATTGTATAAACCAGTTCTGTTATACATTAGAATAAGAACATTTCTCTTCTAAATATTTAAATATCAATATTATTTTTAGTTATCAAGTTGCATATTATCATGATAAATGTCATGATTAATTGGCAGCATTATCACAATGATTAATTGGCTATGCATGGCATGATCAATTGGTTGTATATGCTATGATTAATTGGCAGTGTATGTCATGATTAATTGGCAGCATTATCACAATGATTAATTGACTGTACGTGCCATGATTAATTGGCAGTGCATGCCAGGATGAATAATTGGCAGTGCATGCCAGGATGAATAATTGGCTCTGCGTGCCATGATTAATTGGCTGTGTGTGCCACAATTAATTGGCAGTGTATGTCATGATTAATTGGCAGCATTATCACAATGATTAATTGGCTATGCATGTCATGATTAATTGGCAGTGCATGCCATGATTAATTGGCAGTGCATGCCATGATTAATTAGCAGTAAATGCCATGATGAATTGACAGTGTATATAGTAAGTAAATGGCAGCATATAACATATTCAAATACATTTTGAAATTACTATACATGTTTGCCTATTATAATTGAGATATACTGCCAAATAATGAGGCAAAAAATCTATTGTTATGATGTATTATAAAATAAGATTCATCTCGAGTCAGAAGAGCAGGAATGCTAATACAATATATTTTAAACCAATAGTATTGCAATATTCGTGCCAATGAGCGCATATATGGAAGTCCCTATGAGCACATACGCAGCATAAAGAATAAACACGTTTTATATATCAAAAATCCAATCTCATACATTTTGATTGATTGAACACAATTATTTCCATCTATTCTTAAATGTTCATTTAAATTGTTTCAGGGGCACATTATGCGCTCATTGCCATGGTTACAATGTGTAAAGCCAAATATGTGTTGTCACAGCTGAAAATACCATTTTTGTTGTACTCGAACTGATTTATTGTATTGGAGGAATACCCTAAAACACTCTGTTATATGGTTTTCATTACAAATATATGCCACATTTGAGAATTTTTTATTTTATGCAATGTATGTTTAATGTACATTGTAAATTAAGTAATTTAAATTTATTATTTACGAGTACATAATATTTATATATATATGCTGTTATCAGTGAAAAAAGTTTATTCATAACAGTTTTGCACATCAGATGATAGAAGTTATTTATTGATAGTTTTATACTGGAATATGTAGGAGTGAATTCACAAAATATACAGCTTTATTTGTCCAGTGTAGTAGTATAGGCAATTCAGAAGAAAATTGTTCTCGATAATGTTATGTAATTTCTGGAAATGGGGGCAGGTTTCCTTCGTGCTTCTTATATCAGTTCCAAAGAAAGTCAGATAGTGCGATAAAGACCCCAGAGGCACAATATTTAAAAAAAGTGTTTTACACCTATTTTGCTTCTATTGTAACAGTGTATATTCTTCATTTTGGCCAAGGGAAAAGTGCAAAAAACTGTTCAGTTAACATCTGCGTGTATGTTCAGAAGATTTGATACAAGTATTAAAGATGTGTTCGATTTATTGATTTTTTAGAGAAATCTGAAATGACTGATATTAAATTATTTAAAAAATTGTTAGTCCCAGTCTTTGTTCATGTTCTACGTGCTTATTGAATTTAATTCTCTATAAATATTTGTTCCATGACTGTGTTGTGCTCAGTCCAGCATATAGTTCCACTTGGAGATTAATGCTCTATCCTTTTACATGCAACAGATCTACTTCCAAGTTCTTGTTGCTGTGTTAAGACATTATTTTCATGTTCTTTTGAAGTTTTTCAAAATTATTACATCCATGACAAATGTGCAAAAATGCTGTAATGTCTATAAAAGTCCCTACATATACGTATAACAAATAATCGTTCATAATTTTGTATCAAGACTGAAATTAAAGACTATGATCTGTATCTATATAGAACATATATCCAATTACAATTAATGTACATGTACTATCAGACTATTTTTGCTTTTTCAGTTTGGAAACTCTTGGATATGAATCTACAATTTTTATTTTGTTACATTGAAAAAGTTTTTCTTCGCATATTATGAATCTTGCAAATATAATGAGCCATAGGGTCCAAATTAGTGTTCATCAATTATTCTGTTATTATACCCATGCTCAGACTTTTGTCTTATAGCGCTATTTGTGAATAGAATAAATGATAATTAATGAATGATAATATGATTATTTTAGGGACGTAATTTTCCCTCTGTTGAACATTCCATTCATTCAATAAATATTAGGTTTAAGAAAACAATAACAACAAAAACAATAGTGTGAAGAGGGTTGTTCAAAATGTTCTGCACCATTTGTTCTTGATAGACTTTGCTAATATTTGGTCAAGCTAGCTCAGCAACAGTAGCTCATCTCTTTCAAAAAATCCACCTACAAGTAGTGCAGATCTTTTGGGCCAATCCTCATAAATTGTGAAGGAACTGCATCAAGTACATATTAGTCTCAAGTATATGGACTAAGACAAGTTTCACTGTAGGCTTCAAAATATGTATACTCTTTCATCTTTATAGAGGTTGTATCACAAATATTGTACAAATCATTTTCTTATGTAATGATAATGTCAAAAATAATGAAGGCATTAATAAGTCCAATACTGAAATAGGAGTAAGTTATATGTTTCGATGTTTGCATGTGTCTAGGATTTAATTCAACATAGAATATATGTGAAATCTTAGTATTTCAAATACAGGAAAAATCGCAATATACATCATGTCTTATGTTAGAATTTTTTGTGTATGTACTCAACCTAAGTAGCAGGACTGGAAGTTACGCATTTCTACTGTTTTTACACAAAGGATTGGTATCAATATGGTGAACTTTTTGAACACACGTTTCTCTTAAACCAGTCATCAAAAAATTCTGAAAATTTTACACATAATTTGAAAAAAATATACTTTTCTCTATATTGTTTTAGAAAACACATCAGACACTTCTTTTGTTCTTGGTATCATATGTTTGGAATTGAATGAAACATCTATCCGAAACGAAAAATGTTATACATATTCTCAATATATATAAATAATTTTCGCATTAAATAGTTGTCAATCAGTCAACATTGCATAAAGGACCATATTTTTACAGAATGTTTTCAATAATTGGTTTAAGAGAAATACATTGTTGAATTCAGTTCACCGTATCGATACCTATCCTTTGAACAAGTCTGACACATAAATGAGTTTGTTGTTTCATTGATACAATTTGATTCCCAGACAGATGAACCCTAATCCCAAAATTAGTATTGCACAAGGAGCAAAGTTTTGAGCTAGATCTTACTGATCAACCTATATATGACACACCCTTTCATTGGTTAGAAAACTTTTCCCAATCAAGTTTAATCTAATCAGGAATAAAGAAACTGGCTTTGCTGGTAAACTATTTGCCATTCCACACTCAACAGTTCTTGACTTCTCATCTTCAACATACCATTGCAAATATTTAGTCTCGAGTTCCAATCACTTAAAGGGGCAATAAGGACTGTAGAGAGAAAATTATTTTTTATTAAATTATTTTTTCTGAGCTATCAGGTCAATATTTGGCTTAATACCTTCTTTGACATACCTATTTTCATAAAATGTATGTATAAACTATAAATTTCAGCATTAAGAAGTGTAAATTCAATTCAAAGCTTCTATAAAGGGAGTCCCACTTATAGATTTTTAAGATCCACCATGTTTCAAGAGGAATATCAGCTGAAATAATGTTCATCCAGAGGGTTTCTTTGTAGATAATGAAAATATATGTTAGTCTTGATGAAATATCCAAACCTAAATATATTTTGACACTTGTCGATGATCGTTGAATGGCCCCCCTGCACTATTTGTAGCACCTTTAATGGCCTAGTCACATAGCCCGGCCGATGTCCGGCATCGGTAGAGCTCGGTGGATTTTTTTGGTGCCACCGAGCTCTCCTCATCGGAAGCAGAGCTCGGTGACGTGAACGGACTCCGTCCGGACATCTTCAGGCGACCGACCGAACACCGGCCGGTGACCATACGGAGTCTGTCTCAAAATGGTAGTTTTTTCTGTCGATGTGGCAGCAACTACCGGCCGGAGGTCGGCCGGACATCGGAAGGAATACGGCCGGTACCCGAGCAGGTAACAGGACACTGTGCGATCGCCGGCCGGGTTGTTAACGGGCTTTGAACAGTGACCGGCCGATAATCTGTCCCACATCGGCCGGAGCTCGGCCGCTGTCCGTTAAAAAACCTCGTCCTCTGGTTGTCTCAGATGCACGGGACACCGGCCGATACTCGGCCGTGCACGGGCCGACGTGTTTTCCGATGTGGTTACGATGGGGCTGCCATGACATGATGAGGGAGCTCGGTGAGAGCCCGGTGAAATTTAACTCCGAAGTTAAAATTTCACCGAGCTACCACCGATGCGGTTTTAAGCAACAAACGCCACGGATGTCCGGCCTGTGTCCGGCCGGTGTTCGGCCGAGTTCGGTGAAAATTGCATCGCTGGCTCATCGTAACCTCATCGGCCGGGCTATGTGACTAGGCCATTAAGGTGGCGTTTTCACCTAAAACTGACATCATTGGGAAATCTTGGTTGTGATGCAGTAAAATATTGTCAACAAAACTTTACCTTTAAATTCCAAATATTTTGACAAAATAATGATTGAACAAAGTAATAAGAATACAAACATCAAACTGTAATTTGATAGGGAATTGAACATCTCAATAGTGGAACAAAGTGGACTAATTTTTCCAGATTTGGGATATTTTTCATTCACCCATCGCATAGGGGGGTTATACCTAGTGAATGTTGGATAATGCAGATTCAAAATTTTGCGTAAAAAAATTATGGTGATTGTTTTTGATGATTTATGTAAGGCCACCATCGCATACAAATCATATTCACTCTCATATATTTATGATTAATCTCAACCAGGTGGTATTTAGTTCGGGAAAGGACGATTCTCGGTTTGGAGAACAGTCTCCTGGGCTAATAATTTTTTTCGTGAAAAATATAGAAATATTACCCTAATTAAACTATGAATATTCAAAAGAGGACATTTAAATCTACAAGATGTTAAAATAACAAATTGACAAGTCTCTATTTGGGGAAAGAAGTTCATCAGTGTACTGCGCTAATATTTTTTGAGAAAAATCTAGAAATGTTACCCAATTAAATTATGACTATTCAAAAGAAGACATTCAAATCTATATTATGTAAAAAAATCAAATTTGTCCGAAGCAGGGATAATACTCATTTAAATTGATGAACTTGGTTCTCCAAACCGAGAATCATCCTTTTGTAGTTGTAGCACTACTATGCATAAAATGTGACCAGACAGGATTCTCATTCGGAGCTTAGATTTTGACTAATGCAAGTATGTATATTATCAGTACACAATGCTATACTAGATTTAGTAATTGAGAGTGATCTCCCCTGGTTTTTCTCACCAAGGTGGTTAATCCGCATTCACCTTCTTAGCAAAGTGAACTTATTTTAACAATGGTGTACAGGGTGTCAAATAAATATGTTCTCCCCCTAATTTTAAAAGTATGAACTTAGAGCATAAAAGTGCATCTAGTTGAGCTAGTCATTTGAAACTTTTTGGGGTGTTGCTCCATGAACCTAGTTTTGATGTGCCAAGGAACAATTCAGATATCATGCAGATAAAAAAAGTTGTTCAACATTATGTGAATGTTAAAGCTAAGGGGGAGAACATATTTGACACCCTGTAGTTTTCAAATTTTCAAATCTGTGTCACTCAGTAGCTCTTATGCTGGAGAAATCAGCATTAAAATTTGCGATTACCGATTGATGAAAATGTGACATGAGTGATCCAAGTAGTTATATCACTCAATAATCTGTTTCCTTGATATTGTGATGTCAGGGGCATTTTTTTTTAATATTGGGAGTGTTGTTCCGCAACAGCCCTCATTATAATTAATAATATCCAGTGATTAATATTTTTGGAAGAATTTACATGCTATTTTAGCTGATTGTCAACCAAGCAACTTATCTTGGATGCTTATAGACATGAACCAGCTACAACTTCATTTGGTAGGATAACCAAAATCAGACTTGTACTTCAGAAATGATCAAATTCAGGCATCTGGTTCTATATCCTGAAACCATTTCAAGGTCACATCACAAGTGACAAAAATATTTTTCTCGTTTAATAACTGGGTTTTTATTTATTTTTGTATTCACAGATAAATTAGAGTTTAGTCCTCTTCAGCTACAACAATGTTTGTTTTCTGTGATACGTAGACACCATCCAAGAATTTTCTGATATCCTTGTTTTTCACCTTAGTGCATTGTTGGATAAGAGCAGCTGAAATGACAAAAACAAATGAAAATTATTGTTCCATGTTTTTGAACTGGACAAGGCTTTTTTCATAACAGCAGAGAGAGTACTCACCAAATTAATTCATAACCCGATCAATTTAATGCCATGCACTCTTCCTAAATTCTAATCCAGTAGGAAAAAATAAGATTATATATTCTTCAAAACATTTACAGATTTTCTTATTATTTTATAATGGTTGTTTCTTTCAAGTATTTAAGTGACAAAATTTTTTAGTTTTGAGATGCTAGCAAATAGCCCGATGACCAGTACACTATGATGACAGATTCTTACCTGAGTTTGAGACTGCTTCGATATCGTTACCATCCAGAACAAACTCATCCTTCTGGGCTCCTGATGGGACAAATGTCACTCCTGGCAACATGCTGACTTTTCGGGTGAATTTTTCTCCCAGGAAGTTGCGCACTTCAACTACTGTGTTGTTCTCAGTGATGGCGATGTTAATTGGGAAATGGGCATACACGCTTCTCATCTTGTAACGGTAACCCTAAAAAGACCAATAGAATTCTGCGAATGTGGTGATACATCATTTAAGGATGTTCCCTGGACGAAGTTGAAAACGATGAACACCAACCCCTAATTTTTCTTTTCAAAATGTGAAGTACATAGCATAACTAAGTGTTTCTGTGAGTTTAAGAAAAAGTTAAATATTCAAAAGTGTGTTTTGGGGTGAAAACCTGATTTTTAACATGGGTTTCAATGAGAAAGTGCCACGCCCACTTTTGTCAAATATTGACACTTTAGAGGCCTCTTGCTCAGAAAAAAGCACACTAACATATGGTTTTTAAAGTTTTAATATTCTTTGTTGCCCGTGAGAATCCCAGAAAACCATTTTTGAGAAAAAGTTAAATACTATTGAATATTTTCCTATCTGACCAGGGAACATCCTTAAAGGAAATGGCGGTTAGGATTGATGTGGAAATGTAACAATTTTCTGTTTGGGGCGGAGAGGCGATAAATAATGACCACAACAAATTTTTGATATATTTTCTGCACACGTCATCCTCTGATGTGTGATCTAACAGAAGGCCATTTCATTAGAGTTGATGTACTAGTGATCCCTCTCAGATTATCCCTAATGGGCATTGAATTCATATGTTTTTATCATACATCTTTTTAAAGGTTCAAACAGATCAACATTGTGGCTTGTCCTTTTCTGAATATCAAAGGGTGCATACTACTTACTCTAATGCTTGGAAGATCATTTGGTGATAAAAATTCAAGTATTACATGAAAGAAATCTGAGGAAATCAAATTACAAAATTACAGCCTTTTAAATATCTTCACAAGTCATATTAGTCAGAAATTATCGCAAAATTATCCTAAAATTGAGTCAAGCTTACCTTAGTAACTCCAATAATCATGTTTGTTATGTGAGAGCAAACAGTTCTGACTGCAGCCAATTCTTTACGGATTCCAAACCATTTCTCAACAATGATTTTGCTCTTGCCATCCATTCTCATGTCGACATCCAAATGGCGGAAATCACGTCGGAGTGTACCTCTGGGACCAGTTACGGTGACCTTACGAGCCTTAACACTTATTTTCACTGAAAAAGAGTTATATCACCATGTAAATTTCCAAGATTCACGTTACTATGCAAATTTGGTCAACTCACTGCATATACATAATTGAAACATTTATAGAAATCAGTACCTTTTTCTACTTGCAGTGTTCAATTCTCCAACAATTATAAAAAATAAACAAATCAAATGAAATATGAACAATTTGAAGACATGAAATATAATATATATGGGATTATCAATCAATACTCACAATGCAACAAATCAAGTTCTCAAGATTTCCAACGATGTCATTTTCCACAGCTTACTATGGAAGCTGAGACTTATGTTTTCATGTTAAAGACAAGGAAGGACTTACCCCCATCAGGGATTTTCACACTTTGTTTGGCATTGACAACCTTCATATTGGCTGGAAATTAAAACAAAACAATAATAATAAAAACATTTTCACAACATGTGCATTGATTATGTTGGACACAATTAATATCGAATAATTTGACACAAGAAAAGGTTTTCTTGACAATTATTTGTTTGTTGATAGATTTCCATGTTTATTGACAATCTTGGACTTGACTAAAATAAAGGGGAATGACCATGAAATAACAACAGATTCTACTTTATCCTAATGACATGCAACAGAAAGCCGACACAGAATGTAGATCTATTCCACAAAATGCATCATTTATAATCTTTTAACAAAAAGTGCTTTGCTCAGTATATACTACTCTCTTATTCACTCTCAACTCAATTACTGCAATATTATTTGGGGTAACAACTACAAATCTTATCTTAAAAAAATTCACATGATTCAAAAACGATTTGTTCGCATTGTTTTAGGAAAAAAATACCTTGATCATACAGCTCCATTATTCAAAGAACTTAATCTTCTGAATATATATGATATAAATAAGCTGAATACAGCAATTTTCATGTACCAAGTAAAAGATGGTGACCAAATACTAAATTCTCTACTCGATACAAATTTCCAAATAAACTGTGATACACATAGTTATAATACCCGCCAATGTGACAACTTCCATATTGAACATGCGAACAAATTTTCCATAAAACGTAATGGGCCTTCACTATGGAATTCTCTTAAAAATTCCACAAAAATGTCAAAATCTATAATCTCCTTTAAAAAGGCCTACAAATCTGACCTCTTGTCAAGCTACTTATAAAAAATCTGTCTTATTAAACATTTTTATTTACTATCCACGCATTGTATATTACAATAGTCATGGCACATCATTTAAACGCAACGTACATACATGCTTAGTGTATGCATTGTACTATGTTATATCATGTAAATACTTGTATATATGAAACTCATATACCTACTATTTTTTTCAAGGCCTGTCTGCGTCGCTAACATGCTAAATATAAGAGTTAGCTGACGTTTGGGAGTCTGACTTACCTTCTAAAGGTTAGAACCCGAATCTTAATGAAACTATATCACCTTTGTTGCGTCGATGATGATGCATAAACATAGCATTTGATAGAAATTAGCGTAAATGCTTTTCCGACTTTTTCATTTTTCATCAATGTTGACTTCCGGGAAGGCGTTGTAGTTATCACGAAATAACGCATTGACCCTTGAACTTTACTTTGTTGACGTGTCAACCAAGCATGTCTGGTGTGAAAATTAAAAGAATATTAAGCAATGTTCTACATCCGCCAAGCTAAGTGAAGTAGTCAATATTAAAAATTACCAATTTCAAGTGAAGTACGCAACGAACGAAACTGCGTGATCTACACTCCCACTATTGGTCTGAATGAAATGCTACGTAGAAATATGAGCCATCTGCTGTATTAGTCGATTAATAGAGAAAGACCTGTTGGTGATGCTTTATAATTTAGACCAAAACATTGAAGAACAAACGAACCTGTAAATCGTGAAAACAACGAACAAATATTCGGTTTTCACATATGTTCGGTAATTTTTCGTATTGAAACTTCCGGAACTTACAAGGAAATCATTCATTTTCTCGATCCATGATTTACCTCTTGGATGTTGTGGCAAATGCTCCATGGTTGACGGAACAAAGGTGATATGGTTTCATTAAGATTCGGGTTCTAACCTTTAGAAGGTAAGTCAGACTCCCAAACGTCAGCTAACTCTTATATTTAGCATGTTAGCGACGCAGACAGGCCTTGAAAAAAATAGTATACAGGGCTCTCACCAGGAAATATTTAGGGTGTGGTGCTAACATCTTCAGAATAACCGTTCAATCATGATAAATCATATTTATGTTATGTTTTATCCTTTTTACATGCTATTATTGTATATTCAGTCAAGTTTAGACTGTGGAAACAGTCATGATTTGCCAATAGGGTGTGGAGGGAGCTAAATAGAGTGTGGTGCTGCGCCACAGTCTAAAAGCCTGGCGAGAGCCCTGGTATATATACCCTTGTAAACTAGTTAGACTATATATATATATTTTTTTATATTTGCTAGTGATACTTTTTTTTGATACTTGACATTATACTTTTATATGCCATTTGGTGTCAGTATTAGTCATGTATTATTATTGTATATACATTTTTTTTTTTTTTCTAAATAAATAAATAAATAAATAAATATTTCACAAAGTTTCAGTAACTTGTAAATAGAGCCAAATAGACATAGTACTGTGTCAAGTTTAGACGAGGCTGCACCGGCTGTCAGGAGTTGGACTAACACTCTTGTTATGTGGAACATACATTTTATAATGAACGAAACACATAGCAAAATGTAGAAATTTCATCCAATAGTAAGAAACCATAATTTTTTCTGTAAAATAACCATAATATAGGCCATTTCGAGCTCATTTTAAACAGACTCGGTTAACTTTATTCAGCGAAACTCTCAAAACATAATAAGCATACATGACTGCAGTTAATCTGACGTTTTGGAATGAATCGAAAAGATGGATGAGGAGATGTTAAGCGATACTTCGAGGATATTGAATAAATCCGCAAACCTGCAAATATGGCCGACGGAAAAGGAAGTTAACAATGGCGCATGCGCAGAATGAACCACTTGGGCAAGCATTAATTTGCGGCATGGTACCAGTGGCACTGATTTGGCACATAATTCCATATGTTCGAAAATCTTGGACTGAGAGCATATATTTGATTTAACTTATTCATTTAGATTGTTGTGGTAGCATTTAATTAGTTTCATAATATTATTTAACCGGCAATATTTATATAGTGCAAAGGCCTGACGTTGATATACGTCCATGATTTAACAGAACAAATGGGGCCGTTATTGAAGACACGGGCTTTTAACTAGAAGGGTAGGCAACTTCCCATTAATTATTCATACATAAGGATTGCCTTTTGGTTTTCAAAGAATATCTTATTTTGTACTTTTTTATGGATGATTTGAAGAAATAACTCAAAAATAAAAACATGATTATCCACATACATGTTGATAATTTAATAAAAAAATGGAATTAATCATAATAATGGCATTAAAGAAAGTGAACATTCTCCCACAAATTATGTTTTTATTGGAATGTGTTCTTGAATAATTACCCACAATGCAATACTCGAAGGGCACATTTTGATACCTCTTATTCTTATTGGTCTTTTTTGTTTACTTTAACATGAGATTTAACATAATTTAAATTATATTGAAAATTGTTTTTTATTCAAAATAATACTTAAACATGTATATCTAAATAATACTTTTTCAAATATTACCATAAAAAAGGGAAGCATGGCACTGCTCATTTTGAAGTTCTCATGTTTATTACACAGAGTTGCATACCCTTCTAATTGAAAGCCCATGTTGAAGATTAGATGCAAAAGCTCTAAAAGATCTTGATTCCATGTTTATGGCGCAATTCGGCAATACTAGTATATGATATATCACAAACATATTTTAGAAAAAGAGACCATCACCTTGCCAAACATTTGTTCAATGGATTGGGAAGAACATGGTAATTCCTGTAATGGTTTATGTTTTGTTATTTTGATATTTTGACAGTACAAGCCTTTGAAGCCATTGAACTTGGGCTCACTTCTAACTCAGTTCAAAGCAATGAAATAAAGCGAGTTTCTATCTTATTTAATTAATATAAATTTGTATTATACAATGCATGTCATGGCATGCTTAGAATAAATTAAGTGACAATGAATGAACAGACACATTTTATGAATTCATTCATTTTATGTAATGTATTTCATTTATTAACACATACAAGGTATGAGAAAAATGCATCAATGTACATTTTTGTTCACCTGTTCTTGTTTGTGCAGTAGGTAGGGAAAATCAAATTTAACGGTTGAATTGGATCTAACGAGTGATCTTTACATAAATATTGTTTCAATTTTGAGGGAGGACTGCATCTATTTGGAGATGTTATTGAAAAAATTGCTGTTACATTGATGCCAATGTTATTTTCTGATACAAAATAAAATATGAAGACATGGGTATATTTCTTTAGGCTATAGTTTCTGGAAAACATCCTTGTTGCATATAGTGTAAGGTTAGGCTAATTAGAAATTAATTGTAGTTAATCCAACATTGTTGACTTGGAGAAGATATTTGGTAAATTAAAGAGGCATCAATTTTGAATGCTTTTTTCTTGAAATATTGGTATTTCCTGGAGTAGGCATTGACCTCTTATCAGATTTTCTAAAAGAAGACAGTGTAAGGATTACTTAGGTCCAAAGCCTTCTCTATATTACGGCTGTAAGCTAGAGACTCGAGAAATGTAAGGATACAAAATAGAATTTATTATATGAATGAATTAGACAGTATATGTTCATCAAAAATGGTGGATAACGTAATACTAAGAGACGATGCTCACAGAATACAGAATTAAAGCCAAGACATTTCTTTAATAATTCTTCGGTTTATTTACAATACATTTATAATATTATCGATACAGTTTATAAGATAGACAAATATTGTACATAAATGATAATGTCACCAGGAATTGTATTTCATAATACATTGAACTACATAAAGATAAAATTGCTTTTTTCAAAGAGTACAACAAATATGTATGTGTGGGACTGGAAAGGTTTGTGTCCTGATTCTCAAATAAAACCTTAAACTAAAAGAATAGCCCTGGTGCGACTTTTTGGCTGTTGCCTGTTCCAGCGACAAAGTTGACTTTTATGACAGCAAATCCCAATACTTAACTCAAAAAAATTTTGGAGAAAATCCCTTTGGATTCAAATATTTTCAAGGGGACTCTCTCTCCCAGGAACATGTTCCAAGAGAAAATGAACAGATATTGTATTTTCTGAAAATTGCTAAATTGCTACCCCAACTGAGATCCACATTTGTAGATGTATAAACAAGAGCTAGAGAAAGGTAAATAGTATAAAATAAAAATAAAATAGCTTCATCTCATGTCATAACATTGTACGTAACAGTGCGACACGTGACATGGTACTGAGAAAGTCCATTTCCAACAGGGTTCTTTTTTACTGAGGCTTGTTTCTCAAAGCTAGGTAGTATGGTAGGTCATGATTTGTGGAATTCAATCATCTCTCTAGATACTACTCTTTAAACATCAAGAGTCAACCGAATTTCACAAATCCTTAATTCTTCAACTTTCTTTATCTGGACTGCCGACTTAATATAAATCCATATGCATTGTCCACAAGTATTCATATCCATAATGCCCAATTTAAGAAGTCTGTATCCATTATTGCTATGACATTTGCTCACTAGATTGACCTTCAGTCAACTGTCCTTGACCTTTATTCACATCACTGACACACACCCATTGGTTTTCTAAAGTCTCTTTCCACAAACTCACCTGAAATCAAATCAGTAATTGATTATTCAATTCAATTTATTTAGAAACATAAAATCATACAATATATTATACATTATATGAAAAAGACCCAAAGGGGGCGTTTTTGGAATATCTAGAGCATACATGATGGTAAAGGTGGTAAAAATGGTAATCTTCTGGTATCGAAGAGTTTTAAAACTAGCATTGTTTGTGTTATTTATTACACTGCATCAGATCATTATTAAAAATTAAGAATTTTCTTTTAGAAAATAACATAATTATGTTCACAAAAATCTGTCTCATAATAATTCTGATAACATTCCGAGAAAGCATTTTAGAAACTAAACTAGGATGAGGAAATAACAGTTATTTACCTTGTTATCTCCCCCTGATACAGCTAAGATATTTCCAGTCACTGACCAACTGACGTGCCATACAACGTCATTGAATTTATGTAAAACTTTTGAGGTCCAATTGTTACTTGTGCCATCATTGCTCCAGATTATGACCCTACAATCCTGGAATATAATCATCTTAATCATTTGCCATGATATACAATGGAGATAAATACACAAAGCGACAACATGGAATTTTCATGCATTTCAGGCTTGGATTATCTGGGTTAATAAAGGACTTTTCATTACCTAAACTAGTTGATCTCCCTTAAGAGTTTTAATTCCATTTCTAGACATACATGCATTATATCAATTTCCTCAATATGTCAAACTAATACTGGGCACTAACCTGAGAACAACTGGCAATGATACTTTTAGGAAGTCCTATAGATGGCGCCCATGCCACATCCCGTACCCAATCACTATGGGCCTCCAATTTCTGTTCCTCAACCCATCTCTCATCCTGCTCTCTGTAACAAGATTTATATATTGGCTAATAAGGTAATGGTACAAATAACAGCTGGATACAGATGACTGGATGATGGCCATATTGTAAGATACATTGTGCATTATACAACTATACGTCTTTTTAATTTTTTTTTATTTTTGTTATAGAGCAGAGACATTATAAGAAATGGTTATAGCTCAAGATTCTGAAATTCAAAAGTTTTGCTTCATCTTATATTTCCTTTCATTAATTATTTGACTTTTAAAATTGTAACTATATAAACATAATGATCATTCATATTTATACAGGTTATTGCTTTCTGTTTTTGCCTTGGCCTGTTAATATCCAGTGCTTGTGATAAAACAAGTACTATTGAGATGCTTTAAAAGGTCACTTAATTGAAAACATTTTAGCAGAGACACCATTATTAAAGTTAAGCTGATGATTCAGTATTTTATCATTTAGCTCTCAATCATCCTTGTTTCGTGAGAGTAATTTAACCAGAGGTTCATTTTCAAATCTCAGAAATTAACCATTTTTCTGATACTGAAACAACTAATACTATTACTGTCACACTGCAGTTACCTCCATATTTTTACAATATTGTCACATCCCCCAGAGACGAATCTTTTGACAACGTTTTGCCGAGAACCTCCTGATTGGTCCAATAGAGCACCTGGATTTATAGCTGGGGCCCAACTCACTGCGTTACAGCCAATCTGGAAAAAGTGGATGTACTAGTATTAAAATTGAAAATATTTTTGTCTCATCAGCCTTACTTCTCTATGCTGATAAAAACTTATATCTTGTGTCATGTATGTTTATGTTTTCATTTTTAAATGGAGAACAAACAGCATCAAATTAAACCACTATATTGTATTCAAATTATGGCAGGATTTTAATTTATAGCATATAATTACTTTTTGTTATTACTTGTCAATACATGTTTTGATTTCAATTAGCAATGATATAACAATAAGGCATAAACATGCAAAATGACATCACCTGCCATTTGTTACAGATGCCGAATGCTGACCGCCAAACACCAATTGCCAAACACCATCCAAAAAGTTGAAGACCATAACAATATGTGGTGGTGACATAAACAAGCTTGACAATTGTTGATAATGACAGCAATGCTTTGTATATATATAACGGGTGACCCCAAAAAATGCAACCCTCAATTTCTTCAATATTTTTCTTAAAAGCTCTTTGCCAGAGGATCCCACATTGAATGAAGTCCTTGTGTGCCAAATCTCAGAGCAATTAACCTCCATTTAAGAAAAATATTGAAGAAATGGAGGGTTGCATTTTTTGGGTCACCCTGTATAATACCGTTTATATCTAGATACTCACAGTGTGTGCATCAGGTATCTTCTTGTAGTCCCAAGCCCCATCACCTGTTGTAGAAATCACTGAGATGCTACCATCAGAGCTACCACAAGCCAGCATCAAACCAAACTCATGAGGGGCCCAGCTGACTGAGTTCACTGGAAAACAGACACACTAAAAGTATTTAGCCTTGCCTCAGTCTGTATTATCTTTTAATTACAATATAGTATCTCAATCTTCAATCATATTCAATGGTGAAGTAAAAGTAAAATAAAAATTATTATTGTTAAAAAGCTTCACTTGTATATAGTCAACATTTAAGCTAATATTTAAGTCATAAAGAGGTTGATACTTTGATTTATACTAGTATTGCAATGTATCAAATGATTTTTTTCTAGTACGAGGGGTGATCCAAAAGTCTTGGACGCCCTGCTCTAATTTTGTTGGTTTTTAAAAAATTACTTTAAACTTTCCAATAATAAAGACCAACAACCTAACTACTTTGTGTGTTAATTTCATGGAGAAATAATATATTTGATATAGTTTTCTAGATAGTTTTTAATATAGGGACCCTGCCACCCGGAACGGTATTCGCACATGACAACTTTCAGCCTTAAATGTTCCCGCCATTTCACTTGTTTCGCAAGTCTTGACCACTATCTTTCTTTGAATGTTGAATGTCAAACCATGTTAGTTTACTTCCTTTGTTATTAGGCAATCAATTAATTGTGTTTTGATTATCATGTCATCTACGACAATTTCTGTATATGTTTAATTCTAAGAAAATGACATCAGACAAGCAACCCTCATTCTGGTATCATTTTTGCTCCAAGATGGCTGCTGAAATTGAGAAAATGAAAGAAATCAAAGTGGAACAAAGTATACTACGAGATATTCTCACTATTGTTGACCTTGAGCAGCTACCATATGCACGATACAGTCTTTATGGCTCTGTGTGATTTTCTTCCTTTTCTCCAAGTTGAAACTTGAAAGAAGGGTTGAAAGAAAATGTTTTTTACCCATTGGATGAGGTTTAGAGTGGCACTCCAGCAGCATTTGTATCACATAAGCAATGGCAGTTTCATAAATGTCTTTTATTCATTGGTAAAGCGTTATGAAAAATGTATTCAAATTCGTGGAAAATATGTTGAAAAGTAGGTCTTATATGTGAAGATGATGATGGCAGATGACACTCATATTGAAAATCGGAAATTCTCTCATATCATGACTGGTGTTAGGTTGTGCACATGCACCTAAAGTATTTGCCATATTATAACAGTTGTGACGTGATTTGCTATATTCAAATACCGTTCTGGGTGGCTGCGACCCGGTATTAAAAACTATTTAGAAAAGTAGCTAAAATATATTATTTTCTGTTGTAACTTATACACAAAGTTGTTAAGATGTTGATCTTTATCAACTGAAAGTTTCATGTAATTATATTAGAAAATAGCAAAGTTAGAGCGGGGCGTCCAAGACTTTTGGATCACCCCTCGTATAATAAACCTTCCAGAAAACAAAGCTATTTTTATTTGAAGATCTTATAATAGCAGATCTGTAACCAGTTTTAAAAAAAATCCAGGAAGGGTTCAAAACTGCTAATTTTTTAAAAAATCACTAGAAAAGTGCTCAAAATGGTGAATTACTGCATGGCGGCCTGAGTAGTCATACTTATTTCATTGTAGTTATACAAACCATCGATTCAATCCTTCTTTTTATTTTGACATCATTTGTCACAAAATGCATTGATGCTTTGGTCATGTGACTCACCTGAGGAATCATGGTTGCTATGCTCGTGTAGTTTGTCCCATTTTCCATTTGTCTCTTTCCAGATGATGACTTTCCTATCGTAGCTACATGAAGCTAAGAGATTCCCGAACATAGGATGTGCCCAGGCTAACTGCCATACCGGACCCTCATGTCTGTAATAAACATGACAGAGATTTTTATGTTTTGATGAACTTAAGATGTGAACAGGTGAACCTTTGTGATGAAGTTAAGGGTTGCTAATAACATATGTACAATAAGAAATGTCTCATCTTAAAACCATTGGGACAAGCCAAAAGTGTTCAAGGGTTTACATCTAGAGGTTTTTCATATGAAAAATATGGCATATTAAAAAATGAAACCAAAAGATTTTCAAACGTAGAGGTGTTCAGATATACAGGTATTACTGAACAGTATATTGCTGTGTCTGCAATGTAAAATATTGAGCTCACTCAGAGTTTTTGTGATCAACACTGGATAATTTGTATGACTTTGCTTCAACTATATTGCCAGTAATTAAGGATGCAATACAACATACAGTGGACTCAAACATAAAGGGTAACACACAAGTTATCTTGTTTCCTATATTTAATAAAAATAGCAGGTGGATTCTGCATCACTGCTGATCAGATTGGACAGCAGTGAAATTAGAATTAATTAATTACTTACCCTGTTAGTGCAGTGACAAATGTCTGCTGTCCATTTCTGACATCAAATATTTTTACGGAGCGATCTGAGGAGCATGTAGCAAGTTTGACACCATAATAGTCCATCTGGGCATCATGCTGAAAATATGCAAGGTCATAATGTGAATCATACCTTACAAAAAATATTGTTTCAAGTCACATTCACAGAACATGCCAGCCTTTTTGGATTTCCTTAATCTAAATGTGTATTGTTATATTTCAAAGTCTCTTTAGAGTAATGTTATACACCTGTACTATGAAAAAGGTTTACAGAAGTAATAGAAGTTCAGAAAGATTTCAATGAGCTTTATCATAAAGTTACTCATGATTACAACTTTCTATGTTATATGTTATACTTACAATCATATCCTCATGACCAGTATCTATAGTGTTCATCACAGACACCTGAAATAGGGAAATATTTTGAGAAATCTGTCTGATTTTTTAAAATTGCAGTAGCATATAGAAGGTTTAGAAGTTTGAGACGAACCTGATAATTATAGTGAGCTAATCTTTCTCTCTATGTGAAATATGTTTAGTATATATGTTTTTCAGTCACTCTAAGTTGAATATTTTAAAAACAAAAAGTGATCGAAAAATATCTAAAATATTTTTTCAGTGGTCCACTTTAGAATCATATTATTTGGAAAATTACATTGGAGATCTATTGACTCAAGTATGAGGCCTTGAAACTGCTGCAAGTCTACATAGTAAACCTAAAACATAAACATTCAAAGGACCAAACTTTTGTAAGTTTTAAAAAGAAGTGTGAAATTAGCCCAAACCCCCAACAACATAACTATAGTCTTTTTCCCTATAGTTTATCATTTATGTTGAGGAAACATAAGAGTAGATAAATCATGATAGTAGATTTGAGAGGCAAGGCATTGGTGCAAGACTATTACCTGTCTTACAAATTAGCGAACTCCCATAGTAGTGTCTCGGAAGAAAGACACTGCGGCAGGCCAAAAATAAAGCGAAAAAATCTGGAGCATTTAGTTTGTTTTAATCCACTATTGCGTGTCCCTTTTTTTAAAAATTATGTTATATCTGGTACAAATGTATATTCCATGAGGGGAGGTGCGTCGAACTTTGACCTTTGGGGTTACTTAGTTTGACATGGGGCGACTTCAACTATTTCGACAATTGCCAAAAATTCATATTTCTGGGGTCGCCCATCTGGGATTAGATTTCGGAGGTTGGAGATTTTGATTTATTACTAAAATTTACAAAAAACAAACATTGCGGACGGTGTATATCGGAAATCTAAGGCAATGTCGAAATAGCCCCATGGTCGAAATAGCTCCATGACGCAGTAATCCCATTCGTTGAAGTTCAATGCATCTTCCCTACTTTGCCCAATCATTTTTTACTAAAGATTTGCCGAGCGCAGTGTTTCCTTGAAGACTTGCCCGGAGACTAACAGTGTAACACTGCCGGATGTGACAAATTAGGAGACTGTGATTAAAAAATCTAAAATTGAGATCGAAAAAGAAACAAAAGGGAAAAATAGTCATCATGGTCACTGATTCTCTGATCTGGTTAGGCAAGACTTTTGAAATTTATGAAAAAAGTGATTTTTATTTTTCAAAAAAATTATTCAAAATAAATTATCGTGCTAGTCTATTGATTGACATATCAATTGCATTCCAAAAGCACAAAGTGTTATGTATTTCTGTTTATAACATTCCGCCACGACTAAACTTACCATATTTATGGATTTGAAGGCCAAAATTAAGCAAAATCGTATTTTCCTCCAGCCGGTGCGATGTGTACAAATATGGCGGATTCCTTGTTTTAGTATTGCCTCTGAAATTCAAAGCAAGAAATTGTAGATTATATGAAAATTTACCGATTTCAATCTTTAATAAAATTATTCAAGTAAAACATATACTTTTATTTAAATGAAAAAGTAATATCTCCTAAATTATATTGAGTTTATTCATGGAAAGTTAATAATTACCAATTCATTGAAGTTGATATTTTAGAGAAAACATCCGGTTCCACGATTCTAAAAAAATTAAAACTTTTCAAACTTCCACGTTTACAGCAATATAACCTTACGCATTGGTCGTTCAAATGTCGTAGGTGCTTCGTTGGAAGTACCTAAAAGTCGGTATACGACACCCTACTTATAAATACTTGTTCAATATTTATTTGGGCTATAACCTAGCGGAAATATGACAAACGGTAAGATTTTTACTCTCCAGTCTGAGTTTCCACAGGAGCTTGTACTGCTTGAAGACTGGTTACTTATCTAAAGAATATGTTAAGACTTACCTATATGATTTATGTTGTATATCAATAGGATATTCTACTTTAGAAGACCACACGTTGGGTGACCTACGTACATGTACAACTGCACATCGATTTCCTGTGGAGATTATGAATGTGATGTCACAATTCCAATAAAGAAGCGGTCTTGGTTATGAAAACACAGAATTGAATCTCGCGCTAAGGGCTGTTGTTAAAAAGTCACTCCATCCTAGTAGGGATTGAACCCAAGACCCCTCCTTTTCCGGTCTATTGCTATACCACTATTACTCGTAGCTGACTAAAAATTCAGCTTGCCCTACTTGTAAAAATTTGATCTCCCATCCAGTTCTTTCTTCAGTTGCGGTAACTTCTCACATAAACCACATGATAAATTAAACCATGGGCTTTACAAGTGATTGAAAACTCTCAAACATTTGACCTGTGAATATCATTATAATTGTTCATACTTTTCATTAACAATGTATAATGTATCTGTCCCAATAAGAAAACTCTAGTTCATTGTGCACTGTAAGGCTACGAGAATTGATAGCTACAGTAGTAAAACATAAATCTCAGCTTCCAATGTAAGATGGCAAAATTAAATGACATCATTGAAAATTTTGGTTTTCATTTACCTACCACAGTGTCTATCCCAAACACTGCCACGATGATCATCAGATGATGAACTGTTGATACAAGTTCCTGAAAATAAGTTTAGGTCTGCGTTTTTATGAATTCCTGTTCTTTCTTTCCAGAGGACTGTTGAAAGCTCATTATATGCAAAGATCTGTTTTGAAAAATACCCAATCATTATTTAAACTATTTTCCAGCATACTCATTTGAGGGAATGATAGTGATAGCCCTGTTGGTGATTTGTACCTGTGGCTATATGAAAAGGGTGCCAAGACTACACAAGTGGTTCCTCTCAGAAAAGAAAGGTTTTCTAGGAATTTTTTATAAAAGTAAGTCACTTATTGAGATAACATTCACAGAATTTAAGAAAAAACTATTTTAGTCCAACAAGAGGTGACCTAAATGTGGTCACCCTTTTGCACAGGATTAATTTTGTTTTTACAGCCCATTTTAATTGTGTTGTGCATTAATATAATAAAACCTAAAAAATAAACAATCAAAAGACCACAGTGCAATATTATACCTGGAAAATATTTTACTCACAAAATGTTTAACATTTCAGATAAATTGGTTTAATTTGCAATAAACCTGTGGCCTCTTGAAATTTAAGTTTCAGCCATGTTATTTTGGGAAATTTACATGTCATAGAAGCATCAAAATACACAAGGCCATACATTTTAGTAGCCAAACCACAAGCAATCTAAGATGTAAAAACATTTTGCATGAAAAATATGAATGTAGTTTTCCTTATTTTTATCACACTTTGGGTGCTATATTCTGATCAGTTTGCTGGGTGGGTGGTTGGGTATGCACCTTGGTGTCCCAGTAAATCTTGTCTACAGCTTTCCAGCCAAACCATTTCATGTAGGTCTTAATAATGCACAGCCCAATTGAAATAGATTAGAGATATAAACAAATAATTATTTTACATTGAACATTGCATACTAAAGATGTTCCGAATGGCTAAGTCACTCTATTGGTATGCATATGTAATTCATGATTAAAAATCTATTTTAGGTGCAGTAATAGGAACACGACTTCACATTCCCATAGCTCTTTCCTGCGTCGTGATGGGGCTTTATGTGTTACTTCTGAAATAATGCACCACCAGTTATATGGAAAAACTTGGAACACAAATATGCACTTCGGAGATCGTCAAAATGCAGAATGAGACATTTGCATCACAATTTAAGACTATGAATGATAAGGGTCTGTGATATTATTCAAAAGTAAATGCCTATATAAGTCTGCATATACAATGCAAAGCTATTACACGGATCCCATAGTTTAATGGCTTCACTATAGCTAGAGGCCATTTATTTTAGGGATCGTTAAATATCACAAATGATTTCAGACTGTTCTTTAGAGTATGTCCCCAATAAATCTCTTAACTTAAGAGTAGTGTCTTAACTAGACTTTTATTGAAATCTGACTTCTTCCAGATTTGTATTTAATATTTTGTATAGAGTATTGTGTTAAAATAGGAACTGTAACTCTTTGTCTATTCCATAAGCTGGCTTAATTGTAAAACTGTAAACAATGAAATCTTGGTTTCATATTCTACTGACCAGTTGATAATTGTGTAGACATTTCTACTTAAAAAGAAGAGGAGGGAAAACCCCATGATTCAATTGATGACATTTCCTCCTTCGCGCACCTCCTTTCCCGGAGGTATATTTATACTTCCCTCCATCTTGGTTTTCAAAGTTTTCAAATTGACCTAGCTTTAAACCAATCAATGATCGACTCGCTAAACCAATCAGCGACGATGTCATCTCAATACAGATTAACATTATACGTGTATGTCATCTTTGAACCCTGGGGTTTCTCCCTCCCTCTTCTTAAAAAGGTAATGTGTGCTGTAAACCTTCTCAATTTTGCTGAATTAACTCACTTATTATTGTCTGCTTCTTAATTTTGTGAATTTTGTGAATCTGTTCTGTTTCACCATCTTTGTTCACTCGACTCCCGTCTGAACGCAGCGAAGATCGAGTGTGGGAAGATGCGGTTTCATAGCATGTATTAATTGGTTGTTGTAGCACAGATTGTCATATAACTACATGTAATGACTATATGGGGTTAGAGTACATTGTAATTATAGCTCATGCACTATACTGGGTTTGCATTTACAATGCAGTTAATGGTGCAAAATATGTACATATTGTATATATTTGTGTACATTTGTACACATGCTGTGTATATTAATTGGGTCAGAGAGTCTGAAAGTATCCATACACATATTCAGGAGTTGTTTAATTCAATATAGTGGGAAGTGAAAACGCTAAATGAAAATGGGCATTATTTTAAGTCAATACACTAAATTGTATTAAAACGTCAAATAATATAATTTCAGTTTCTAAGAAACAAACATACTGTAAGTATGCATTTTCATTTCTAGCTTTTTGTGCCACCACTTTTTGGTGGATAGTGTTTGGCATTCAGTGTCTGTAACAAATAGCAGGTGATGACATTTTATATTTTAATGCTTTGTATTCTAATGTTTTGAATTGATAGCCAATGTTGTGATTTGCTGTTAAGAGATGTGTTTTGATTTACCTCTTTGATATTACTGTGGATACTTTAAGATTATCTACTCTCTTATTTGGGGGATAAATCTGTAAATATGAAAGGTCTGTTGAATTAACAAGAGCTAGAGTCTGATAGTGAAACTATGATCCTCAAGCTTTCATAGGGAGATTAAGCCACATATTTTTCAGAGAACTTTGTAATGAATGCAAAATTTTTTTGTCTCTCCCTTTGTAGTATTTACTTGCACGATTGAGTATAAAGGTAGTTGTAATGAAGTCCCTTGAAAAACCAATAGAGAGTGGGACAGGTAACCCTTGGGCTCATAATCATACATATTCAAGTACCCTGGAAAATGTGTAGCTGCTTTATTCTACTTTAGTATCTCTCACTTATTGATGGTAAGGGGAGGCATCAAAAGTTCAATGTCTGATAGGAAACTAAATAAATCTAGTTTTGAGTTGGACCCCCCTCCCCCTCAAAACTTAATACATTGAAAGTTGATCGCGGACTTTCACATGTTTTTGCGACTCAATTTGGACTTTTATGGGGGTAGTACTAGAACTTATTCATGATTCTTAAAACATATGCCAACAACAATAGGCATAATATTCCATGTTGCATGCATATTTGTGAAGAAGGCATCTGGTAAAGTCTTTATTTTTAAACCATTCCAAGGCATTTCGAGTCGAAATTCCCAAAAATTCAAATGTTGAAATTTGTCGGATAGCAAACTGAAATAGCTTTGACCCCCTTCCCCCAAACTAGATTTATTTAGTTTTCTATCAGACATTGATCTTTTGATGCCTCCCCTAAAATATCAATAAAGGAGAACAAAATTCAAGTTCAAAATATTTTGGTATGGTATTTTTAGAAAATTGGAATATCACCATCCCTGCCATATTCCTCTCCCACTTCTTATGTATATACATGTATAGGATTTACCAACAGGCATTCAGGGAGGGGTCTCTTCTCAATGTGAACATAGTGTATATTTATTATTTTTGTATACTTTGGGGCACTTATATTGCATGTGGGTTAAGAAGATTATAACAAGGAGATATTTATATTCCTTTAAAATTTCAGTAGAACTTTGAACAAAATCTGGACAATCCACATAGACAAAAAAAGTTCAGTCATTGAACAGTATCTAATTGCATCAATATATCTATAACATTGTATCTACAACAAATATTCACAAGTGTACTGAACATTTGCATATTGAACAATATTGTATTGTACTGAATGTACTGTACTTTTCACATACATATCAATTTATATCCACAAACATGATAAATTATGTCTGAGAACTTGGGTTTAGCCCAGATTTTAAAATGGAAGCAACGTTTGGCAAGAGAAAAATGACTGAATGTTCAATCATCATATGACCACATTGAAATATCAAACTGGTCCCTTATGTAGAATTTTTATTGTTGGCTCATCAATGTTGAGAGAAGGTTAGAACAATAGTGTTAAAGTTGTACATTATTTATATGAAAATAAAAATGTGAAATATTAAAACCTAATGGTTTATTTTTATTTTGTTAGACACATATAGATACTGTACATGTACTTGTAAAAAAATGACGAACACCAACTGCCGTCCACAAAAAGTTGGAGACTATAACAATATGTCATCATATTCTGGTGGTTACATAAGAAAGGATTAGATTGACAAATCTTCACCTCCTTGTAGATAATTGCAAATGGTCATGAAAATGTAACACATGTTACAGATGACAAATGCCAACCACTGGTCACAAAATAAACAAAGTAGATGAACCTAGGACTATAGTAAACAAATATGTAGTCAGCACTCCATATTAAGCAAAATACCAGAAAATCATGGGTTTATTTAATACAGTAAAACCTGTCTTAGTGAACACCTCTCTCTAGTGAACACCTGTCCCTAGTGGACACCCTTCCTACGCACATAGTCCAACTGTACATGGGGCTTCAATGTGTATCGATCAAAGCAAAGCAACATCTTGGGCTTAGTATGGCCCTTATTACTTTACTGGCTTCTATTGGTTGATTAGGCCTATACAATAGACAGTTAAAAGTTGAGTGCCAAATACATTTAATTTGTGAACAAGGCAAGTTCTTGTCATTGTGTTTGCCCATGAGAAATCGAACTGTGAACATCATGAATTAAAGTGAAATTGATAGCTCTGATCAGTGTAGAGAACGCCTTAAAGATAGAATAGACAAATTATGCACAGTGCTTGCATAGCAATTTTTTGTTAAAACTCAGAACATTAGGAGGATTGGACGAGCTTTGTCAACATCAAGGAAATATATCTGATGGTCCGAAACGTGATTGGAGAATAAAAACTAAATGTTTTGCTTTTGATCAGAAACAATTGTAGAATTGATTCCTGCACTCTCAGTAAAAAATTTTGAAATTCATATACTAATCCAGAAACTTTAATGTCACTATAGTCACCAAATTGTTTTATTTCGTGTTAAGCAAGAAATGGCAGGTAGTGATATTTTGCATGTTAATGCCTTGTTTGTTATGTTGAGAATTACTAACAAATAATGAATTCATTAAAATGTGTTTGAAGTCATATCTTTATTTTACAATAATAATACATATGTAGAGATATATGGTTTGGTACAACTTTACCAATCACAAAAACATAACATAAATCACATAACCACCTTGATATACATAAATATGGCAGCCTCAATCCAGGCTATAAATCTTTATAAATCAGTATTGATTTAAAACAACATGATTGTGTGAAATATCGATCTATCATACTAATAGTCTTAAATGTGCAGAATAAGAAACACATATTTGTCTTTAAACATGTGGAAGGAGGTTTTATTGTGTGTCTCTGAAATAGATCACCCCCCCCCCATTTCTGGAGAAATTTAAGAGCCTCTTGGAGGCTATTTTGCACACACATGCATATTCCAAATACTTTATATACACATGGTGTAATCTGATGTGAGAATTTGACACATTTTTCATCAATAAGGAACATAAAATCAACAGAAAGTTCAACAGAAATTTTAGTTTAACTGATTTGAGGTACCGTTGTTCAAACATACAATTGAGCAACTGTGGCATAATCATTTTATGTACCTCGACCAACTCCATTTAGGAGATTTGGCAAACAAATAACGACCCTTTATACTTTTTGGTGTAATTACAGTCAAACACACAGCCAAAAGAAAACATGGCTTATAGATGTTAGGTTATCTACAGGTTGAGGCATTTTTGAGGTTGTGTGTCATAAGCTGACATTACTTGTTAAATTTCTTGATAGCCATGCTTTCTTTACATGCAAAAAGCTTTCTTTCTAAAGGGGCTCATTATAGGAATCTGATTCCATTGTGCCATTAAAGGTCTTTATTTTGTTTATAGAAATGGTGATAATTTGTAAAGAGAATGGTTTATATTTGGCCCCTTTTTCATTGAGCTTTTTCAATGGTTTAGGGATGAGGTCAATATACGGTAATTAATTACACTGGGAGAGGGTGTAATTATCCATTGAATAATTTTGAAATAAAAAAGGAAAAAAAACTTGAACAAAAAACATGCACTACATTTTCTTAAGGTACACTGGTTTCAGAATGAAAGGAAAAATATCAATGAATGTTCGATTGTTTGGATTGTGGGAGAAAGTAATCAAGAAAATTAATTGACAATTGGGACAAAAATATCGACATTTTTATCATTTTAAAAAGCACTCCACAGTTCTTATCGCACTTTAAAAATGTACTAAACTGCCATTGTCTTGCGCTTATGTATTTAATTCATAGGGTAGCCCTAAAGTCTTATCTGTTAGAAAACCCTGATTTCCTTAAGGTGCATATGTACTTATATCAAGCCCCCCCCCCCCCCCCCCCAACTATCTACTTCTCAAGGCTGTATCCGAGAGAAGAGGGGGTGCAAACTTGATGCAAGACTACTAAAAATCATCCATTAATTTTTTTACTGTTTGTTATATAATTCATATATAGATAATAATTACAATATTTATGTTATAAATTAATTATATTCAAAACAAAAACAAATATGTCTCTCATATATATAGTCTCTTTAGTTTATATACAATTTTGTATACTACATAACAATCTACAAGAAATAATACACACATAGGCCTCTGCAAACTAAATGTCTGTTTTGTTAAACAGGAAATTAATCTGTACAGGCCTTACTGTATATAACAGCATATATTACATGGCATGCTACTCAAGCTTTTTGTAACCACATTATTCCTTGAGTTATAATTATAATATACTACAAGGGTTATTATTCTGTTAAAAAAGATCCAGAATTAGGTCAGCTGAAACTACAGGGTGTCAAATAAATATGCTCTCCCCCTCTAAGTTTGACATCCACATAATGTTGCATAACAAGATATCTGAATTGTTCTCTGGCACATCAAAACTGGGCTTCATGGAGTAACTCCTAAAGAATTTTCAGATGACAAACTCAACTAGATGCACTTTTATGCACAAAAGTTCATACTTTTGAAATTAAGGGGGGGGGGGGAACATATTTATTTGACACCCTGTACATTGCCAAATTGCCAGATAAGTGTGTACATTATTTTGTACTTATTGCAAGAATTCAAATATAGAATTACAATAGTGTCTGTCACATATTCAAATATACAATGAAAATACCAAAGAACAAGACGTATTCAAATATCCACACTGATGAGATATTAGTAGTCTCTAAAACATTTTACAGCTACCCTGGAATATCCTTTAAGTTTATATCCAAGTATATAGCAAGTTCCAATGTCATACAACAACATATTTTTATCAATACACACCTTAAATATTAAATGACCTATAATCTATATGCATGATGTGAACAAAAATGAAATTAAAAACTATATAAAAAATTAAGACCATTCGACAATTCAGTATTTAAAAACTTGAAGGTACCAATACAGTTATATCGGAATAACTAAATTTACAATTGTCACCAAATATCACACTTATCACCAATACGAGGGGGGATTCATAAGTAATGGGACAAATGCTATAACTTCACTTATATCAATCAGATATTATTCATACTTGGAACACAGAACCACAAACATGTGATAATCATTGTGTGAAAATTTTAAAAAGTTACACCAAACTTCAGTAAAGTGAGAGTTCCAATCATGACGTCACAACAGGGCCCATGGAGCACATTGTTTGTCACTAATTGCAAGTTAAATATACAAGTTTCAACTGATATTCAGGACCTGATCTAATCTGTGACTTCTAGTGAGTCCTTTTGTGGAGCAAATTAATTCTGTGCAAGACTATTGATTCCTTATCCTTTTGGTGCAATCTCACTCTTTCTCAAAGTATTCGCCATGACAATTAACGCATTTTTGGCATCTCCTCAACCATTCTAGGTATGCACCCTCAAAACTGAAAACCATATTTTCCAAGATTGGTCATCTGGGCTCTCACAGCATATTCAGAATACATATACAGAATACCACTTATAAACTGTAGATTTTTTTTACTTCTTCTTTCCCATAGTCTTCAAACAAACCTCTATAGGTCTCTAATACGGAAATCTTCTTCAAAGCATTAAATTTAATCACAGCACAGATGTTTATACGTGATTCTTGCTTTTTCATTGCTATTTTAATCAAATTTTGCTCCATCCAAGAAGGACTGAAAATGGCAGTGTCCTGGTATCACTGCATTGTGTGATATCACAATAGTATGATGATGTAATATATGTTACAGTTGTCATGACTACAAGGCTTGAGACAATATGAAACCAAATATTTGAAAATAACTGTCATTTTGAGATATTTATGAGCATATTTATGTTGATCAAGCCCTTCATTTTTTAACTGCTCCGTTAACCCCTACTTTTGGTTACCATAGCAACCGTTGTTGCTAGGGAACAAAATGAATTAAATTGAAATTTCACCAAGCAATCCCTTATATCATAGTCCCTTCATGTGCCAAATTTGGTTGATATATGTACACAGGAACTTGCTGCCTCAGAAAAGTCCCACTACTTATGAATCCCCCCTCGTATAAGCTCAAAATTCCTATCCATATGACCATGGACTTGTTTCAAAAATGAGCTCTCTGAACTAGCCTCGCCATGTCAGCAAACTCAAGATCAAAAATACATTTGAATCTTCATAATCAAACTTCTAAAATAATCTAAATCCATTGACAGATTGATGATGAGACTTGTCCATTGTTAGATATTTGTAGAGTATGTGATTAATATAATCTGCGATAGAGCAGGAACTGGAGAGGTTGGATGATGCAGTCCGAGATAGGTTCACAATATATACAACATGATAATTATTGAAAACATAGCCTAATTGTCCGATAGGTTTATAGTGCCATGGCATTTGCGGCGGCTGTAGCTGCATGGTCTTTCCTTCGTCGTTTCTCTAAAATTGGGTTTGAACTTATGGAGTCCATGTTCTTGAGATGAACCTGGTCATAGTCCACTCGCATTGTTGCTAGAGCATTTGTCATTTCCTCCTAAAAAACAAATAGTTCAATATGGTCATTAAGATTATTTTTAGGCTATAATGTCTTTTTTTACTTGCTATTGAAACCTTTGATCAAAAATATCTGAATCAAATATTTAGAAGTAATTGTTTTTGTTCTAAAAATCTATGTAATTCTTATAGTTATGTGTGATAAGTTGCTTAACTTGCCTGTATCTCCGGCCATTGTTCAGTGTCTTCAGATAAAATCCTAGCAGAGAATAGAGGAGTTTGCGGCACCATTGTATGTTCCTGGAATATGATAAAGATGTCATAATGGTCAGGTTGGGCAAATACGGAGAAATAATGTAAGCAAACATTATTGTCTTCGCCTCTGTTGGACATGCTGGACATCTGATGCCAAGGTCTTGGGTTCAATCCCAGCATGTGGCAAAAGGAGCTAGCTAATGTTAACTGGTACACCAGAGTGGTGATAACTAGAGTGCTGCTGACTCGATAAAAGGTTAGAACTGCCTATGGTCCTAGTTGCCAGGATAAAGATACCAGGCAGTCAGATTAATATGGGGATGTGTTTCTACCTCCAGATATCATGTTACATTATCCTACCACACGTACATATATGCCATATGGTGCCTGTGTGAGATATGTAACTCAAATAGAATAAAATTAAATCATTTCACACAGCTTCACCTAAACGGGAAAATGGTGCATGTTACAAATACATGCATGTCCTTATTTGGTCTTTAAGGTAAGCAAGCAATTTGAATTATCATTTAAGAAATTGTTTAGCTTTATTTCTAAGTCATAGTGGTAGGAGTATGAAAACTTACTGCAATCCATTTGTGCTTCATAACTTCTGTTATAACTAGTCTCTCATCAGGGTCAGTCTTCAACAATCCACGAATTAAATTTTTAGCTGAAAAATAGCAAATAAAGATTATTTCTCAGTCCATTTGATTTAAAAGTGATGTGCAACATTCTAAAATGGTTTAGAACAGGCAGGATATCATTAAGAGATTATCGCTCGTGAACAGACAATGTATTTTAGTATGATTTAAACAGTGGTGTCCAATTACAATGTTTAATGGTCTGCTTCAATGAATGTATCACCTTACATATAACTGATATATTCCCTGGAGTTGGAGCACTTTTTATTTATCTGTAGACCAGTTATTTCATTTTTATTACAATAATGTTATGGTCATAGAGAATAAAAGGGGATCTCCTCTGTGGTGTATCATTAAGTTTACTGACATACTGGTCAAAACTAGATAACGAACATATTTTAATGTTCAAAATAACTGGATCAAAGCCCTTGGGGTGGCACCTCTATGGCACCATTAACTTATCACTCACCATTTGCTGTACTGCAAAGCTGCAACATGTGCATATAATAATCATATTTTACTATGGTAATAAATCATGTACAAAAAATCACTCACCATCACTGGTAACGTTATTCCATTCAGGGGCGGGGAACTCATATTGGCCATTCCTAATGCGTTTTTTCATTCCCGGAGATATAGCTAGACCATGGTTGCTGTAGAATGGTGGGTAACCACAAAGCCTACAAGAAATGTATTGTTTTTTAATACACAATTTCCACATGTACATAGCATTGCAATTGGTGGGGATGGCCTAGGCTCTGAGAGCATATGCAGCCATTGGAATGTTTCATATCTAATTATCAAAATATTAGACCACAAGTCTACGGCAATAAAATTTGTCCTAATTTACAGTTCAACTGATTAAAAACATTAACTTTATCAATAAAATACCTCAAATCTTTTTTAAACATATTATAGCCCCCTTTAAAGGCTCATATCCTTTCCTGTGTATTTATATTATTTTCAGAAATATTAATTAAGAAATCAATCCCATGCAAATTGCAGTTTTCTACTTACAATATATACATAATAACCCCAAGAGACCACATATCACATGATTTGTCATACTTTTCAGGGCCCAAAACTTCAGGTGCTGAAAAATAAATAGAACTCAGATATAATATACATAAATAGAGGGTATCCTATGATTTTTGAGGGATATCATTTTTATCCATGAGTGCACCCATCTCTACAAGTGAGTGCAGCATTTTGAGCACTTTAACACAACATTAAATTCACAATTTATATAGTGATCATATCAATAACTTAAAGTGGTAGCAAAGAATAAAGAGTGTTGGAAGAATCATACATTTACAAAATCATTACACAATAAAATCATACATGTTTTAACAATAAACATAAATATTATATAAAAACACAAGTTTTTTGTAGCATGGACCTATAACTATAAACTTCATTTGATGATTTCTTAAGCTGTACAAAAGTTGCTCTTCATAGTTACCTGCGTAATATGGGGTATAGCACGGAGTTTGTAATGATTTGTTTGAATTTGTTAATTTTGCAAAGCCGAAATCTGTTAGCTTTAGTATCCCATCATCTCCTTTGGTCGTGTACAAGAGATTTTCAGGCTGAAATCAAAAAATAGATATTAAATACAATATCATGTGTTTGTACAAGTAACAACCTACACCCATAAGAAAATATTGTACAGTTAAACACCTCTCATCTGAGACAAGGACCAGCCAAAATGGCAGGTGTTCAAATTTTGAGTTTTTTCACGTAGAGAGGTATTTCAATTAGAGAGGTGTTTTGATGCATGGGTTTTATATTTTTACTCATCATGTTTTGAAAAGCAAAACAAAGTGAAAGAGAGAAAAACAGGCAGGGATTTTTGCATATTTCATTGCTAGAATGAAAATGACAAATAGATAATGCAACCATACTAGATAACTATATGCAAAACCATGAACTGACTCATATTAACTTAAGGTCGCGGTTTGTAGTCTCATGAAAATTGACTCATATGAAAGTCCCTGTTTATGCAAAATCTAATACAAAATTGACTGATATGAAGGTCTGTATAGTGCAAAATCTCATATACAACTAAATCACACTAAAGTCTGTTTATGCAAAATGGTCTGATATAAAGATCACTGTCTGCAAAATCTCATATACAACTAAATCACACTAAGGTCTGTTTATGCAAAATGGTCTGATATAAAGATCACTGTCTGCAAAATCTCATATACAACTAAATCACACTAAGGTACGTTTATGCAAAATTGACTCATATAAAATTGACTCATATAAAGGTCCCTATATGCAAATTCCAATACACATCTAACTCATATTAAAATTGACTCATGTTGCTGGAGGCCATGAACAGACTTTGCTGGACATTTGCAACATGCTATGAGTAATAAATGTAAAATGACTCACTTTTAGATCCCTGTGTGCTATTTCACTGGAATGAAGAAAAGCTATGGCTTTACAGATGTCTGAAACTATCCCGGCTGCCTCTGAAATGAAATAATAACATCAGAAATTAAAGAGTGAGTATTCGGTTTATAAGTCGACCATTTTAGGACCAATTTCCTCTCCTGTCAAAGCTCATAATATCTCAGAATACCAGTACAAGAACTTCCAAATCAGACCAAAAAAGAATGTTTTTTTTTAATTTTTCATGTCTAACCAAAGTCATATGTAACCCAAAAACATTTTTTACGTATACTGTATAATTTTCAGTACTAGTATTTTCATACAATAATCATATAAAATATATGAATAACCTCAGAGAGTAATAAACAAACAAAGCACATGTTGATAGGCAGTGTGTGTAATGTAATCCTAAACCACATCAAAATATAAAATCATTATTAGAATATGCTGTTAAAGAGTGAATTACCCCTGTGTAATGGCATAATGCTTGTAATTACTTCAGTCTGATGTGTTATGAGGTGAAACATCAACCCTGGCTATAATTTACAAATCCAGTAATTCTTGAACTAATGGATATGTCATTGGCACAGTTATACTGCAAAGTATAATCAAATAATTGGCCATTTTAAAGATTCTAAAAGAATCGGATAAATGGCAAACATTCCTCATACAGGTTTGTATTTGCAATTTCATCTATTTTGGATTAGTTCATACTCAATTTCTGTTCTTTAATTTTTAACTTGTCAGGAGTCATCCACACTCTGTTATTCATGGTCATATATTTCATTTTATTCATTTTCAATTTATGAACAGGTTTCGTAATTTGATCAAAGTCACTGTACTCATGCTGCTAAAGTGAATCATCAGTTTTTATATTTGATCTGATGTGATTTTCCATTTAATTACGATTCATTAATCTATTTTTATTTTAGTTAAAACTGTCACGATGTTGCTTCATATTTTATATTCATGTAGTTTCATTTTATCCACATACAATAAGACAGTAATATGATAACAGAAGTGAATATTCAAAAGGCTGGTTGGATAATATGGTACATTTTGTCTAATCTCTAAAATATTTCTCTCAAGAAAAGCAGAAGTCACATTTTTTCTTCTTACAATAAAATAAATGATGTTCTTCTCGTGTAGTGATGTAATACACATTTATTCTGAACAATCATCAAGATACTGCCATGCAAGCTGTTACCTCAATCAATGTGCATAAAATGAAGAAAGAACAAAACTGCAATGCGATGATATCTAGAAGTAAATTATCAACGATATAACAACTCTAGTAACAAAAGTAGCCCTGAGGGAAACATAAAACATTTTAATTCAATTGTTTTCCAGAAAGGAGGCAGCTGCTGAAACTGCTTCATCAAAATCATCAGCCTTAATTAACCCGAAAAATTATGACCCTGTTCATAACAACTTGACATTTTTATAATAAACCAGGCATTAACATGCAAAATGTCACCACATATCATTTGTTACAGACACCAAACACCAAAGGCCAAACACCAACCACCAAACACCGTCCACAAAAAAGTTGGAAACTGTAACACCAGAAATGGTGACATAAAAATAAAACTCACCTCGTTCTGTGAATGCATTGTCTGCTCTGTCTTGTATCCTACTGAACAATTCTCCACCTTCCATACTGAAAATATTTACTAGAATTTACTAGAATTCTCACAACAGGCTAAATTAATGAAAACAACAGGCAAAATAAATGGAAATAAATTAACATGGAAAATTTGAAAAGTTCCTAAAAATGACAGGCTATTTTGTGAAAACAACTGGTGAAAATTGTCTTTTGCCTGCTGCTAATAAAACCCCAGTCAGAGGGATGCAATAAGTTACATTCCCAAATTCCTTTATCATAACAAATCAATATTCATACCCCCCTACCCTATGCATTTATATTGTCATGGGCGTAGCCAGGGGGGGTGCGATGGGTGCGATCGCACCCCCCCCATAACCTTTGAAAATATGACCATTGGATAGAGGTAGAAAAGAGCTTTAAAATGCTTTTTATTTGAAGCTTCTAGCTCAATTTTGAAGGAAGTTGCATCAATTTTTGTAAAATTCAAAAGAAATCTTAATTTTTTGTGTTGCTTATGGCAAAATCGCACCCCCCCCCCCTGACCGAAAACTGAAAAATTTTCGGCAATCGCACCCCCCCCTGACTGAAAGCTGGCTACGCCCCTGATTGTTATACCAAAATTGTCCCTGATAACAGCAGGCCTTCTTTAACAGTCTGTAATTCTCATTTTATTGTCACCAAAACTGTTTTAGTATACATTGTCTTTGACAAATCTTTCTAGATGTAAACATCTTAGCTTGAAAAATGCTCCGAGTAGTCGTATATGAAATAATTGGCATTTAAAAACAGAAAAAGGTGAGAGGATCAATTAAATTTGGAATTTGTCAAGCTGTTAAGTAGATGGTCTGAATTATATTATTTTCTCACTTACCACTCCATTATCACAAGTAGACACTTGTGTCCACCATACATATTCTCATATACATCTCGAATGTTGACAATATGGAGACATGCCGAGGCTCGCCAGTGAAGATCTACCTCCCGACGGGCTTTGGGTGTGTCACGTAATACCTAAAAAAAGAAACATAATATAGAACAGCAATAAAATGAGAGTGAATACCATTCTCAAGTGAATACCATTCTCAAGTGAACACCTCAACTCTTTAAAATTACATTTTTTCGATGTACATTTAAACCTGTGTTCAGAGAACACCTATGGTATGGAGCCATAAAAATGTGTTCTTTATAAGGTAGGTGTTCACTACAGAGAGGCAACTTTATACAAAACTCAGTGGATTATGTGCTGAAAAGAGGTATTCACATAGACACATGTGTTCAATAGAGAGAGAGGCGTTTACTAAGACAGGTTTTACTGAGTTATTTCATAACTGGATGCCCAAAAGGATTTATCAGGTAGAATGATATGTCTAAAGAATCTAAGAATGAAGTAAAGTTCAAATGAAAATTTTTCCTTTCTTTAACTAAAACCAATAAACTTCATCATAGAGCTCTAGTTTCATCCTTATATTTGATTCATAATATCCTGTTGGTTAGAAAGATCAAGTAACATCCTTAATATCAATAACAAATTAATTTTCTCAATGCTCAGATATCATTACAACTACACAGAACAGCGGATTATATAAAAATGGACTGTAACAAATACCCGGATTTGTTGGTTTTTAAAAAAAGTAATTTTTTGGTATCACTTTTTATGCTCGGCATAAAAAGTGATGTCCCATTTTATGCTGGCATAAAAAGTGATATCCCATTTTATGCTGGCATAAAAAGTGATGTCCCATTTTATGCTGAGCATAAAAAGAGATACTCCATTTTATGCTGGTATTATTTAGTAAGTGATGTTTAAAGATAGTTCAGGATTTAAGACCCATCATTCTGACACAGAATGAAGAATTCCTAATAGAATTAAGAATTATTAGCTGAACTGAGTTGTTTTGCCCTTGCAAACAATTTTCCAACTTGTATTTCAACTTCATTTCTGTCTATTTGTTGACAGTCTGTGATGTCATCAACAATCATCACAAGAGAAATGAGATGACTTTTTATGCCAGCATAAAATAGGACTCCGACATCACTTTTTATGCCGGGCATAAAAAGTGATATCAAAAAATTTTTTTTTTAAAAACCAAAAATTCCGGGTATTTGTTACAGTCCATTTTTATATAATCCGCTGTTACAGGTCATTTTCACTGATTTTATATCAGGATATTCTGTCGAGCAGCTTCATTAATGTGGGGAAGCGTACTTGTGTAAATATCATAAGTAGGGCTAAATCACAAATCAATACATAGAGAGCAAAAGGATCCTTAAATGTGTTGGTGTATTAATATTCCACAAAATATTGTTCAGACACATGTATGTGTATGATATTGGTACCAATAGACATGGTGAAAACCAGGGACTACATTTACTCCCAATTTATATTATGTCACCTCTTTTATTTATGGTGCCACTGAAATGCATCATTTTTATCTGATGGTTACAATGCAAATTGAATGAAAAGTGAAAAGATTATACTACAGTATTTAGTGATTATTATCATTTCACTAAAGTTATAAATACTACAGGATAATTTTTGAGGGGCAAGCTACCTGGCACTCTTATATGAAAACTGATTCAATACCATACCAAATTGTATATTCTTGTAATCAGATAACAGGATCATAATCAGCTAGTAGGTAAACATAATTGCTAGAATTGATTCTATTGGTATTCAGTCTATTGCCCAATCCAATAGGCAACTAGATTTTCAATGTCCATTCTCAAGAGTGAAAATTAGTTGCCATTAGGGTAGGAGTCAGGTAGCTATGAGTTATAAACAGTGATCATAATCAAATACTTTGGCACTACTTATTTTGGCAGATTTGCGGTGATGAACATTTGGTGACTACTTAATTTGGTGGATTTGCAATATTGAAATGTAAATACTATTCATGACTGAAATATGAGATATTGAATTTGGCGGCTACTAATTTGGCAGACTTGAACAATTTGACAGATCCACCAAATTAAAACGGCCCCAAAATTAATCAGAAATACAGTATGAAGTTTGGAAATGAAATTTTTTTACTGAGTGGTTGAATAAATCTCTCTGGGTGACGCCCCAATTTGGAAGAACTAATCACGACTCACAAGTGTCGCAACCAAATTAATCCATTTCTTGGATATGAGTTCATGCCAAAAATATTTATATATTACTATTTGAACAAACTATAGAACTTACTTTTAGGGCACATTTTTGATTATTAGCCTTGAGAACACATTCGACCACTTTTCCATTTATTCCAAGACCAAGAACATTGTGTGAGACTTTATAATCATCCGTAATTGGATTTTTCTTCGGCTGTAGTGTTCTAGATTGGTTATCTCCCATCATTATGAACCCAGCGTCAGCCAAAGTACTTTTATATTGAGGAGATGACTCAATTATTGAAATATTTTGAAATGAAAATGTTGTAATTTGTCGATCGATGTGTAGTACGTCATCACTTTCTGAGTATTGGAACAGGAACTAGAAAGGGCATAGACTAAAATATGGCATGCACACTTTGAGCCATGGACAATATTGTATATACGCGACATCTTTCATTAAATAGGTAAATGCCCCGTTTCATTCCTCATTCTTCGAAAAGTATTGAAAGGATGCTGTCCCGTAGCCTACATTGCCACGCTCTACGCCAAACGAATACACTGTTTCCTGTGGGAGTGAAAGAGGAGAGTGTAAAATGTTGGAAACATCAGTCCTCATTTTTCAAAACTGGCCTTATATCCCGGCCTTATATTTTCCGCTTGCAACCTCTTCAGTGCTAGTGTGCTTTTAGGCTAGATAATTTCACGATGTTTCTGGTCTTTTGTTCACCTCCATGAAAACAATTTCAGATACTTTGAGACTAAGATCAAATATAAGATCCTTGAATTAGAATTGAAAACTTAGGATGTTCAGCTTTTCAAAATATTGTCAAAAAACAAAACACGGAGCGACACTATTCTTTATGGACACATGTTTTACGTAGAGACCCACTCAATAGAACATAAGTTAACTTATTATTCAGTAAGTTCTCAGTAAAACCTGCCCGATGGAACACCCTTTTGTATGGAACACCCTGAGGCCCAGGAATACGTTAAAAATGTTTTAAAAGTCCCCTAGTGTACTGAGTTGGTAATGAGTGGTGTATACATTACTATATTAGACTACTTACATTGGATAAGAATAATACTGATTTTTTATTAATGATTGTATACCCGGGCCTCAGGGAACACCTGTCTACATGGAACAGTTTTTAAAAGAACCAAATATTTTTCCATTGACTAATTACATGTTAAGAGTAAAACCTTAGTCGACTGATTTGAGGAAAGTGTTGTCAATTTCATCTCTGAGTCATTTAAAGGGGCAACAAGGACTGTAGAGAGATGATTTGAAATATTTTTTTCTGCAGGTCAATATTTGGCTTAACATCTTCTTTGACATACCTATTTTCTTAAAATGTATGGATAAACTATCAATTTCAGCATTAAGAAGTGTAAATTCAGTTCAAAGCTTCTCTCAAGGGAGTCCCACTTATCGATTTTTAAGATTCACCACGTTTCAAAAGGAATATCAGCTGAAGTAATGTTCATCCAGGGGGTTTCTTTGTAGATAATAAAAATATACGTTAGTCTTGATGAAATATCCAAACTTAAATATATGTTGACACTGGTCGATGATCGTTGAATGCCCCCCCCCCCACCCCTGCACTAATTGTTACAATCTAAAGGGGTCGTAGGATGCGATAATAAAACATGATGTCGTTGGTGCAACTACGTCAGATCCATTTCGTTTGTCCTTGTAAAAGTAGACACGTTACTTAAATTACGTTTCATATACCATTCCAACGAGTAGTACATATCAGTACCTTTACTTGTTTGAAATTAAGAAAACATAAACTTAAAAAGATCGTGATTGATTTTCTCTGCCAACAAGTGTTCTTTTGTTAACTTAATTAGATCAATAATAGTTTCGCGAGATGAGTTTTCATAGAAAAATTGTAATTCAATACCTTAGATCAAACATGTCATAAAATCTTCCAATATCTTTTTATCATCATAAATTGAGAATCAATTAAACTGTCAAATTGTTTTTTAAGAGTGATTTTATGAGGCAAAATCGTTTTCAAATACACTCATTATATCGCGATCATCATCGAAATGTGGCTAATACGCATTATCAATTTGACCATCATTTTATGGATAACCACGGTAAAATGTTACACGATTTGTTATCAAAATGAATAATATTTAATAATTGAGAACTTGACGAGGACAGATTAATGTTGAAGTAATTTTCATTTTGTAATTTTTAGTTAGTGTATGGAGCGGTGGCAAGCCAGCAGAAAACTGGCGACGTCAGAAACGTGAGTTAGAGTATTCTATATTTTATTCTTGCTCGTAAACGTTTCTTTTCTTTATAATCTATAGTTTGTTTACATTCAGTAAAACAACAAGCAATATACATGTATAAGCAGTAGGTTTGATATATAATTAACCCTTTAAATCGGTGTTAATATTGTATGGCAAACCTTGGAAAAAATTTTGGTTTAGTATTCCCAGACAGACCACGTGGTTGTTGTACAACATATCGGGGACTATGGCAACTAAATATGACGTTGATTAGCATGTGTGATATTATGACTTGTTGGTAATAATCAGAATTTCTAGAATTGTGTTTGTGACTTGATGACGTTATAAATGTAACCAAGGGAACGTTTTAATTGTTACTTTGATATCAAAACATTCAGTTCACCCAATTGCGTTTTTTCAAGTTCCTAAATATTGTGTTCAATTGAATGCAAATCATCATGATTGCAACGGTTTGGATGTTTGCAGCGATGGCGATAGATACTATTTATCCCGGGGCGTTCGGTAAGTTATATTCAGTGAAAACTCCACCAAACCCAATTCCTTCATATTGAACGTACTATGGTCTATTTTGAAATAGATTGTTTTTATAATCGATTAAATTTCCACCTCCGTGTTTTCTGGCCCATAGTCTCTTCGGGTGTATCAATTAGGGCACGCAATCCCATTCATTTACAACAACATTTATACTTTTACATATTTTTCTAAGTTTACAAACATATTTTATGCATTTCATCCTCCGTCATCAATGAGTCTGATTTCATGGGTATTTCTGATATTTCAACATTGTAGAAGTCAAGGAAGACGTTGATGGGAGGGAAAGAATAACTGTGTTTGTTTGCCAGTGTGACCAGGAGGACCTTACCAACCCAGAGCCATCCACCTCTTCGCGGGAATGCCGGAGTGGCCCGTGTGGGACGATGGAAATACTTGTCCCACGGTCTCCAACCTGAATCTTCGGCGATCGGGTCACCGTGCCCATTTTGAATCGCGTCAGACAGTTGATCTGATTGTACGTTCGATGCAGTGGCACATAAGGCGTGAATTGTACATGCTTGCTTGAATCATCCGTTTGATGATTTGGAAGTAGGTTGCCGGACATGCGACAAAGACATAGAACAAAGTCAAGATGAAGTGTTTCAATCGTGTGTTGTATGTTTTTAAGCAACGGGTTTCATACTTTGGAAGTTACTGACGGGAAGGTGCATGCAAAAGGGGGACTTAATTGGACTGGTCTTACCAACATCCACCATGGTAATGTCAAATCGTGTGTAGGCTGTGGTTGGCTCTGTGGCTATTTGTAAGTCAATGATGCGGAGTGAGACAAATCTGAAAGAAGTCGATGGTCAACACCATAACGACTTTCGACCCGCGTGTTACGAAGTGTTGAGGTATCCGTTTGATGCTTTGAAAGTAAGTGAAATGTCAAAACATGACATGGGAATAATCAGGAGTCGTCAACATGAAGATTTCAAATTATGTGCAGGATGGAGATGAATCCTGCACGTTTGATACTTGCAACTGGAAGTAAATAATGGGACACTGAACAAGGAGTTCATGGTCTTCGCCTTCCACCGCACGTGGTGCAAAGAGGACATACGACGAATCATTGGAAGATTTCGAATCATATGGGTCCGAATCAAGTAGCGTGGTTGGAGTTTGTGGGAAAACATTCTACATAGTGAGACACGCCTCTATTGAAGACATTCGGATTTAGAGAGAACGTTTACATACATTTGCTTTAGAGGGAAATGTCTAAGACCCGTAATGATGTGTTACGCAAAAATGTTTGAATGTTTGATAAAATGTTGAATGATTGTAAATGCTGTTTTTTCATTGCGTTAGATACATAAACTTATGCATGTATTTGCATTTTCTTATCAATCAGAGCGAAGTAAATCCATGAGTTGTCTAAAATGGTAATGCATGGTTTAGGATTTAAGCCCTGGACTCAGTGCATTGTTTGCTGAATTATACCATGAAGGTGTTGTTTCCAAACCTTTGCATGACCGCGCAGCATTTTAAGAGACATATCTCACGATATCATCAAATTATAAAGTTCCCCGCTCATTGAGGTCATCCGCACGAGTGCTTACGAATAACAAATGTATAACTTTTCCCAACTTTATAGAATCACACAGTAACCAGTCAAGAAGCAAAAATAATTTGATTGATAGAGTATCTAAATGCGCATACGTAAATTCGTTGGATAGCTATCGTGCGTGAATTCATGATCAATGCATACACACCCTCTCAGTTTTGAGTTGAATTTGAACATCACTTGGGTGAAACCATTGACACTAATTATGAATTTCTATGGATTGATTTCAGACGGGTGACGCTCAGAACACAAAAACTAAACGTACAATTTCAAGAAGGAAACGCTCGATTGTAAGTCATCATTTTTTAAGTCTAAGACTGGGAGTGGAATCTATTCTTGATATCAGTCTCCATCAGAAGATTTGTCAGATTCAGTCTTTACTGTGTAATCCAATGGTTACTTAGGATTAAATTCAAAGAGTCCAAAAACATCAATAGGTGACTCTCATTTGTTCAACATCTGAAGTACAGGAATCTCACGTATACTGTACACGCGCTCACATATACATTTCATAGAAATAAAGTAACATTTAAAAATAAAATAACATTTAACATTTTTTATTCCAATTTTGTGTTTTAGCTACACAGAGGTGATCCCCCACCATTCATAGGTCAATGGAGATATGACAATGATGACCGGTTCGGCTTTGGTGGCAGCTTCATCAAGTAGTTCGTTTTGAATGCTGGGAGTTGGTTGACCTATAGCGAAGACATTATGGCGACTTTGAGTCACACTGTGACAAGACATACTATTGATATGTTGACTAACTGACTTACTGTTGATTGATGAATTGAATGATTAAAAATCAAAATGAAATTAAAATCTCGATCAATTGTAAACAACTTTGAACGGATAGTAGCTCTTGATATGTACATGTTTGTCATGAAGTGATTTTTGATGTTATAGCCTCTTAAGTTGCACTGTAATAAAAAAAATACTGATATAATCTTAAGAAAACAAATATATTTGATTGCTCATTATAATTGATCTTAAGCCAGAGGTTCTATTAATGACGAGGAGATACTGTAAATGCCCAAATATTCGCTAACCAAAATTTTCGCCCTGAAGAACCCTTGGGAAAATGCCATCGATAACGTCGAAATAACTGAAAAAATGGTTTCAAGAATTAAATACAAGTGCAATAGTCAAAAGGAAAAAATGAAGTTTTATCGATAACTGAAAGAATGATTTGAATAGTTATAATACAAAATAAAAAAATAAAGCCTTCTTCTTTTCCTTGCCGAAACCCGGGATTGAACCAGGGACCTTTAGATTCCTGGCGTATCAAGGATAGCAGCCGCTTCAGTCTAACGCTCTCCCAACTGAGCTATTTCGGCGGTGGCTTGGTATGACAAATTTATAGCCTTAATTGTAGTAGCATATACAATCGATATGTAAAAATGATAAATGTCAATTTTAAGTGATTGTGTTGAAATTAATCACCTAGCTAGTGTTTTAAAGGTTTACATCATGTATGTATAACAAGTCAATTTGATTGTGTGTCGATCGAACCTGAAAACAATTAGCATTCAGAAGATCCAAGCGCATTGATATATATAGAAGAACACATTCATATTTTATACGCATAACATTTCTATATTTTTTGATTTATTTGTGATTTTGCAAATAAAATGGGTGATTTTGTATCTTTATGGTTCTCTGACATGTTTTTTCAAAAAGTAACACGGTTGATTCTTTAAATTAAAGTCTCTAAATTACAAGAGGCCAAACTGGTTAACAGCACATAAAACTAAATTATCTAAAATATACAAACTTTTGCAACTAAAATATGAATTGTAGTTTTCAATATTAAAGTATTGTACTGTCGTCATTTGATTGCTTATTTATTAGGCTTGATTCACGTAAAACAATAAAGGAATAAAATCATTGATTGATTGCAATATAAGGGCACTAAAATTAATATCAGAATCAATTGGTATATATATATGTGTTTAGAAAATCCTGCAATAAGAATGGAGATATAGCTCAGTGGTAGAGCAATCGACTGCAGATCGATAGGTCCCTGGTTCAAATCCGGGTGTCTCCTTTATTTTTACAGTTTTATATTTTTCCCTGTTTATCATTCATTTGTTATTTTTATTATTTGGAAATAGCTGTGAACAGTAAGGAGATATAGCTCAGTGGTAGAGCAATCGACTGCAGATCGATAGGTCCCTGGTTCAAATCCGGGTGTCTCCTCAATTTTTTTTATCTATATCAGGTATAGTAAACTGATATTTTCCAAGCTTGCATGGTAGTTAACACGTAGTTCAATGGGGAGCAAAGGTTGCCAAACGTATGGAGGGGAGTGTTTGTCTCTCGTCATAAGCTTTCAGCATACATCACTTTGTTCACTTATCAAAATATACTAAAATTTTTCAGGCTCGATAAATTATTATAGCCTAATTCTTGGAATGTTTTCGACATTGTCTCTGACCATGATGCCCAAAAACTGTATGCAAGGCATTTATCAATTTGTAAAACTCCTATATAATATGTTTAAACGAGACCGGCATCTTTAGCCATGCTATAGAAAATTCCATCCTTATTTGAGAGAAGTTGAGATGGACTATCATATTCAACAACCTTTCCTGCATCCAACAGCATCACTCTGAAACAATACATAGACATCACAACACGTAGACATCACAATCATCCAAGACCTCTTATGATTTTTAGGGATATCAGCCAAGTTGTCAAATTTTAACGCTTTGAATACAGGGCACACAAAGTTAAACACCAAAATGGCTAAAATGTTCTTGATTTTTGAACTGACAAAATGTAATTTGCTGAAGTGAGACAACAAAACGAAAAACAAAATAATGCAAACGTTCATAAATAATCATATGAATACTTTAATGATTCGAAACGTGATAAGCTATTTCCCAAACGAAGTATGTTTTGACATGGGCTTTCATCTAATTGAAAGCCCATGATTTTAAACATCAAGTTGTGTAATCTTAAAAAGCTATAATTGGTGGTTTGACTTAGCGTGTTTGTTAGACTTTTAAATGTTCTGGTATCAATATACTTAACATTTCTGACTTCGAAAACACACCTATCATAATCCATTATGGTATTCAGTCTATGTGCAATAGTGAGAACCGTACAATCTTTGAACGCTGTTCGAATAGTGTTCTGTATAAGGTCATCAGTCTCAAGGTCAACTGCTGCCGTCGCTTCATCCAAAACGAGAATCTTCGACTTTCTCAGCAAAGCTCGTCCGAGACATAACAGTTGTCTTTGCCCAACACTAAAATGGACAATTTAACGATTTTACATTCTGGGTAGTGTTTGTTTTCAAGTAAATCACATAATCAGAATGAATAGATGATCTTACCTTAAATTCTCACCCTCTTCTCCACATTCATGGTCGAGTCCAAGCGTAAGAGAGCGGATGAAATCTTTTAAGTGCGCATGCTCTAGGGCTTGCCATATTGCCCTATCTGTGTATTCTTCTGAGGGGTCAACGTTCATGCGCAGGGTCCCAGAGAACAACACAGGGTCCTATGTAACCATGGCAACATGAGATAATCAATGATCGAACCATGACATATTTCAGGTGGCTATGGAATCATGAGATAATCGATGATTGGACAATGATAGGAAGAGTCTCAATATCAAATGAATAAGAATAGAGAGCAGGTTCAAGATTTAAAGTCACAATATGATATACTCGTATTACTCAGATTACAAGAACTTAATAAATATTCTAACCTGTGGAATTATCGTCAATTTCGATCTCAGTTGATGAAGCCCTAGTTCAGATGTTTTAACGCCGTCAATAAAGATGGCGCCACCAGCTGCTTCAATAATACGGAACAGTGATAACGTCAGGGATGATTTTCCAGCTCCAGTCCGCCCTACTATGCCAACCTTTAAACAGCAAAAAATGTTGAACATACAGTATTTCAAAATTCTGCAAATGAAAATAATATATAGTGATTCTGTCATCAAGGAGTGATACCTTTTCACTGGGTTTCACGTTGAATGAAACTCCTTTAAGTACAAGGTCCAAGCCCTTCCTATAACGTGTGCTATATTCCTTGTATTCTACGGCACCCTCTGTAGGCCAACCGATTGGGAGTATTCTCTCCGATCTCCAATCGGCTTCATTCTCTGTGTCACAATACTCCTTGATACGTTCCACACTGACGATGTATGTTTCCAGTTCACAAGAATTCCGAACCCACATAATCAGGCTCAACGTTATCTAAATCAGAATATATTTAACAGTGTGATGTTTTTTAGGAAAATGAAACATATATTTTGTTTTTTGGGGGAATAATAATGTCATAAAACGAGAAGTTGATCCAAAAGTAAGATCAACGCAATAAGTTGATCTTGCTTTTAGATCACCCTGTATTATTCACTTTCATTTGCTTTAGCAATACTTTCATATTGTTTTTGATCACCTAATATTTTTCATTTTCAAATCAATATTTTGATGTTATTTTTGGATCACCCTGTGTTTTTCATTTTCAAATGAATAATTTGAAGTTATTTTTGGATCACCCTGTATTCTTCATTTTCCATCTCGTAATACTCACTCTCATTGCATAGGACAAAGACAACCCAGCCAACCCTGCATTGATTGTATTCTTCTCTATCACTGCAAATATACCCGTCAGTAGGATGATCATGTTGCCCAGCAGACCCAGATAGGTGCCAATCCACCTAAGAAATACACATACGATTTATTTACAGGATGCCATTTCTGCATAAGATATCATGATAATGCCTTGTGAATATTGGTAAATTAATACAGGTATTAATTATAATAAACATCATCAATTAATAGTACAATATAATAACGTCATTTCGGCCTTCGGCCCTCGGTTCAATATTTCACTACATTGCCCGTTGATACATTGCCCGTTAATGACCTGGGCTGAAACAGCAAGAAAATCTTACGCACTGAACGATATCTAATTTCCCGGGGAAAATTGCCAGTCATTAATTGCATTATTGACTGCCATTATGGACCACCACTTTGACGTCACATATTGCTCAGGTCGATATAGTAAAATGAATGCCTTCTAAACTCGCACTAAAACTCCTAGAACTGGCCCGGCAAGGTGGTAATAATTTATATTGTAAAATACCTGTTTATAGGTATAACTGAAAATGATGTTATATAGTTGCGTTATTTATTTATCTATTATTTATTTATTTATTCTATCCACCAGAATAGGTGTTATACATAATACTTTACATAAAATGATAAAAATATTTGTTACGTATTAAAAAAGGATTGTTTTTAATGAACAAACAATAAATCCCTGTTGTTGACGGGCGTCAGGCTACCGCATCGACGCACCAGCCCAGCGCAGAATTTCATTCTGTGTTTTCATTAACTAATTTATACTTTATTAAACAATTTCAATATTCTGAAAAATAGGAATACACACCTGTATGATGCAATAACTGGGAACCAGGTTCGTTGACTGTTGTCCAATAACTTCTCAGATTTTATCACAAAATCTTCAGAACGATTGTATGCACGAATTGAACTAACTCCTGTTAATGTTTCACTAAAATGTGAGAATATCGGGGACCTTCTGACAGATTCAATTCTTTTGAGTTGCCTTGCGGTATTTGTATATAATCTCTGAAACCAATATGTGGTTGATGTATTCTTGCCATTTTTTGCTTATATCATGTTTGATATACAAAATAAAGACCAAATGATATTTTCAAGTTTTAGCTTACCCAGTAATACATTATACACAGTGTTATAATGCAAAAATTAAGTTAAGACTTCTAGGATAGAAATAATAGGCCTGTTTGGCCATACATCGTTCTCCTTGAATGACTAATCACTAAAACCTCAAAAAACAAATAAAAAAATTAGACCATTATCTTGTTACAATATGCCGCGGTAAGCTTACCTGAAAGACAAAGAAGCAGATCCCAAGTGGAAGAAGAGCAATGAGAAAGATGGGAGTACTGTATGAGATGGCGACAATTGTAGCGAACATAGGGCCCACGCTGGCCAACCAGCCCATTATGTATTGGGGCAGTGTAATATCAACAATGTCCAAATCTTTCGAAAACCGGTTGAGCACTCTGCCCATTGGAGTAGTGTCGAAGAAGCTCATTGGACAGCGGAGGATGTTTTTGACGAGTTTGTTGTGAAGAAATCTGGAGGCGTTAACAAACCCAAATGCACGGGAAAATGCCATCGATAACGTCGAAATAACTGCAAAAATGGTTTTAAGAATTAAATACAAGTGCAATAGTCAAAAGGAAAAGATAAAGTCTTTAACGATAACTGAAAAAATGATTTGAATAGTCATAATATAAAATAAAAAATAAAGCCTTCTTTTCCTTGCCGAAACCCGGGATTGAACCAGGGACCTTTAGATTCCTGGCGTATCAAGGATAGCTGCCGCTTCAGTCTAACGCTCTCCCAACTGAGCTATTTCGGCGGTGGCTTATCTGTGCATGTTTATAGCCTTAATTGTAGTAGCATACAATCGATATGTAACAGTGGTTAATGTCAAGTGATCGTGTTGACATTAATCACCAAGCTAGTGTTTTAACAAAAGGTTTACATCATGTATGTATACTAGTCAATTGGATTGTTTGTCGATCGAACCTGAAAACAATTAGCATTCAAAGGATCAATGCACAGACAGTGCATTGATATATGGAAAAATACATTCATATTTTATACGATTTACTTGTGGTTTTGCAAATAAAATGGGTGATTTTGTATCTTAATGGTTCTCTGACATGTTTTTTCAAAACTAACACGGTTTATTCTTTGAAGTAAAGTCTCTAAATTACATATACAAGATGCCACATAAAACTAAATTATCTGAAATACACAAACTTTTGCAACTAAAATATGAATTGTATTTTTCAATAAAATATTGTACTGTCGTCATTTGATTGCTTAATTTATTAGGCTTGATTCACGTAAAACAGTAAAGGAATAAAATTATTGACTGATATCAATATAAGGGCGCTAAATTTAATATCAGAATCATATATGTATTTAAAATAATTTGCACTAAGAATGGAGATATAGCTCAGTGGTAGAGCAATCGACTGCAGATCGATAGGTCCCTGGTTCAAATCCGGGTGTCTCCTTCATTTTACATTTTTATATTTTTTGCCTGTTTATCATTTGTTTGTTATTTTTTATTATTTGGAAACAGCAGTAAACAGTAAGGAGATATAGCTCAGTGGTAGAGCAATCGACTGCAGATCGATAGGTCCCTGGTTCAAATCCGGGTGTCTCCTATATTTTATCTTTTATGTTTAATCATATTATCTAATGTTTAAACATTTTTTTCACACTTTGAAGTGTGTGAAACCACGTACTTTGGACAAGTCCGAGTGCTCCATAAACAGCCAGGCGATAGTCTGTATCCTTTCGAGGTCTTGTCCCATTTACCACTGGATCACTGGTCCATGCACTCAGCCAAACATTTGCGTAGACCTGTGAGGCTGTGAACATACATACTGATAAGCACACCCAGAGAAAACACAGGTAGCCGCCTCCATAGATGTATGTCTTGATAACTTTAAAGCCGACCTAAATGCAAAGACGTGTAAATACGTATATAATGTTAAGGCAACTGTTACAGTAGTGAGCTACATGTATATTATATTCTACTATATTCACCTATAGTTTAATTTGTAATCTATGCTTGCTGTATATGTTGAGCTATTCTTCATTAGAGATCTTAGGTCAAGGTCACAATGACATTATACACTGTATCTTGTAAACAAAACTGAACTGAATGACTCATTAACCCTTGACCATCCAGATAGTTCTAGAAATTATAACCATTCATTAAAATTTAATCATGTCACTAAAGATGTCCAATCAAGATGTAGTTCCAGAAGATTCGTTTCTGGATCATTCTTTCACATTATAAAAAGAACAGCACAGTGACTCTCATTAGCAGATAATTAAGTAATCATAACTGGACATCTCAAAGGAACTAAATAGAGCAGAATTTCAAAGTTTATCAAAAGGACATCTTCTTAGCACATACTGTGGGAACATTTATAACACTACAAACATACAACCTGAGGACTTTATATGGACATATATTACAACACACACTATATACGGATTATCATATACATTCGTGGATTATCATAAACATTTGTGGATTATCATCAAACATTATTGGATACGAACATTATAGGATTACAACAAACATTATTGGATTATTACAAACATTGGAGAACTATTAACGATTATTGAAACATTTCGTGATCTGGAACATTCTCAAGGATCGTCAACGACATTTATCGACATCAAGAATAAGCCGTATCATAGATTGGACATCACTTAAGTATTAAACCTCCTTTATATTATAGTTATATTGTTATATTATTTAGTTTTCAAATATAAATATATTGTTATCATATTTTAATTGCTGTTTTTACTTTCTGTTATTTTCGAACGTAACAGAAATTGGGGGCTCGTCCGGGATCCAACTACAACAAGCTAAAATTCAAATATTTCAAAATTCGAAAATTGTGAATTTATATTGTGAAGACAGCAATTAACTGAAAATGAGTTTTGAGGTTGAGACATTCTTAGAAGCGCCCTCTTTGGAGGAATTTGATGATTTAAAGAAAACTGAACTTCTGGCAATTGCGAAACATGTTGGCCTGTCAGTCAAAAGCTCATACAATAAAGGTACAATTAAAAACTTTGTACTTCAATATTTGGTCGCAGAATCACTTCTGCCTGAGGAGCCAGCCCAGCATGTCGAGCATACTGATCCTACTAGGCTTAAAGAACTTGAATTGAGAGAGAAAGAGTTAGAAATTCAAAAAGAAAGAGAAATTAGGGAATTGAGAGAAAAAGAGTTGCAAAATGAAAAAGAATTGAGAGTGAAAGAGTTAGAAATTCAAAAAGAAAGAGAAATTAGAGAATTGAGAGAAAAAGAGTTAGAAATGCAAAATGAAAGAGAAAAAAGAGAAAATGAAAGACAAATGAGAGAACAAGAAATTCAGAGAGAAATTGAATTAAAACGTCTTGAGATAGAAGCTCAATCCAAATCTGAGGAACATGCTACTATGCATCAACATTTTGAAAATAGGTTTGACGCTTCAAAATTTCTCAAATTTGTACCTAAATTTCAAGAGAAAAATGTTGATAAATACTTTACACATTTTGAAAAAGTCGCTCAGAGCCTAGACTGGCCTAAATCAGCATGGCCAGTTATGCTTCAGAGTGTATTCATTGGTAAAGCGAGTGAAATATTTGCCTCTCTCTCAGCAGAAGCATGCTCTGATTATGACCTAGTTAAAAATGCAATTCTTAAAGCTTATGAACTAGTACCAGAAGCTTACAGACAAAAATTTAGAAATGCCCACAAACAGAGTGACCAAACCCATGTTGAGTTTGCTAGAGAGCAAGAGCAGCTTTTTGACAGGTGGCTTGTCTCTAAAGATGTATCTGAAGAGTTTAAAAAGCTCAGAGAGCTTATGCTAATAGAACAATTTAAAAACTGTGTTCAGTATCACATTAGAACTTACTTAGATGAACACAAGGTAGAAACTTTAAGCCAAGCTGCCACCCTGTCTGATGATTATGCTCTTACTCATAAGGGTAGTTTTATCAAGGGCAATTCTAACTTTAGAGGTTATCAAGGTAACAAACCTTCATATGATACAAAATCAAACCAGTCCTCATCATCAAATACATCAAACAAAGCAAAAGACCAGTCTAATTCATCACAGAGTTCTAGCTCAAAATCAGATCAATCAAAATCGTCAGGTCCAACATCAAATGTCACCTGTAACTATTGTAAAAAGCCTGGTCATCTTATATCTGAATGCTATAGGATAAAGAATAGAAGAGAGATGTCTGGTTCTGCTCATTCAAATGGTTGTGCTACAGTTCCCATTTCAAGAAAGCCCATTGTTTGGGATTCATATACTCATACTGAGAAATCTACTCATAGTGATATTATGGAGGATTATAAGCCTTTCATGTCGGAAGGATCTGTGTCACTGTCAAGTGACGGTACCAATTCAAAGCCAATTAAGATTCTTAGAGATACGGGTGCATCTCAGACTTTGTTGTTAGAAGGTGTCCTTCCTTTATCTGAGGAGTCATTCACAGGTACCCATATTTTGATGCAAGGCATTGAATTAGGTTTTACTAAAGTTCCCCTCCATCGTATTCATATCACATCGGAGTTAGTCAAAGGGCCAGTTATTGTTGGTGTTAGGCCACAACTTCCTGTTGAAGGAGTCGCATTGCTTTTAGGCAATGATTTAGCTGGGGGTAAGGTATCATTAGACCCCATTGTTTCTGATCAGCCTTGTTCTATTGAGGATTCTGTCCAAGAGGACTCTGATATATATCCTGCTTGTGCTGTTACTAGGGCTATGGCTAAAAAGTTAGCTAATAGTGGGGATTCGTCTGTGGGAGATGACTTTGATAGTGGGTTTTTAAGCTCCTTGTTTGATGATGAATGTCACTCACCACTTGTTAAAGATGGTCCTTATCCTATTTTAAAGGCAAATTCTTCATTGAAACAGCCTATTGTTCAAGCCAAGCAGCGATCTAATGAGGCATATTCTTCATTGAAAAAGCCTATTGCCAGAGGTGATTCACCTTCTGAGCAGGATCACTATTTTAATGCGGTTTCGCCCGCTCTTGCTAGTTCTGATGAAGTTTCATCTTCTTCTGCTAGTGTTCATGAGGTTTCATCCCCTCCTTGTTCTGAGGTTTCATCCTCTTCTAGTTCTGAGGTTTCATCCTCTATTTCTGATAGTGATTCTTTGAAAAATGATCCTCATTCTAAACACATGTTAATTTATGAACAAGAGCATGATCCATCACTCATTGATCTTCATAAAAGATGTCTTACTATTGATGAAGCTGACAAGGTCCCTGTTTGTTTCTACAAAAAGGATGGCATATTAATGCGAAAGTGGAGACCTCCTGAAGCTTCCCCTGAAAATGATTGGGCAATTGTACATCAACTTGTTGTCCCAAAATCATATCATAAGGAAATCTTGAGTCTAGCTCATGATTCTCCCATGGCAGGTCATTTAGGAGTAACTAAAACATACCATAAAATACTCAATCATTTCTATTGGCCCAAATTAAAACAAGATGTCCAAGAGTATTGTAGGTCTTGTCATACATGTCAAATGGTAGGGAAACCTAACCAGAAAATTCCAACTGCTCCTTTAT